CCCTCCCCCTCCCCCTCCGTCTCGACGCCCGCCTCCCTCCAACCCCCCTCAGAGGATAGCTACCTCCGCGATCCCCACCGCTTGATCGCGTACATCGTCCCCTTCCCGGCGCCGGCCGACGGCCCGCCCCCGCCCACCCGCTTTCTGGTGTATACACCCCCGCCGCCCCCGCTCCTCGCCGTCGCGGACGGCAAGGAGAGCAAGGCGCACAAGGTCCAGCGCAAGTGGCAGGAGGAGGTGCGCGCCGCCCACGAGAGTAACCACAAAGTGCTGAGTTGGGGCGGTATCCGCGCCAAGGTTACGCGCGGCGTGGACTGGGCTGTGGGGCAGGTCACGACGGCGGACCTCGACTTTCTCGTGCGCGTGCCCAAGGACGGGGAGGTGCACCATGTGCGCGGGCGGGCGGCGAGCTCGGTGGAGGCGGGTAGAGGCGCGGCGAAGGAGGCCGTGGTCCCGGCGGCTGAAGCCGGCGTGAATGTCCAGGCGAGCGCGAGCCCGCCTGACGACACGGCGGAATGTACGACGGCGGCAACGCCGGAAACTGCCACTGCGCACACAACAGAAGCCGAGGCAGCGCAGGACCGCCAGGGCGAAGCAGACGTGGCGCCCCCTGTCTACACTCCAGTCGACGAACCCGGCCCCGAATCCGCCTCAGGCTGTAGGCAACCCACCCCCCCAGCCCTCCCAGCCCGCCGCTCAGGCGACGCAGCTCGCCCCCCTCCCCGCCGGCAAGACACGCTCACCATACCGCTCCCGCACGACGAAGACCCCGCGGCGCCCGAGTCGGCCGCCCCGACCCAAGCTACGGTCAAGCTCAACGAAATGGTGCTCATCTACCCGCCCTCTCTCGGCCTGACGGAAGAAGAGCTCAAGACCGAGTTCGTCAACAGCCTGCTGCGGACCAAGTCCAAGGCGCAACGCGACACGGTCATCGCGACCGGCCTGCTGCCCATCACCTTCGCGATCGACTGGGCGCTCATGTTCGTGGGCTGGGTGTTTGGTGGCGCGCTCGAAGTCGACGCGGTGTGGCTCGCCTCGTCCTTCCGCGGCGCCAAAACCGCGCGGTCCGTCACCAAACGCCTCACGAGCTCAGACGCCGACCTCAAGCTGACGTTCAAGCCGAGCCACCGCGCGGATCTGCTGCAAGCGTATCTGCAGCAGCGGTGCGCGGAGGCCGACCCCCGCTTCCCAAGCGTCAAGATGGCGCCGAGCAGTTACGACGTGCTCGACTCGATCGGGTGGGAGGCCGCGGGCAAGTATGACGCGCACAATTGGGAGGATGAGAGATGGGAGCGGCGGCAGGTCGAGACGGACCTCGCGACGACGATGGGCAAGGCCGCGGGCGCATGGAGAAAGTGGTGCGACCGGTACGAGAAGAACCCGGAGAAAGCGATGAAGCGGTAACTGTCCCGCGAGACTCAGCGACACGTTCATGATGCACGAAAAAGCCACGATCAATAGATGTAGATGTGATGGATGACATGCATTTCAGCCTCGGCCATGACGTCGCAGACGCGACGGAGGGAATCGACATGCATTTTTCAGGCACGCCCTCAAAAGTCGGCCATCATCTTACTCGACCTCCTTCTGCTCGCTCACTCCTCGTCCACAATGTCCCGCCCCGGCATCGCGCGCCTGCGCACCCTTGCACGGCGGTGCTACGCGACGCCCGCAGCCGCGGTCACGCAGCCCACATTTCCAGGGATCACGAATCCGAAGCCGCCGACGACGGGGCAGCCGCTGGCGCGCAGCCACGCGCACCTCGTGCGCGCCGGCGAGCTCACCCCTGGCATCAGCGCGGCCGAGTACGAGAGCCGGCGGCGGCGGCTCATGGAGTCGCTGCCGGCCGGGAGCGTGGTCGTGTGCATGGGCGGGACGGTGCGGCTGGTGTCGCAGCGTAAGTGAAAACAGAAGGGGGGGCTGACGGCAGAGATCTTGTGAGCCGTGCGCGAATATAGCTGACCCGCAGCTACAGGTTCAGGCAAGGTGAGATGCGCGTCGGCGGCGCTGATCCCAGCGACGGACTTTTGGTACCTCACTGGCTTTGACGAGCCGGACGCGGTCGCCGTGTTGGGTACGTTGGCCGGCATGCTCACTCGGCGCGTGCTCTGGGCTCGCCATGCGCTGGCGCTCACTCCGCGCGCCCCGCAGCCCCGCTCACCCCAGTCTCCAAACCCTCCTCGCCCCGGGGATACGAGTACGTGCTCTTCGTGCCCCCGCGCACGCCGCACGCGCTGCAATGGGAAGGCGACTGCGCGGGGGTTGACGGCGCCGTGTCCGTCTTTGGCGCCGACGAAGCCTTCGCGAACACGGAGCTCCCCTCGCGCCTGCCGGCGCTCCTCTCGCACGCGGCGGAAGTATACGCGTCCCTCCCGCCGTCGCCGTCGCCATCCGCGTCGTCGCAGCCGCACCCGCCCCCCTCCCGCCGCCGATCCTCCCTCCTCAAGCTGTTCCACCGGGACGCGCCCGCCGGCGCATTCAACTGGAAGAGCTTCGACAACGACCCGCCGCACCTCGTGCTGAGCGCGGCGCTGGCCAGCGACGCCGCCAAGCCGCTCGCCCGCGTCGTGGAGCATCTGCGGATACGCAAGAGCCCCGCCGAGCTCGCGCTCATGGCGCGCGCGGGCGAGATCTCGGCGCGCGCACACTGCCAAGTCATGCGCTTCGCGCGTGCCGGCGGCACCGAAGCAAACCTCCAAGCCACGTTCGAGTACCATTGCGCGCTGGGCGGGAGCGAGCGCCCCGCTTACGTGCCGGTCGTGGCGAGCGGGGCGAATGCCCTCGTCATCCACTATACGCGGAACGACTGCGTGCTGGGCCAAGACGACGTATGTTGTGCCGCGACCGCGCTGACTCCAGATGGTGCTGATCGACGCGGGCGGCGAGTACCACATGTACGCGAGCGACATCACGCGCACGTTTCCCGTCGCGGGGCGCTTCTCGCCCGCCCAGCGCGACTTGTACACCGCCGTGCTGAACGTGCAAAAGGATCTCGTGGCGCGCTGCAAGCCCGGCGAGGCGAATCTCAACGAGCTGCATCGCGAGAGTGAGTCCCGTCCCCCGGCATCGCTGACGCAGGCTGCGTGGCGCTCGGCCGCGAACTGAAGCAGATCGGGTTCAACCTCTCACCCGGGGACGTCGAGCGCACGCTCTACCCCCACTTCCTCAGCCACCACGTCGGCTCGGACCTGCACGACTGCCCCAGCGCCGAGCGCGGCGTCATCCTCTCCGAGGGGCATGTGGTGACCATCGAGCCGGGGGTGTATGTCCCCCGCGACCCGCGCTTCCCGAAGGCGTTCCACGGCCTCGGCGTGCGCATAGAAGACGAGGTGGCCGTGACGAAGGACGGGCCGTGGGTGCTCACGCCCGCGCCGAAGGAGGTCGCCGAGGTCGAGGCCGCGTGTCAGGCATAGACATGTATTGCATTGCATAAGTGTTGGGCGTGCCGCGCCGAAGAGACGAGGACGTAGGTGTTACTATCCCATGCGGTCGCGCGATCGCGGTCGATCGCTATGTGAGGTACACCGCGCGCCGTCCGTCTCGGATTGTGTAGAATCGAGGAGCGACGGTGATCCGGACTTGCGGGGTGTATGGGCCCATGTGAGCATCCACAAGATTAGACCTGGACCACCGAGGTGTACACGTCTCCCCATCGCGACACGTACGCAGTTCGCGAGGTACTATCTTGCCGCTTGGTGCTATCTCCAGACACATCTCCTAGCGATCGCCCCGCTCCAGACTGACATCTACCAGCGGCCTTGTCCACCACCGTCTGCATCCGACAATCTCCACCCACTCACAGCGAGCGATGCATACGCAGCGGCATCCGCAATTCGGGTCGGGATGTGCACCTGTATCTGTGCATCTGGTGGCGCAGTAGCGGGGTTGAGTTCCCGTTACCCCGAAGACCGGCAGGCCATGTCGAGTGCTGGGTGGGCGGTCCAAGTTATATAATCATTGATGCTGTGATGATGGAGCGCCACTCTCTCCTCAGCGATGATCGCCAAATACAGTACCACCGAAACGATCCGCGGCAGGGCGCAGGGCGCAGGGCCTGGGGCGCAGGGGATAAGCGGGGCGCAAGAGCCACAGTGCGAATCCACGCGGAATTGCCCGGCACTGATCCGACCCGATCACCGAGATCTCCTAGCACTCCTCTCATCTGCCTCCCGCCCAGCCTGGTCTTTCTGGATGGCTTGGCAAGCTGACCGAGGTCATTTGGGCATTTGGGCCCAGAACTACTCTGGAGCATAAGGCAGGTAACCTGGGCTGCACGGTATGCGCCAAGCTCGGCCGGTGCATCCGGTGACCGCGGGATGTTGTCTGCCCCGCGCACCCCGGACCACCCCACACTGCTCCTCCCGCATGCATGTGTTCATCTTGTCGTTCGCTACGACTCCCTTGCGACGGGATTCGGTCAGCGGGGTTGCGGGGCCCGGCGCGGGGGCGAATCAGCGCGAGCTCAATGCCTCGACACGATCGTGGCGTCACGCGGACGCATGCATGAGCGAGCCTGGGCGAGAGCGAGAAAGTACTAAAGCACTAAAGCCTGCCTTATGAGGTTCCAGACACCCGCATCACAACACAACAATGGCCGACGTCGAGAAGCAGATGCCCGTGCCCAGCCTCGAGAAGGGCGAGGTCGACCACCGCGAGTTCGACGAGTCGCGCGACGACTGGCACGGCGATATCGACCATGGTTTCGACCCGGCATTCGTCAAGCACACGCGCAGGAAGATTGACTGGCGGGTGAGTTGGCTGCTGGCACATGACTGGACGCAGCAGCTAACGCCTAGCTCATTCCTGTCCTCGGTGCAGTCTACTCCATCTCACTCATCGACCGCAACAACCTCTCGTTTGCTCGCGCGGCCAACAACCTCCAGATGATGAAGGACCTTCAAATGACCACAGCCAACAACGGCTACGGTGAGTTTTCCATTTCCGGTGATGGTGGGCGGCCAGGCGGGCGCCGTGGGTGCGGCGTGGCGTGGCGTGGCGGGTTGCCAGTGGCCTGGTGGTGGCGGGTGGTTGGTGGCGGGTGGCAGGTGATGTGGCGGCGAGGTGGCGAAAGCGGCGGGGCCCGCCCTGGATGTTGAGGTGTTCCTGGCTTATGTCACAAAATCCAACTTTATTCCTGAGACACCGACATGCTAACTAGCAGGTATCGCGTCCCTCGTCTTCTTCATCCCCTACATTCTGCTCGAGGTGCCCTCGCAGATGGGTCTGCGCAAGTACGGCGTGCGGCACTGGCTCGGTGCCGCCGTTGTTGCGTGGGGCATCGTAACGATCGGCATGGGCTTTGTCAAGAACCGCCACGGCCTCGCGGGCCTGCGCGCCCTCCTCGGTGTTTTCGAGGCCGTCCTCTTCCCCGGTGGCTCGTTCCTCATTTCCTGCTGGTACCCGCGCCACGAGATGGCGCAGCGCATGTCATGGTTCTACTCGACCTCGATCGCCGTCACGGGCTTTGCCGCCATCCTCTCGTGGTGCATGTCCCACCTCGACCTCAAGGGCGGGCTGCGCGGCTGGTCGTGGATCTTTGTCATCTGGGGTCTCGTCACCGTCGTCGTCGGCGCCGTCGCATGGGTCTTCCTCGTCGACTTCCCCGACAAGGCAACATTTATCACCGAGGAGCAGCGCCACTGGGTCAAGACCCGCATCAACCGCGACCGTGGCGACGCCGTCGCCGACAAGATCACCTGGCCCAAGTTCTTCCGCTATGCCGGCGACCTCAAGATCTGGCTCTTCGCCTACATCTTCATGGGCACGACCCTCGGCGCGTACCAGATCGCCTTCTTCCTCCCCGCCATCCTCGCCAGCATGGGCTTCACCAACATGGAGATCCAGCTCCTCGTGTGTCCCGTGTACGTGTGGGCCGTCGTGCCGGCCATGATTTCGGCGCGCCTCTCCGACCGCTTCCGCGTCCGCGGGCCCGTCCTGCTCGCCAACAACGTGTGTCTCGTCATCGGCGCCACGATCTTCTGGAAGCTCCCCCTCACGCAGAAGGGTGCGCGCCTCTTCGGCGTCTTCCTCGCGTTCGGCGGCATCACCGCCCTCATCCCCATGATCGTGTCGTGGAGCCAGACGAGCGTGCGCCGCCAGTCCAAGCGTGGCTTCTCGTCGGCCCTCGTCGTCGCGTTTGGCGGCGTTGGCGGCATTCTCGCGTCCGTCGCGTTCATGGAGCGCGAGGCCAAGGCCGGATACCCTACGGGCATGACGCTCTCCATCGCCCTCCAGTCGTCCAACGTCGTCGGCATCCTCGGCCTCATGGCCTGGTTCAAGTACCAGAACGGCCGCGCCGACCGTGGTGTCGTTGTGCTCGAGGAGTCGGAGAGCTTCCGTTACCAGCTCTAAGGCCCCGTTTTGGGCGGAGTGTACGCTGAGGGGACGAAGTTGGGTCGTCGATTGTAGAGCAGGCGGATGTGTAGGCGCTCAGGGTGTGGCAGAGTATAGCCTCGGGTAATGGGTTGTCTTGGTGTGGCGGTGGCACATTATTGTGGGATAGTTGTTGATAGCATCGTCTGAAGCATGAATGATACTGGGATAAATGCGAGGTGGAGCACACCATGATGTTGACCCATTACTGGCCACGCCAACACTAGCACTCCAAAAAGCGGACTGTCACCGCGCACTGGACGCATAACAATCCCGCAGTCCACCTCCGCACATTCTGCATCCACCTACGCTCCTATCCTCCTCCTCCTCAGCCCAATGGCTACTTGAACTCAATCTCCCACTCTACCGGCATGTCCTTAGGGCACCCATCCGTAGGGATCTTGAACTTGAAACCACCGCGTCCACTGAGCCCCGCAAGCTCACCAGTCCCCGTACCCTCGACGATGGTGTTCTCCGCCTCGCTCCATCCATCGAGCACCTTGCCAATGCACTGCACGGCAAACGTCCCCTTCTTGCCGAGCACGGTGCCCTCGAAGGTCGCGACGCCGGCTGGGGTCAGCGAGTCGGGTGATTAGTGCGCACCAAACGTCCAGTCCTCGGGCTGCTTGCCCTCCGCGACGGGGGTGTTGTAGGCCGCCCTGGGGTCAGTTGGGCTCCATGTGAAGAGCAGTGGCGGGGAAAAGAGGAGATGAAAACAGTAGGAGAGAAGGAGCATGGGATGGAAGCCGCTCACATCACATAGCACCCCACGCTCACACCCTCCATGTCGCCCTTGTACGTCGACTCCATCGTCATGGTCGTGAGCTGCGGCGTCTTGAAGTTGGGCGCCTCGACCTTGGCGTCCTGGAACCACGTGTCGTTCGTGATCGTCGTGACCTTCTGCATGATGTGGAGTAGTAGTGTTTGGGGGGTGGGTAAGTGGTAGCTGGGTGGGCGGAGAGAGGGGGTGAGCTCGCGCATTCATATAGCGCGTGCACTCCGCACCTCGCTCCGCGCAACGCACAGCGCCAAGCGCTTCCACGTCCACTCACCCGGTGTCAGCGCGTGCCTGCTTGTTTGCGTGAGGTTGACGGTGCTAACGAGGCGAGCGGAACCGAGGAATGTGGATCTGCTCCGTTCCTCATCTGGGTCAGTCACTTTTGGTTATCTGATCCGCCGGCCATATTTCGCAATTATTGACAGTCGATGCATGCGACTACCCTACGCTCTAAAGACGCGCGTTCGTTCGCTACCGACCCAGGGAGTCGATTATCTGCCTCTCAGAATGTACAGACACGAAGTCATACAGGAGTTACAGGCAGCTGCAATGATGTGACAGGGGAGCACCCCACCCTCCTACCATCCTTTGTTGCGTGAGGTGCGCGGTGCGAGCGCGCGCGGCGTCGAAGTGGCGTCTGGGTCAAACGAGCCTTCTGATATGGTCGGCAGCTCTGTCATCTCCGTGATTGCTGTCAGCCCCTCCAAGTCTGAGCCAGAGTGCTCGTCCGCATCCGTGTGCGACTCAGTGTCCTCCAACAGCTGTGCGTGGCTGGGAAGCTCGGGCACATGCGGCTCTTCTGGTGCGAAAGGTGAGGTAAGATGTCCGTTTAGATCTGTGGCATGGTCCGTAGTGAGCACAAAGGGGGATGAAGACGCGCGAGAATGACTCTCATTAGGTTCTGGCGGAGGAGTCAGGTGTGATGTGTTCTGCCGAGGAACGACATCTTTGGGATTGCTGTCACAAGAGCGTTGGTCATGTCTCGCTTGCGGATCAGGACGGTGGTGAAAGAGGTTGATGTCCGGGCCTTGAGGCACAGCACAAGGGGGCGCATGTGTGTCTTGGGTAGGTTTCTTGGTAATCTTCACGAGGCCAGGTGCAATACGCTGGCTCAATCTCTCGAGGCTGACGTCGATGCGCTCCATGCGGCGCTCGAAGCGAGCAATCCACCTTTTTTTGGGTTCAGTTGGGTGTAGTGGCATCTGCTCGTCCGTCGCACGGTCAGCTGCAACATTTGGGCTTGGATTGTGTGCGTGTGTTGTAGGCTGGTGAGAAGTACTAGCCAGTGAGCTCGACTGCGTGCCGCAGAGCGGAGCGGAGTCAAGCGGGCCAGAGCGAATTGTCGCAGCGTCTCCCCACCCGATGGCGAGAGATGGGCCAGGGCTGGTGTCATCCTTGAATAAGCCGCGGACAGACGCGCGGAAACTGCCCTTCCTTTTAGCCTGGTGCGTGTCGTCCAATATCGCCGCCGGCGTGTAGATGGCCGCTGCGGCAGGTGCGACATGTCGTTGCGCGGCTTGCTCGTCGGCTGCTGCCATCCACTCCCTCGGCACCAGGGAGCGATGTTTGTGCTTCGCGCCTGTCCAGTTCTCCAAGTCTTGTGTGTTGTTCGGCATCCTTTCCGCCGACACGCTGGCGCGTGTCTCACTGGGATGTGCTTCTCCTACAACCCTCTCAGCCTGGGCGTGCCCTGTCTCAGCAAGGATATTCTGCCATGCCGCTCGGAGAGGGGTAGGAATACGCCTGCCTTGTGTGCTCTTGGCGGGCACGGGAGTTGCCGTCATTTCGGAAGGGATGGAGATTTCCGGGGCGGGGGGCGAGGGTGGGAGGGGCATGTGGGCCGGTTCGCTCACCATGCGCGCCGTGGTCGACTGCTGGTGGCTAGGCGGGTCGCTCACGACACGGGGCGCCGGCAGCGGCGCAGCGCGCGAACGGAGGACGCCACGCACGAGATACTCCTGCGCCGAGGTGGTCGGGGTCGTGGGTGAGGCGAGGCCCAGGGCTGTGAGGTTCATGTCCTCCGACTCCAACGAAGTGGAGACGTCTGGCTGAAACAGTTGCGTCATGAGGTAGGCGGTGGGTTGCGTGTCGACCGTTAGCGTGGTGTGGTATGCTCCACGCAGGACTCCGCGCGGCAACGGGGTATCGTGCTCGTGCTCCCTAGAGGCCTCCCGAGAGTTCGTCGCTCTGGGCATCACCTCAGACGTCGAGGAGCCGGGAGGCGTCGGTGGTGGGGCCTCAGACTGGTGAGCCCGCGCATTACCCGCAGCCTGTTGGCGCGCCTGAAAGGCCAAGCTATTACCATACGTGACGTCTCGAAGATCCAGCTCACTGCCTAGCACGCCGCCTCCGGAGGCTTCGGTTTTGGTGGGCCAGGTCGGCTTGTCCTTCGGTGACTTCCCTGAGCTGTAGACACGCCAAGGAAGCTTCTCAGAGAAGTCGATACCCTCCACACCGAAAATCGATGCCCGGAACTTGTTGCGCTCCCAGAACGCCATCTCCTCGTTGCTCATCGCAGTTCCAGCGCTCACGAGCTCGCTAACTCGTCTGCGGAAAGTCATAGGCCGGGTGGCTCCCCAGTCTAGGTCGATGGAAACAGTGTCGAGGTCCACGCCGTCGGCTGCGGCGCGAGCTTCAACCTTAGCGACGACAGCAGCGAGCTGCTCTGGCGGCCAGGTATCGTCGAGTGACGTGTTGGCTTCAGCCCCGAGACTGACCGCTGTTATAGTTGAGAAGGCGGTTTGGGCGCACCTCGACTCGCAATCTGTGAGTGAATCGTTGAGGGACTCCTTAGCCTTGATCAGGTTCTCCGCCGTGGATGCGGAGTCCTGTGGGACGATATCAGCATCCTGGGGGGCCACATGGGTCAAGGTCGACGTGGGGTCGCACTTGGCGGTATTCTTGACGTTACTGGTGGCGCCTACATTCTCAGTGCTATCCTCCTCAAGTCTGATGGCAGGCTCCTGTCTCGCCAGACTCTTTCTCAGCGTCCGGCTGATCGCGCGGGTAGTGCCCGAGCCTTTGGAAACGATAGAGGAGAAGGAAATCTTGCGTTCGCGGACAGCAGGCTGAGCTCTCTGGTCTGTTTGTGTGCCGCGAATGAATGATTTGCGGAAGGGCTGCCATTTCCCCGCTTGGCCGTCCAGGACGGTTTCGTTTGCCTCCTGATTACTGGTTGGCTGAGTTGCGCCTGGTTGGAGGGCTACATTCTGAAGGTTCTCGCCATTGTGGTGCTCGTGATTTCCGCAGTCTTTGGACTGGCCGTTCTCATTGTCAACGGCGTCTTCCTGCGAAATGGCCTTCGGCGTCTGTAGCTCAGGGAATGGCAGGGCTCCGGAGCGCGACACTCCAGAGCCATGCGATATGGCGTTGCGACGCTGGCGTGGTACAATGTGGTTGGGCTCGTGAGCTGTATCACTGGTTGACTGGACCACAGCCGCGATGTGAAGGTTGCGGGTGGGTTGGCACGTCAGCGCGTCCGCGGCGTCCCTCGCGAGAGCTTGAGGTGGATTTTGATCGCGGTATGTCAGGCCGATGCTAAGCTTCTTGACAAGCCCGCGGCGCGAGGAGCGGCGTGGGCGGGGAGGAGGGGATGTTGTTACTTTATCAGCTGGCACGACCCTCTGGGAGAAGGTATGTCCCCGCTCTTCAGCAGAGCTGCCGGTGCCAGGCTTGAGAGAACTGGAGGCAGTCTTGGACTGATGTCAGCGGGATCCTAGACCTTGGGGCTCACGGGAATGAGCGACTTGAGTGAGGGTACACGTCCTCCCTCACGCTGAGCTGGCTCGAGCTTGGGTGTTGTTGCCGTGGCGTGATCTTTCGCAGGGTCGTGTTGCTCAGGCTCGGGGCCCGTCTGCTTGAACTGGCGTTGCTGGGCTCCCTGCCCTTCCGAGTGCGAGGACGGCTGGATGTGCTGTCTATTGCGAACGTAACCCTCAGCAAGGTCAAACATCAGGTCAACGCTGCCTCGGGTTTTGGGGGGACGCGGTGGCGGCGCTTGTTCAGCAAAGCTGACCTGCGGCGAGCGCTGGATCAAGTTGCGCATGCCAGATACGCGGCGCACGCGGTTCATGGGTGGCATGTTGTTGGGGGCAGGAAGATTCGACCTGCTTGTGGTGCCAGCGGACGGCGTGCTGTCGCGAGTGGTTGCCGAGGAGTTGTTGGGATACATGACTTTGAAGGGGGCTGGAGGTCCCCTGCTATTTGGGATCACTGGTGTCAGTTGATGGGTGCGAGGAGCAGGGGGCGAGAGTGAGCAGTGGAGGAGGAGGGGATGGGCGACCGAGCGAGTATTGCGACGGTGAGGTGCTAAGATAGGGTGACTGGCAGATTGCTCGAGAAGAGCGCAGTGAGTAAGGAGTAGGTTGTCAGTAGGTGAGATGCAAGTTGCACAGTGATTGTGGAAGGGTGAGAGATGCGAGTGACAAGGAAGGTGCGAGGTGTGGTGGAGAGACGAGGGGCAGAGCGGGGCGACGAAAGAACTTACTGGTTTGGCGCGCTATCGGTGAGAGCCAGTGCGGTAGGGGAGGAGTGGAGGAAGAGGCGGCGGTAAAAGGGAGCGACGAGGACGGTTGCAAAGTTGGTGGGGATGGTGGAAGACATGGATCAGGCCGAGGCGCATTTTATAACGCAATGTAGGGGGTGCCGGGGCGCGGACAAGTGAGCAGTGAGAAGGGTGCGCTGAGAGCAAAGTGGTGCAGTGAGGCCGCGTGTGATGGTGCGAGGCCAGTCCAGTTTGCCGACATCGTGAGCGGGCAGTGTGTAACGGCTCGAATGAGGCTAACCCAACAACAAAGGATGAGTTCGGGTTAGCTTTGTTCATGATGCCCGGCGTGCACGGGCGGGGTACTGATGTGATTAATCGTATCGCCTCCGTGCGGGGCATTTACTGGCCCGGCGAGCTATGCATTGTGATTGTCTAGGCGAGTCGTGTCGGGCTTAGCTGTTTCGATGGCTCTAGGTAAGATGCGATGCAGAGTCGTGCCATTACACCTTCAGCGCCTCCATTTCGGCGCGCTCGCGCCTGTCTGCGCGGTCGAAGTAAATGTTCTGCAGGAATGTGAAGGTCATGCTGCACGTCCAGTACCAGACGACGGCCTGAGGTCAGCGGATCACGGATCGCGGCCTTGCAATGCAAAGTGGGCTCTGAGACACTGATGGGTACGTCGCGGCGGTCCAACTCAGACAAAGACCATCAGAGGTGAATGGTACAGCCCGTCATCAACAAGTCTCGCCAGTTCCTCCGAGCTCATCGGCACTCGCGCGTATCACTCGCTCTCACAGGCCCAGCTTAAACTTACCGCAGGCATCTGAAGCCCCACAACAATGACGAGGAAGCTCGCGCCGCGCAATGTTGTCGTGAGTGCCTTCTGAACCCACTCGCGGTTTTGTGGCAGCAGTCGTGCGGCCCAGTGCGTCTCTTCAACCATGTCGCTTGCCTTGGGTCCCTTGACCTTCGTCGCACGCATTGGCTGGAGGGTTGGCTTCGGCGCGCCTGGAATCTGCGCCACCGCACGGGGCTTGGCCGCTACTCGTCGCTTGCCAAAGTGCTGGGGGCCAGTATGCTTGTCCTCTTGGGCAGGCGTGGTAGAGAACTTTCGTGTTTGCTTCCAGGGGGGTGTCGTGGACGGTGGAGGAGAGGGACGAGTGGAGGGAGAAGAGGAGGGAGTGGAGGGTGGAGGGGTGGAGGAAGGTGGTGATGAAGATGGGGCCTCAGCAGCCGCCGCTGCCTCCTTACGCGCATCGTAGCGCACGCTGGCGTTCTCCGCGTTTCCGAATCCCAGTAGACCCGCAACCATCGGCAGGATCCACTGCTTGTCCGGGAGACCCATGTGCTCGACCCAAAGGAAGGACTGGGCAGCGAGCTCCGGATATGTTGTGACAGCTTGCCGGATCGTCATACTCATCACTATGAACAAGGGGACGGAGACGGCGAGTGGAACGAGCATGGTGGTCGTGGGGTGCGTACCGTGCTTCTTGTGAAGGGCGGCTTGGCGAGTAGCGAGCTGATATCAGTAAATGCGAGCGGAAGGTGGCAGAAGATGAAGGCCGCCCGTCAATGCTTCCCCGCGCGCGCACTCACCTCGGCCTTGAGTCGTTCCCGGTACTTTTCATATGTGAGCCCCTCGCGTTTGCTCTGTACTGCCATCTGCACAGCCAGCTCGTCGTTGATCCGCTTCATCTCGGGCACGACGAACTTGCGTGCACGCCACACGCGCCGCCGCTGCCACAGCTGCAGGGGGAAAGTGATGCCGAGGCGTACTGTCAGGGCGAGGCCGACAATGGAGGCCCAAAGCGGCACGGGAGATGCGGCGAGGAGGCCTGGTAAAGGCGTCGACCCGACGGCTTCGGAGAGGGCGGTGAGTGTCGAGGTGAAGAAGGTGCGGTGGGTGGTGGAGGGGCGGGATGGGAGAGAGCGGACAACGTGAGACGGATGTGGTCTCCTAGCAAAGGTTGATAAACCGCGCAAGCCTAGACCGCCTGGAGTGGCGAGCAGAGGCCGCAGCGACATTGTTGTTAACAGATGAGTAGACACGAGCAGAGATGGATGGATGAAGGAGGTGGTGTACTTTGGCTGAATTTCCATTTCCGACCTCCACTGTCATCTCCAGCTGGGCCAGCTCTTCCTGCCCCACTTTGGATTCCAGCCCACTTGGATTGAGTGATCGGCAAATACCACGTGCCGGACCTCCACCGACCTCCACTCTTCGGACCGAGCGAGATTGGGAGAGCGGGCAGGTGATCAACCCTTCGGTGAATCGGTTTCCGCCCCTCCCTCGTCGTCCCCATCTCAATCGTCATCCTCCTCCTCGACTCTCTCCCAGGTCCCCCGTGCCGAACTCTACTGCCGAGCTCCCCCCCCTCGCCACCACTTCCTCATTTATCATGTACGCCATTCGCGCGGCATCCAGCCCACTCCGACGCGTCATGACTCCCCACTCGCCCATCGCACGCGCCCTGGCCACCAGCGCCAGTCAATCAAACCTCGCCCCTCCAAATGGTTCTACAGACGGAGCTGCCACACCCCGCGCTGCTGCCCGCAAGCAGCTCCTCACCCTCGGCGAGATCGACCGTCTTCTCACCCATGTCTCCCGTGAGTTGCTCCATCATCACAGAGCATGTACAGCCTGCATCGCACCAATTGCAATTCTCCGCCCGGCCGTGCACCATCCGTGCGGAATGCGACTACCCTCTGAGACTCGTCCATCCACACCGCACGCCCTCCCAGCCACTGATGTCCAGAGCACTCGCCCAAGACCCAGAGTGACACCCCGATGGTCATGCGCGCGCACCCTGTGCCGTGGATGAACGCGGGGTGCGGTGCACCAGAACTCGAGCCTCCCGCACAGGAACGCGCGAAGAAGTACCCACCTCTCACTGAGGAGCAGAAGGAGGCCCTCGTCAAGCCCAAGCCTATGAGCGCGAGCTTCACCTCGTTTGACCTCCCCCTCGCCTCTGACCCCCGCCTGTACGACCTCTACGTCAACTTCTCCGGTGGCTTCCGTGAGTTGATGCCAACGAGATCAGAGATGGGAATGGTTTGTCACCCCGTCATTTGCCGATCGCCGATTGGTCAGGGCTCACATCTCGTACAGGTATGGGCAAGTTGCTCGAGAACCTCGACTCGCTCGCTGGCGCCGTAGCATACCGGCACTGTCTGCCCGTCGTAATCGCGGCCGATGGGCGTGCGACCGAGAACTTCCACACCGAGGCCGCCAAGGCCGGCCTGTACATTGCCACGGCGAGCGCGGACCGTCTTGACATGTTCGGCGTCCTGAACCATGAGAATGTTCGGTGAGACACGACTAGATCACCGCCGTCATAGCTCACACGCAGTGACCTCCGCTTCTCAGGCTTTGTCACCTGGACGGGTAACTCGTCGATGGAGGTGTTCGTCAAGATGGAGGGCACGCGCCCCGGCTCTGACGAGAGCGACACGCTCATGCTTGGCCGTTTCGCCATGGTCGCGCGCGACGCCCACACAGGCAAGGCGCGCAAGGTGCCGCAGCTGGTCATCGAGACGCCTGAGGAACAGACGCTGTGGAACTTTGGGCAGGAGCACAAGGACCACCGCGTTGCGCTGGCCAAGCGCACGCTGGACAAGGCGCCGCCCGACGCGCGCGAGTCGGCCGAGCTGCACGAGCTGATGCGCTCCATCCGTGACTCGAAGGACAACACGCTCGACGGCGAGATCATGGTCCCGATGGCCAAGACGGTCAACGAGAGCGTGCAGCTCATGTTCCCGCAGGAGCGCAACCTGCACGGCAAGGTGTTTGGTGGCTTCCTCATGCGCCAGGCGTATGAGCTGTGCTTTACGACGGCCGCGACGTTCGCGCACACCCCGCTCCGCTTCCAGTCGCTTGACCAGATTGTGTTCCGTCTCCCCGTGCCTATCGGCGCCATTGTCCGCCTCACGTCCAAGGTGCTCAAGACGACCAAGCCGACTGAGGAGCAGGACGGCGAAGCCAAGGCCCACATCATGGTCAAGGCCGAGGTGCAAGATGTCAAGACTGGCGTACGTTAGAATGTGGGACTTTAGCTGACGCGCAGGAGCGCCAAGAGACCAACACGTTCTACTTCACAATGAAGAAACCCGACGGCAAGCCGATCGGACGCGCCGTCGTGCCCTCGACGTACTACGAAACGATGCAATACCTCGAGGGCAGCCGTCGCCTCGAAGTCGGCGACGAAGTGCGTAAGCTTTACATGGCGCGTACGCCCAAGCACGAGTAGGCGTGACCCGGACGGACGCGGTGCCTGTGCCGGTCTCGCGAGTGAACTTGGAGGGAGGGCTGCAGGACATGAGCTGTACCAGTACGCAGAAGCAATTTAGAGCATGTGTCGAGGCAGTGGCAAGCAATGCATGGATCTTTGTCTGGGGGCTGAGTAGGCCGTCGAGGAGCGCACGAGTGATAGACAAGGAGTGGATGGATTGTGCGAGGTGGCGGACGAGGTGCGAGAGGAGAGGAGAGTCGTGCCTGGACCGATGGATGGCGCCTCTCAATCTCCCGCCAGCACTGCCTCGTGCTCGACTCTCCATGCCTTTGACCTCGTCTCTCATCTCTCATCTTATCGTCTTGTTCATCCTCTCCCTCCTCCTCCTCGTCATCCTCCTCCCCGCTCCGACATCGCCTTACACAGGCATACGCACCCGCACACACCCTCACCCCGCGCTCTCCGCGGCGCGCCCCAGCTCTCCGGTCCGCCGCACCTCCACTCCACCCCGCGCCACCCAACAATCTCCACCTCCTTTCAACCACTCCCCCCTCCCTCACGCCTCCCCTCTCTCCTCTCCTCTACCATCTTGGCCTCGGGCTGCTCACCACGTTCTGTTGAACGATGACGGCCGTGTCGCCCAAGCCGTCGTCCCCCGGCACACCGATCGTAGACTGGGATGAGGCCCAGGTCAACGCGTACTTTGTCAGCTTGGGACTCAAGCAGTATGAGAGTGTAATTTACGGTGAGTTGGCCCTGCGCGAGCGACGGGCTGGCCAAGCACATCTAGACACCGACGCGCCATTGAGAACTGCAGCAGGGAGCATGATGCGCCGGGTCGCACCCATGCGTCATCGCCGCCCCGAACGAACACCTTCACTCAAATGTCACCCCCGCACCTCTGCCTCACTTAGCTCGCGCGAACATTGCTAACCCCAGAACATGGTATCACTGGCGAGGTGCTGTGCGCTCTCGATAACGAAACGCTCGTCGACCTTGGTATGATGTCACTTGGGCACCGGCTCAACGTCTTGCGCGCTGTCTTTGAGCTCAAGAAGGAGCAAGGCGTAGAGATAGGCGAAGACGACTGGCGGCCACAAGGTGTGTTCGCGGAGAACCACGCTGACGGGCAGAAGAAGTAGCGCTTGAGGCGATGGAGACGGCTGCTACGATCGACCGGATGTGGAGCCTTGTGTTGGATCAACGTGAGTCGCGTCGGGCCCGCGCACCCCACCCGCCTCTCGCGCATTCTCCCGCATTCTGGCACCCATATCGTGCGCGGCGCTTCTTGTTGTGCACATCTACACTCGAACTGCCACTCACACCCAGAGGAACGCCTGCAGTCTCTGGAGAAGGAGCAGATACGATTAATGCGCGCCCTGACAGAAAATGGCATACAACTCCCTCCACCCCCACCAACTCTTGTCGAAGTGTCCGGCACACCAACAGCCGGTATGGGCGCCTACTTTGGCTCGCCACCACCAACGTCACACGGCAAGCTTCAGACAAGTAAGCCGCCTCTCGCCAGACTCGCAAGCGGGACAGTCGTGCGGTCTGGGTCTAGATCACAGCGCAATGACGGCGCGTCAACAGCACCATTACCCTCCAGCCCTACACCTCCGGTGGAACCAGCACCTGCGCCCTCGGGCGGATCATCGCACGGCGCGCGCGACGCGGCCCACTCGGCAGCCAGGAGTTTCCGCGTTACAATGGAGGATCCGTGCTGGAAGGTGCTTCCTGCAGCGCTCAAGAAGTACAAGATCAACGATGACTGGAAGATGTACGCGCTCTTCATCTGCTATGGCAACACGGGTGAGTGCAGCTGTCAGATGCTTAGCTGACCCGCAGAGAGATGTCTGAGTTATGACGAGAAGCCGTTGTTGCTGTTCCAAAAGCTCAAGGAGGGCGGGCAGCGACCAGTGTTCATGCTGCGGCACATTGTAAGTGCGTCCTGAGTCGGCGCTGATGGATCAGCGCGACATCAAGTCGCCTATCGCTGTCGCACAGCAGAAGCAGGCGATCAAGCTCGGACTCCCGGCCAACTCGACTGCAAATCTCTTGCCCCAGCTTGACGCACCATCACCGTCACCCACGAAGGCGACCAGATCTCCAGGAGCCGCAAAGAGCGAATCTGGGGGGCGGACGCCGGGGGATGGGACATTCCCAGAATTGCCATCACCTGGTATGCGCGACCCCGACGCTGCGACCATTGCATCCAAGGATTTCAAGGAGAATAGCTCTGCTAGCTCCAGTATACAACCGCGCACACCAGTCACTGGTACGCTCATGGACAAGGACGGCAAGGTGCACAAGGTCACATACGCGATCAGCATCTATCCGTATATCGCAGACCGACAGGACGAGTTCGATGTCGCTGTCGGCGCTGCCTTCGTGGTCATGTCCAAGGCCAAGGGGTGGTGGTTCGTTCTCAAGGACACGGAGGGGAGAGGCAACATCAGTTCGGAGACGACCAAAAGCGCCTGGGTCCCCGCCGGCTGCCTACTAGAACTCACAGCGCCGATCGCGAGCATTTCACCACAATCGCCAGGCAGCATTCCAGGGCGTGCACCCATCCCGCCTGCCAACATTATGAGCTCGAGCTATCCGGGCGTGGTGCTTATGAACCACACGAGCAAAGACACGCACGAGCTCACGATCAAGGAGGGCGAGAAGGTGCGCGTGTACAAGAAGTACTGCCACTGGAGTTATTCGTAAGTGTGTACAGCAAGTCAATGCTGACGACAGAATCAAGGAGGACACGGGCGAGCGTGGCTGGGTGCCCGCATGGTTTGTTGGCAAGCTCACGGGCGCGGGCGAGCGAGAGGCGGCCGCGCCCTCGGCGAGTGGGAGCGCCCCCGTCGCCGGTGCAGGCGCAGGCGGAAGTGGCGAGGCACCGCCGCCATACCAAAAGAGCAAGGAGGAGGGCGAGAAGAAGGACAAGGACGAGCAGCAGGGCGGCGTTTAATTCATGTATGTGACGTGCGCGCAGTACGGGGAGTGGCACCGCTCTTGGTCCCACGCTTGTTATTATATGTCTAGGTGCTGTGAAAAAAAGAAGCAAGCCCTCCACAAGCCTCCATCACCGTCGGCATCGCGCCCGCGCACGCATGCGCCAGCGCAACCGCCACGTCCCCGCAGCAGGGCAGCATGGCGCCCATGGCTTCGCACCAGCAATAGGGGTCGTACACCGTCGGATAGCAGATAATGGGGTCGCAGACGGCGGGGGAGGGGGATGTGTGGGTGACGGGAGCGGGGAGGAGAGGGCGCGTGTCGTCAGAAGAGGGGGGAGGAGAGGGGGTCATGCGGTATTGTGGAGGCTGCGGTGAGCGAGGAGCGCCAAAAGCAGGGCATATAACTTGTCATGAGATGATGCTCACCGGCTCCTCCGTGATTGGGAAAGCATCGTCGCCGGATAGTCGCGGCATTGCGATGTGATGTGTGGTGGCAAGCCGGTCTTCAATTTACATTATGAAGTGAGGAGGTGTCTGTGATACGAGTGGGTTGACCTGGCCGGTGTCGCTGTGCAAAGGTCTTTGCAGTGACAGTCAGGCCGTCCGCTGCCGTCTCAACAGCGTCCCAATCTTATCGTTTTGTCGACACAGCGATTCCTGTCAGATGCTGACGGGAGATGGGGATGTGGCGGTTTCAGCCCGGAACGAGCGCCCACAACCCGTTGATCGGCGGTCTGGAGGTAGTCACATGACATCATCGGCGCAGTCATGTCGATCTTTCGAACGCCCATCTCATCACCTCATCCACTATGTCGCTCAAGCTCTCCGCGCACGGCGTGACTGTCTCCGGCGCCGTCTTCCACGCCGTCGGCGAGCCGACGCAGCAGCCGCAAGACGGCGCGGCTCCGGCGCCGGCGCCATCCTCCCTCCCGCTGCCCGTCGCCAACGGTGCTGTCGACCTCTCGCAGCTCGGCCCGCGCGGCGGCGAGCCGCAGCTCGAGCTCGCCCTCTCCGGCCCGGCGGGGCACGGGACCGCGACCGTGCCCCTCTCCGCACCGCCGGGCGACCGCAGCCGCGGGTGGGCGCAGCTCGTGTGCTCCGCGCCCAATGTGCTCGCGTACGTCCTCTTCGGCGAGCGCGAAGACACCGCCGTGCTCATCGCCTATCCCGGCCCACAGGACTTTATGGGTGCCTTGCCGGACGAGTGGAGCTTCGGAGACGTTACCATGTGCGGGACGCACGAGAGCTCGGCCCAGACGGGCATGTTCATTTCCAAGTGCCAAGACCGCGATATTGCTACGCAACTGGCTGAGGGCGTGCGCGTGCTGGATGTCCGTATGCGCTTGAACGCCAACACGGGCGAGCTTGAGAGTGAGTGCTCCTTCGTAATTACCCTGCCCTTTCGAGCCTTCACCTCCTACGGCGGCTCACGTCATCCACCCCTCGTCATTAACCCCAGCCTACCACGGCATCCGCCCACAATACTCGACGCTCAAAGTATACCTCGACGCGATCGATGCGTTCCTCGCCGCGCACCCGCGCGAGGCGATCATGATCTCGCTCAAGGAAGAGACGCCGCCGGACCACCCCGACTTCTCCAAGGCCGTGTACGACCTGCTGCAGACGTACGGCCCGCGCTTCGTGTACACCGAGCACGTGGCGACGCTGGGCGAGCTGCGCGGCAAAGCGCAGCTCATGACGCGCTTCGGGCGCAAAGACAATGCGCCGTGGGCCGAGGGCCTGGGCTTCCACCCCTCCCGGTGGCCCGACAGCGCGCGTGACGGCTTCGAGTGCGACTGCCACGGCACGCCCATCCGCATTTCGGACTGGTACGGGCTCGACAGCGCGCTCGATATCCCGCTAAAGGCACAGGCGGTGTGCGAGTTCCTCGCGCACACGACGGCGTGTGCGCCCGGCAGCCAGATTTCGCTCGCGTTCACGAGCGCAGCGCGCTTCCCCACCGCCACGCCGCAGTGGGTCGCCAAGGGCGTGGGCGCGCCCACGTTCGGCCTCGGCATACATGGCGTCAATGCGCGCGTCGTGCACTGGCTCCTCCAGCAGGCTGTGATGGGCAAGCGGCCGCGCGCAATCGTTATGGCTGACTTCTACGAGTATACCGGCTCGGGAGAGGCGGGGCTCGGGTCCCTCCTCGGCGCCATGAACTATGTCAAGTAGGCGCTTGCGGCGTGTGGCATCGTAAAGTGTAGCAGGAATGAAACATGAAGGAAGAGTGGATGTGGAGGGTGTGATTGAGGGTTACTCTGGCGCATCAACAACATATTAGTGATGGGGCATGTACACCGAGCAAAGGGGCATCTCCTTTCTCCAGCAACATGCCCAGCCTTGACCACATCACCTGAGAACCCGGAAGTGCGCACACCGCGCCGTCTAGCCACCCCCCACGCCCCCGCCCCATCTCGCTCATCCCAGCGCGCTTCTATTCATGCATGTCTTACGACACAACGACTAGCTTAGTGCGCCTTGGCAGCAAGGAGCTTCTCGGCGTACGGGTTCTTGGGGTCCTTGAGGGCCTCGGGGCCTGGTGTTAGCGTGTGTGGGTCGCGAAGCGATCGCGCGGAAGTGGGGCAAGCGGTGCGCCCAAGCCTGAGCCCGAGCTCGAGTGCGAGTCCGCGCCCGAGCCGAGCGCACCGCACTCATCACACCGCATTACGCACTGGCGACAGCCATGTCCTGGAGCTTCCAGACGCCGGCGATGGTCACGACCGACGCGAACATGAAGGGCGCGAGGGGCTTGAGGATCTGTTGGGCGAAGAGAGGGCAACAGGATTCGCGATGATCGAGCGGCGCGGATACGTCGAGCGAACGGGCGGACGAGGGAGCGGGAGACGAACGAGCGTAGAGTCGAGGGAGAGAAGGGAGAGCCGAAGGGGCGGAGGGATGGAGGATGCAGACAACAGCGCGATCCACAAAGGAAGATGGTTAGCACATGTAGATTACTCGCGCGCGCGACATACGGGAGTGGGCCAAGCGCGGAGACCGAACATTCTGTCGTCAGCGTTGCGCATGGCTTTGCGTGGCGTGGCGCGGCCATACTCACTTTGATGAATAGACGGTGGGATGGACGATGAGCAGCGTGTATCGGACAGCGAGCAAGGCCACCCATCGGCTGGCGGCCCCAGAGCCCCAGCCAGCGAGTACCGGAGGAGGACGGAACCCGGGGTTAAAACTCCGGAGGGTGAGTGTGGCACTCGTGGCAAGCACGTGGGGCCTCCACCCAACAGGTCCACTGATCCACTGGTACAGGTACATGTCTGTGCTACTCTATCAACTGCGGTCCGTGTGCTCGCGACCGCGTCGGCCATACGCATATAGCGCTCACGCTGCCGTTCCTCTCCGTGTTTTGCTGCTCACGCCATACACTGTCACAACAACCTCCCCCACCCCCAGTTTGCCGTGTACCAGCTCGCGACGCGGCTGCGCCGGCGCGAGCGCTTGGATGACACGAGCGGCGTATATGTCCCCCAGAGCTCGGGGTAGGCTGCAGGCACGCCGGTGGAGAGGATGATCTCGCGTGGGTAGTGGAGGAGGCCGGTGGACTCGTAGGATGTTGGTCTGCGGTGAGTGGGGAGGTGAGGATGGTGTGGCAGCGCCGATTGAGAGCAACCTGCCGAGTCGGGAGTCGGGAGGAGGAGAAAGGAAGGAAGGACGGACAATGCAACTCACTCCGGCGCGTGCTCTTCAAAGACTGACGCGAGACTGGAGCGGCTCGAGGCGAGGGAGGCGATGTTATGTTTCCGGCTGTGGGAGAGAGGGGGCATGATGGGAAGTGGGGGTGGCCGATTCGGCGCGCTCGGCGAGGTGGAGAGGTCGATGGCGAGTGATGATGCGTTGGCTGATGAGGGATGTCGCCTAGGAGGAAGGGTTCTGAAGGAGGTTGAGCGGGTAGATGATGGGCGAGAAGGGGCGTCACGGGTAGAAATGCGAGGGAGGCTGAGGCGACGACGACGACGACGACGACGGTGACGATGAGAGGGCGATGAGTAATGCGGCGATGCGGCGATGCGCGATGCGCAACGCTCGACGCCGCGGTGATCGAGAGCCAAGACACAAGACGGCGTTGCGTTTATCGCGTCTGTGCGCTCCTCTGCATGCTGTCTCCCCCATGCTACGCACTCGATCCATGACTAATCACCCAATGCTACACTGAATATACAACTCGACTAGACTTTGCGCACACGCAGCACCAGGATATTCATCTCTCCCGTGCCCAGGCGGCGCGGTGGCACCCCCAGGTTCTTGTACACGGCCCGCAGCACGCCGCTGTGTGCCGTCATCGAGATGTCTGCTGTCAGCTCTCCAGCCGTCACTGCTGATGACTCCGCCTCTCGCTCGACTCACAGACATCATCTCCCGCGCTGTCCATGATGATCCGCAGACCCTCGCACGCGCGCGCGACCATCTCCTCCTCCGTCTCCCGCCCTGTCGGGTGCCACACCGTGTCCTTGTCCGGCATGGTGTCAGGCCACACGAACGATGGGAACAGCTTCATCAACTCGCTCTTGCTCAGCCGTTCGTCGCAGCGGTGCACATGGAGGTGCTCGCGGATTTCCTGCCGTCAGCCGTCCGCCACACTCATTACCTTCGGGATTCGCTCACCTCAACCACTTCAGCGCGCACACCGTGACCCAGGTCCTTGCTGCGAATCAGGATGCCCTGCGCATGTAGATCATTCTCGCCCTTCCCGTAGAGCCATCCCCATGTCAAGCCGACCGTCTCCCCCGGCCGCCGCATTGGCGACGTGTACCAGCGCGTGGGGAGGGGCATGCCCGCCGCGCTCTCCCGCCGCAGCGCGTGCGCGAGGTTGGTCGCCTGCTCGCGCCCCACGCCCGTGAGCTCGGGGTCCGTGATCGGGTGCCGCAAGTGGACCTGGCATTAGCGAGGCTCGAGACCCCGGAGCCCCGAACCAGGTGCGGAACTCACCTCATCCGTGTCGGGCATGCCGAACCGGCGCCAGAGGATGTTGTGTTCCGCTGCGATCAGTAAGTACCGTAAGCGGCTCACCTTCCCCGTGCCGCGCCGTGTACATGACCTTGATGCGCTCGCCGGGCCCACACGATCGTTGCAGCTCTGGCGTCAGTGCAGTCATGTAGAATAGACGGGGCTGGCGCCGGTACGCGACCCCGCTATCCACTCACCATCGACACGTTGGCGGAACTCGTGCCATCCTGAACAGGCTAGTCCGAAGCGCGCCTCGATCTGCTGTCAGCTCACGCGATCGCGGAATGCGGCATGCCACGCTACCGAACAATCTCGGCGCGCGCTCCGGCGCTCTCGTAGCAGCTCTCGGGCGCTCATTCAACACCTCAGCAGTGTGAGGTGATCGGATGGGAAGCGGAGATGTCTGGTGGCCTTGGCGAACGTTCCTTGCCGTCACATCCCCCGCCCCCTTCGCCCCGCCCTTCCTTCGCCCAGCGGACCGCAGGGAGAGCCGCGGCAGCTACCACTCACATCTGCGTCCCATGTTGTGAGATTGAAGAGGTCGGGAATGTACTCGTACGCATAGGACATGGCGACGAGTGAGCTGGGGAGGGGGGGAGAGAGGAAAGAGGAGGAGGGAGGAGAGATTGTGTGAAGAGTGCGGGAGAGTACCGGAAGGCGCGGAAGGGCTCATCTGCATTGCCCGGTGGGCGGACATTGTGGAGGGCTGTGCCTGGCATCATGCCGAGTATCAGAGCGTCCACCGTCGGCCTTGCTCGGATATCCTTGCTTTACTGCAAACTCGCGCCGCTCGTGCTTCTCTGCACGCGCCTCGATGCATTCTACTATACAACATCTCCGATGGATAGGCGATCACATTGGGCTTGGGACGCCTTCGCTCCCTCTGCGTGGGCAGAAAGAACAATGATCCCTTCCCTTCTCCCTGCCTCTCTCTCCGCTACACTCAGATGACAGTTCGCACTCTGCACTCCAGCTCGCAGCGCCTGCGCTCACTCAACGACTAGACTTCTGGCCCTTTAGCTGGCGCGCAAAGCGGTTAAACTTCTTATTGTCTTGCTGGATCCGCGCAATGTACCCCGTCTCGCCCGAGCGGTGCGTGAGCCGGCTCTCGGGCGCGACCGTGTACTGCACATCACGGACGTTGGGCAAGCGCGCGCCCTTGCGATCCCGGTTCTCGACGAGTGCCTCAGCGACGTTGAAGCGCTGTACCTTGGACTTGGTCTTCGACTTAAGCCGGGGGCGGCTCTCGCGCGGCTCCCCGTCCTCGTCGTAGTCATCGTACTCGGGCACCTCGATGTCCTCGGCGGTCTGGATGTAGCGGCTGCGGAAGTCGGCGGGGCGCTTGATGATTGGGCGCGACCAGGTCTGCACCAGAGCCTCGGCCGCACGGTTGATGGATGGCGTCACGCGCTTCGTCTTAGTGTAGAAGAGCACGACGGGGCCGAGACCGGCCTCGCGAATCGTCGCCGTGTCCAAGTCCATCTTAGGAAGAACCTCGAAGACAGCCTTCTGGATGCCCACGGCGGGAAGCGACTTGTCGGGCAGTGGCTCGAGCCACATCTTGACAGCCTTGAGAACCTCGTTGTCAATAATCGACGACCACAGCGTTGTGCTGATATCAGTGCCATGCACGGGGTAAGGCGACTCACTTCTGCAGTGCACCCACGACCTCGTCCAACATTGCCAACTTGCTCGTGGCTGGCATCTTCTTCATGTTGGCTTTCTGGTCCGCCTCGGCAGCCGTGTACATGCGGTCGCGCAAACGGATGCAAACGTCATCGTGGTAACCCTCGACAATCTGTCATTAGTTTCCCTATTTGACAAGTTGGACTCACGTCGATATCATCCCCCTTCTTCTTGCGGCGCGGTGCGCGATTCGTTTTACCCACGGCATCAATTCGCTCCTCAAGCGCCTGACGCCGGCGCGTTGCCTCATCCAGCTGAGGCTCCTCCTGCTGCTCCTCCTCCTCTTCCTCGGCGGCTGCACGCGCGCGGCGCTCCGCTCGGGCGTCCTTCTTCTGCTTCTTCCTTCGCTGTCGCTCCTCGTCGCCACCGCCCTCGTCATCCCCGCTCCCGCGGCGCTTCTTGAAGGACGGAATACGGGCCGCGCTGCTCTCGGTTGCAGGGACATAGTCGCCTCCACCCTCGCCTTCGCCTTCCCCCTCGCCCTCGCCTTCACCCTCGTCCGCGCCTCCTTCTGCGACCTCGCTGCCTTGCGCCGTATTGACGTTGCTGTTGGCCGCGGTTACATCATCATCTGAGCCAAACATGTTGTCCATGTTCGGCACAGGCTCGCCTTCCTCTGGGCCTGGCGACTGAGCACCGATGGACGGAGCACCAGGGGATGGGGCGGCGGCCATGGCTGGAGAAGGAGCGCCTGGAGAAGGCGCTGCAGCAGGGCTCTTTGGAGCTGCAGTGGAGTCCTCTGGGGGTGGGGACGAGCTCATGATGGAGAGAAGAGGTGGATGGAGTGTTGTTGAGAGAGGATGAATTGGGAGTTCGAGTGCTTTGGTAGCCTATATTTGTCTCCGTCAGACCATGTGAGTGTCGTGTGGAAATTGATCCCGCCGGAACCGGGCCGTTGTGGGTGAGGCTGGCCCTGAACGCCGTCGTACGGTCCACCGCGATCCAACCGATCCACCGTGGCTCCTCCTCGTCTCCGCTCTGCTCTGAGACATCCCATTCTTTCTCATCTCTCTCCCATTCACGACCTCGTCTCCCTCCTCTCCCTTCGCATCCAGTTCCATTTTCTGTTCATTCTTGTCGCTTTCTCCCCCCCTCTCTCTCCCGCCCACCTCCTCCCACCTCCAAATTCAATCCCGCACCATGGGCGCTCTCCAGTTCCTCATCATGGGTAAGCGAGCATCTTGACGCGACGCACGCGTCAAGCACTCACACTTCAGGCGTAACTCACCCGGGTGAGCTTCGTTCCATGATCGGGTACAAGATCTGGCGCGACAACCGCGACATCACCGACCCCAAGGAGTTTGCCGACACGGGTTATGACCGCGAGTCAATGAAGCGCTGCTGGGACCTCCTCGACCAGACTTCGCGCTCCTTCTCTATGGTAATTAAGGAGCTCGAGGGCGAACTGGCACGCGTTGTCTGCCTCTTCTACCTCGTCCTCCGCGCGCTCGACACGGTCGAGGACGACATGACCGTGCCCAACTCGGTCAAGCTCCCCCTCCTCCGTGACTTCCACCTCAAGCTTCACGAGCCGGGTTGGACCTTTAACGGGTCCGGCCCGAATGAGAAGGACCGCGCCGTTCTCGTCGAGTTCGACGTGATCCAGAAGGAGTTTGCCCTCCTCGACCAGAAATACCAGCAGGTCATTGGCGATGTCGCGCGCAAAATGGGCAAGGGGATGGCCGACTTTGCCGCACTCGCAACCCCAGAACTGCCCGTCGCTGAGGTCAACTCCATCGCCGACTACGACCTCTACTGCCACTACGTCGCCGGCCTTGTCGGCGAGGGTCTGTCTGGTCTCTTCTCGAGCTCTGGCAAGGAGCGCTCTTTCCTCAAGGACCAGCTCACGCTGTCCAACTCGATGGGCCTGTTGCTCCAGAAGACGAACATTTACCGTGACATCAAGGAGGATGTCGACGAGGGCCGAGGATTCTGGCCCCGCGCCATCTGGGGCAAGTACGGCTTCAACTCCATGAAGGAGTTGACAGACGAGTCGCGCTACCGTGACGCGCAGTGGGCGGCCAACGAGATGGTGCTTGACGCCCTGCGCCACTCTTGCGACGCCCTCGACTATCTCACCCTTCTCAAGAACCAGAGCGTGTTCAACTTTGTGGCAATCCCCGCCGTCATGGCAATGGCGACTCTCGAGCGTTGCTTCATGAACCCATTGATTTTGAAGCAGAACGTCAAGATTCGCAAGGGTGAGGCTGTTCAGATCATTCTGCGCTCGACGAACCCCCGTGATGTCGCCTTCATGTTCCGTGACTACGCCCGCAAAATCCACGCCAAGGTTCCGAAGGATGAGCCCAACATGCTGCGCTTCTCGATTTCGTGCGCCCGAATCGAGCAGTGGTGCGAGCACCACTACCCGTCCTTCCTCACGATTCAGCAGGGCGCCGACGGCAAGGCGACAACTGGCATTGACCCGATGAGCACGGATGCGCGCGCGCCGCTCTACTTGGATCTCGTCAAGCAGGCGCGCGAGGCGGCCGAGGCGGAGAGGCGGGAAAAGTTCATGGACGACCTGCGTGCACGCGGCATCATCAAGCCTGCGGTGCCCGAGACTGAGGAGGAGAAGCGCGAGCGTGAGGAGCGCCGTCTCAAGATGGAGAACGAGCCATTCCCGTGGGTCATGGTGATCGGATGCGTTGGCGCCCTGCTGGCTGTCATGGTCGGCATGGGGTATGGCATCATCTACCTCGTCATGAAGTACGCGGACGTAGGTGTATTGCGAAGACGGAGCTGACGGCCGCAGTAAAATGGATCATACGGATCGCTTTGGGAAGGATCGGAGGCTCGGAGGGCGCAGAGGAGTAATATCACCACAGTATTCGATTGTCGGGTTGTCGGGCGGCGGTGGACTGGACGGTAGCCGCGCCGTTCTCGGTCGCCACAACATTATGTATGCTCATACCCAGCGCAGTCATCAGCGGCGAGCATGGCCGGGGTCATGGAGATGCCCTCCCGCGACACCTGGGAGCGCGGGTGACGATGCGGTTGACGTCAGTTAGGACGTCCGGACCGAGCAGAGAGTTGGTGAGACGGATGCTGTTGGTGGATCGGTGGAGGAGGGCGAGGGACATCCTTCTCTCAGCGACTCTCCAACATCTGACTAGTGATCTTCTTCATCTTACTCATCTTCTCGTTCTTCTCTTTCCTCACCCTCCCTCTCCCTCACCCTCTCCCTCCTCCTCACCATCTTCTCACCGTTGCTCATCGCATCTGCACACCCACGATCTCTTGACTCACTGATCCTCAGTCCCACTGCCCGTCTACACACCTTCCTTACCATGTCCGAGACGCGCCTCGGCCCCTTCTTCTTTACCTACCGTCCTGACGGCGAGGACGAAGCTGTCACTGTCCCAGGCTACTTCATCCCGATTCAATGGCCGCCGGACAATCCCTGGCGCGCAGCACCGCACTCGGCATTCGTGTACACCGAGTTTACACAGCCTATCCGTCCCCTGTGGAGCGTTCCCGCCGACACGCAGCCATGGAACGCGCCCTCGCCAACGTCTTCGTCGTCCTCTCTCTCTATGAGCCTGCCTTGGCCAGGCCAGCACTCACGCAGCTCTCTTTCCCCAACCCCATCCTCGTCAACTCCTCCCTCGCCAATCCCACCCTCGTCATCCTCATCCTCCTCAACCCAAGTCTCGCTAACCCGGCCCCAGTCGAGTCCAAGGGCGCCTTCCTCGGTATATACGACGGCGGTATCGTCACTGGACTCAGCGTCTTTCTTCGGGTCAGAGGGAGGTGAAGAGGCTTGGCTTCAGCCCACCCCGCGAGCATTGTCGCCCCATCAGGTTTCTTTCCCACCTGTGCCTCCAAGCTCGCGTCGACCATCGTCCCCTTACGATGATGTCTCCAGCGAATCTGGTCGGCAGGCTCCCTATCACGTTGTGCCGGAAATCGCCATCACTTCAGCTAGCAACTCGACCCATTCCCTCTCCACCTCTTCGCTGCGCCGACTACACCACCTCGGCAGTAGCTCTGGCCCAAATAGCCTTTTCGTGCATCATGTGGCGCCACCACGCCCTCCGCTTTCGACGCCACCCCCCGCTCCCACGATCTCCCCTGTCCAGGTCCCCGACAGAAAGCTCAGTGAGAGGCGGCGTGAGCACGTCAAGCCGCACGAGCGCAAGTCGATCCCAACTGAGTGGATCCTATCACCACGTCCAGTGTCGCCGCTATCGCCGATCCATTTAATGGATGTCGATGAGGCACCCGAGTCGCCTCCTTTTGTTCCAAGCCGCCCATCTAGCGCGGCGTCCTCGAGTGGCGAGTAAGTGCGAGTGAGCTTCCACTGCTGACGGAAGGTCTGCTGTTGGTCTTCGTCGCCGGCCTGTCCAGATCTTGCGGCCAGATCGGCCGGATACCTACCTTCCCTCCTCCCCGGGCAAGGAGCTCATATCCCCCGCGGTGACAAAGGCGAAGTCGATGAGCTCACTGCAGATTCAGACAAATGGGTGAGTTGAGCGGGGCGTGCAGCTCATACTCTGTACTTTGCTTATTCCAGCCAAAGCGGAGTCCACAACTTGCCCGCCCTAGGAAGCTATCAAGTTTCGGCACCTCATTCAAACACTCACCGCTCACAGAATCCAACCAGTAGGTCTTGCGCGCCGTGGCCAGAGCCAAGTAGGGAGCCCTTGCACTGTCGGCCACTCTCGCTGTGGGTCGCGAAGGTGGATTTGAACTCACACCAGCTTATCGGATGGCGGTGGGACCACCCCATCTTCCGGGCCTGTACGCTCGCGGCAACCCAAGAATCTTTGCAGAATGGTGGATCGTGTGCCGCTTACTTTGTTGCCAGAAAGCTCCGACCCACGCAAGCGCCGACTCAAATCGCTGGACGACATTGTCGCCGAGGGATGGAGCATGACATCTCCCTCCAACAGTGTGTCCACCGACCCGAGGTCGACGCACTCTATGAGCCAGTCAGGGTGTGTTGCAACCACTTTCAGACCTCACATCTAACACTAGCTCGAGCTCCGAAGTCGAGCTTGGAATTACAGCCAAAAGGAGATTGGCCAACTCAAATCCGCCTGGGTATAACATGATTCCGGCAATTCCGTCTCGGTGAGTTTTGTGTTGGCCGTCCTCATGTTGATCTTCAAGTCTTCTTGCGGAGCACGCTCGTCAGAGGCGCGCAGAGGCGCAGTCGGCGCAATCTATAGAAATGACGAGTTCCTCCAACCTCAACGTTTCCACCCTCGCAGAGATGTTGCAGAAATCGCTCACGATATCTGAACCAGAGGATGGGCACACTTTCCAATCAAACAGCAGCGAGCTGGAGTTTGACCTCGACTTTGAACTCGACGGCGACACTATGTGGTCGGACGAGGGCGTAATTGGAGACGGAAGCTTCCGTGACTACCGCGGCCACCAATGTACACTCGTGTGCCAGCGTCTCCTTGAGCCCAGTGGTTCGAAGGCCCGATGCACGGCTAGCGCGAACAGTGAGCCCGGGGACCAGAACGAGATGGGCGATGCACACTCGTCCCACATACTCGACATCGATCGTGCGTTCCGCCGCAGTCGTTCTTTCACCCTGGCCCCTCAAGGGTACGTTCACGTCGACGATGCGGCACGCATCAGCGACCAATCTTCGAGCAATTTTTCCACAGCCTCCTCCTCTGACTCCTGGTGCGTCTCCGGCCCGAGGGCGGACGGTGGAGGCGGTGGCAGTGATCACAACCACCACGAGGGCTCGATCAACCGGTTAATCGGGCCGGGTTGGAGTCCACATGCGTCGCCAGGCTCATGCAGCTCCAGCCCGCGCTGGGCCCCGGACCCATATGAGTGCGGTCTGCCATTGGCGACTATTACGGAGGCAAGCGAAGAGGACTCGCCCACGCCTCAGACGCGATTCTGGTCCACGCGCGAGTATCTGTCTTCGGTAGCATCGGCGCACAAAGACCAGCGCTGATCCGCAAGACGGCAACCGAGTGGGAGCCGAGTGTTGGTTCAGTACATACTTGTCAAGGTTTGCCTGTCATAACATTGTAGAGGCGCTGTTCCTGGGTATCTGTTGAATATCACAGTCGCGGCCGTGTCAATACCGTGGTCTGTAACGGTAAATCAATGACATTAGTGTTTGACTCTTGACGATCTCGCAACGCAACGCGTACACACAAAGATGAATCCATCCCAGAGCCCAACCATACAACAACTACTCGATCGTGAGGCGGTGCTGGAGCTTGAAGTTCTGCTCCGTCGTCTGCCCGAGACCCATCTCGTCGCTGGGCGTGTGTCTGTGGCCTTTGCGCCGCCATCCAGTCGCGCGCTTGAGACCCTTGCCAAAGTTGCGCCAGACAATGATGCCGAAGACGATGCAGAGCACAATCATGGCGAGCGCGAGGACGGAGAAAATCGTGAGCGACTTTTGCACGCCTTCGTACTCTATCGGTCTAGTCCAGATACGGACCATCTTGAAGATGAAGTACGCCATGCCACCGTGCATGCCGACGAGGAAGAGGGCCATGAGCCACGCGAGTTCCCAGCGGCCTGCGACGGCGCCGAGCGCGAGCCACACAAGCGAGAGCGGAAGCATGATGATCGTAATGTACTTTTCGGGGTCGTCGCCGCGGAGCACCATGAATATGAACTGGGGTTAGCCCGCGCAACCGGGAAAGACAAACTTGGACGCCGAAGCCGAGGAAGAAGAAGAACGTGAAGCAGAGAATACACTCGAAGATCTGGTACTGGCGGTAATAGCGCCGAATGCGGAGGTCTGCGCCGAGGAAGCGGTAGATGCGCCAGCCGAACTCCTTCCAGATGAACCAGGCGAGGATGACAATGGCGATTTCCGCGGCGGCGATAACGGCGATGACTAGGCCGGAGAGAATCTTGGTTGGCAGCGAGAAGATCTTGTTGTCCGTGTGTGCGTTGCCGTCCGTCTTCTCGCCCAGCACCTCGGCAATCTCACCGACCTGGATGGCGGCGTAGATGAGGAGCAGGCAGTTGAAGATGGCCAGGCCGACGATTTGGATCGTGTTGCGGTAGAACACGGCCCAGAGTGTGAGGGTCATTTGGATTATGCTGGCGGTCAGTAGGGGAATCGATGTGACCTTCAAACACCACTCCACTCACTGCGCAATGATGAACACGACGAGGAAGATACGCAGCCGGCGGCCGTTCGCCCACCCCGAGTCGTCCGAGATCTCCTGGTCATACCGCCACAGCAAGTTTGCTTGGATGGCGATGTCGATGACGGCCTCGAGGAATGTGACGATGATAAGCGCGCGGATAGCGGCGTTGTTGGGCCACAGTCTGTCGAGCCACTTGTTGGCGGGCTGTGGCGGCGCGTAAGTGTTCAGAGTGGGAGCGACGGCTTTCTCCTCCTTCTCGTCGGGCGGCTCTGAGACAATGCTCAAGCGCCCGTCCGGGGGCAGGGGAGATAACCCGTCGGAAGAGGGGATCCTCGGCTCCATCGGGTGTCGCGAGGGTTGCCTCGAGGGTCCGCTGGCGGCATTGGAGAAGCTGGCATTGGAGGGCTGACGCGAGGGGTAGCTCGGCGCCGACGAGGACGGCTGTCTTGATGGCTGATAGCCAGGCTGGTAGTGAACAGAACCGCTGGAGTCGTTGGTGTCAAATGGAGGTCGGCTCGAGCTCGGGGAGGTGGGTCCGTGCGCTGGTCGGGCGCCTGTGAATTGGCTCGTGTACGTTCTTGGAGGGTACGTGAGACCGACGCTTGTCGGAGAGGGCGACGAGGAGGAGGTACGGCTCGGCGGCTGCTCGGGAGATGCCTAGGGTTAGATGTATTTTGGGGTGTCGAGGAGGAGTGGGAACGGAGCAGGCGCGTGGAACGTGACAACAAAGGTGGGGGCGTAGTAGGAGAGGTGCCAAGACGGAGTGAGACATACCGGAATGGGCGCGGGGCCGGGGCCAAGAATGTTCTCCATGCCAGGCGCGCCCGGCGACGTGACGCGTGGTATGTTGGGCAGAGCTCGGAACGCGCGACCGGTTGAACTTGTCGGGGAGGTGGTGGGGCTTGTTGGGGAGCGCGCGTCGGGGGAGGTGGGGGAGGTGGACATGTTGTCCGGTTTCGAGGCGACGGCGTCGACAAGGTAGTCGTAGTCGGAGAGGGTGAAGCGATGTTCTTTGGAGGGGGAGGACATTTTGATGGCGGGGGAGGAGTGGGGGGAGGATGTGGTGATGGGGTGATGGTAGATTGAAGATGGAGAACTGGAGGGAGGAGGATGGTGCGAAGCGGTGGTGGGTGAGAGATCTGGATAAAGAGTGGTGCGCCGCTCGGGCCTTGGTAGGAGGAGGGATGGGGGAGTCTTGAGCGGCCAGCGCTGCAAAGAAAGCGAGTGTGAGAGTGTGAGAGTGCGAGAGGATGAGAGGATGAATAGATGTGATGATGATTAGAGTAGTAGTAAAGAGAAGTGGATGAAGACGAGACAAGTGGAGAGGATGTTGATTGTTGGGTGGCGGCGGTGGATGAGCGTGGCGGTGCACCACCATTCCTAGATCCCTCTTTTCTAAACTCGGCCAACACTCCACGCTCCACGCTTCCCGCTTCTGTAGCCACCTCTGATTACTGTGGTTCTCAGTTAGACTCTGATGCATCTCCAACGCGCAACCATCACGGCCCCAGGCACATGCATCACGGCATCCCCCATCCATGTGATTACTGTAAGCGCATGTGGGGTTGTTTACGCGCCCTCCCCCGCCGCGCCTACCGCCGCCCTCGTCTCTCCTGTATTCCCCACACGCCCCTCCAATATCGTCTTGGGCCATGCGTCTGGGTCGTGCATGTCGGCCCAAGAGTCATCGTACTCTTCTCCACTCGACTCAGTCCAGCCCCAACGCATCTCGGCTTCCGACCAGACTTCCACAACGCGTACTTTGCCAAAGCCCAGCCGCTCGAAGAGAGATATGCTAGCAGTGTTTGCGGTGCCGATGCGCGCAATGAAGTGCCGGGGGGAGAGGGGGAGGTGGTGGACTGCGTAGGTAATGCTGGAGTCAGCGCCGTAGCGAGCGGAGCCAAGCAGGGTTGCACATCGCAGGAAAAGTAGAGCGACCGCAGTCCTCGCCAAGCGCCGAGCCCAGCTTGGCCTTAAGACAAGACAGCACGAGTCCGACGTACAACAGACTCAGCGCCTCAACAGCGATCCCCTTACGCCTGAACTCGGGTTCTGGGGTAAGCGGGAGATCTGTGACTCTGCTCACCTGCTATCATGATCTCGCACTCGGCGTCGTCGCTGCCCTCAGGCTTGAAGAGGTTGACGTCGCCAACCATCTGACATCCCTGGACCTGCTCCCATGTAAGCAAAGGATGGGACGACGCTGGGAAGTCATCCGGGCGTGCGAGGACGATGAACGTGAGCTCTGGCGTGAGCGGAGCGACAGGCGAGCACCGAGGACGTTGGAGCGTCACACATCACATAGGGTGAGAATCGAAAAGCGGAGGGAAAGTGGGAGAGAGGAGCAAGCCATGGATACGCGTAGAAAGCGCAATCTGAACGCGACCTGGAATCCAGACTCACTGTCCTCGTCCACCTGCCACTTCTCTGCCGTCAGCAGGTGCTATAGTCCGAGCTCACGCTGCATTTCATATTCTTCCTCGAGCGAAAGCGGCTCGCTCGCCGTGAGCTCAAGAAGCTCCGGCGACTTCATCCACTCGTGGTATTTCTATCGTTAATCGCTTTACTTGCGCGTCTGCGCACTACGTTCCCGAAGGATGCAGCGAACAAGGGAGGAGGGGACGCACCGGCACATGCTCTTTTCTGACATTAGCCTCTGCAGCCTTGACCAGTCACACGCGCCCATCTGCTCTCTTGCTCACCGGTAGGGCACGAGGATGCAGCGGTCGCCGCAGATGTAGGTGTGCTCGTTGAGGCGCATGTTGTTGACGCCAAGTGATCGATGGGGCGGAACCGCAGAAATCGTTGTTTATCCGGCGATCAGCCGTCCAGCGTCATCAATTACATCAATTAGAATTCCTATTCCTAGCGTTCATTAGAAAAGTCCGGCATGCACTAAAAGTGGGGCAGATGGCGGGGGTGCGGGGGCGGGCGAGATAAACGACGGTCCAGTCCGGCACCTCCGGAGATTTAGCCGAGCCCCGTGGGCCCCACAGCGCCCATGCTCCGGGCCGAGCTACATACCACAGAGTGCCGAAGCCTCATCCTCATCCTCGTCCTCCTCGTCTGGACTTTCTCATCCTTACATCCCACAATGCTCCCCACCACCGCGCTCCTCTCCCGCGCCAACACGCTCGGCTGGATCGGCCTCGGCGCCATGGGCGGCCCCATGGCCACCAACCTTTACACGAAGGCGTGGGCGCTCGCCGGCACGCGCAAGTGCGAGGAGATGCCGGAGATGGTCATCTGCGAGCCGAACGATGCGAACGCGGCGGCCTTTGTCAACAACGTTAAAGAGCAGAGCGGAGAGGCGGCTGCGCAGCGTGTTCGCCGTGTGTCCAAGCCCAGCGAGTGAGTCGACATGTCATGCCGTGTCACGTGTGCGCGGCTGCTCATTAAACCGATGGTAAAAGCTCACACGCAGAGTTGCAAAGGAGGCCGCCCGCGTCTTCACCATGCTGCCCTCCACGCCCCAGGTCGAGGCCGTGTACCTCGGCGAGAGCGGTTTGCTCAAGGGCCTCGGGGACGCCCAGAGCTCCGGCTCGCTCAGCGACCACATCAAGGCCAACCCGTGGCTGCTGGGCGCATCTGCCGAGCCTGCGGGCACGACTACGGCGTCCACCCTGCTCGTGGACCACACTACGCTCGACCCCACCGCCGCGAAGCGCATCGCGGACGACGTGCACGCCCAGACGAACAACAGCGTGCACATGATTGACGGGCCGGTGTCTGGTGGTGAGTGAGGGGATCTAGAGCAGGGGCGAAGGGGTACCGTGGGCGGGGGACAGGGAGTCAATATGGTTGGAAAAGCTCACACCAGGTGTCGCCGGCGCCAAGGCCGGCACCCTCACCATCATGTTCGGCTCGGCGAACGAGACCGCGTCCGACCTCGCGCGCGGCCTTCTGCAGTTCATGTCTCGGGAGGGCGGCGTCGTCCCATGTGGTGGCAGTGGCGCCGGCGTCGGCGTCAAGGTCTGCAACAACCTCGTGCTGGCCATCAACCAGATCGGGCTGGCCGAGGGCCTCGCGCTCGGCCACGCGCTCAAGATCGACCCGCTGCTGCTGCACGACATCTTCAACACGTCGTCCGCGCAGAGCTGGAGCTCCAAGGTCAACTCGCCGCTGCCCGAGGTCGCGGGCTCGCCGGGCTCGCGCGGCTACAACGGCGGCTTCCTCAGCAAGCTGATGCTCAAGGACGTCGGGCTTGCGCTGAGCGCCGCGCACGCACACTCGCTGCCGACGCCCCTGACGTGGGCTGCGTCCAGCGTGTACGAGGCTGTCGGGAAGGAGGGCGACGGCGCCATGGCTAACCAGGACTTCTCGGTGGTCTACAAGTGGCTCTTGGACAAGCAGGCGCAGGGCGTCGAGGTTGGGTGGAAGAACGGCGGCCCCGGCGACAAGAAGTAGGCGCAAGATATAGATGTCACTGTGGATGATCAGGACGGGCGTCGTGGGGGTGTGGCTGAGCATCGTGGTGTCACACGTCAAGTGTGTGTTGACTCACCAACTGACCATGAATGACGGCCATCCGAGTGGATATCTGGCATGTAGCTCTCCTTGCAATGCTGCGCAAGCAGACCGGGGCCGATTCGAGCATTGAGCGGTTGCATCGTTGCGTCCTTCACTCAGCTACTCATGCTCTCATCCAGGCTACGTGCTACCACGTTTACCGACAAGCCAACTGCCAATTCTAGCACGACTGCTAGGACTGCTAGTAACTCTGTTGTTAAGCGCCCGATATATAGTGTCCAAGTGATCCCAGTGACCTGTGACGAATGCTAAGAGAAGTCAGGTGTGTTGTCTGCTTAGCTGCTTCCTTGGTCTATCGCGATCCCATTGCCCTCCCTTCACGCTCTTCACGCCATGCGCAAGTCCAATCTGTAACTTGCTGGCTCACTTTCCGGGTCGAACAGAGTGCGCTCACTGCATTACTGCCCCACTTTCTGAAAATGAACAGAGTGCGCTTCCCAAGTTGCTGCCCCACTTTCTCAAGGCTGCCAGGAGTCCGCGGAAGCAAATCTGTCCGAAACACGCTTTGCTGATCTTGACATGGGCACTTCGTTTGCCGCAATCATCACTTCCTCTCTCTCTCAGACATCTCGAGCCATCTCAATCCCGATCCTCGAGCGCGCGCGTGTCCCCCCTCCCCCGTCATCACTTGATCACCAGCCAAAGTCAAAGAATCACGAGTACGTTATCCGAGAGAGCAAGCGCAAGCAATCATTGGGAGCACCCCCACACACCTTCACCTCACACCTCCCCCTGTCACCATGCCACGCTCTCCATCACCCTACCGCCGCCGAAGATCTCCTTCCCCCCGGTATCGTGGTGGTGGCAGCGTGGGTGATCGATACCGCGGAGACGACTGGGATGACCGCGACCGCGACCGCGACCGAGATCGGGATCGGGATCGTGACCGTGACCACCACTACCGTCCCGACGGACCCCGGCGACGCAAGCGCGGCGGGCGCCGGGAAAAGGAGAGGCGCGCCGCAGCAGCCATTGAGGACGAGTGGGGGGCCTACAATCGCCGACGCCACGACCGGGAGCGCAGCAGCTCCGTCCCGACACCGAGCAGAGCCGGCAGTCCCGAGGAAGGGCAGATTACATCTCCTTCGCCTCGACGGGATCGCAGCCGCAGTCCGCGCCGTGAACGGGAGCGCACTCGCTCACCATCTCCCCGCCGTGACCGTGACCGTGGGTGGCGCGAGCGCGAACGCGACCGCTCGCCGCGGCGCGGATTCCAGGACAAGTTCGCCGACAGGTATCGGGGCGACGACGCAGAGGAAGACGATACCCGGGATCGTGAGCGTGATCGCGACCGCGGTGGAAGGAGGCGGTGGGGTCGCTCTCGCTCTGCAAGTCCGCGCCGACGGTCGCACAGTGTTTCATCCCACGACTCGCGTCGCTCCATGCCCAAATCCGGAGACAACTCACCGCGCCCGACCTCTTCCTCGGCGCCGCGGCGCCCACCGACCGGACCCCGCGCGTATGGACCCGGCGCTCGCGGCCCGCCAGCCGGGTACGGCGGGCCGATCGAGGCTGTTCGTCCACCATGGGCTGCACGCCCACCTGTGCCTCCCGGAGCGCCTACAGCCCCCGCGGCGCTCCTCGTTCCTCCTGCTCCGGTTCCGGCTCCCGTGCCTGTGCCCGTGCAGGAGGATCCCGAGGCGGCTGCGCGCGCCGAGCTCCCGGCACTCACCGTCTCGTTTGTCGGCGCATGGGAGGCCGAGCTAGCCGCGCACTACAAAACTATGGCTGCCGCGCAGGCTGCTACAAACCGTGCACTCGCTGCGCAGCGCGTCGCGGCGGCTGTTTTGGCGGACGCGGAGGCCGAGATGGCCGCCGCTGCGGAGCGACACAAGGTCTGTGAGGAGCAGTTGGGCGCGTCCATTAACGCCATCATCGGCGTGCAGTAGGTGTAGAGCAGAGCAGATCAGCCGGACAGATATATGTGCGGGGGATTGTAAATGTAGAGGTCCTCACCTATTATGGCGTCTCATCGCTGTATTTGTAATGTAACGTGTGCGTAAGTTTCATGGAGCGCTGATTGGACCGTGCGTCAACCTTCGACTCTTGCGCTATAGATACAGTGTAGCATTGCGTATGATGTATGCTCAGACTCTCGCTAAACCTGTGTCGACGTCGCCTCAAAGTACGCCTCGTACTCGTCAGGCGTCATGAGCTCCTCGTCGGCCTCCGTGACATCGCTTATCTTCATCGGCTTGCCTGCGACCATGATCATGACGTCGGCTGCGCCGCTGGGCGTAGCCACAGCGCTCGTGTCCGGCGCCGGCGTGCTTTCCGTAGTGTCAATCGTGTCGTCGAGCATGGCCTCCTCCTCATCCATGCGGTCATAGTACGCGCTGAGGTCGTCGACCTTGGGCCCATCCTCGCGCGGCCCCGCCGCCGCCTCTGCCGCTGCGGCAGCCTTGGCCTGCGCCGCCGCCTCTTTGTTGCCCTCGGCCGTCATCTCGCCCGTAACCGTACTTTGTGTGTGCCAGATTGCCAGCGCCTCGTGCGCCTTCTTCTTCTCCTCTTTGGGCGCGTTATCGACGCCAAACACGACATCGACGCGCCGGATCTCGGCACCCTCGGCCTCGGTCGGCGCAGCGTCCGACGCGACGTTCTGCGCGATCCACGCCAAAATGTTGACGGTAGGTAGCCGCGCGCCCTCGATACTTTTGAGCGCATCACGGATCGGCGCGGTCGCGACGTTGAACCGCTGCATCCGGTCCTGGCTCGCATTCTCGTCGCCGTGCATCGCAGGGTCGTCCTCGATGAGCTCGGCCCCGTCGGCTTCGCACAGGAAGGCATTGGCGCGCGAATCAAAGAGGTGCGCCAAGTCCAGCGGGTCGTACACTTTGTGGCACAATGGGCAGAGGTACCCGCGTTTGCCGACCTCGCTTGTCATCTTCGCGTCGATCGCCTTGCGCATCATCGCGATGCGATATTTCACCACGTCCGAGAACTCGCGGTAGTCCAGATACCAGTAGATGACGTCGCGCGTGCGGCTCATCATGCCTGGCGGCACGCCCGCAACGGTGCCGCCGTTCGCGATGGCGCGTTGTTGGAACGAGTTGAGCGCCGCTTTTTCTTTGTTCACATAGCTGGCGTAAGCGCGAGTGTGGGGAGCGAGGAGAGGGGATGATCGAGGCGAAATACGTTCGCCGATGACCAGAAGGCGTCGATGGAGGAAGGTGACGAGATGGAGACTCACCGCTTGACTAGTCGATGTGTGTAGAGCATACCGATGTACTTGCGCACATCGTTGACACCGACGCCGAGGATCTCGCTAAGTTTCTTCTCCGTAATCCTAGAGTCAGTCTACATCTAAACTAGTATGTCGCATCGCATCTCTCTCTGCCCCTCATCTAGGCGGGCCGATCCTCCATGGCACTCACACACTCTCCTCGACCAGAATCCACAGGAGGATACGGTAGGGCTCATCGTAGAAGCTGTAGCCGACTTTGAACACGAGGTCCTGGCAGCGGCGGGCGATCTCGTCCTGCGTGAGGTCCGCCATGCTGCTGGGCGTGAAATGGTGAAGGAGAGAGAGAGAGTATTGGGAGAGCGGAATCGTTCAGCGATGACAACTGGATGGGAGGTGAGACCGTTCGGAAACAGGAATCACGTGATATGAAAGTGGGGCAGGCGATATTGTCGCATGACGCAACTTGGTCCGTTGATGATCGTCACCACTCCATGTCTCTCACGCGACGCGTACTCCGCCTTCGTCCTCTTCACCATCACGTCCAACTCAGAACCATGTCGCACAAGCCCGAGATCATCTCCACCGAAACGTATGAGACGGACGCCAAATGGCTCCGCCTCCAGCGCATCAAGTATCGCGACCAGGAGGGCAAGGAAGTAGGCCACTGGATTCCAACGGAGAGGAAGGAGGGCTAACCCTAGCGCTTCTGGGAAGTCGCAAACCGGTCGACACGCAAAGGCGCCGTGGACAGCGTGCATATCCTCGCACTTATCAAGCAAGAGGGCGAGCGCGGGGTCGTTCTGATCGAGCAGTACCGCCCACCGGTAGAAGCGACAGTCGTCGGTGCGTATCTGTAGAAAGTGACGTAATTTCGTCAAACTCGATTGAAGACTCGAACACAGCTGACAGCAGAGTTCCCTGCCGGTCTTCTAGACGAGGGCGAGGATCCTGCCACCACCGCGCTGCGCGAGCTGCACGAGGAGACGGGGTATCAGGGCGACGGTGTGAGCGTTGTTTCTGTGTCGCCAGTGATGGTGAAGGACCCAGGGTATGTCTTCCCCTTCTTCATGAGAGTGACACTCGGCTGATCCCAGCATGACCGGCGCCAACATGCACCTTGTCACAGTGCAGATCGAGCTCCCGCCTGACGCGCCTCCTCCGCAACCCAAGCTGGACGATGGGGAGCACATCGTGAAGCGGACTGTGCCGCTCAAGGAGCTCAACGCCGTGCTGAAAGGTGAGTCTGACAGGTTGAAGCTACAGATTCTGTGGGGCAGTGCTAATGCAGACTACGAGAAGCGCGGTTTCGCGATCGACGCGCTCGTACAGAGTGTAGCGACGGGGTTGGGCTTGGCGGAGTGATGTCTCAGTCAGATTAGGAGGCGGTTATTGTGTTGGAGCGGAGTTGGGACTACGGAATGTGGACTTCACAGTATGGGAGAGTGAATTGCGCCGAGCTATCATGTTTCAGTCCAAACGCTCGGCGTGGGGGTTGTGTGCGCGTTGAACAAATCGAGGTCGCCCTCGCGAGGAGGGAGGATGAAGAAGAGCAGGCGGATGAACTGTTATGAATCTTGCGGGTATGAGTGAGACAGGTCAATGTGCAGGTGTTCAGAATGACATCGGCCCGGTACCGGACCGATATATAACGTCACAACAATCACAAGCCAGATATCACGCCGACCCCGTACGATCCTCGATCTCGAGCCTGTCCTCTCAATTGTCTCACTCCGCTTTCTCTGTCAACCATGTCCACCCTACGTGTCATCTCCCGCTCCCCCGTCGCCCGCCGTGCTTTGTCGGTCTCGGCGGCCTCGCGGAAGAGCAACACGCCCGGCGTCCCACCCCAGAAGATCCTGGACGAGTATGACGAGCACCGCGTTGAGAGGACGCCCGAGGCCGCGTCCATGGGAGACCACACGTTCAAGCAGCCCAAGGTAAGTTGTGCAGAGCATAATCCCGCGTGTGCAACGCCTATATGGCTGTGATGCCGCCACGGAGCTCTCTCACGGCACTCTGGCGTCCCGCGTCCGCTATTCGGTGTTGGGCGCGCCGCGAGCGGGGTGGGGGAGGCCCGAGGCGGAGAGTCTTATCTCGCTACGGCCGCGGGCACGTCACTGCGCATGGTCCGGACGAGCGAGAATGCCGAGTCGGAATTGGGGGCGCAGCGACGGGGGACACTATCTTGCGCCGCCCGCCATCACGCTCGAAGGCGTTGTGTGCCGTGCGCCTTGCTCACCGCTGTGCGGAACGCCTCGCACGCCTTCATGACTGGCTGTCATTGTCCGTCATCAACCCGCGCGTCGCACATGCGACACTCCTCCCCCTTCCCCCTAGTCCTGCGACGCTGCGCGGCATCCCCTGCCTTCCGCACCTCCCCCATTTGTCTTGTGTTCCACATCCCGATTCCGCACCACTCTCCCCACCCACCCCACTCCGCTCCCGCACCAAGCTGACGGCAGTCCCTACCGCCCGGCGACGTGGGGCACGACGTCCTCCGCGACGTCGGCCGTCACTCGAAGCGCACCCTCTCGTCATTTAGCGTCGAGGGCAAAGTCTGTGTTGTAACTGGTGCCGCGCGCGGCTTGGGCAACATGATGGCTCGCACTCTGGTAGAGTCGGGCGCAACTCAGCTCGCTATCCTGGATCTCAACGCGCAAGATGCGCAGAAGGCAGCGGACGAGCTCATCGCCTGGTTTGTGGCGGAAGGCGAGGCGGAGGATGGCGAGGTTGACGCTGTCGGTCTCGGCTGTGACGTCTCTGACGAGGCGAGCGTGCAAAGGGCGTTCCAGCAGCTGAAGGAGCGTTTCGGACGCGTAGACATCCTCGTTACGGCTGCAGACATCGTTGAGAACTTTCCCGCAGGCGAGTACCCCACCGAGCGTGTGAAGAAGCTGCTCGATATCAACGTCATGGGGACATGGTTCTGCGCACGAGAAGCCGCCAAGCTCATGCCTGACGGCGGCAGCCAGGTGCTCATTGGCAGCATGAGCGGGAGTATCGTCAACGTACCGCAGCCGCAGACGCCGTACAACTTTTCGAGTGAGTCTATCTAGCCGATAGACGATAGCGTGCTCGGCTTCAGCTCGGTCGCCGGACAACACCGAGCGACACGCGTCCGCTGTTTGGGCGCCGAGCACCCAAGAAGCACACTGACGTACAGAGGCCGCCGTTCGCCAGATGGCGCGCTCGCTAGCCGTCGAGTGGGCGCAGCAGCGCATTCGAGTCAACTGCATCTCGTACGTCCTGCTTCGGCGCCGCTAATCCCAGCCCCGGGTACATGCTTACGGCGCTCACCAAGGCAATCCTCGATAAAGACCCCGTATTGCGCGACACGTGGGTGAGCAAGATCCCGCAGGTGAGTTGCAAGGCATAAGGCATACAGGGGCGCGAACTCGATCGCCGAGGGCGTGGGGATGGGAGTCGTGTGTCGGAGCCAGTGCCGCCATCGGACACCACGGTGCCGCGACAAGCTGTCGACCATGGTGCTGCTTGCCAGTGACAAACGTGTCCACGGTTGGCGCACAAGCTGTGCCAGCCCATCCCCCACTTTCCCCAGCTTCCAGAGGCCCTTCCATGCTCGGCATTCGCAATTGAGGGGGGCGCGCCCCCGTCGTATTTCCGCTGTATGTTGGGAGCAGGCGCAGGGCAGACGTACAGCGGTTAGACGGGGGCGTAGCGCCGTAGACGAGCAGCTGACGGCAGGGTCGGATGGGCGACCCGTCTGATCTCAAGGGCGCGGTAGTCTACCTTGCCAGCGACGCCTCAAAGTATACGACGGGGTCGGAGCTTGTCGTCGATGGCGGCTACACCTGTTTGTAGACACCTATTCGCGGATCACGCTGTGCGCCCTCGTACATACGTACATACGTGCCCATCGCGCTGCGCAGCCGGCAGGCCGGCAGTGCCGTTGTATCTACGCATGGCATGGAGATGGACATTTGCCTTGTGCCGTTGCAGAAGGAATGAGATCGGGCCCGTCCGAAGAGCTCGCCCGCGGCCGGTACCCACCACACCTACATACCACTCCTCTGGAACCCGTACAGAGGAGTTCGCGGATTATGGTGCTGCGCGCTACGCTGCTGCGCTGCTGCGTGCTACAAGCATCACACGCCTCCGCTAAAGAAACGTGTGCACCGCGCACCCCGAGCCGCGATCATGAGATTGTCGCGTTGCTGCGTTTTGCAGTTTCGGGACGCTATGACTTGGAAGCTGGCAATCATCGGTAATAGGAGAGGATTAGCACTGCTGGGTGGCACGGATGGGTGGCGAGGGATACAGCCGTCTACGGAGGCTAGGAGGAGGAGGTGAGAGGACACACACGGGCGCAAGGATGGGGCTCGGTGCTAGCTTGGAGGGTGGGGGCGGCGATGATGGTGAGACGGAGAGATGGAGAGATGAACGTGTCGTCTCATCGAGGGCGAGGGGGTACGAGGGGATGATAATGCGACTGAGTGCCACTCAGGCACGGCGGTATGCCGATATACAGAGTACGCCACTCGACCCGTTTCGCCCACTTTGGAGACACGAAACACGCACTGCAACTCGATCTCTCAATCTTGCTATAACTCTTTCAACTCTTGACCATCTCTTGATCTCTTCGTCGCCCTCTCTCTCTCTCTCTCCTCTCTATCCTCCCCTCGCTTCTCACTCTCTTTCCCCCTCATCCACCTATCTCTCCCTCTGTCACCCTCACACCTCCCTTGCTCACCCCAACCTTCATCATGGCTCAGATTCACGCCAAGCCCTTTCGTCTAGCCCTGCTCCAGCTCGCAGGTCTCTCGGCCAACAAGGCGAGCAACATCGCCGTCGCGCGCAAGGCAGTCGCCGCTGCCGCTGCGAGCGTGCCCAAGCCCGACCTCATCGTACTGCCCGAGATTTGGAACAGCCCCTACGCCGTCACCGCCTTCCGCGAGTATTCTGAGCGTGTTCCCTCGGTCAATGACGGAAAAGAGGTCGCTGGCGCCGAGGGCGAGACTGTCGCCGCCATGCGCGAGATGGCACGCGCGGCCGGCACATACCTGATCGGCGGTGAGTTCATGGCGGAATTACGAGGAAGAAGAAGTGTCCAAGTCCCACAGGCCGCAGGCCGTCGCCCGTCGACCCGCGGCGCGCAGCGCTGATCGCAGGCTCTATTCCCGAGCACGAACCCGAAAGCGACGCCATCTACAACACGCTTACCGTGTACGACCCGCAGGGCCGCATGGTTGCCAAGCACCGCAAGGTGCACCTGTTCGACATTGACATCCCGGGCCGCCAGACATTCAAGGTGAGTCAGGCGTCGCCATCCTTTCCGGAATGCCGAAGAGGGGAACGCGGCTTGATCGTCGGATCTGACATGCAGGAGAGTGACACGCTCACAGGTGGCACCACGCTCAACTCTTTCGAGACGCCGTTTGGCAAGATTGGAGTTGGCATCTGTTACGACATTGTAAGCCGAGTGAAGGCGAGCAGACGGTTGACGCCAGCGTTTCCCCGAGATGGCAATGATCGCCGCCCGCCAAGGTACGCACACCCACTGCACAATCACACTGTTGGAGCTGACCACAGGCTGCGTGGCCATGATTTACCCCGCCGCGTTCAACACCACTACCGGGCCCATGCACTGGACCTTGCTCCAGAGGTCACGGCAAGTCGCTTGAGCGCCTCACACTAACCGCAGAGCCAACGACAACCAGATCTACGTCGCGATGTGCTCGCCCGCACGCCACCCGGACGCCGCTTATCAGGCTGTGAGTGTAGCCGGAGGAGGATCAGAGCGGTGCTGACAGCAGTACGGTCACTCATCGATTGTCGACCCCGTTGGCAACGTGATCGCCGAGGCGGACGAGCACGAGGCTATCGTGTACGCCGACATTGACACGGACATGCTGGCCACGACGCGCCGCAACCTTCCGGTGACGGTGCAGCGGCGGTTCGACGTGTACCCGGACGTTTCAAAGTAGGGCGCGGCGCTGCGCGGGCGCAGTGGCGTATAGCAATGTGCGCGTAGACGGGTGTGTCTGTCTGTGTTCTGTTTGTCTGTGGTCTGCATGAATACCAAGTACTTGCATTTTATTTAGGATGGGCTATTGATAAGAAGTATTTGAAGTTGAAGTTGAAATCTGAATCTGGTCCCGCACCCAGAAAATCGTGGCGAAAAAGTGGAGGTGGCCACGACCCCACCAGGAGCAGAGCAATCAATCTTGCCACCTTGGGCCGCCAACTAGCTCGCTCCCTTGTCTCCTCCAACTCTCCATCTCATCGTCATCAAAAGCCGCCACCTCGCGGCATCCCCCTCTCCACTCTCTCTCTTCCCCTCTCTCTCCCCCGCTCCCCCTCGTCCAGCATGTCGTCCCAGGAGGAGACCGATCACGCCATCGAGGTGCGTCTCCCCATCCCGCCTCCGCGCCTCCCCTCTCGGGCTGGAACAAGCTGACCTCAGATCTGGCGCTACCGCAAGTTGCTGCAGATGCTCGCGGCATCGCGCGGCGCCGGTACCTCGTGTATTACCCTCATTCTGCCGCCCCGCTCGCAGATCTCGCAGGCCGCAAACATGCTCACGACCGAGTACGGCACTGCGTCCAACATCAAGTCGCGCGTGAATCGGTGAGTCAAGTGGCGGAATCGAAGTGCATGAGATGCGTTAGAGGCGTAGCCGCGCGTCATCACCAGTCCTGGTGGTTGGTAAGGCGAAGTCTTCTCATCCAACTCAAACGACCGGATTCGGAGACTGGCAGTGGTTGCGTCAAGCCGTACCGAGTCTTGGTGGCGATTCGATGTCAGGCAGCCGCGCCCGCGGCGGGAGAGGACTTGTTCCTTCCTACTGCTCACACTCCACGACTTGCCTCACAACACTCTGCTGACACCAGGTTGTCCGTTCTCTCCGCCATCACCTCGACTCAGCAGAAGCTGAAGAACTACTCGCGCGTTCCCGACAACGGTCTCTGTGTCTTCGTCGGCACGGTTCTCAACGATGAGGGCAAGGAGAGGAAGATTTCGTTCGCGCTCGAGCCGTTCAAGCCCATCAACACGTCGCTGTACATGTGTGACTCGCGTTTCCACGTCGAAGCACTGGAGACGTTGCTCGAGACGGACTCGAAGTGGGGCTTTATCATTATGGACGGTAACGGGTCGCTCTTCGGCACCCTGTCGGGCAACACGCGTGAGATTCTCTACAAGTTCAGCGTCGACCTGCCCAAGAAGCACGGCCGTGGTGGTCAGTCCGCGCTGCGTTTCTCGCGTCTGCGTGAGGAAGCGCGTCGCAACTATGTGCGCAAGGTCGCCGAGTTGGCCGTCCAGCACTTCATCACCGCCGACAAGGTAAACGTCTCGGGCCTTGTGTTGGCAGGTTCGGCCGAGCTCAAGACCGACCTGTCCAGCTCGGACCTGTTTGACGGGCGTCTCCTCGCCAAGGTCGTCAAGGTTGTTGACGTGTCGTACGGTGGCGAGAACGGCTTCAACCAGGCCATCGAATTGGCTGCGGACTCGCTTGCCAATGTCAAGTTTGTGCAGGAGAAGAAGCTCATCCAGAAGTACTTTGACGAGATCGCCCTCGACACGGGCAAGTACTGCTTTGGCATCAGCGACACGCTCAAAGCGCTAGACATGGGTGCCGTCGAGACCTTGATCGTCTGGGAGGGTCTCGAAACTGTCCGCAACGTGCTCCGCAACGCGGCCGGCGAAGAGGTCATCGTCTTCTCCAACCCCAAGGACACGGACCGCGAACAGTTCATCGACAAAGCGACCGGCACGGAGATGGAGGTCGCGGCCGAGGCCAAGCCGCTCCTCGAGTGGTTCGCGGAGGAGTACAAGAACTTTGGTGCCACGCTCGAGTTCGTGACCAACAAGTCGCAGGAGGGCTCGCAGTTCGTCAAGGGCTTTGGCGGTATCGGTGGTCTGCTCCGCTACAAGGTCGCGTTTGAGGACCTGGGCGACTTTGACGACGACGACGACGAGTTCTACGGCTCGGACGAGGACTCGGACATCTAAACATGGCCCGATGGCGCGCCGCGTGCCGGCACGAGGCCGCCATCGGCCCCCCGGCACCGCGCGCGCGTGCGCGTGCGTGGTGAGCTACCCGCCGGCTAAATGTAGGCCGTGCACCATCTTTGGTCATGTTGTTCACTTCGTAAGCAATGCATAGATATCTGTAGTCTGTGGGGTTGCAGGGATGGCTCGCGGCATGCGTGGTAGTTTAAAGCATCGTCCACCCGAGTGACCAGCCGCTGCTTGCGTGCACTGGAAACCTGACGCATACAGGTAGAGAGTAGAGCAAGATCGTGCACCAGCACAGCACATGATGGATGATTACTATCAAAGCAAAAACACAAGCAAAAACAAAAGATATGATAGAGTACCCTGACATCTGAAGGCGGTAGTGTAGAGCCAGCGACATCGTGGTGCTCGTGTGCAAGCACAGAGGAGGCACCGGGCGAGGAAAAATTGCTAGAGAAGTAAGCCCCGTAGGGCTGTAATGCTTCTCACAGCATTAAGAACAGATACTACACATGATCTTAGCCAATATGGCCAGAGAGGATGCTTCCGGGTTGGGCTGCGATGTAGTCGTCCATACACTAATGTGGGTGGAGTTATCTTTGGGGGTTGTATTGCCGCACATGTGGCGACGGAGTTCTCTCTCACTCTCCGCTCAGCTCTCCTCTCCTTCTCGCCACCCAACGTCAGTTCACAACACTACTCTACCCACTCCGTCACCATGTCGGAACGCAAGGTGTTGAACGTGAGTAACTCTATCTCCAGCACAGCAATCAAACCGGAGACAGCGCTGATGCCGTCTCGCTCCTCGTTGCCATGCAATTCGTCCTTCCAACGCCTGCTTGATACACTCAGAAATAGTACGTTACTCACCACCTTCCCTCCCTCCAGCGCGTGCCCACCCAACTCACACCAGCTTCCCACCGGACTTTGATCCGTCCAAGATCAAGCGCCGCAAGGGCTTGAAGAAGCAAAATGGATCCCAGATGACTGTCCGTCTGATGTCGCCGTACTCGATGCGCTGCTCAAAGTGCGGCGAGTACATCTGTGAGTAGATATATCATGATGACGCAGTTGCGGATTCGAGCTGACCCCGCAGACAAGGGCAAGAAGTTCAACGCGCGCAAGGAGACCGCCGTTGGGGAGGAGTACCTGGGCATCAAGGTGTTCCGCTTCTACATTGTGAGTAGTGCCGCTATGAGACCATGCACTGACGATAGAAATGCCCAGTATGCTCCTCAGAGATCACCTTTAAGACCGATCCTAGGCAAGGCGACTTTGTGCCCGAGCATGGCGCCACTCGTAACTTTGAGAACTGGAAGGAGACAGACCCAAACAACCAGGCCGGTCTGTTGCCATCTGCTGAGGCCGATGAAGATTACGACAGCGATGGTAACCCAACAGCAGAGAAAGTTGAGCGCGATGCCATGGCAGACCTGGAGCGTAGCCAGGAGCAATCACGCCGCGAGATGGAGATCATGGACGAGCTCGCCGACTTGCGGCAACGAAACGCGCGTCTCGAGACCAGCGCCCGCGCCGACGACCCCGAGTCGCTCCTTGCGGCGCTTCACGCCGAGCGGGAGAACGCCGAAGAAGCAGCGCGAAGGCAAGCCGAGGAGGAGGAGGACAACGCCATGGTCGCCAAGTTCTTCACCAAGCTGCCGCCACCAGGCGCCAAGGTCGACGCGGTACCAGGAGCCGACGCGTCCGACGAGGAAGGGGAAGGCAGCGCGTCTCCCGCGCCCGCGCCCACCCCCGCACCGCTCATCATCAAGCGCACCGCCCCCGTCGTGAAGGGCGAGCCGACAGTCTCGTCCCTACTCGCTGCCAAGGGCAAGGTGCTCGACGGCGGCGTAGCACCACCCAAGCCCGCCGCAAAGCGGAAGCGCGGCGATCTGCAGAAGATGCTCGGAATCAAGGGCAAGAAGCCCAAGGCGTAGTGTGGTAGTCACGTGTATTCATAGGTCCCATCCCATAGCATGAACGTGTTGTTGGCATGATTTGAACTTCGTGGGGCGATACGGCCAGCCTCATTGTTGGCATTGAGGATTGTAGGTTGCATGTGCATCCGTCTGGCTGGTGTGGCTCTTGGATCTTGGCGAGTCTGTACGTCTGTACGTCCGTGCCCATGCGGTGGAGGTCGGCCACAATTGAATTGTCTTTCGAGTCACGTGATACTCTCCCACGGTGTAGTTCCGTTTGGCCTCAGCCTTGTTCGCGGGCCGGTCGTCACCCCCCCCCCCCCCCCAGTTCCCCGTCTCTTCGTCTCTTCTCTCCATCCACTATCCTCATCAGCTCACCTCCTCCTCCTCCTCCTCTCTATTCTCTTCATCCTCTCTCCCCGCTCTCCGTAACACACTCTTCAGTCACGCAGACCAACCTCTCTGCACTCTGCTCGCTCTGATAGCTCTCCTCAACACCATAGCACTGGGCTTGGCGCCTACAAACCTCCACCCCCCTCCACCCGATCCCCACCCATCCCCTCCCATCACCATCCACTGCTCTACCACCCCCAACCACCCTCGCCATGTCTAACCCGCCACCATCCGGGTCAGGCGCGTGGGCCAAGGCCGATCCGGCAGCGTATCGGCCGCTCAACGTGCGCGATGCGCTGAGCTATCTTGATCAAGTCAAGGTGAGTGGCTTGGCTTTTGACGGCGAAGGGCAGGGCGAGTTGGGAAGCATCCACCCGGGCTTTCACGACCTTCACATATTCGCGCCTCTGCGAAACAAGGCGAGCCATACGAGTAGCAGTGGACAGGCTTGTAATCATTGCCCGCTTGGGGAGCAAGATCACCCCTCGCATCACTCTTCACCGCCCCCGACGCGCCTCCACTCGCCCATAAAGCCTTGCCCCAGCTCCTCCCCACTAGCATGCTGACATCCACAGATCCAATTCGCAGACCAGCCAGAGGTTTACAACCGCTTTCTGGACGTGATGAAGGAGTTTAAAGGCCAGGTGTGAGTACCTGGATGCGTGTTGGCGGCTAGGCGCGGGCGGGTTTTGCCCGCTGAGCCGCCGACAAGTGTGTGGTGGAGGGTGGAGGCTGACTGCAGGATTGATACACCTGGCGTCATCGACCGGGTGTCAACGCTCTTCCGCGGGCATCCATCACTCATTCAAGGTTTCAACACCTTCCTGCCTCCCGGCTACAGAATCGAGTGCTTTGGCCCCGAGGGCGATGCCCACGGTGTCATCACCGTCACAACCCCCACCGGCACCGTCTCCCAGGTGCCGGGTGGCGGTGGCCTCGCCGCCGCCATGGAGCGCAACGAGCGCGAGCGCGAGATGGCCCACCTCGCTGCCCAGCAGTCCGAGCGCGAGATGCCTGGTCACCCTGGGTACAGTGGTGCTCCGCCTCCCCAGCCGCACCCGTACGGCCGCGAGGCCCCTCGCGCCGAGCCCCTCGTTTCGCGCGCTCAGCCTCCCCTGCCGCCCCAGCCTGCGGCGGCTCCGCGTCCACCTCCCCCATCTTCGGTGCCAATGCCCCCGCAGCACCCAATGCCTGCCTCCGGACCCTCCACCCCAGGCGCGGGTCCGTACCAGCCCGGCCAGCCGCAGCAGTCCGCCGCACAGCAGCAGCGCGGCACGCCCATGCTCGAGTTCAACCATGCCATCTCGTTCGTGAACAAGATCAAGAACCGCTTCAACTCTGAGCCTGAGACATACAAGAACTTCCTCGAGATCTTGCAGACGTATCACCGCGATCAGCGCATCGAGGAGGTGAGCAAGGGACGCCGAACCGGCGATAACAGCCAGGTGTACGAGCAGGTCATCGAGCTGTTCAAGAACGCCCCAGACCTGTTGGCCGAGTTCAAGCAGTTTCTTCCCGAGAGTGGCGGCGGGCTAGGCTTCGGCTCGTTCGTGCAGGCTGCGGCTGGCTCAACAGCTCCCACCGCTGGCCAGAAGCGTAAAGATACCAAAGACCCCGCGGCTACCAAGAAGCGCCGCCAGGACAAGGCAGCGGCTCAGAAGGTGTGTTAGACCCTAAGAAGACGCGGCTGACATGCAGAAGAAGAAGGAGGCGTCGCCGGAGGCCGACGAGCCCACCGTCGGCTCACAGGCGCTGCAGACCCTCGCGTCGCCGGAGGAGGTTGCCTTCTTCGACAAGGTGAAGAAGTATATCGACGACAAGGTTACGTACCACGAGTTCCTCAAGCTCCTGAACCTTTTCACGCAGGACATTGTCGACGCAAAGACACTGCTCGAGCGCGCCAAGCTCTTCATCGGCGACGCTGGTGACATCTGGACCTCCTTCAAGAAGATGGTTGGAGCCGACGACGTTGGAAACAGCAACATCAACCACGCGACTCAAGCCCAGGGAGGTTTCGGCTTTGGCGGCATGGTCAACATTGACAACCGCATGTCTGAGAACACGCCAATGCTTGAGCGCGTCAAGCCCGACTTTTCGACCTCACGTGCTAAAGCCTACGGTCCGAGCTATCGCAAGCTTCCCACGACTGAGATCAACCTGAATTGCACTGGCCGCGATGCCATGTGCTGGGAGGTGCTCAACGACGAGTGGGCGTCGCACCCGACGTGGGCGGCCGAAGATGCTGCGCCGTTCCTGGCGCACCGCAAGAACGCGTACGAGGAGGCTCTTCACAAGTCGGAGGAGGAGCGTCACGAGTACGACTTCCACATCGAGGCCAACCTGCGCACGATTGCGCTGCTTGAGCCTCTCTACAACAAGATTCAGAGCATGGACGAGGAGGAGCGTCGTCACTTCAACCTCAAGTCGGGCCTCGGCGGACACAGCAGATCAATCTACCAGCGTATCCTCAAGAAGGTCTACGGCAAGGAGCTTGGCCCGGACATTATCAAGGCGCTGCACGAAAACCCAGTTATAGCTCTTCCTATCGTGCTCGAGCGCCTCAAGGCTAAGGATGACGAGTGGAAGAAGGCTCAGCGCGAGTGGAATCGTGTCTGGCGTGAGCAGGACGCCAAGAACTTCTACAAGGCGCTTGATCACCAGGGCGTTACTTTCAAGTCGCAGGACAAGAAGACCATTGCGCCCAAGACGATCATTGCCGAGATCGAGGCACGCCGCCGCGAACAGGTCAACGCCCGCAACGCGATGGCGCAGCCCGGAGCGCAGCCGCGGCCACGCCACCAGTATGCGTTTGAGTTCAAGGACGTCGAAGTGCTCAAGGACGCACTCAAGCTTGTGTTCGGTTTCCTCGACCGCATGGCCACGATCAACCAGAATGACAAGGAGCGCATCGAGCAGCAGCTCCGTGACTTCATCCCAACCTTCTTCATGTTTGACAAGGAAGAGTTTGACGACTTTGGCGATGCCGCCGACTCGGACGAGAGCTCTGAATCCGACGGCGACCAGGGCATGGGCGAGGACAATGGGCGGACGAGGAAGGGCCAGCCTTCGTTGCGTCAGAAGCTGCTCAAGGAGGCTGCCGCCAAGAATCGCGAGGACACTGGCACGCCCGCTCCGGGCGACGCACAAAGCGACGGCACCGACAACGCCGACATGGCCGTTGACGACGAGGACAAGGTGTCTGAGGACCCGACATGGGCACCATTCCTCGAGTCGGAGGAGCAGGCTAACCTGGACGCGGGCCCGCAGCCTAAGCGCCAGCGCGCAGCGAACTTTTTCGCGAACAACCACTTCTTCATCCTCGTTCGGCTCATCCAGATTCTCTACTCGCGCCTTCTGCTGTGCAAGACGATTGCTGCCGATCTTGCTGCGCAGAAGAAGCAGCCCATCAACCCGGAGGCCATCAAGCTTGGCCTCGCCGAGCCTGAGACGCAGAACCTTGGTGTGGAGAACGGCGAGAACCCAGCTCGCCACTACTACGACCACCTGCTTGCTCTGTGCGAGCGGCTGTTCGACCAGGATATCGACCAGGCGACTTTCGAGGAGACATTGCGCCTCATGTTTAGCAACAAGGCGTACATCATGTTCACGGTCGACCGGCTAGTCAGTGCAATTGTCAAGCAGACGCAGCAGATTGTTGGCGACAACAAGAGCCAGGAGCTGCTCAAGCTTCTCGTTGCGGACAGGCGACACGAGCGCACCACTACTCGTCAGCAGGTGGCGTACCGGATGAAGGCTGAGAGCGTTCTCGGTCCTGAGGAGACCCGGGAGAACATGTACCGCATCGAGTATGTGCCGCGCACCGAAACGGTGGCGGTGCAGCTCATCAAGACCGAGGATCTGACGGTGGACGCCAAGAACGCCGTCGAGTCGTGGAACTTCTACATGTCGTCTTATCCCCTTATCTACCCGACCGAGGGACTTCCTCACCGCGTCGAGCAGCCGTTCCTCAAGCGTACGCTGCAGGATCTGCCAGCGGATGGGACGGTGTTCTCCGAAAGCTCTGGGCTCAAGTTCCGCGTCGCGCTTGGCAACTACCGCCTGTTCTATGTGCCCGGTACGGAAGACTACTTCCACCGTGCGAGCGGTGAGGAGGAGGAGCCGAACCATGATGCCGCCAAGAAGCGCCTCGACGAGTGGGTGCAGAGCAAGCTTGACGAGCCTGAGGACGAGGAGGAGGCTGAGCCGGCGGACGTTGCTGCTGCTGCTGCCGCCCCCGCTGCCCAGGTGACGGATGAGTAGACATGGATCCCCGCGCTGTTGTATTATGTCTCCTGTCATATCTTCTGTCATATACCCATATGTCCAGTTATGGTGCAAAGAGCGGAGGAGAGATGGGCGTTTATGAGTGGGAGAACCGAGAGGAGTGAGCTTGTGTTGTATCAGCTTGGGCGGTCGGTGACTGAGCAAGTAAGTGGCTGCGGACTGCGATGAGAGATTCGGCCACGTCGACGGCGGTGCGGCGGCGGCGGTGCCAAGGGAGATGGGCAGAAGCAGACTGCAAGCTGCATGCTGCATGCTTGGTGCGAGGTCGGGTTGTATCGCGCCATAACACGTGCAGAGTGATCGAGTGAGTCGGTACCTGGTGAATGGAGCGGAACAGTCGAGGGACTGTGAGATCCAGCGGAGGGCCGAGACCGCGGCGGAACCCAATTGCCCAGTCGCTCAGTGTTGACACCACGACTAATAACAGCTGCCGCCTCTTTGTCAGTCACCTCGGTCTCGCCACAATTCACAATTCATAACATCTTCCATCTTCTCATTGTCATCATCTTCTCTCCCCTTCAGCGATACACATCCACTCCCCTCTCCCTTCGGACTGCTTCTTGCCATCCGATCTCCAACTCCGCAGCGGCACTCCGTCTCCTCCCCTCCTGTCTTGGCACCAGATCGCCACCCTTCAACTCGAGCACGGTCCCATATCTAGGCCGCTCGCACCTTGCTCGCTTCCCCGGCTTTCTCCATCGCTCAACTTGTCATCCCGATCCCGCTTCCGCATCCCCCACTAGACCGCCTTTACTACATTCGACACTGCTTCCTTCCCCCCACTCTTCTCCACTTCACCCATCCCCCACTTATCAAGCCTCCCTGTCCTCTTACGTCCCCCCCCGCCATGCCCCTCGCGCTCAAGCTCGGCGGGCACAAGCGCACCAAGTCGTCCGCGCCCGACACGCCGACCTCGAACGGAAGCTCCACCCCCAATGGTGTCCATGTGCCATCTGACATGAACGGCGACGCGCCTCGCTCGCCGCGCATAGTCGTCACCGAGCAGCCGCCTTCGATCCTGAAGGCGCACACGCCATCCGTCTCCTCGGACTCGTCCGCCTCCATGTTCACCAAGAAGCGAATGAGCCTTAGCGATATGCGCGGCCTCAGCATAGGACGTACGGAGACCACCGATAGCCGGTGGAGCGCCGATGAGCGCGAGTCGTCCTCTCCCAGTAGCAGCGGATCAGGCATGTGCCCGCTCCCCGAGAGCAGCCAGAAGGCGCCTTTCCCCTTCTTCAGCATGACGCTCTCCGGTACGGCGACGCTCTCATTCATCGCGTTGCCTGTCCACCTCCGCCCCGCCGTTATCGCCGGCGTGCGGAAGGCCTGGAAGCACGGTATCCGCAGCATGGACAGTGTCGAGTACGCCCCAGAGCTCATGGAGTTCCACAAGAGGAAGGGGTGCGACGGCGGTGTCTGGGAGCTCACCTTGAAGGTGAGCCTGCACAACGGACACGCTGACTCCAGGGCGACGCATGGAATCCCCGCTCAGAGGACAAGGTGTCGTGAGTACGCCGATGCCGATCGCCGAGCTTGGCGCTTCCGTTTCTGGGCGCCAAGCCCAACGTGGCCCCGCTTCACCTCCCCACCACCCCCGCCTTCCTCCCTGTCACGCACGCCGCTGCATTCCCTGCGTTCCGCTGACACCAGTTCCAAGCGCATCATTCTCTACCTCCTCATCGAGTTTGCAAAGCATGGCTATCAGCTCTCGACGAGCTACCGCATGAGCGCCAAGGGTGAGTGTGATCTCGCGCTATCTGGTGTGTGCTGGGGCGCCCCTGGACATACTGTATCGCAGGCACTGCCCCTCTTTGTCGGTGTGTCGAGTCAATCGCCACGCATTGGGGCAATGGTGACGGGAGGTGGGGCGAACGCCGCCAAGTTCTTGGCACCCCGACAGGTGCCATTATCTCTACTACTCCTCCTTCCCTCAACACTTGGCGGATCGCGCGGCTAACCCCAGATTCGGGCAAAGACACACTCGTCTTCAGCTCATGTGACCCGGACCCGGACCCCGTCTTCTTCGCGGTGGCGTTCTACTCGCACGACCGCATCTGGATCATCGACGCCGAGGCCGACGTCGGCCAGGCTCTGGAGGAGGGCATCAAGGCGACGTGGGTGGACGGCGTCAAGGCTGCGCGCGTGCGCCAGCGCCATTGCCGCGAAATCAAGCTGGCCGGTACGCCCTGGGTCGCGCACAGCAAGAGCGCGCTGATCAGCGCCCGCGTCATCCACCTCACCATCATGAAGTACGTGACGCACAAGAGCATGGGGTACGAGCTGGCGGGCAACGTCAACATGGCCGACCTCGAGACGGGCGAGCTGCCCGTGTCGTTCTACCGCAAGACGGGCGCGGGCGAGTGGGGCACGTTTGACGCGCTCCCGGCGCCAACTCCGGTCAGTGAGGCGGCGCGGCGGAGCATGACGGTCGGTGTTTAGGGTGCGGATAGGTGTATGTACATTACCACGATAGACGGTGCATGACAGCGGGGTGTACGGCGACAAGGGGCTTTTCATATGTCTTGTCAAGAATCAGTGCGGGTTGCTTGGATGGCGCTGAGCAAAACTGTGAGGCAGCAGCGTTGTTCAAATTGAGATATGACCGGTCTCGCCTTTGAGGGATACGAGTTTACACGAACCTGCACAATTGTTTAACAATCGTACGGTCCCGTACTCTACCACAGAGCGGTTCACGATGTCATCTGCACAGTGCTGTGAGCGTCCCTCACATCGCCCCGGCAGTACCCTCATTGACATCACAGGTCGCCACAACAACATCCTTGTCACCGTGGGAAACTGAGCTGCCAACTCGGGCTCTTCCGTTCAAGCGGCTGGCCCGGGTCGAACCCAACACCAACAAAATGACATGTATCGTACAACTAAAAGAGTCTGGTCTACATCGTCCGTGATCATCGTCTCCCGCTCCCTACAGATCGTGACTGATACTCCCCACCACTACTGCCGCAGCGCTTCGGGATGACACCCGCATCTAACCTGACCCTCTAGCGCGCCCTCGAGCGTCTCGACTAGCCGGCCCACGACTTCGTCGCCGTACGCAGCCCGGCGCACCGCGTCGCCGTTCCGTTCGCGGAACCGCATCCAGCTGGGCAAGAGCTCATGCACGACGAACTGGAGAAAGCTGACGCTCGCGACATCAGCGGAGTGGCCTGGCGCAATGTGCGGCAGCACGTGGGCCGCGAGCATGTCGTCGAGGGCAGTGGAGAGGGCGTCGAGCGCCTGATGCTTCTTTTCCCCTTGTGCCCCGCTGCCACTTCCTGCGGCAGGGATGTGATTGGCGACCGGTTCGTCGGCGAGCGCGCGGAACCGCCGGTAGTTGGGCGTGACTTCGTTTACGAGGTACGCGTGCAGCGTATTGGGCTGGATCTCGCGGTCGCGCTCGGCATCGGCGAGCGTGAAGGGCGTCGCGTAGGGCGTCGCGATCCATGTGTCGAGGAGGCCGTCGAGCGTCGCCTCCTTGGGTCTCTCAAGCACGCGCACGGCCGCATCCAGCTCGCCGTGCCACTTCCTCACAGACGCCGCCCAGTCCGCGTACGCGGAGAGACTCGCCGCCATCGCTTCTGGCGTCCACCCTGCGTTGGTCGCGACCGGGAAGAGGGCGGGCAAGGATGCGACGAGGGAGGTGAGCTGCTTCTTAATGCGGGTGGGGGCGGGGAGGTGGCGCGGCTTTGGGCGGGGGAATGCGAGAGATGCAGAGGGAGGATGGGTCGGAAGGAAGGAATTGGGCGCGCGGTGAAGTCACAGGGGATGGCCAGATCCGGTCATGTAGATGCGTCAGCTCTAGCCCAAGCATGCGGCTTCAGCTTACCTGCTGCTTGCTTGGTAATGATGAGGGGCCCGCCATAGTCATTGCCTGGGGCGGGGCGGAAGGAGGTTGCGGTGGGACAACAGGTGCCGGTTGAGGCGGGGCTGGTGCCGGAGGTGGGGGAACGGGGAGGACAGGCGGAGCGGGGGGCACTTTTGAGCGCGGCTTCTTTGCCGGCTTTGGTTTGTCTGGTCCTTTGGTTGTTGCCTTGCGGCGTGGCATCATGGGGAGGGGTGGATGAGTAGGATGAGTAGAGATGAATGGGAGAATGGATAAGGAAGCGATGAGTTATGACAAGATGAGGGATGGAGAAAAGGGAGGAGAGAGAAAGAGAGAGAGCGAGGAAGGGATGGAGGGAGCGACGACGACGACGAGAGGATGAGTGACGACGACCAACCCTCCCTCGGGCCCCCCCAAATCTCCCACATCAGGCGTCCGTGCACACACCACACACACGACTCTCTCTCTCTCGCTCGCTCACTGTTCTTTTATTCTTGTTCCTCCGCTCCATCTTCACGACAACTTGGTAATCCCATGCATCCCCTCTCGCTCCGCAAGCAGTCTCAACCCATTTTGAACGCTATTTGCACAAATATAACACGTCAAGCCGCCACAGCCACGCTCAAATGTTGCGTGTGTCCCTCTCGTGCCCTCGTGCTCAACACGCGATTGCCGGATCTTTCTACAGCGAGTCCAGAGCTCTCCCCGCGCTCGCTTGTCCCCCGCCTAACACCTCGCTACCCCACGACCTCGGTCACGACGTCGACATACACGCTGACGCGGTTGTCCATGATGTCGCCGATTGTCTGTCCTCGCGTTGGTGGCAGTGCGGCAATGTCGAACTGCCCGAACGTCGCGGAACGAGGTGTAGACGGTCTACGCGGCTCAGAGGGACCGCTGATACGAGCTCCGGCTCTCGGGAGGGGCGGTAGTCTTGCACTGGCCGGGGTGCCGATGAACTTGGCTACAAGTGGGTTCACCCTGGTCTCAGCTTTCGGTTTTCTCGGCTCCTGCCTCCCATCCCCACTCACACATTCGGACTCGTGAGCGTCATAAAGTGCCCCACGTTATCGATCATGTGCACCTGTGCTCTCGTCGTGCGGTGTAAGGCGTTGAACTTGAAAGCCCACAGCTGTGCGTCCTCGGTGAATGTCGGCTCCTCCGTCGCCGCGGCCTGCAGTATCAAGACCGGCGCGCTAATGCGCGCCATCTCCTCCGTGCTCTGCGGTCGCCGCGTCGTCACAGGCTCCCAGACATAAAACGCTGCGTCCGCCGCCTCCTCAGCCGACGCTGCCAGCCGCTCCCGTGCTGCGAGCATGTATTCGTCCCTGATTTCGCGAATTGCTGGGGCGAGCGCCCCACTGCCGGCGTCATACGCGAACGTTGCCCGCGTGATGGCGTCGAGCGTGTCCGCGTCGCCGTACCGGGTGGCGGCGACGAGCGCCTGGGGTCAGCCCAAGCACAATACCGACGACATCTCGCCTACTCGCGAGCAATGACCGAAGCAGAATACCTGCGCCCAGCGCCCTCCCCCACCCACTCACCTCGCGGCACTCCGCATATCCCATCATCGTGTCCTCGTTGTCCTGGTTCGGCGGCAGTGAAATGAGTGTTAGTGTCTTGACCTTGTCGGCGTATGCGGAGGCGAGGTTGGCTGCGACAACGGCGCCGAATGCGACACCGACAACATGTGCCGTGCGGATGCCGAGGCGTTCCTGCCGTCAGCCCAAGTTCGCTTACTCGCAATGTTGCGTGACGGGAGGGGCGCGGGGAGAACTACAGCGAAGGTGACGCTTCTCCGGCTCGAGTCCGGCCTTCCCGGCCTTCACCGTCTTCTCCAACGCCCATCTCTCACGCCCGTCCACCATATCCGACACCCCCGTTGTCACGCACCATCCCCGCCGAAATGTCGTCGGCGACGCTCCACGCATCGTAGGACTTCGGTCTCTCGCCGACATGCGTGAGCCCATGTCCCCGCATGTCAAAGGCGACGAGGTTGTACCCTTCAGTGAAGAGCGGGTCCTCCATTTGGGGGTAACTGGTGTCAGCTAGATGTCCACTGTGCCGCCGCATGGGTCGCTTAGCTGTGGCCCCTGCACAACCCAATCTCGAAGTCGGCGTCGACTTCTGGGGACCGCCAGCCAGAGCCGGCCGCCCATTGAACACGCTCGGCGCACAGCAGGCGATGCAGGTTCACTCAGTTGCTCCAGTCTGCTGGCTGTCCGCGAGCGGCCGCGACATTCGGTTGGCTTACAAGAAGAAAGAGTCAAGCCAAGTTGGGTGGCAGAATACAATGCTTGGAAGGCCATAGTCGACCTTGTTCGCCATCGGGTTACTTGGTGTCGAGATGCGGGCGTGCAGTTCCACGCCGGAGGGGAGGGGGACAACGACCATGTCGGTGGGCGGCGGGCGGGGCATGCGACAGCTCATGGCGTTATAAGGCCGCTGGGTGTCAGAGAGGGGAAGAGGATCGTAGATGGGGGCCTGCTGATCGGCGGGGCGTCGTTCGTTCTCGATGTCCGGTGTCCGGGGTCTGGCGTATGGTGTGCGATGTGCGACGTCGTCAAGCGGGCGTTGAGAAGAAGATGGATGGGGAGAGAAAGGGAGGAGAGAGCGGGGGAGGGGGATGTTGGTGGTTCCGATAAGTCCACCTTGAATCTTGAATTCATCCTCGCCAAGACCTTCCCAGCGGCGGGCGAGCGAGACCTCCCATCCCCCCGCTGCATGGCTTGAGCACAGTCCGAGCGAGATGGCAAGAGCAATGTGCGGCGCCACGCCATGCACGCCATACACGCCACTGCCCCTGGCGCCACATCTCGTGCGCGGGCGGTGCGCACGAGGACCGAGCGCAGCGTACATTCCGCGCCGCCATGTCGTCCTCGCCCGACGCCCGTCCCTCGGCGGGCACGTGCCCGTCGTCCTCCCTGCAGTCTGACGGTGCCTGGATGAAGACAATGGAGCGGGGCAGGGCGGGCGAGGGCGGAGAAGGGAGAAAGAAGAAGAGGAGGAGGAGAGGGAGGGGCACCAATGAGGCTGCGCTGGTGGCGGTCGGAGGGCGGAGGGCCGGAAGAAAGGGCATGTCGAGCGGGGACAGGCGGGTGAGACAAGCGGAGACGGAGGGCCTAGGCGGCAGGCGATGAGACGACGAGGGTTCGTCTCCTGCCTCTCCCCGACGTCGACCCCGGTAAGAACAACGCGTCAGCCGGACTACGTGACGCTTTCCCCCTACCCCTTGGCCCTCGACCAACTCGCATGCACTCGGAGCTCGGAGCACAGTCTCCGAGCTCCCGGGGACGTAGCGTCGATCTATGTGATCTGCTTGCCGTCGATCTTGATGCTTGTCAGTGGCGTACGTACATGTGCAGTACGGGTGCCGGATGGCGCTGGGTGTGCTCGGCCGTCGTCCCTCGTCTCTCGTCCGCGATCATCCGTCATCGCCGCGCACGCACATCTGCCACCACGTCACTCTCGGCCGCCCCCACATCATGGCGTGTTCACCAGTTCCGCGGTGACGGTGCGGCCGAGCGCTTACGCTTGACGATCGTGGTGGCTGTGAGGGAAAAGTGGGGCACAATCTGGCATGTGAGCGCGGGCGCGGGCGCGGCATGTGGACTCGTGCGCGCCTCCGCATAATTGTCGCCAGTCAAGTGAGGGCGTGGGCTTTGAGTGGATAGCTTTGCTCGGACGCGCCATGGCCGGTTACGGTGTGCGCCTCGCGCGACAATACGGTGCTCGATCGCATTCTGTGTCAGTCACCTCGCCAAATCCTGCCCCCTCCCCGACCGACACGCCGACGACTGCTATCATATACATCACTCCGCCCTCTACCGCGCCGGGCCGCCGCCACGAGCGCCTCGTCCTGGCGCGCCGCGCCCGCGCTGGGGCATCCCGCGAGAAGCGCCGCCACCACGTCCTGTCGTCAGCGCATTTTCGGTTTTCGCTCCGCGACTCACCACCACCACCACCGCCGCGGCCTGGCATGCCACCACCGCGTCCTGACATTAGCGATGTTCGGGAGCAAAAGGCGAGAAACATTGGAGTAATATATCTCGATGCCTGGAAGTAATCAGGCCGAACTCACCGCCGCGACCGCCGCCACGTGCCTTCTGCGCTGCACGCTCGGCGCGCTGCTTCTCCTGCTCCTCGGCGGCCTGATCCAGCACAGCGTCGGCAATACGGAAGTACTTGATCTGGCATTAGTCCTCCGAGCACGAAGATTGGTACAGAGGAAAGGCAGACGAGGAAGGTGCGGCGTCGTTGCTGGATACCAGAGGCTGCTCGATGTTTCAGCGCAGCAGAGCGCATTCGAGCTTTCCCGCCTTTCATCCCGTCATCTGAGCGCACCCTTGCGGCGTAGGAGTCGCTTGCGCGCGCTGACCTGCTGCGCACCAAATCATCGTGCTCGCACTTACCACATTCCCCTTGATAAACATCTCCTTCATCTTCCAGAAGCGCTCGCCGTCTGCGCTCGTTTCGTACACATCGCGCAGGGTAACGTTCATGAAGTTGTCACAGTCGACGAGGTGCCCATTGAACGTCACGCCGTTCTTGAGCTCGACCAGCTGTTGTCAGCGCGTCAGCCGCAAAAGGGCGAGGTCAGATGTATGCTGGTCCCCGGAGAACGTGAAGCGGACGCACCATCGGCTTGCCTTGTGCGGCATTCAGCAGAGTAAGGGGAAGCTGGAGTTAGCTCGCCACACGACACGGTGCCTCACCATGGCCGTGAGGATGTTGTTGATGAAGCGAACGTTGAATGTGGTGACGGCGTTGTGGGTGAGACCACGTGACTACACCTGGCATTTTGTGATAAGGGTGGGCCCCGGATCATCCTGATGACTGAGCGCGCCGGCCACTTCCTCCCTTGCCTCCACCCATCTCACTTAGCATCGCGAGCATGAGCTGCGCAGACGACCTCACCGTCGACGACCTCAACACGTCTGTGACGACCGAAGTGCTCGAGCGCGTGAGCGCTGGTGAAGGAAGTAATGCCAATCTCTGGGGATGGATCGATCGCGATAAGTGCGCCACAGCATGTGCGGGCTGACGCCAGCGTTGTGGGATTGAACCTCGCAGAGCCGCAGACCGCACCGAAGGTCATCAAGCCATGGGACGAACGAGTGGACGAGGAGGAGTTTGTTGAGAGCGGAGTTGATGACGAGGTGGGTGGGTTGCTGACCCCGACGTACCTCGCTGCCCTTCCATCCCCCCCCCCCCCCCCCCCCCCCCCCCCCCCCCCCCCCCCCCCCCCCCCCCCCCCCCCCCCCCGCCGATGCCCTCTTATCGAAGCCGCCACTAACCTGCAGCTTATCCTCCACATCCCCTTCACAACAAGTTTGCGCCTCCGCAACCTCTGCATGTACCTTCCCGCTCCAGGTCATCCGCATCGCCCTGGCCGATTGCGCATCTTTGCCAACAGCCCCCATCCACCAGACTTTGCAGAGCTTGAGTCCATGGATCCCATCATGGACCTGGACGTGAGCGAGCCTCCGACGCAACGACGAGATATCGGCGGGCGGCGTGATGTTGATGAATGGCCGCTCAAGGTTCAGCGCATGGCGAACGTCTTTGCCGTCACTCTACTCTTTGTGAGCCACAATCTGCAGTTGAAGCTGACGGCAGAGCGAAGCGGGCACAGGGCAGCGGTCAAAAGTGTTCTACATCGGCTTCAAAGGTGACGCGAAACAGCTGAAAATGGACATGTCCAAGCTCGGCCAAGTACCTGCCTCCCAGAGCGCCGACAAGAAGGTCGATGGCGTCGCTGAGAAGAAGGGGGCCGGCTATACCACGATCCGATAGTCCTGCATCATATAATATTCATCTTTACTTGTGCTTGAGCGCAGCGAGCTTCTTGATGGCCTCGGTGCCTTCGAGACGCTCGTCCTGCCACTCGACCTGCGGGGTGGCGCCGAGCTTCTTCTCGTAGAATTCGATGCTGGGGGTGTTCCACTTCAGCACGCACCACTCGACACGCCCGCAGTCACGCTCCAGGGCAATCTCGCCGACGTGCCCGAAGAGCGCCTTGCCGATGCCTGAGCCGCGGAGCTCAGGGATGACGAAGATGTCCTCTACCCAAAGTCCGGGCTTGCCGAGCCAAGTCGAGTAGGTGAAGAAGTACTGGCATGAGCGTGGCTGGGGAAGGCGGGAGGAGCAGGTGGTACATAGCTGAGGCGGCATTTCTGACCAGAGTCTTGTAACTGGAGATGCCAGGACAAAACACTCACGATGCACAGCGCGACGGCCTCTCCCGAGTCTAGCCGGACAATCAGAGCGTGCGCGTACTTGTCCTCGAAAATGGCCTTGCGCATCATCTCAGGCGTGCACGTGACGGCATCGGGCTCCTTCTCGTAGACGGCCTGTGGTTAGTTCGCAAGGATGGGTGATGGCCGGGTACAGCGACGAGGTGTTATGGCGTGATTCGGCGATCCGTGGCGGATTCCGCCGCGCAACTCACAAGGCCGACGACGAGCTTAAGCAGGTCGGGCTAGTGTCAGATTGTAGCGACATGGCGGCTCACAATGTCATCTGGCGTAGCCTCCTTGATGGACCAGTTCTGCGACATTCTGGTGGATGGAGAAGAGAGAGAAATCAAAAGTCGACAGGTGGAGGGATCGGCCATCAACATACCCCGACTCGACTCAGACGAATGCGGGTCGACCAGGATCAGTCAACCTTCAAGCGCTCATGAACCTCGTCACCCAATGCATAGTGTACAGCAACACCTGCATTATCTTCGGATAAAGAGATGCATGCATGGAAAGCGCCAGCGTCGTTGAGCGCTGACGCCGTTCCCGAGACGCCGGTCCCCTCTGGCGAAGGTCGGCAGATGCCGACCCCGCCTTCCCCACCTCCACCTGATTACTGCCCCACTTCAATCTGATTACTGGGACTGATGGTTAAATGAGCCGAAACGCGTCACGCGCCACCCAACTCATTTCCAAACAACATTCATCACCTGCTCGCCGTAGTCACAATCGCCGCCATCGTCAGCATTCTCGCCACCACCGCAACTGCACAATAGCTGTTGCGTCTTCTTCTTGTGTTGGCGTGTACGACGCGCGGCTGGTTCCTCCTCAGTCTCCTAACATCTGCCCTTTCATCCGTATAGCTTCTCTCCACCAAACCGCGCCATCGGATTTTGCGCGCCATGCCCGCACTCAGCCCTACGCGGCTGTGCGAACCGCCCAGCATGGCCGCCAACCCGTTTGCGCGTCCCTTACCTTCGCCCAGCAAGCGTAACCCCTTTGCGCGCGCGACCGAGGCCACGAGCTTCACGCGCAAGGGCCTGCTCCCTGCGGCGTCACCAAAGCAAACACAGACAAAGTCACAATGGCGCATGCTGTGGCGCGGGGGGTTCGAGATCGGTCCGGATGGATGGCGCCTAGATGGTTAGGCTTTGCGGACTGGCGGTGAAGCTAACAACAGGTGTGACATTCTTCGCCCTCCTTTCGTTCCCAACCAACCTCCCAACACCGAGCGACAATCCGTTCGCTCCGCCTACGCCGGGCCCTTCTGATCCTGCGCTGCCGAGCGACGCTGATCTTTGCCTTTCTCTCGAATCCTTGCGTGGGCGCAAATACCTCGCTGTCCGCGGAAGTACCGAGCTCACCGACGAAGAAGCGCTGGACGGCGAAGAGATTCAGATGTCAACCACCTCGCCTCTGTTGGCTGCCTTCCTGACCGGCATGCTTTGCCGCGAGCCCAGCCTCTCACTGAGCGGGCGTACACGTACTGCAATCATTGTGGGACTGGGCGACGGCGCGGACGAGAACGTGCTCATTTACGGGCAGCGGGTGGCAGAGACGCAGACGCTGAAGCTCTGCGTCGGCAGAAAGAAGCCTCCACCGCCGCCCGAGAAAGTCCGGCCAGGACAGCCACTCCCTCGCGGTAAGATCGTGTCTCCTGATCTACAGCTAACGTCAGCTCCCCCACTGCTCGAGGTGCGCCGTGGGCTGCCGTTCTCGAGGCGAGCGATCTCTCGCTCAAGTGTTCATGTACATGTCGCCGCGCCCCCACTCCGAGCAAGCTTACCGATATCTGGTCGGCTGGGCGAGAAGCGATCACGCGTTGAGGAAAACCCGCGACGTCGTGCTAGCCTTGTCGGGTCAGAGGCGGACAGCGACGTGTTTGGGAGCACCTTGCATTCCCGCGCACCCAGTGTGCGCCGAGAGACTAGCCGGGCTCCCTCTGCAGTACCGTCGACTTCCGCCTGTGACGATCGCCTCAATAAGCGCGCGCGTGTGCTCGACTCTCAGCAGGTGGTGGACAACAAGGGGGTGAGCGTTTTACTAAAAATGTGGTGTCGCTAACTCCAGTGTATTCGCAAGTTGACCATGCACATGCTGGAGGAACGAGGACATCCACGCGACGGAGACATCCACAAGGAAGTATGGCCTGTCGCATACAAGGGCGCGTACTTTGCTCTTGTGAGTCAAGTCTGATGCGCGGCTGACAGCAGCGGAGCAGGCTCGATAGCAGCCCCCTCGTCAAGGCCGAGGTCCGCGACATCGTCGGTCGGCACCTCGACATGTATCTCCCTGCGAGCGCACCCGCTCCTGGTTTGTCCCAGGAGCCGAGGGCATCTTCGCGCAGCGTCGGTCACAGTAGAAGCAGCTCCAGCGCGACAGACGCCAGCGACGGCGCTTCGCGTGTCCCGTCCATGCGCTCGCCATTCGCGCGCTAATCCCCTTCGCACATCGGTCTGGCACGATCATTTGTACTTTGTAACACTTTATCACCACACTTGCATCCTTGCATCGCAACCATTGTACACAACATACATGCAGCCCATGCTCAATGCTCCTTCAAATGCTATCATCATGCGGACTCCTCCCACCAGTTACCGCCTCCGCTTGAGCTCGGCGCTGGTCCTCTGCGGCGCGGCTGGTCCTCAACCTTCTTTCCAAACCGCTTGACCACTACGCTCAGTCCGCTCGAGATACCTTTCCGCCCGCCGCCAGGGAACTTGCTCTCCTCATCCTCGCCGTCCTCCCGCTTCCGCTTCCCCTTCTTGCCCGGCATCACTGTCCCCGTCTTTCTAGCATACGCGTCCATCACGCCGCGCATGCTTGCTTCCCACGCCTCCTTGTGGAGGCGGTACAGTGCCATCGTCGCACGCGCGTCCGTGATGGACGAGTGCGCGCCGCCCTGAATCTTCAACCCCAGCTGCGACTCGACGAGAGATTTAAGGCCGGGCCGCTTCGTGCGCGCCGCCTCGCGCAGAGGCTTTGACTTCTGCGTGTCGCGCACAAAGGGCGCCGGGTGCGAGAGCAGGAGGGCCTGGAGTCAGCTCAGCAGCGTGGCCGAGGCTCACCTTTGTGTCGTTCTCGATAGCATGGCCTACTAGCACCCGTCCCTCGACAAGCTCCGCCACCTGCTTCTGTACCTCCTCAAATGGAGGGGCACCCCGCAGATCTTCCTCGCGGATACCGCTCACCCACGTCCTGTAGTCGGTCACGCGCTCGCGCGGGGCCACGAAAGTGTCGAGTAAGACATGTCCGTGGTAGTTGACCAGCGAGACTCGCGCCAGCGCACTTTCGGCCCCGAGATGTCCCAGGCCCACCATTTCACAGTCTAGCGCGACATAATTTCCCGGACTGATGTCAGCCCTGCACGCTGAGAGACTCAGCCCTCCCAACGACGCCCCGGCCGACTCACGCCTTCTTCGCCTCCGACAACGCCGCGTGACCGAGGACCATCTGGCGTAATTCATGCAGGAGAGGACTGTCGCTCGGAGCGGGAAGAACGACGACCTCGGCATTCTTATCGGTCGTCGACGAAGTAGGCACTGGGTCCTTGCTGTCGTCAGCCAACTTCTGATTATCTGAGCTCACGTTTCCGCTGCACTCGTCCCGGCATCAGGTCCCGAGCTAGTGAACGACCCAATCCCTTTCATAGAGCGTTTCTTGGACGGTGGACCGCGGCGCGCGTCACTGGGCAGCGTCTGTCGTCAGCATATCTCTGCAGATGATCTGAGCTGACCATCTTCAGCGCCTCCCAGTTGCTGCTCGGCGCTCCGTTCCCACTTGACTCCTTGCGTGCTGCACGCGCGGCAGCCAGCTTCCTCTGACGTCCTGAACCGGGAGTGGGGGCTTTATCGCCCTCTTTCTGCTTCGGCTTCGGGTCGCTCATGATTGTTGACAAGTTGACAGCCGGGGCTGGAGGCCAAAGATTCATATGACAGAGCGGACACATTCGGATCTCCGCTTGCCACTCGTGAGCATCCATTTCCTGTGCCGGCCTATTGAATGTGGATATTATTACTAGTAATATTATCCCACACAGTAATCGATAGCGTGGGGCAGCAGCGGCGATGTCCGATCCGCCTGGTCATCGTCATCGTCCCTGCCCACCATCGAGATAGCAACATCACTCTCTTTCAGCGCGATGTCGGAAAACGCGCCTCTTCTGCCAGCCACCGCTCCGCCCGCCGAGCGCCGTCGTGCGCGGGGGTCAATCACTCTCCTTGTACCGGTCGTGCTCGTTCTCGCGACGCTCGGCGTTCTCATTTTCGGCAAACGCGAGCCATCTGATCCGCTTAGCCTGGCGCGATACTGGCTAGACCAGTGTGTTTCGCGATGGACCAGCTGACCTCAGCACTCCCATCATCGATGGACACATCGACCTCCCCATATACGTGCGCGAGATGTACGGGAACGACGTGACCAAGTTTGACCTGCGCAAGAAGATGGTGCGTCCCGTGACCTTCCTTGTCTTTCGAGGTCCCCCAGCCTCCTCGAGCTCGCCACGGCTGACCGCAGTCCGGACATGTAGACATCCCGCGCATTCGCGAGGGTCGGCTCGGCGGGTTCTTCTGGAGCGTCTATGCCGACTGCCACGAGAAAATTGACGGGCCCGACTTCCTTAACCCCTCCCATCACGTCCGGGGTGAGTCGTTTGGGTGTGTCCGAAGGCCACAGGCTGACCGCAGACACGCTCGAACAGATTGACGTCGCACGCAACCTTATGGACCGGTACGCGGGCACATTCGAGTTTGTGACCACCGCTCAGGGCGCGCGTGACGCGATGGCGCGTGGGCGCGTTGCGAGCTTCATGGGTATTGAGGGAGCGCATCAGCTGGGGAACTCTCTGGGTGGTGAGTGTCGGATTCAGTGGGCTGGCCAGTTCAGTCATAGAAGACATCGCATCAGACGTCGTTTCGTGCTGACCGCAGTGCTTCGCCAGTACTACAACCTCGGCGTGCGCTACGCGACTCTCACCCACAGCTGCAACAACGCGTTCGCCGACTCCGGTGGTTACGTGCAGCCGAACGCGACTTGGGGTGGCCTTTCGCCCTTCGGCTATGAGCTCGTCAAGGAGATGAACCGGCTGGGCATGCTCATTGACCTGTCGCATGTTTCGGACGACACAGCTCGCCAGGCTATCAAGGCGTCCAAGGCCCCGATCATGCTCAGCCACAGCGCTGCGCGTCACTTCAACAACTTCTCTCGTAACGTGCCGGACGACGTGCTAGGGATGATCGGCCGTGGCAAGGGGCAGACGGACGGAGTGGTCATGGTCAAGTGCGTACGACTCGTGTCCATGATGCAGATGCTCTCAAGCGTTGGCAGAGCTGACCGCAGCTTTTTCCCTTTCTTCGCCAGCAAGGATCCTGACTCTGTCGACGCCGCATCCATCGCCGACCAGATTGACTACATTGCCTCTAAGACTGGCCACCATCAGTGAGCACCGGAGATCTCATATGCTAACAACAGCGTGGGCATCGGCAGTGACTTTGATGGGATTGATCGCGTACCGAAGGGCCTCGAGGATGTATCAAAGTATCCTCATCTCGTGCGTACGCCACGACACCCCTCCCTTCCTCCTCCGCTCCTGCTCGGAAGATGCGAAGAGCGGAGGGAGTGCATCCGTCCTCGCTAACACCAGATTGCCGAGCTTATCCGCCGGGGCTGGACGCGGTACCAGGTAGCGCAACTCGCGGGCGGCAACATCCTGCGTGTCCTCGAGGGAGCTGAGGCTGTTGCGGCGCGACTGCAGCGAGTCAACGGACCTAGCATGGCCAAGTACAGCAAGCGACACGACCTCGATGGCGGATGGGGCGGATTTGAGCTTTAGAGCTATAATGAATAGGCGGAATAGATGTGGAGCGATTATTGGAAGAGATGTCAAAAGATAGGGTGGCCGGGGCGACCCGTGCGGTCATGGAACTGGGTACTAAAGTCGCGCGACTCGCTGAGCTGAGCTGTTCTTCCACATTCTCTCGATGTCTTGTTATTTCTTGTCACCAACGCCGGGTCCGCTCGCTGGCCAGCAAGCCCTACGCTCCACCCTCCCTTTTTCTATGAAGACGTCAATGGCGCACATGCTGAGGCGACACATCACTAAAACCTGAAGGAGTTCCAAAACACAAAGCGTCACCTCCAGCCAAGCCAGCCGAGACGATCGGGAGTGGATACGTCTCTAGTCGTCATTGTCAGCACCAGTGCACAACTTCCCAGCTCGCTAGGACTTGGCGCGTCTGGCCTTCAGGCCATACGAGTCCAACGACGACAACGCGTCAGTACAATCACGTCACCTCCTACGACTTGGAACGCCGAGCGGCTGAGCGGCGCGAGCGGCATCATGTCCGACTGACCACGTGCCGCGAAATTTCAATGACGTTTGGGGTCGTCCGGGCCGGGCGGGCCGTGGGTGATGCCCCCAACAGCCAACAGCCAGCTATCCCGCTGACCGCTAGATCCCGGGGACCGATACAGCTGCACGTCACCAGATACCGCCTACCTTATAAGATCTCGTTCTTCCATCTCCTTCTCCGGCTCTTCCCCATCTCCCCACTCTCTTCCAGTCTCTCCACTCACTTCCTCCAAACTTAATCCTCATCATGGCTGCTCCGACTAGCAACAAGGCGCGCGGGTACGCGATTACAGACCCCAAGAACTACCTCGACTTCCAGGTGAAGGAGTACGAGCTCGAGCCGCTTGCCGACGACCGCGTGACGGTCGCCGTCGAATGCTGTGGCGTGTGCGGAAGTGACCACCACACCATCTCAGGCGGCTGGGGCCCATGGGAGACCAAGTTTGTCGTCACGGGTCACGAGGTTGTTGGCAAGGTTGTGGAGGTCGGCAAGGGTGTCAAGAGCGTCAAAGTAGGCGACCGTGTCGGCGTTGGTGCACAGGTCGGATCATGCGGTGACTGCAAGTGGTGCAAAAACGACAACGGTGAGTCCGCAAATTGCCAGGGATGCGGCGACGCATCTCATCACACCTGCACTAGACCTCGCTGACACGCAGAAAACTACTGCCCGACCCCGGTCCACGGCTACAACACGACCTGGCCTGGTGGCGCCGAGCACCAGGGCGGCTACAGCACGCACATCCGCGCGCAGGAGCTCTTCGTCTTCCCCATCCCCGACTCGCTCGCGTCTGTTGAAGCGGCTTCGATGCTGTGTGGCGGCCTGACAGTGTTCTCGCCTCTCGTGCGTAACGGCGTGAAGAAGGGCTCCAAGGTCGGTGTCGTCGGCCTCGGTGGACTGGGACACTACGCTGTTCTGTTCGGTGTGGCCCTCGGTGCCGAGGTGACTGTCTTCTCGCACTCAGAGGCAAAGAAGGCAGACGCGCTTAAGATGGGCGCGAAGGCGTTTGTCCCTACCACTCCTGGCTTCGAGAAGGACCACTTCCGCGAGTTTGACCTCATCGTCTGCTGTGCCAGCAGCAGCAAGCTTCCCATCGACGAGTTCCTCACTTGCCTCGATGTCGGCTGCAAGCTTGTGTTCGTCGGCATGCCTGAGGAGGGCCTCAAAAACATCACGTCCCAGAGCATGGCGGGCAGCGGCGTGAGCCTCGGCTCAGGCCACATCGGGTGTCGCACCGAGGCGTTGCGCATGCTAAAAATTGCCGCGGAGCAAAAGGTTAAGCCTTGGATCCAGGTTATGCCGATGAAGTATGCTGCCAAGGCTATCAAGCAAATCGAGGATGGGTCTGTGCGCTACCGCTCCATCCTCACGCAGGACCTGGTTTGATAATGTAGTATAGCATATGAACTTGTGTAGCGAACTGCGGCTGAGGAGCATGGCCGGCACAGAGGCAGCAGGGGAATCGGGCTCAAGGCTGCCAGGACAGTGTGGAAGACAATCTCTAGAGTAGGGAACCGCAAAAGATCAGGTCCGACTGGGAATCGAACCCAGGCTACAAGAACGAGGTGTGTTGAAGCAACTCAGAATCTTGTGTACTAACCACTATACGATCAGACCCCTAATTATCACGTGATGGAAGAATCACACCCTCCATTAATACACACACGAAGCACCACAAGAGGCCATTGTCCGCAACCAAATGTAACTTACTCGGTAGTCCGTCTTCCTTGCAGCCGTTGTGTAAAGCATGTAATACGTTGTGATCCTTTGGGCGGCTGAGGGTGTATTGGCAGACTGGCATGAAAGTGCCCCCCTTGCTACTGGCGCGGATCGAACGTTCGCCACACGGAACCAAATTGTACCCCACCTTCCTCGCCGTGTTTCGTTTCTGCACTCCCACTCTCGCCCCTCGCACTACCTCACCAACCACAAACCACAACCACCTCCCTCGCGCTCCCGTCTTCTGCCGGATTGCCTTCTCAGAGCGAGTGGCGGCATGAGGATTCACGAGCTCCTCGAGGCCGTCATCGACTACGTCGTCGTTGAAGGTGTGCTAGGTGAGTTCGTCGAGTCCAACGCGTCGCAAAAGTCCACAGCTTGTGGCATGGAGGGTGGTTCGAACGCCAGCGTCACAAGCCGGGGTGGAGGCAGGCCGGCGTCAACAATCTTGAGCGGAGCAGGCACGCGGATAATGGATGAGCAGGATGGATGGAGAGAGGAGAGTGGGGCGGTTCGGGGACGGCCTGAGCGGTAGATACAGAGTACTGACACCCAGGCGCTGACCCCCTCGTTGTCCAGCGGCATCTTGCTACTCTCGACCCCAAGGTCGACGACGCGTACTTCGCTCACCTCTGGCCACACATTTCGAAGCACAAGCTTGTGCAAGTGATTGTCGCTGCAGATGCGCTCTCCGACCCCAACCCACCGAATCCGTCTGTTGACGGCGCCGAGCTCTTCACCTTCCTCAACGAGGACGATGGCGGTGACCCACCCGTCAAGACCACTGATCTGCGCGCGCTCATGGAGAGATATCCTGATCGATTGAGGATCCGTTGCGTTGACGACGAAGTGTACTATCGTCTCACTGGATCTCGCCAGCGTATTCCTCGAATCACACCTATGATCTTCACCTACCTGCAACTCTCGGCGCGGTCGCGCGAGAAAGGCATTTCCGCACTCGAACTTGGCCCCCTAACTCAGACCAACCAGAAGAGTGTCTTCCACTACATCCGGGTCCTCGTGCAACTTGGTCTCTGCGCCAAGATCCCCGCGTCTCTCCATGGAGCCAACACCTCCATCTTAGTCTTCCGCAAGTTCCTCGAGCAGAACCCCAACTACAAGGCGCACATGCGCAAGAGCAGTCAAGAGCCCGAGGTCAAGGATGAGCCCAAGGAGGAGGACGGAGAGGTTGAGCCAGAGGAGGATGGTGAGGTCGAGAACCTTGGATTCAACTTCACCCCTTTCTCGGAGATGGAGCTTGTGGCCGGGCACATCCCCCGCGAGCGTCTTATTCGCGTTCTCGACCATCCCGGCCTCAAGAACCATCTTTTGGGCAACCACCACCTCCTTCAAGTTCTCGGCTGGCCTACGCAGGGCTACAAAAATCGCCACCGCCGCCAATTGCAGCGCCATATCGCTCAGATGGTTGACGAGGGCGTCGTTGAATACGTTGATATTGGGAGCGCTCTGCGAGCGTGTCTCCGGCTCACCAAGTACAACCCCGACTACGTGGCGCCAGCGAAGGCCGACGATGTCCAGGTGATTGAGGAGGTGCCCATGAACGGTAATCACATGTCGATTCTAATGGCTAATCGTAGCTGCTGAGTACACCGAGCCGTTCCGCTTCCACGGGGGGGCCCTCGCAACGGCTTCTCTTGAGTCACAGGTTATCAATTCGATTCATCGCTCGGGGCCGCAGGGCCGTACATTGCAGGACCTCTACGTTGCATTGAGCGGCATCTTCCGCCGCACCCTTGAGCACATTATCAATCGCATCGACCTCGTCTTCCTCGCCCCCCATCTCAAGCACAAAGCGATCCGCTGCGTTATAGAGTCCGTCCAGCGTGAGCGCCGTCTGCGTCTCTTCTCCATTGACAACTACGTCCAGTACATGGCGCACCTGGGTATTGTCGTAACGCCTCCCCCTACACCTGCCGCAGCGGGTCACTGGGCGGATATTTCCTTCCGCAAGTTCATCGAGAACGGCACTCAGCTCAATAAAGCTATGGCCACCCTGTCGAGCGGAATTATACCTGTGGGCTCAGCATACTCCGGTGGAGCTGGGCGCAAGCGTGCCCCGCGAAAATCAGCTACCGCGTCAGAGTCGCCGGCCCCCACTCTGGGTAAGCGGAAGCCAAGAGTGTCTGCTCGGGCCCGTGCCACCACAGAGGGCGGGGAGGAGATCGTTAGCGATGACGCGGGCTCGCCCGCCCCAGGTCTGAAGAAGAAGCCGAAACGTGTCGCAGCAACCCGCCAGCCTAAATACGAGAATGAGGTACAGGAGCGTGGGCGGCCTCGCAAGTACGTCTATGTCGTCAATCAGGACGGTACGCGCAACCGCATGATCCTTGGCGACCTGAAGTTGACACCGAACCTACCCCCACTTCTCGTTTACGTCAAGGACGCTGGCGTGCTCTGCCTTCCTCCCAAAGGTTACACTGGTGTCGGCGAGCCCCCAGCTCTTACGGACGAGATGATTGCGGCCGGTCTCCCCCCCGAGCACTACGGCCCTGCGAAGCGCGGCAAGGTAAAAGGCGGAGCTACAGCAAAGGCGCCCGCCAAGAGCCGAAAGCGCAAGGCGGAAGAGGCTCAGGGCGATGGCGTGCCAGCATCTGAGGCGGCCGATGGCACCTCTGCTCCGACAGCTGAATTGGAAGAGGCGGGGCCCTCCAAGCGCCCCCGCCGCAAGGCTGCAATGCGGAAGCTGGTCGCCCACCTACCTCCCGACCTGGAACCGGAAGAGGGCGCTGAGCTGGACGAGCTAGCTGAAGCGGACCCAGACGCCGCGGAGATCGGTGCTGGTCCAAGTCTGGAGGTGGACCTTCCGTCCGCCGAGGAGCTGATGGTGGTCGAGAACGCCGTACCTGCTCCTGAGGCAGTTATTGACGCGGTAATGGCCTCCGCAGAGGCTGTAATCACAGCGCCTGGTACGGTCGCGCCGCCCGAGTTCATCATCGACACAACTGCGATCACTCACGCCTCCCCCCCCGCCGCTGCCGAGATTTCAACACCACCCGAGTTCACAGTCACCGATGTCGCTGCTGTTGCCGAAGTCACTTCTATCCCTGACTTGACTGCTGCGCCTGTCGTAACACCCCCTGACCTCAACGCGAAGCCTCCACCGAAGTCTCGTCGTGGGAAGAAGGCGCTCATCGATGCCGCCGATCAGAGCACGAGACGATCTACTCGTGCTCGCCGTAGTGGCGCTTCGGCGATCAACCCGGATGTCTCGCCTGCTGACGGCCACTTAGGCCGCACAGACGAAGCACCGGCACTCGGCGCCGCTGCGTTACTCGACGGAGATGCTCCTGCTGCCGGGTCAATGGAGGCTCCAGCTCTGGAGTCAATGGAAGCTACCGCTGCTGCTGCCGATTCATCGGAACTTCCGAATGATGCCGTCCTGTCGACTCCGGTCGGGCAAGTGGCCGAGAGCGCCATGCATCCCGATCATGCGGAGGCCACGGCCGACACCATGGGTGTTGATGATTCCAAGCCTGAGCCGAAGCTGCCTGCGGCACGTCTTACCCGTGTTGACGTTGCTACTTTGCGCAGGATACAAGAGCTCCTTCAATGCTTGATCGACAGCGGCGGCGTTATGACGGACAATAAGCTGTACCACGAGCACAAGGACTGGGTAAACAAGTGGGCCGGCACCGACCACCCGTTTGCTCCGGCCGTTCCCGCTGGTATGGACCGCAAGGTCTTTAAGCGTGTCCTCGCCATCTTGGTCAACGATGGTCGCATCAAGGAGCGCATCTCCAACATGCCCACCACAACGGGCCGTTGGGTGAAGCAAACGATTGTTTTTGCGGAGGGCACGCCCGAGGTCGCCGTCAGCACTTACATCCACTCGCTGGCCAATACAGTCGGATCGCAGCCATCAACGCCTCAACCTCTTGCACGCTCCAGGGTCGCCTTGCAATACTCAATGTACAAGAAGCCAAGTCGTGCAAGTATATTAGTCCCCGATGACGACAAGGATGAGTCACCGAGCAAATCCCCCCTCACTCAACGCGAGGCATTTCTCAGCGAGCCTGGCATGGGCGCACACCTCTACGGGTACCTTACGGGTCGCAACCTGCGCACCAAGGCGCTTCACCAAGCGATTCTCAAGGTCATCTCCTCCGAAGAGGCGCAGGCGGATGCGCCGAGCTTAGTATCCACGACGCCCCGTCTTTTTGCGATGCCTCTTGTTTTCGAGGAGCTCCACATACGCGATTGGCTTCGCATCGTGCGCGTCGAGAAGTGGGACGAGGAGCTTTACCAATGGACGCAAATCCCGGGGAATCTTGACATCCGGCTGAAGAATCTACCTCAGGACATCGCCGAGCGTGCCAACATGAGCGGGCGGTCGTGGCACAACGCCAAAGTGAACAGTGTTCGCACGCTGTTCTCGATGCTTTCATTCCTGCAAATTCTGACGCCGCTTCAGCCATGTGACGTTTCCATCGCCACGGTGAAGTTGTCTGAGACGAAGGGTGACCACCCCATGATGTACGAGCGCGCCCCAGACGCTACGGCTGCGCCGTACTTCATTCTCCATGATGTTGCCCCGGTATACCACGTCGCCGATCCCTCACTCCCTCTCCTCGGCTTCATGCCGGCCAGAAACGAGGAGGAGGCCGAGCGACTGTGGGCGATGATCAAGGATGGTGCACACCAGCCCAGTCGGCCACAAGTCGCGCGTATGGACGTGCCAGCATTTCCGTTCGCACCTGTGGTCACCGGTGTTCTCGACACCACCGTCAACCTTACTACTGCGCTGTTGTCTAAGCGTAGATGGAAGGACGAGCTCAAGCTTTTGGATGGCCAGCGTCGAGCCCTCAATGCGGCCATCGATAGCCGTGGTGCGCGGACAGTGAAGACCAAGGAGGAAGTGGCCAAGCTTGCCCACGACCTAGCAATCACGCCTGGAGATGTCGAGACGTACTTGGCCCGCCGTGACAGACTCAGGACGTCCATCAGCGAGCGAACCATTCGACCAGCTCCCACCACGGGTGCCGCGACATACACACGCTCAGAACGGCACAACGAAAAGGCCGCCATCCGCGAAGAGCTCGCCAATCGCATTCGTGCCGCTCGGCAAGTCTACGAACAGCGTGTGCAGACTGCTGCAGCCAAGGTCGGCGTTGAGGTGACGCAGGAGCTCCTTGACTACATTGTTCGGAACCGCCCCATGACACGGCTTGGTGAGATCACCAGCGATGCTGAGCTCGTTACGATCATGGAGTCTTTCGTGCGCGTCAAAAACGGCTTCCAGCTCCCTCCACGCCGCAACCCAGGTCTCACCCGCGCCAGTACCAGTCACATCAAACCCAGCCGCAACCGCGGGCGGCCGCCCAAGCCCAAGGACTATAAGCCAGCGGTTCTGCCCAAGGTTGAAAAAGAGAAGGGCCGCCGTTACCGACACGCGTGGACCAAGGAAGAAGAGGATCTCATCCTTGACTGTGAAGCTGTCATTCGCGCGCGTGCTCGTGGCTCGCAGCAACGGGGTCGTTCAGCGATGAAGGACATTTTCCCAATGATCGGTGATCAGGTCCTTCGCGCCAAGGTCAAGAAGCTCCTGGAGCCTCCTGGCAAGGCAGCGTATTATCAACGTTTGGAGGATGCCGTGGCCAATATCCTCGAGGAGTTCCAAGGTACCGACGACCTACCAGACCCCAATCCAGGCAACATCACCCACTTCAACCTCCGGTTATATGTCGACTTCGTCCGCACCAAGATCAACAAGGCGCTATTACGTCTTCCCGTCTCGTCCGCTCCACCGCCTGGCAAAGGGAAAGCACCAGAGCTTCCTCACGATCCCAAGGAGCTCATCAAGCGATACGAATGGGAGTATCTCAAGGCCACAAATACGTCCTTTGATCAAATCCTCGACATTCCTGGAAGTGAAGAGAGCAAACTGCACAATATTAGCCTTGCCAGTGTAGTGGAAGAGGAACCACGCGCGTGCCAGGCCCCAGACGAGCCTATTGACCGCACCACCTCAATCATCCGCGCGGCGATCAAGGTGAACTCACTCTTGAGGCGATGCTAACAACTACAGATGGTTGTGTCAACTCCCAACCCTGTGTACAACATGCAGGCGGCGTCCCAGCTGCTGAGTAATTACTACAAAGACGAGTATGAGCCGCAGATCGCCGCCCTTGTCAACGAGGGCATGCTCAACAAGAACATCAACTCGATGAAAACGCCTGGTCGTATGTACGGCTACGCAAACGGCTGGCTGTATGCCGCAGAGGGCTTTGTGCCGCCCGAGGTCCCCAAACAGGTCCGCGACATGCAGGCCAAGCTGTCTCAAGAAGGCGAGATGACGTGGCCACTGGTGGGCCAACCAGGCGACCTTGCCACATTCATGCAAATGGTGTCCAACCATGATGTGAGCTGTTCTCTGACGGCGTTGACTGACACTAGCTCGACATTGAGATCAACGCCGATGAGGTGCCTGCGCTCGGCATGGAGCGTCTGGCGTACAACACGCGTTCACTTAGTAAGTCTCACAATGAGGATTCTGTCTGACCGCAGCCGATGCCTCGTTCGAGTGGGACATGCGTGTTAAGCGCCTCACGAAGCCCGTCCCCACTTTCCCAGCTGCCCCGCCATCTCTTGAGATCCCGCCTCTCGTGCCGTGGTCAGTTGCGCCAGGTCCTACTGCGCACGTTGAGCACATCATGGACGCAGTTGCCGCTGCTGGTGCGGATGGCATCACTGCCGGCGAGTTGAAGGTCGTAACGGGCTTGTCGGTGAGTGCCATCGACGGAGCTTTCGCGGCGCTCGCGCTGGAGACAAACCCACGCATCTTCTGGGCGGGATACGACAACGCGCACGTGGTTGCCAGTCAGTTCTGGGGCGGCTGGACAACGCGGATCAAGCCGCGCGACAAGTTCTTCGGACCTGACCCCTGCCCGCGGGTTGAGTGCGCTGCACGCCGTTGGGTCGACATCTGGGGCGAGCTCATACCTTCCGAATGGGACCGAGCAATGAAGGCCATCATCGGGCAGTTGATAGTGCGCCCCGGCATGACCGAGCATGACCTTCGCCAGCGTCTGAGTGCCGTCCTGGACCGGATGGAGATTTCGGACGTCCTCCAGGCTCTTGTTAGTGCTGGGTGGGTTACGCGCCGCACCGGGCTTCCCTCGGACCGGCCAGTGCCACCCGTGCACGCTACTGATGCGTGGGAGGCACGCGGCATTGTGCTCATCACGAGTGAGAACATGTGGGTATAGCAAAGTAGAGGAAGCGCGTGCGCGATGGCGGTCGCACGCCATCTGAGAAAGGAAAGGCAGCTCAGACGGGTGAGATAATATCGCAGCATACGGGTTGCATGTGTGTATGATGATGAATATGTACTTGTGCGTGCAAAGGCGCAGCAGGCAGCAGGAGGGAGGGCTGGTAGAATTGCGCCATTTGCAGTGCTGCGACCAGCTCCACAGCTGACGACGGAGCACGCTATTCACCAGCACTTGTTTCGGCCTCCCGTGACAGAAGCACTGAAAACAGAAACACTTATAACGCGCATTCCGAAGGACGGGGCAGCTGCGGTCTTGGCTATCTAATCGTGCTGCAACGGGGTGACTAACGGCCGCCCACTCGGAGACAACCCTCGGACATCGGACATCTCCAGCTCCGCACTTCCTCCGCTCGAACTCCTGAATCGGCAACGTCGACTCGCCACCCAACGCATCCCCTCTCTTGACATCTCTTCATCTCCCTCGTCTGCCCTCTCTTGCATATCTTGATTGCATTTGGCAGCTCCCGCCGCTTCTTTTCACTCTCCTTCCCGCTGATTCGGATTCTGCACCGCACTGCGTCTCGTGATCGGGTGACCGACGCGACTGTCACACCTTCGACGCGACACAAGGGCTTCCCGCCGATTGAGTACACATCCCTCTTCAACTTGCCACGTCGCCACTCATCTCTTTGCTCTATTTCCTTTTTCCTATCCGCATCGCCAACGCTCTCACTACCTCTCGCCTCCAGGCTTCTATAACCACGCTCACCCACTCCACTTTGCCCTTCTCGCTCCGCACCATGACCTGGATCTTTGGCTACGGCTCCATCATCTGGCGCCCCGACTTCCCTTACGCCGAGCGCACACTCGCCTTCGTGGCAAACCACACGCGCCGCTTTTGGCAGGGCTCGCCCGACCACCGTGGCACTCCCACCTCCCTCGGCCGAGTAGTGACCCTCGTTCCCGAAGAAGGCGCCGTCTGCTGGGGCTTCGCGTACCGCGTCCCGCCCGAGCGCGTCGACGAGGTCATGGCCTACCTCGACCACCGCGAGCGCGGCGGTTACGTGCGCATCACTGTTCCGTTCCATCGCGCCCACGCCGTCTGCGCCAACCCCCTTCATAACATCAAGCCCGAGGACGCTGTTGAGTCGATCACATATATCGCCGCGCCGGATAACGAGCATTATCTCGGCCCGGACGCACTCCCCCGCATGGTGAAGCAGATCGCCGGGGCGGCCGGCGAGTCCGGGAGGAACGCCGACTATGTCATCAATCTTGCTACCCATTTGAAAGAGATGGGCCTTGATGACCCTCACGTCTTTACGCTTGCCCAGGCTGTGCGCGAGGCGGTGGCCGCGTCCAGCGCCTCGCCGATCGTCAAGATCAAGGCTCTTGGCGCACTCGAGGACGCCCTGGAAGAGGCGAGCAAGGCCGAGCACGCTGTCGCGAGCAGCGCCACCGTAAGCGCTCGCGCCTAGTCCGTGCGGTAAACCTCGTAGCTGGGCACTCGCCACATCCATACAGCCCATGGCACTCATTGTATACTAGTATGCATCGCATCAGTTTCGCGTATCTCTAGACGCCTCCGTGCAGTAAGTGAGTGGTAAACGGAGCCACGATATATGGTCGTGAGCCGTATGCGATGATGAGGGTGGATGACGTTTGCTTGCTTGCCCAGTACAATCTGAGGCGGTTGGTTGAATTTTGAGCATCAGCACAGCACCATGCGTATCCTACATGCAGTCTTAGTCGCATTTACTTCATCTATCGCGTATTGATCTCGCTTCCCGTCATTTTTCCACCGCGCGCCCCCTCAACCATGATGCGCATGCTGTCCCGTCACGAACGGGTGCAGCAGCGCCTCGCGCGGCGAGATGCGCCGCACCGGATCCAGCATCAAACACTTGTCGAGCAGATCAACGAACTGCTGCAGCTGCTTGAGCTCGTCGACGCCCATCTTGGCTTGTACACTCGAGCTGGGCATGAGACGCGAGCGAAGGTCCTTTGTCGCTTTGCTGATCACGACGGTTTTGACGACATCCGCGCCGGTAATGCGGTCCTTCTCGGCGGAGAGGAAGTTGTTATTCTCGTCGAAGTGCATAGCGCCCAGCTGCGCCTTCTTAATCATCCGGTGAGGCAGCTTGCCCTTCGTCTCCTGCTGAAGCAAAAGCATGTGGTTGTTGCTCCGGCCTGGGAAGAGGATCTTGCCTGTGTACAGCTCAAAGAGCGTGCAGCCGATGGCCCAGATGTCGATGGCGGTGTCGTAGGGCAGGCCGAGAATGATCTCCGGCGCACGGTAGAAGCGTGAGACAAGATACGGCGTGATCTCGCCCTCGGACACCTCGGCAGCTGTGCCAAGATCACACACCTTGAGCACGGCCTTGTTCTCGCTTACTAGGACGTTGTCGGGCTTGATATCCGCGTGAACAATAGAGCACTTGCGCATAAGAGAGAGTGCGAGCAGCATTTGATGAGCGTACGCGCGGACGGCACGCATGTTGAGCCCCACGTCTTTGCCGAAGCGCTTGATCACATCACGAAGGTTCATGCTGAGACTCTCAGTGACGATCGCCAAGTGACCCTTGTGTTCAAAAGTGCGCTCCATGCGAACAATGTGCTTCTTGTCCTCCGGGTCGGCATCGTTGAGAAGCTTAAGGATCTGAGCCTCCTTCTTGCCAGCGACGTACATGCTCTCCTGCGAGCGCATGAGCTTGATGGCCACCTCGCGGCCAACAACATCCGCAGCGCGTTCCCCTCCAACCGCCTTGAGAACCTTGGCCTTAACGACGGCCGAGAACATGCCCTTGCCCAGCGTAACAGTAACCTGGTATCGTCCGTCGTCAAGGATCTCGCCCGGGGTGATACGATAGTAACCCTCCGTGTCGTCAACGTTGTCCACCACATCCAAGGCAGCCTGCACCTGGGGTGCCTCGACCGTCGTGCCGTCCTTGCGCCGACGCACTGTGATCTTGCGCTTCTTCTTCGCGGGCTCTTCGTCGCCGAATGCCGCGAACATGTCCATGTCGTCCTCCTCGTCATCGATCTCGACCTCGACCTCCTCCCATTCATCATCGGCAGGCGGAGCCTTGATGTTCGGGTCGACCCGCGCTCCTCGCTCTGCCTTGTCGCTCGCGTCGTCATATTCCGCGGCCGATACACCCTCACCTGACTCGTGTTTCTCACCATGCTTTTCGAGATCAAAGTCCTTGCCCATGGGCGTGGATGGGAGCGATGGTTCCGAACCGAGAGGCGTGGCAGCGCCGCTCCCACTGGGGAGGATGGCGCCGATGGGTGCTCCAGTAAGGGATCGGGTCCCAAGCGCTTTGAGAAGTGGAGTTGCGCCTGCCGTCAGCTGTGTCTGGTTTAGGTCAGTTGACTTACCAGACTCTGTGTTGATGCCATTGCTAGTAACGCTCTCCGCCCCAGAAGGTAGCGGCTGCGCGGGCGTACTCGGTGAGCCCGCGGCGCTGTCAACAGCGCTAAGTGACGGCTTTGCGCCCTCACCTGCGCGGAATTTCGCCAAGATGGCCTCACGCCGCCGACGTTTCTCCTCGAGCTTCTTCTCGATATCCTCTTCCTCTGCAGGCAGCTCCGGTTCCGGTTCCGGTTCAGGCTCGGGCTCAGCCAACCTCACCTTCTTTGACGGCGGGGCACGGCTCTCGTGACGTTCTGGCTCCCGACTGGCATGACGGTCGCGGCTAAAGCTCCCGCGCCGCTCTGGCTCACGGATGCTGCGGCGATCCGGTTCACGGCTGAGGTTGCGGTCGTGGCGTCCGAAGCTACCACGCCTCTCTGGTTCACGGCTATACGCGCGCTCACGATCAGCACGCGGCGAACGAGTATCACGACGAGGAGAAATTGGTGGAGGGCGGCGCTGATTACTGCGCGGGCTTGGGCGGTTTGGACTGGCCCTTCGGGGTGGAGAGGTTATCCTGTTGTCAGCACGGCCAAAAGTGTGAACGTACTCGCCCTCCTCGGCGTCGTCACGCTGTCGCTTGTCTTGGTCGTGCCGTCGCCAATCGCGTTCGTTTACTCGATCGTTGTCCCGATAGCTGCGGTCATGAAGATCATGTGTCCTCCTCTCCTTCTCCCTGTCTCGCTCGCGTTCCCGGTCGCGATCGCTCCAATGCCGCTCGCGCTCGCCGCGCTCGAGATACGCATCGCGCCAGTTTCCGCGCTTCCCTGTCGACATGGTGAGACTCAATCACGAGGGGAGTTTACTGTACTCGGCGTGTGTGGCTGGGTGGGGGGATGATGGGGAATGCGGAGAACGACTGGCCTCAATGTCAGAGCGTTGGGTGGCGAATCGAGGCGGAGCCCGGGAAATTGCTACCGCCGCGTGTGGCGCGTCACGTCGGGCGCGTCATGCAGAAGTCAATAACAACCTCCACTCGAACAATCTCATCACATCCCAATCCACCACAATGCCGCCATTGACACTGGAAGAGAAGACGCACATTGCCCAAGAGTTGCGTAGCACTACGCAGGAGCTCAAGGACCGCGGCTTGCTGGTCGCCGCTAAATGGTGCGAACTATGTGGGTGGGTCTGACAGCAGGGCATGCGAGCTGCTGTCCGCCCTTCCCAAGGAGGCGCGGACGCGCCCGTACCTTCACTTCTCGCCACCAGCACGTCAAGCTGGTCTTCCACCATTGCGTGGGCGACCTTCTATCATGACCGAGATGAGCTTCGAGAGCGATGGCTTTCCCGAGGCCGACGAAGACGACATGCTGGATGAGGACACATTCCAGCTCGCGAAGAGCTACTTTGACATCAAAGAGCACGATCGCGTGGTCGCGGTGCTTAAAGGGGCGAAGAGCGTGCGGGCGCGCTTCCTGAGGACGTATAGCGCATATCTCAGCGCGGACCGGAAGGCGCAGGAGAGCCTAGGTCACTTCCTGGACACCAAGCAGGAGCGGCACGCCTTGTTCCCTCCCCTCAACAAGCTTCTGAGCGAGATCGAGGGCGACTTGGACCCCTATCTCCTGTATCTGCAAGGGTTACTCCACATGCGTCTGGAGCAGAAGGACTCCGCCATCGACTGCTTTATCGAGAGCGTCCGGGGCCGACCGTACAACTGGAGTGCATGGACACAGCTTGCGCAGCTTATCGACTCGGCCGACAAAGTATGTTGCTCGCGGTGCGGAGCTAACATCAGTTCATCGAGATAAAGGAACGCCTTCCATCAGGCCCCATGCGGACCTTTTTCGCCATCAACGTGATGCTTGACCTCCACACAGCCACCGACCTTGTCATGACGATGATCACTGAGCTTCTCGACACATTCCCCGGCAGTGTGCACCTAATAGCCCAGAAGGGTATGGTGTACTACCACATGAGGGGTGAGTCACACTGCTTCTGAGCTAATCCAGACTTCCAGCGGGCCGAGATTCAGTTCGACCACGTCCAGTCTGTTGACCCTTTCCGCATGGAGGAGGTTGACATCTACAGCAACATGCTGTACGTGGTGAACAAGAAGACCAAACTCGCCCAGCTCGCGCACCAGTACGCTGAGATTGACCGCAATCGACCTGAGGTGTGCACCTTGATTGGTGAGTGTCTTCTCTCTTATTGCCGGACAGACTCTGACCCAAAGGGAACTACTACTCTTCACGAGGGGACCACACACGCGCAATCCAATATTTCAAGCGTGCTCTCATGTTCAACCGCGACTACTTGCCGGCGTGGACACTGATGGGACACGAGTTTGTTGAGCTGAAGAACACGCATGCGGCCATCGAAGCGTATCGCAAGGCGATTGACGTCAACGCCAAAGACTACCGTGCGTGGTACGGTTTGGGGCAGGCCTACGAGTTGCTGGACATGGCGCACTACGCCGTCGAGTACTACAACCAGGCGACTACGCTGCGGCCCTACGACTGCCGCATGTGGACGGCCCTGGCCTTGGTGTACGAGCAGCTTGGCCGGGTCCCGGACGCTATTTCGGCACATACACGCGCCCTGCTCGGCGCGGACCACAAGCAAACCCCCGACATCTTGGGCAAGCTCGCGACGCTGTACGCCGCCGAGGGACAGCCGAGCAAAGCTGTTGAGTATCATCGCAAAATCCTTGCGCTGGGAATGCGGGACGAGGCCCCTCTCGGCGCCATGGCTGGATCCTACTTGGCAGTCGCGGCGTGGGAGAGTCGGGAGGGCGGAGAATGGGCACTCGCCGCGCAATACCTTCAGAAGATTGCGGAGAGTAATCTGCCTGAGCGTGATGCCGCTGCTGACTTGCTCCGCGAGCTGCGTATTCGCGAGGCGCGTGCCGCGGCGTCGTAGCTCGCGCATAAGCTCATTAGCGGCAAGGGGTCAACAGAGGGTCGGAGGATGATCTGAGGCATCGATTGAAACGATCTTTGGCGCTGGAGCGGACTAGCATGTGTAGAATCATTCGGAGCCGTACCTCCACACACACACTGTAAACTATACAAGATACTTGTGCATTATTCCACATTTTGATTCTACGACTCGGAAGGAGCAATAGGGGTAAAGTTGCGGGAGAAGCTGAGGTTAGCGGGATCCTTGAAATTGGGAGAAACTCACTCTCGCAGCAGCTCCTCGCTTTCCTGCGCATCTTTGGGTGCCTCTTCAGATGGCAGCCTGGAGTCAGCCCTTGTTCTTGCGGATTAACGCCCTAACGCCCCATGCCTCGCACTGCACGTCGAGCGTAGAGGGGAGCCTGGGCTTTTGCACTCACATTTTACGCAGCCGCTGCATCGACTGATACCGCGCGCGCCAGTCGGTAATGTACTCGGCCGATTCGGCATCCACCGCGCCCTGCACGTGCTGGAAGCGGACCGCCATCGAGTTGCCCTGGTGCGCAATCTGGCGCACCAGGGTGGGCAGATTACGGCGCGAGACCAGCTTGTATTCGCCGATGGGCGAGAAGTCGGGGATGCCGGGGCGCACCTGAAGTACGACCTTGAAGAAGTCCTCGCTGTCGCCGCCCCATTCATCACGCCGAGGCCCGAACGTTTCCTGCTGCCCGCTCGATGCGCCAGCCCCAGACGAAAGCAGTGATCCGGCGTCCGCCGCATCCCGCGTAGCGTAAGGGGAGATAACGATGTTCACAAAGTTGAAGCTCGTCTTGATGGTGTCGAAGGCGAAGTCAGCACCAGACTCGTTGTAGATGATCTTGACGTAGTCGTTACCGACGAGACGCTTCTTGTTGGTAAACTCCGGGAAGTGAGGCAGATTGGGCATGAGCGTAGGCGCGTGGAAGATCATTTGCGCAAGGTCGTCCCACCATGCGTACGCATACAGCCCATCGGTGTCGTTCTCGCGGTCCATGCCACCCGTGAACACGTCGACCTGGCCCTTGAGGCGGATAATGCGGCCCAGGCCAGCGAGGAAGTCGAGGAACAGGGGCGATCCGTCCACGTTTCCCAAGATTTCGGTCTCGTTTGTCTGCCCTGGTCCTACGTAGAGCACAGCGATCTTGAACGTGTTAATCACGGAGGTGTTGATGATTCCCCTCAGTGCGCGCTCGTGCTTCGGCGTCGGCGGAATGAGGATTCCACGAGGGACGCGGAGATCGTTGTTGGGGTAGCTCGACAAGAGTTGAAGGGCGAGGTAGCTTGGGTCCACCGTCACATCCTTGCGCCGCTGGGAGGGCGTGGCTCCGCTCCACACGAAGTTTGCGCGCGCTTCTTCCTTCGGCGGCGGTGGCTTGACCGTAACGATGTCCACGGCAGCAGGGTCAAAGTTCTCCTTGGCGGTGGCGGTGTCGTATTTGTTCTCGTCATCGACCTCATCCTTCTTCTCCCTCTTGCTCTCCTCCTTCTTCTCGGCGTTCCCCTCGACGTCCTTGTCGCGCTCCTCCTCAATGGTCTGCACTGTGGTGTGAATGTCGTTAATGTCACGCCGAAGCTCGCGGTTGGCCATCAGGAACGCGGGCAGAGTTGACAAGTCGGCATTGTCTTCGCCCAGCTCCAGGAGTGGTACATTCTCGAGCTTAGCGATGACGCTGGTCTGTCCTGTGGGCCGCGTAGTTGTGATTGTTGCCCAGCCACTCCTCTGGTGGGAGGTGACGGTCACGATCGCACCCCCGAGCATCCACGAGATGCTCTTGGGCGCGGTCTCCTGATTGTTGGTCTTGAGCATGACGGCCTCGGAAAGGAAGCTTTGGGCTGGCTTCGGATCGGCATTGCCGTACGTGTATCGGGCGAGCCAGTCGAAGCACACTTCAGTGCGCTCATCAATGGAACCACGCTGGCTCTTGGCGTGCAAGAGACCCTTGATCAAGTAAGACACATGTCGTGTGCGTTGCGAGACACGAATGTTGAGGAACCACAAGTAGATGGCGTGGTACGCGAGACCAATCACGTGTTGACTGAGGGTGAAGCTTTCGCGATTGGCGGCTGCGAAGTCCTTGTCAGACGTGTCAGAGCGCGCATTGTGCTCGGCGATGTAGCCCACCGCCGCCGCAAAGACCTGGCGGTACTGCTCATCCGTGAAGTTCCGGTACAGCGGGCTGTTTCCTAGCGCCACCAGGAACTCGAGGATGTGCACGGCGACGTTCGGGATGGAGAGAATCTGCTGCACTCGCTGCAGAATCTGCAGTAGCGCCTTGGCGACGTATCCCTCAAGCTCGTAGATGCAGATTGTGAGGGCCTGGATGCACGGTTTCGCGAGGAGGGCGTTGGCCTCCAGGCCATTGACAAATGCAGCAATGAGACGCTCGCTTTCCGTGCGATTCAAAACGCTCCTGTACGACACCAGAATCGAAAGACCCTGGTACGCCATGTTGTTGATGTGGGGTCGACGGATGAAGGACGGGATGTTATAGCGCCGCTCCCACCGGCTGTCCGACTCAAGAATGCCGTCGCACAGCACGCGAAGCAAGCCTTTAATCTCTCTGACAGCGCGTGTGCCGTGGAAGAAGTGCTTGTTGCCCAGCTGCTGGGGCAAGTAGCAGAGCACATAGCTGACCAATTCCCAGTCCTGCTCCCATCGCAGAATGCCGTTGAGTACCCGAACGTACTCGGACACAGGAAGCCACGCACCCTCAACGAGCGGCGCGTCCTTGACCCTTAGACTCGGGTGGTTGGGATCGTATGTGAGCAGCCCTTCTGACGGGTGGTTATCGGGTGGCGTCTCGAAGTCAACGTGCTCCGGCAACACCCAAAGAGGGTTGTACGACTCCTGCCGCTCGGGACCGGGAGCGCGGAGCAGCCCAGCAGCTGCCTTCGAGCGGGAGCGGGAACGGGCGCCGGCCGAGAGCTCGGAGCCACGTGAGCGGCCGCGTTCGTCGTCCCGCTGCTGCTGGCTTGCCGAAGAGCGCTCAGCCCGAGCGCGCTTTCTCGCCTCTTCAGCCTCGAGCTGCGTCCTAATAGCCTCCTCCGTCTCCTTGGTGCGGAAAAGCGTCTCGGCAAACGGCATGACGAAGCGGTTTAGGTCGGCCCGGAAGAGGATGCGGTGTTTCCGGTCTGCACGGAGGCGCATCGCCCACTGTAACACAACCAGACGCCCGCGCGGACACTTGGCAGGAAGGCGACCAGCGCCATCATTGATGCTGTACAGGAGATGCAGGAGGTCACGGTAGATCTCAAGGCAGCGCGCGCTTGCGGGCGTGCGGACAGGCCGCAGAGATGACTGTGAGCCGGCGAGAGGTGTCGTGAAGGCCAGTCGGGTAAAGATGGCGATAAGCGCCTTAACAGCGTGCAAGCTCTTGCAGCTCAGGTGCTGCGGTCGCCCCGGGTTGGCGGCAAAGTAATCGTCACCCTGAGCGAATAGCGCGCCAACATTCTGCTGCGGCGGTGAAGTGCGCTCAGAAGACCCCGCGCCGGTGGGCGACAGTGTGCGCATAAGGGAGCGCAAGCCTCCAGGCTCTCTGGACCGTCCTTCACGACTTCCTCGGCCCTCCTTTGTCAAGCCCTCTGTTGATGTCGGCGAGACGACGCCGCTTCCAGCGGTTCCGACGGAGACGTGTGAAGCGAGGTGGCTTGCGCCTTCCTTGCATGGACTCGTCATGGCTAGCTTGGTGAGTAGCGAGCGGATGGCGTCAAAGCTGCCGCCCGATATCGACTCGACCATCTCCTGCGAAGGGAGAGCGCTCGCGTCCTCGGCGTCCAGTTCAGCCTCTCGCTTGAGAGCGCGTGCGCGCCGTCGGTCCTCGTCCTTCTCCTGCGTCTCAGCGACCGCCGCTTTAACGAGTACGTCCAGCGCTTCGCACAGCAGCTGATTGTCGGTCTCATCCGGCAGCCACTTGGAAAGGTACGGCACGAGCACCTGCTCAACCAGAATCGCACGGTGCTCCGGTAGATCCTGCACGTATCCGTAAATGTCGTGGTATAGGAGGAGCGAAACGCGGACTCTTGCGATCGGCAGGTCGTAGTGCAGCCCGAAAGCCTCAAGGAGCTGCCAGATATTCTGAATCCAACCGCTTGTGAACGGCAGGCACAGGCACTCGCGGGTATAGTAGTCGAGAACTACGCCAGCCGTGTCCTCGTCCAGGTGGGGCCCGAGGTCGAGCAGGAGTGAGATGTACTTGGGGTGGTAGAAGGGAGCGGGCGTAGATGGACTTTCGGCGGACGACGGGGAGGATGAGTGCAGGAGCGAGTTGAGGCGGCCCATGGCGGCGGGGATGCGGTGAGCAAGACTCGAGAAGTGCGCCGCGAAGGGGGTGCCTTCGCCAGTGAGTAGGGTACGAGGGATGCTGCCAGCACCAGCCTCTGCGACCGGGCGGAGAGCGTCAAGCACCTCACTGGCAGCCTCGCCCTCTGTCCAAGCATCGTTGACAGCAAGCTCATTGGCGCCAGTTGCGACCTCCAGGGCGGAGAGATGCGCATCGAGGAAGTTGAGGATCTCACTGTCCACCGGAGCCCACTTGGCCCACTCCACGGCACGTACATCATTCTTGCCGGGGTAGCGAGCGGGGCTTTCGGCCGCGATAAGCGAGGGGCACAGGCTAGAGAAGCTGAGCCCACACTGGGCGCGGAAGTCACGATCTTCCACGGCCATACGCGCAATGATAACCGCACCACGTGTGACCTTACGTTCGATGTCAGGTGTGCGGCGCCCGTCAGCCTGTGTGAGTACGAGCTTGCCCTCAAGTGCCTTGCGAAGTGCCAGCTCGCCACGGCGCCCTGAGCTGGTGTTCAGCATGGTTCGAACCAGGTCGTTGGCGCCGAGCTGCATGTCCGCGTCCATCATCGCGTCAGCCTCGTCCTGGCCGAACACGAAGGACAAAAGCTCAAACATTTCGTCGAAGAGGTCGTCGTTGATAGTCGTGTTCTCTAGAAGCATGAAGACCAGCGCGCAGAGACTCTTGAATGGTCGGCTCCATTTAACCTGACGAGAGGCGGCTGCGCGTACAGGCGACTTTGGGGGTTTTACGCCAGGGCTGCCCGGTGGGAAGGGCTCGACCCGGCCGACCGTCAAACTGGTGGTGCGACGCACTTCCATCCGATTGCGGGTTGACTGAGGCACGGCGCTCGACGTTACTGTCGCGGGGTGTGTGGGACGGTGTCCGACGGTTGGTGATGAGAGGGGCACACCAGGGGACGTAGCGGTGGGAGGAGCGACAAGGATGCCCTTCCAGACGAACTCGATAAGGGGACGGACGATCTGCGAGAGCTCGGCAGGCGCAAAGAGTGCGATACGGTTTTGTACAATGCTGCCCATGAGGTCGATCATTGCCGCTGCGGCCACGGCGGGCGATGCGCTCTTTATGGGTCCGAAAGGGGTGTCCTTACCCTCCGTCTCAGGGGCGTCGGCAGTCGACGAGCACCACTGGACCCAGTAGGGCATGAGGTTGGTAAACGTCCTAAGCATCCAGCCAAGGATCCCCTCCATGCCATCCACAATCGTTCCCTCACGTGTCAGAGCCTTCAGCGCGCCGACCTCGACGTAGATCTGATTCGTCGCCGCGTGCCCAGGTGTTCCGCCCGAGAACGACGTGATAAGCCGATAGATTGCGCGGCGGGACACAGAGGTTGGCAGGTCGTAGATGTTCTCATCGAGGACGGAGTCCCGTGGCGGCGCGGCCCCGAGGAGGACAGCGAGGAGACGGATGGCCGCGGTGCGTAGACTGTAGTCCTGCTTTGGGTCCGAAAGCTCCATTGCGCGTGCGTATAGCGTGGGCATATCACCAGGGTTAAGCCCGAGTTCTGTTAAGCCGGGTGCGGTGGCGTCGGAAGGCGAGTGATCGAGCAAGGCGTTGGCCAGGTACACACTGGTCGCCTTGACGATCTCGACTAGTTCAGCGGTACTCTTGGTGGCTCCTGGGGCGAGGAGTGCGAGGGCAGTGTCGAGATGGAAGACGCCACCGCTGGCGAGAGCGTTGACAGCTGCATTGTTGGAAGCAGACCCAGAGCCTGATGCGGCGGAGACGGAAGGAAGGGCGACGTTCCCCGCTGGAGGTGAGCCCAACGGATTCCCCTCATCGATGCTCGTGCGTGTGACGCCCGGCGCAACAGCCCTTGTCTTATGGCTTGTGCTCCGCCTTCCAAAGAGATTGGGCAGGAACGCAAGAGGATGGACGCTGGCCGCGGAGGCGGACGTGGGAGACTCTCTGGCCGCCGATGGCGTATGGTCGCGCGGGTCGCGGTCACCGCGGTGCCCGCGCTCGGCCATGACGGCGGCCGTACGGACTGCCGGAGGGGGCGGGATGGTGGACGGGTAGTGGGGAGCTAGGTATGAAGAGAGACGGTCAGGCGCAGCGCGCGCGCATGATATGTCGGCGGGGAGAGGAGGGGAGGAGGATGGAAGATTGGACGAAGAGTGGGATGGAGTGAAGATCGGAGTGATGGCGACGAGGAAGAGCGTCACTGCGAATTCAGGCACGGCCCCCGCCACCCACCTCATCTCTCGGCACACCCGACTTTCTCACTTTCACGCTTCATCCACCTCCAACATGCGGCTCACACTCCTTCTCGTCGCCTTCGCGACGCTGCTACAAGTGCAGGCGGGATTTTTTAGCGTCACTAGCTACTGCAAGTGTAAGTCGCATGGACTCTTGACGCGGTTGAAGCCGCGCGCTAACGACAGGCATTTGCTTCTCCAACTCGACGATCGTCGCGCTGGACCGGCCAAACGTGGACCTCTCGAAGCCATGTCTCAGCTGCACGCGGCAATTCTGTCTTGATCAGAAGCTGGCTATTTGCAAGGGTGGGTTGAACGCAGGCAACAGAGAGCTGGATTGTGCGCGCCGAGGCGCGGGAATCGAGAGCTAGCGACGAGGGATGCGCGCTCTGGGTCACGGCGGCGTGAGATGACTGGGTCAGCGTGCACGCTGTCTTGAGCGGGCGAGAATGAGCCGCATGGCAGAGCCGGCTGGTATCTCACGCGTCCATCTTACTTCATCTGCTTGCCTCCCCTCCCCTCCCCGGTTCAGCAAGCGGCGCTAACACCAGGCGCCACTGTCCCGGAACTCGACACAGACACGGGCACGGGGACAGAAGGCGATGTGGAGGCGCGGTGCTTCAGTGAGTTGGAGATGCTAGATAACAGCGGGGTTGCTGGGGACACGGGGCGCATGCTGACAACAGAACGCGACTCGCCGCGAGACCAGATCATCGTAACATCTTTCCTGTTCGTTGTCGTGGGCATGCTGCTATTTGCTGGAGTGCGCGCTCGGTGAGTGTAAATGTGATTGCAGGCGGAGGTGGAGCACTTGCGACTGGAGGCGGAGATGCGCGGAGGGGAAGGGGTGGGGAGGGTGGGGGAGGAACAGGACGGAGGAGGGGCGCTGCGTCGTCAGCCAGCCCGGGGTGTGGCCAACTAAAGGCAGAGAGGGGGATGGTGAGGATTGCTTGCTGACCTCAGACTCCGCCGCGCTATTGAGACGCGCGGACAGCCGACCGACCTGCGCGAGTGGGGCGAGGCGCTGCTGCCTGACGCATTGCAGGAGCGGATCCTCGGGTACCAGCGGCAGCGCGAGATGGCCTCCCATGGGAGCTATGCGCCTGTGAGTGTCGGGAGCTAGCCCCCAAATCCCCATATTCTTTTATAGCTGTGTGTAAATGTATCGTGCGACCATGCCTGGAGACTCCCGGCGCGGCGCCTGTTCCGCAATCACTTGCCGCTTGACCGCTACAAACCTCATCGCTTCTGTCGGGGCTCAAGAGGACACTTCATGGACACGTGTATACGCCCCGTACGCCAGGGTGCCCGGTTGCTGGAGCCATGCCCCCGCCTTCGCTTTCTGACCTCGTCTGCCTGGCCGCTAGCTACAGATGTGGACGTGCCATGCATTGCAGTGACTAGTATACAAGGCCCCCGCGCGCCTGCAGATGTATGCAGCCGTACGAGGTTATTACAGTGGCCCAAATGGGCCAGGGTATAGTCTTCACGGAACCCCTTCTCTCTCTCTATTGCCGCACCGGCGGCCGAGGCGGCGCCGCGTCGGGTGGAGTCCGACGCGCTGCCGAGGGGTGTGAGTTGCGGCCCGCAAGAAGAGGGGGACGAGGGGATGCTACTGTCACAAACATAATGAAAAGCCGAGGGGAACCCTGGAGAGGAGAGGTTAAAGCGGCTGCGTTCCAAAGCCCTCACGGGCACGGCGGAACATGAGATAGATCTCGTCGTCGGCGCGCACGAACTGCTGATCCCAGAAGCCGTAGGCGGGGTTCTCGAGCAGCTCGACGAAGGAGACGATGAGACCCCAAGGGTGGGGGCGTGCGACGATGACGCGCTCGAGGAGCACGCGCGCGATGCGCTCAGGAACCGCCGAGTCGGTTGACACCTTGAACAGATAAAGGATGAGGTGGGCGAAGAACAAGGTGTGCGCCGAGGGGAAGCGCAGCTGGTCCGCAATCACAGAGAGCATCAGGTACTGGCCCTCAGCGTCGAATGAGTGCACAAGGCCCAGCAGAAGCGAGACCGCGGGGTCCTTAGGGTCAAAGTCGGCGACACCCGTGAGCATGTAGTGGCGGTGGACAGCCATGGTGCCGAGGTAGAAGACAGTGGCGTGGAGCAGGGTGTGGTTCCAAACCGTCGTCGACGTGTTGTCGGGGTGCATCTTCTGCACCGCGATCCGGTTCTTGAGCTCGGTCACAATGAGTGCACCGTTGGGTGAAGTGTTGTGCACGTAGCTGTCGATGGCGTTCTTGACGTTGCCCGTATTGAGCGCGTTAACGTGGTCCGAGCGAACGCGAGGGAACGTCTGCATCTCGGGAACGAGCTCCTCAAGACGCTTGTACACGTCAGGAAGAGGCCCCTCCGAGGCGGGGAACGCCGCGAGGATGATGTTGCGGAGCTGGACACAGTGCGCCGGAATGGCCATCGAGAGTGTGTGGTAGCACTCCACGAGGAAGCCAGGGAAGTCGTGCATGAGTACCAGGAGGATACGCAGCGTAGCCTTGTAGAGACTGCGCGCCGCTGGGCCCATGTTGTTGTTGCTGTCGACGTCCACATTGATAAAGGGCGACATGAAGCGGAGCAGCCACATAAGCGTGCGGTGGTAGTCAGCCCAGCCCTCCTGGCGTTGGGCTATGAGCAGCTTGGCCATAAAAAGGCGATGCGAGACGATCGTGAACCAGCCGAATGCAAATCTTGGCGCATAGGTAGGCTGGATGATGCCCAGCACGTTGGCCACGCTCTTGAGGCAGCCGAGAGCTGTCTCGGGAAGAGATGCCTCAATGGACGCAATCTCTGCAAGCATGCTCGTGAAGAAGCGCGTCCACGGACGCTGGTCAAAGTGCTCATCGGGGTTGAGTTGAGCGCGCACGAGGCTGTACGACATGATCGTGACGATCTTGTTGAAGTAGTAGACGGTGCGAGTGACGCTGCCAGGGCCGCTCTTGTCGCCATAGTTTTTGACAATGAGAATGATGAGCTTGGCGAGCGAGTCGGTGCCGTACCATTGCCCATTCTCCGACTTCAAGTCGCATTCAACTGCGGCCTTGATCGCCGATGTGTAGAACGCAGTGGAAACATCCTCACCGCTGAGGATGTTGTCGTTCTGGAGCCACGTGATGTAGGGCACGAACGAGACCTCTGGCGAGTTGGGATTCTCAGTGAACAGGCGCACCCACTCGAAGAAGTAGTGCTGAAGGCGCTCCTGGACACTGGGGTCGACGGTCGTGGCTTTGCTGTCGTGAATCGACTCGCCGCGGAGATCGTCGAGAAGCTGGTCGGCGGATGGGGTCGACTGCCCGTGATCCTGCGCCTTAAGCAGCTGCGTGACGCACATGGCAAATGCGTTGCGTGCAACAACAGCATGTTGGCCGAGCGAACACTCGCGGATGAGCTGGGCAACAAAGTTGACGAGGTCGGGCGAGTAGCCGCGGGACATCTGCTTAGCGAGCTGAGCGTCGAGCTCGGGCACGCGAATAAATGTCGCACGAATGAGCACCGCCGTGACGGCGACGTTGAACTTGCGCTAAAGAGTTAGCTGCGAAGAAGGGAGGGAAACTCACAGGATCCTCGGCGTAAACAAGCCACTGCTTCACTTCGCGGTCGACCTTGGGCTGGAACATGCAGAGCTGCTGCAACAGAACCGTGTACACCTCGCGACCAAGTGGGGAATCGGTCTTGTAAAGTAGCTGCACTATCTTCTGCGCGATGTTGAGGGTGCTAGACTCGCGCGACGACTGGCCAATGGCCATGACGGTCCGCATGAGATTGCGCAGCTCATGGTCGTCGTCGAGCTGGCTCAGACCTTGCGCCTGAGTGTGCGGGATGACCTTCTCGATCTCGGCAATGACCTCGTGGAACTTCTCAGCCGAGTTCTGAGGCGCCAGGGCCACGATAGCCTCTGGCGGCTGAACGAGGTCGTCGAAGCGGGGCGAGGGGCCGCGCTTGGCTTCCGCAGAAGCAACGCCGCCCTCAGCAATGCCAAACTCGCGGTAGCTAGGGAGGTAACCCTCGCCACCGTTAATGTGCGCGCCAGGCTGCTGCGGCTGAAGGTCAGGGCGAGCCGACTCTGCAAAGTCCTCGTAGACTCGCTGCTGAAGTGCCGTAAGGCCACCCGGGCGCAAACGCAGGGGGTCAGGAAGCTGGGTGTGCGAGATGGCTACGCCGAATGATGCCCCGTCGTAGAACGGCTGCGTGCTACGCGAGTCGCGGTGAGCCTTTCGGGCAGCGAACTGCGGCTGCAGGTTGACGTCTATGTCGCGGGTGGCCTTCTCCATCGCAGCACGACGGATAACGTTGCAGGCAATGTCGAGGTTCTCGTTGACCACACCACCAATAACCGCCTCGGGTACATTCTCTTCAGTGAAGCCATTCTGGCTTACCAAGGCGCGAATGTGCGACATGAGGCTAGTGCGGAGCGGCTCCTTGCAAGTGACAAGGGCCAAGTTACCAGCCAGATTCTGGACCATCAAATGAGCAGCCTTGCGCATCTTGGTTGAGTCGCCCTCGGTGCCAAAGTCCTTCTGGACGAGGTCGCGCGATGAGATGCCCGCGATGGTGACCGAGCGTTCCACCACAGGCGCAACGATCTCGCGAATGGCACGTTCAATCGAGTGGAAGACTATGCGCTTGAAAGTCGGCGCCTGCACGACACCGAGGTCCGAGTTAAAGCGTAATTGCTGCGGCAGATCGCGGATAAGCTGCTCCACGTGCGCCATGAATTGCTCGTGCGCCTGTTGCACGGCCTGCTCGTTCTGCAGCGCTTGGAATCGAGTGTACTGCTCGTCCATGTGGGGATCGTTGAAGCGCTGACTGCCGTTCGTGGCTTCGTTCGTGTTGAGGTGACGCTGGAGCTCCAGCTCGAGACGGTTCGGCACGTTCTGCTGCGGCTGAGGCGGCGGGACATGAGTACGAAGCACCTCGGAGGGTTCGACAGACTCGAGTTGAATGCCAAGCTTGGTGAAGAGCACCTCGATCTCAAACTTCATGTTCAGTTTGATGTCGCCGAAATGGTACATTTCGACGAGGACGCGGATGATGGCGACGAACCACGGGTTGGGCATGCGGAAGACGACAGAGTCGACGCAAGACAAGAGGACGCCACAAACGAACGGGATGACGACAATAAGACGCTTGTTGTCATAGCCCTGGATGAGCAAATCCTTGAGCGACAGTTCGCGGTGTTTGATGGGAAGTTGACGACCAAGCGTGATACGACCCAGCCATAGGGCGACCGTCTTGAGATGTTGACGGTCGGCCGATACAGTGACTGTCTTCTCGTCATTGAGCAAGTCACGAGCCTTGCGGTACGTCTCCCAAAGGACATGGCGTTCCAGCAGCGGGTTGTCGAGGAGTTCCAGAATCTGATAGTACAGGTCGTGGCGGTTGACCTCCATGCTTACACGAACGTCAATAAAGTACTGGGCGAACCAGCGAGACCACTCGTTCTTGAAGAGCGTAACCAGCTCGGCAGACTTGGCCTCGTAGTTGCTGGGAGCAATGTTGTTGACGATGAACATGATCTTGTCTCTCGTAGTGGGGTCAGGCTCGCGGAACTGGTCGTCGCCCTCTTCGAGGAGAATGGGAAGTTTGAGGGCAGGGAAGGCAAGCTTAACGCCGCCTTGCTGGTCAAGCTCCTCGCGCTCCTGGAGCGCGGCTTGAATGTCCTGAATATAGGCGGGGTGCGACTCATGCAGGGCCGGGATCTCGAGGAGCGACCTGCAGAGGCCGGGAAAGTCGACAAGAGATGCGCGAAGGACACCGAGCGCACTGACGCCGAACTGGTAAGGCGGCTCGTGAGGCGCGGTCTTGCAGGCGTCGGCGACGTAGCGTGTGGCCACGAACGCCGGCGTATCCTTGACGAGGCGACAGTCGATAATGGCACCAAAGAGGATACCCGTCATGGTGAGCTCACGGTGAGGGTAGGTCTTGATAAACTTGTACTCGTCAAAGAGCGAGTGGAGCGCAGCGGCGAACGTCTCTTGCTCGGTTCTATCGCTCGACTTGGAGAAGCGCGTGAGCTTGTCGATGACATCGTCGAGCGTGAGCTCGTCTTCCTCCGAGTACATGCGGCGGTACATGTCATCGACTTCCGTACTGATCGCCCGGCTGTAAGTTGCGACAGTAAAGCCCTGCTCCTCCTTGGACCCCGGGCGCAGGTTGAGAAGGCGCGGGTGCAGGATGAGAACATCGGTGCGAAGAATCTTAAAGCGGCGCACGTCTTCGGGCGTAAGGTTCTCCGCGTTACGGAGCACACGGATGAAAATGGAGTACGCCTCGTCCGAAAGCGTGAACATGAGGTTGGGGACCGACTCGGGCTGGTGCTGGTGGTCAATCTCGAGGCGCACTTTGTGCTCGACAAAGTCAAACATGGCCAAGAGGAAGTCGTGATCCTTGACGGCCACGGTGTCGGCAAGCCAGTCACCGAGGTTGAAATAGTCCTTGCTAGCTGCGAGAGTCGCAACGTCGAGTGCAAAGTGCACGTTGTCGCTCTCGAGGAGCTTGTCGAGAATGTTGAGATCCCATGCGATCTCTACGATTTTGCCGAGATTGTTCTCGTCCTCGCTGTAGAACTCGCCCAGGTCATTGAGAAGGCCGGAAGGATTAGTGTCCCAGAGCTGCTGGAACACGAGCGGCGCGGAGGCAAGCTCCTCGGGCGGGTTGACGAGGTATATCTCCAATATCTTCTGGTGCATGGCCTGGATTGGCGCTGGAAGCGGCTTGGGCAGCTTCTCGAGGGCGATCAGGACGAGTTCGGGAGCAAGGGACGCCGCACGGTCCAGAAGCTCGGTGGCGCGGCGTCCTACCTCGATGCGGTCGTCGTGTTCAGCGCCCTCCTCCGAGTCGGCCATTGTGCACGCTTGAGTGAGGACCTGGATCAGACCAAGGGTGTTCCACAGGCCCGCGGCCTGGACGTCCTTCGCCTGCTGGCGGACCGTCTTGTTAACCTTGGTCTCGGCTGGGTAGGGCTCAACGATGCGCGCCATGGCCTCGGGCGGAGGCGAGTTGGGCGCCGTGAAAAGGTTCAACGCGTCGGGAGGTAACGTCGCCAGGTTTCTGAGGACGTAGAGGAGGGAAGACATGTTGGTCCAGGTTCCCTCGGAAGGCGAGGCTGGAAGAAGCGCGGCAATGGGGGGCCTGGGCGTCTGGGGAGGAACAAGGAGGAGGTTGGCGGCCAGCATGAGGGCGTTAGGATACGCCAGCGGGGTGGCTGGCGTGTCAAACGACTTGACAACATCGACCCATTGAATTTGAGCGGGTTTGGTTGCCTCGACCAAGCCCTTCATGACACCCGCGGGCTTGATAGTCCTCCCATCGTTCAAGCCACGGCAAAGACCGTGAAGGGTGTTGACGAGTTCCTCGTAAATGGCCTGTGGGTTGGGCTCATCGAGGATGTATGGGCCCCACCAGCGCTGAACAACAGCAGCAACTGAGCCTTCGGCCTGGGTGATAGCGTCGCCAAGCTCAAAGAGGACATCCTCGAGTGGAATCGAGCCAACTGTGCGTGGTGGACCGCCTGGTTGGAGCGCCGACAGCGTGTTGAGCAGGACTGCCGGTCCATTAAACTTGTGAACGAGAACCTGTAGCAAGTAGCCACGCTGGAGCGAGTTAAGAATTGTCTGGTGAGGAGTTGTTGGGTTGTTGTTAGGCGTAGGGGGGCGCGACGACTTGTCGTCGGGGGAAGGCGATGAATGGGGGTACAACGCGAGTATGAGGGTGCGGGCCTCCTGCATCGACAGGTCGTCCTGCGACTGATTGGGGATGTTGCTGGCCCAGAACGGCATGGCCGAGCTGAGGATATCCATGGCGCTCTGGAATGTCTGGTGCAGGTCGGCCTTGATATTCTCGTACGCTGGATGCGTGCTGGGCAACACCTGGGGGTTGGCGAGTGCGAGCGCCGAGAGCGAGAACAGGACAGCGGGCGAGAGGTTCAAAAGACGCAGATCCGGGAGCAGGGGCGGCGTGCCGTGCGATGGCGAAAGCAAGGCCGAAAGGTAGTGCGGGGCAAGCGACACGTCGCGGGCGGCGCGAACTGCCTCGGATGCGAGGAGGCGCCAGGCCAGCGCGGCCTGACTGTTTGTGGGGATCTGCGGGGGCGGCGCCGAGGGGTCGTCCTTGTATTGCTGGGTGTGTTGCACAAGCGTCTGAATGACGGGCGCAGCGACGACGGCGGTGCGTCGTACAAAGTTTTGGTACATCTCTGGGCCGTGGTTGCCGGCGGCCTGGTAAAAGTCAGCTTTGATCACATCACGCGAGCAATCGAGTGACGAGTAGAAAAGAGTACGCACGATGCGGAGTTCGTTGACAGAGGTCTCATAAGTGTCTTCGGCTAGGGAGCCCAGGAGGTAGACTATCTTGGTGCGGGCAATGGCAGCAGGGCCGCTGTTGGAGTGACTGCTGCCGCCGCCGCCACCACCGCCGGCTGAGTTGGCAGTGCTGCCCTGTGCACTGTTACCAAAGCCAGGCGGAGGGCCGGTCCTGGCGACCCCGCCTCCCAGTCCGGGAGGAGGGTGGGACATGGACGGGTAAGGATAAGAGGGGGGTGAAGGGGGAATGCGTGTTGAGTGGAGAGAGTAGTTCTTAAGAACGATGCATCCCCAAATAGCGGGGGGGGGGAGGATGGGGTGGGGCTGATTGATTCAAGCTGGTGAGGAGATTTGTGAGAAGGGAGAGGTCGCGAGATGGACAAGAGGGAGGGAGGGTTGAGGGGGCTGCGGGCGGAGTGCTGGGGAGATGCGATGATGAGGTGAAAGGGATTAGATGGACAAGGGGGAGGGGGAGGAGAGAGATGAGTAGATGAGAAGAGTTGGAAAGAGGGGGAGGTGGATGATGGGAGGAATGAAGAGGATGGGTGGTGATGGTGATGGTGATGGTGAGGAGGAAGGTGGTGAGCGGTGGTGAGCAAGGGCCGAAGGGAGAGAGCTGGTGGCTGGCGGCCAACACAGCGACTGCAGCGCTGCTGCCTCAGCCAGCTTCACGCGTGGCCTCCATTTCGGCGTTTTACTCAAAACGCCGTATCACCCTGCCCTCCACCACTGTGTGTGGCACCCACTCCCGTGATGACGCAAGGATCACTCGCTGGCTCAGCATTCATGCATGCAGGCAGCCTCATCAACCTGGTAATTCGGTAGATGGTATTAGCCTCACAACAACCACCACTCTGGCTCTTCTCAGTATAGGCCCAACATGCCCATCATCTGGTCTCAGCGCGCACCTTAGGGCACTCTCGCGCACTCTATAGACATGCATGCAAAATATAACAACTTACGCCAACCCCCTCTTCCCCAGGCAGGCAGCCTACTTACTCCTTGACTGCCTCCGAGTAGACCTCGTCCCACTCGCCACTCTCAATCATCTCCTTCAGAATGTCCAGCCCACCCACAAGCTCCCCATTCAGAATAATCTGCGGGAACGTTGGCCAGTCATTCACGCGCTTCAGGCCCTGTCGCACCTCCTCGTCGCTCAGAATGTCAAACCAGGCAAACTCGACCCCCTTCTCCCGCAGAAGCCCAACCGTCTGGCGACTGAACCCGCACTTGGGAGCTGATGGGTTGCCCTTCATAAAGAGCACAACCTTGTGCCGGTTCATGATCTCGTGGCACCGGGCAGTGATCTCCTCTTCAGTCCGGGGGCGGGTCGGCTCGGAAGCGGCAGCAGCGGAGCTTGCGACATTGGCTGGCACCGGCTGGCCAGAGTGCTGGGAGAGCATGGATCGAAGAAGCGCCGGGTCGGCGCCAGAGTGGCGGGCAAGAAGGGAGTGGCCCTGTTTGAGTGTAAATCAGAGCAGAGCGTGTCGCAAGATCACGGGTGAGGAAGGTGAAGAGAATTCGTAGATGGGGCGGAATGAAGGCAACGTCGAAGATTTAGAGATCGTGGCGGGTTAGAAAAGGCGTCAGCATGGTCAACATGCAAAAGTGGGGTCGCAGATCGCGGAGGGGCATGGGACAGTGGGGCGACGCGTCCGTCGCCATCGTCGTGACGCCATCCAGCTTTACCCCGGAGCCAAACAAACTCACGCGCAGAATGAGGAAGGATGGCACGGCCTCAATGTCAAAGCTCTCCGAGATGTCAGCAAGGGACTCGGCCTCAATCTGCGGTCAGCTCATATACACAATTCAGGAGCTGCCGCCACTGTGGCAGCTCGTAGTTGATCGTCGACAGCTGTAACCCGCAAGGCGCACAACCAGCAACTCCGCGACTCACGTTGAGGAAGAGCACGCTCGGGAAGCGCGCTGCCTCAGCAGCCACCGCCTCATTAAAAGCCTTGCACGGCTCGGCCCACGGAGCCCAGAAGTTGAGAACCGAGACGCGGTTCAAGTCCTTGCTAAGCTCGGTCTTGAAGTGCTCGGGAGAGGTGACCTCGATGAGGTTGGACATGGCGCTGAAGTTTGGATAACGAGAGAGGGTGGGGGGGAATGAGCTGGGACTGTGGGGGCCGTTGGGGAGGGATTTTGAGTGATGCTTGTTGCGTAATGTAAGCAAAGAAAGCTCGGCGTCGGAGTTGTGAAGAGTTGAATGAATAAAGCAGAAGGAGTGGAGGATCGGGAGGCGAGCTGACCAAGGAGAGCTGGGACGATGGTGTGCTTGATCGTACATGGCCGATATACGTAATCCCACGTGCCGGCAGGGAAAGTCGACGAAACGCGCAACGACCTCATTCTCTCCATCAAGTCGAATTGTTGACACTTTCAGCAATCCCCTCTTCACTCGCCACTCCTCGTCGCCCGCTCAACACTCGCCCGTTCTACAGGGAGAGTGCATACTGAAACTCCAAAGCCGCCTTTCAGACCGACTGCAGTATCGGCTCATCCCATTCTTCCCCTCAACTCGTAACAAGATGGCGGACGTTGACATGGCCGCAGATGGTGAGGCCGCTTTACCGTTACCGTAGCTAACAGCAGCGCGGAGGGATGGTACGCGAACAACGCTCTGTGTTTAGATGCTGACGCCTCTCGTCATAATGGTACTTACATCTCGTTGGCATTTCACCTTCCTCACCCTTCGGTGTTGCTCCCTCGCCGTCACCTCTCATTGCACTCGTCCCGTCTATTGATCCCACCACAGCCAACGGCAAGTCAGACTGGGCCGCACGTTGTAAGTTTGCTCCCAGCGTCCACCGGAGTAACGTTATCTAACCCAAGCCGTCGAAGGGTGGATCATCATCGTCACAGGTCTTCACGAGGAGGCAACCGAGGAAGACCTGCAGGACCTGTTTGGCGAATTCGGAGACGTGCGCAACCTTTCCATGGCTCTGAACCGGCGAACGGGTTATGTGATGGTGAGTGCGCAGGTGGGCGAGTGTCTTACGGGCGCGTGCGCAGCGCAGTGCAAGGGCATTGGCAGGAGCAGGAATGGAGCTGCCCAGAGGAATGAAGACAGGATTACCACTGGCTGGCGTGATCAAGCACCCCATCGCTGCGACGCGGTCCAGTTCAGCTCCGTAATGGACACTAACCCCAGGGCTACGCGCTCGTCGAATATTCGCGCAAGGAGGAGGCTGAGGCTGCGATTAAGGAGACAGATGGGACCGAGTTCCTCGAGAAGAAGATCCACACGTGAGTTCTTGCAGAGCTTGCATTGCATTACGAGGTGGAAGCGGCGCCACTACTGTGCTGTCCGGCATAGATGGCGAGCTAGTCACCGCCGCGCTCGAGTGCGGTGAGATTGCGCCCCATCGCCCAACGACCCAGGCCAGCACGGGCAGGAACGCTGCTGTGCCCATTTACCTTGACAAAGCTGACAACAGCGACTTTGCTTTCGCCAAGGCGCCGGCTGGAGCTCGTCGTGGTGGAGGTCGCCGGCGTGAACGCTCGGTGAGCCCCGCGCGCCGGTAGTGTACATTTAGGTATATGTGATGTCAGACTGTGTTCCCGCGCGCTCAGCTGTGACGGCGCCGTAAGCACCGGCGCACTGAGAGTTCGTGGTGTGCATGATGATATACAGAGAGCAGTTGCAGTCGTAGGCCACCCTTTCCACCTTCCTAAGCCACCTCTTCCACCTTCTTCTCGATGTCGTCCTCCATGATGACGATCTTCTCCCGCTCCCGCTTCTCCTCCTCGGCCTGCCCCGCCCGCACCTCGACCCCACGCAGCATATCGTTGGCGACGAGGAACCTAATGGTCTGACTCAACTGCGACAGCGTGTTCTCAATGGGGCTAGCGAGAATCTGCTGTCAGACCTGAGCACTCGAGTGGGCATCATGAGGGGGACTCACAGCACCGAGCATGGATGGGCGAGCGAACGGGTTGGGCGGCGGGCCACGGGGCACGCGCGGAGCTCGGGGCTTGGGTGGACCCTCCGGCTCGTCTTTGGCGGGAGGCTGGACCGGCGCGGCCTTGGGATCGCGCGTGTGCGCCATATTGCACCGGCTGCCGTAGCGACACTTGCCGCGCGCGAAGAAGCGGCACAAAGGCTTAGCCGCCGCCGCCGGCTTCGCATCCTCCTCGCCCTTATCCTCGTCCTCGGCGTCCTCGTCCTCCTCCTCGTCCTTGTCCTCAGTCCCCTCGTCCATGACCTCGGCTTCGTCTTCATCTTTCTCCTCCCCGTCGCTCGTGGAGAGGCCGCTGTCGTCCGACTCCGACTCCGACTCCGAGGTATCACTGTCGTCCGAGTCCGAGCTCTCGACCGTCGCCTTCGGCCGCGTCTGTCCCGCATGTCCTCCCCGTCCCCGTCCCCGTCCCCGCCCTCGCCCTCGCCCGCGCACGCCCCCCTCTCGCACGGACAGAACCTCTTCGCGCCCCCACTCCTCCGCCGCTCGCGCCGGGTCGAGCTTGCGCTTGCGCGGATTCTCGCCGCGCGCGATCGCCGCCGCCTCCTCCGCTTTCTGGTGTCAGTCGGCATCTTCCCGCCCCCGCCGTCCCACGCGCAGTCCACTCACGACCTCGGCCACACGCGCAGCCGTCGGGAACTTGCGCTTGCGCTCCGCAATCCACGCCGCGATCTCCTCGGGCGTGTCGAGCTTCAACCCCGTGCCCTGTATATACGCCGCGTTTCCCGTCTGCGCCCACCGCTCCTCTTCTTCGCTGCGCTGGCTCTTCGCGCCGTGGCTCTGCCCGCCGCGTCCGCCGCCGCCGCGTCCGCGCCCGCCCCGCCCGCCTCGTGCAGGCGCAGGCGCCGACGCCTGTGGCGGGGCAGAGGGGCCAGACGACGCATACGGATGCGCAGCGTACGCCGGCGCGTACCCGTACCCCGGGTATCCCCCGCTCGCGTTGAACGCGGGGTTGTAGTGTCCGCCCCAGCCCGGGTATCCGCCCGACGCATTGTATCCCCCCGACGCATAACCCGGCGCGTATGTCGCGTTGGGGTAGCCACCCGTGCCGCCCGTCGGATATCCGCCCGAAGCGTTGTGGCCGCCCGGCGTCGGTCGTCCGCCCGCAGGTCTCTGGGGAAGCGGGTGCGGCATGTTGAGGTTGCGATGGTGAGGTTGGCAGGTGGCAACTTTTTCGGCAACTTTGACCTAAGATGACGACGTGAGATGTATGGCGGCGGGCGCCGGCGATCTCCGACCCCAAGGGCAGATGTTCGAGTGGTTAAGAAGTCAGACTCAAGCGTATACGCTTATTCCGAACAGGAATTTCTGATGTGCTGACGCGCGCCAGGGTTCGAATCCCTGTCTGCTCAAAATCTTTTGGCGAGCGGGAGGTGCTCTGCGTTTGCCAGCGCGGATCGGCGGGGACGCCGATGCAGCGTCTCGCCTGAGGTGAGAGACGAAGAACGTGGCGACAAGATCGCTCGCATCTAACAGTCACATCCACTGCGGAAGGGTCAGAACTATTTGGGAGCGGAAGCGAGAACGGCGTACACCCGCATCGTACATCAGACAGCGTCTAACTAAGCGTGTGAGCTACATCTAGACGAAACCGCCTCTCGCCGCCCCGCGCGCGACCTTCGCAGCGCCACGGCCGCGCTTACTGGCGTTCCGTCGCTGCGGGCGCTTGGGCACGTGTGCCGCCTTCTCCTCCTTGTCCTCCCTGTCCGTCTTCTCCTCCTCGTCCGCCAGCTCCTCTTGCTGGTCGTCCGCCTCGGGGTTGGGCGAGGGGGGGACGGAGCTGCGGCTGAGCGCCGGCGAAACGGGAGACGATGTGGGTGAGTTGCGACGCGCCCGGGCCACGGGGGAGCGCGGGGCGTCGTGTGGCGAGCGTGGCGCGTCGAGCGAGGGTGAGCGGCGCGCGTCGAAGCCGAAAGCGGGAGAGGAGGCGGGTGGGGAGAGAGCCGAGGCCGCCGCCGCGGCGGTCGCGACGGAGAGGGCGGGCTTGGTGGGCGAGGCCGGCGTCGGCTCCTCGGCGAGGTAGGCCAGCCCCTCTTCCTCATCCTCCGCCTTCTCCTCCGTCTGCAAAGGTTCCGCCTTGATCTCAGGCTTAGCGTCGGCCTTAGCCTTGTCCTCCTTCTCCTCCTGAGCCTTGAGGATCTGGTCGGCCGTCATGGCGCCAGGAAGCCTCTCGGCCGCGCGAGCACGTCGCTTCTCGGCGCGTTCGGCCGCAAGCATCTCAGCCTTCGCCTTAGCCGCCGCGACTCTGCTTGCCGTGTCGTCGTCGCCCGAGATACGCTCCGCGCGCGCCGCGAGCGAGTGGATGCTCCCCTCGCTCTCGCTCGGCGGCAGTTTGAACCCGAACTCGGACGTCTCGGCGGCTGCGGCGGCCGCGACCGCGCTCGAGAGCGGCGCGTCCTCCTCCCTCTCCTTGCTGTATGCGTCGGCGTCTGCCTTGTCCGCTTCGGCCTTGGCGGCCGCGAGGGAGGCGGCGCGAGCGCGGCGCCCGAAGAATGAGGTGAGCGAGCGGCCGAGGTTAGCGCCCTGCTCGGGCGGCGAGGGCTCGGGCGCTGGAGGCGGGGCGGGGGTCGAGTTAGTGCGCCAACCCCCGAGCCATCCCTTCGTCTCCTTCGCCTCCTTCGTCTCATCCTTCTTCGGCTCGTCCTTCGGCGGAGGGGGCGGCTTGTCGAGCGCCATGGCGTCCTCTGCCACGGTGGCCTCGTTCTCAAACACAGGCGGCAGAGCCTCAACTGTTGGGGCGGGACTCGTCACGCTGGTGGTGGACGGAGCAATGGACGGCGCGGACGATGACCCTCGGCGCTTTGGAGCCTCAGAACCCTGCCACAGCCCAAAGCCCCACCCCTTCTTCTCCTGCTTTGGTGCGGGCTCCTCCTCTTCATCGTCGATCTCGTGCGGTAAGGGCGGGAGGGAGACGCTCCCACCTCCGGCTTCGGGGTCGGCCGCGAGGAACTCGCGGAGCGCACGCAGACAATCTTCTGATGCGGCGCGTGCCTCGTCCGCCTCGGCGAGCTTCATCTCGAGCGCTTCGATATGCGCGCGAAGCGCAGCAGTCTCCACACGTGCAGACTTGAGCTGCTCGATGTGCTCGTTGGATACTGGAGGTACCGTGGGCGACGTAGCGAGGGCGGAGGAGGTGGAGGCCACAGAGAGGGCCGAAGTGCGCCTCTCCGCCTTGGGGATGGCCAGGGGAGACACAGGTAGTGGCGGAGCAGAGGTTCTGACTGGCGACTTTGGTGGTGACCACGAGGCGGAGGCGGGCGGAGAGAGTGAAGGGGGTGAATGGCGTGGAGATCGAGGGGAAAGGCCCGCTCTCCTAGGCGACGGCGGGAGGTTGTCGACGTTGAGTGGGGGTGGGGCGCGGAGGTTCGTGCTCTTCTCTCTTGCGTGCCCAGCTCCGGCGCCGAGGCGGAGCTCGCGCAAGCCGCCGGGCTTCTCCTCCTTCTTCTCTTCCGGAGCACCCTGGCTCACGGGCCGCCTGCTGCCCAAATAGAGTGACTGTCTCTTCTTGGCAGTGGTTGTCTCCTCCTCAAAGAATCCGCTCTGGCGGCGGGCGGCCCGGTCGCTCTCCTGCTTCTGGAGCTGCATGACGCCTCGACGTGCGGCCTCGACCGCTCCACGCAAGTTCTCCACCTGCTCCTCGGCCTTCTCGCGGCGTGCGGTTTCCTCGCGCAGCTGCGCTTCCAGCGCTTCCTTCGCGGCGTGCGCGAATGTGAACTGGTCCTTGAAGCGGGCCAGCTCGGCTTCCAGCACCGAGGCACGTGTCTCAGCCGCCGCCTTGGCCGCGAGCGCCGCTTTCAGGTCGGCCCTTAGGTCAGCCGTCGAACGGGGCGAGGTGGGAGGCGAAGTGCCGGCCGTGGAGGCGGCAGTTTTGCTGCTCATCACGGAAGGGGCAGCAATCGATGCTACGTCGTCCGCCGTGGACATGATGGGTGTGCTGAAGGCAAGAGTTAAAGGACAGATAAGGGGCCGGCGTGCTTGATACCTCGAATACCGGGTACCGGCGTGCACGCAGGAATGGGGAGTAGATCTGGAGTCAGTGGCGAGGCGAGACATAGCCACAGCACCTGGGCGCACCTCTGTTGGGCGCACCTCTGGATCGGCTTTCAGACAGGATCGATAGGGGGCGGTGAAGCGATCAAGAGCGATGAAGCGACGTGCAGACGTGGCGGCACGCGACCCCGCGTCTTGAACTCCAATGCCGGCGGCGGGACAGGTGGAACGGACGGGGCGCGGGGAGCCTAACGTGCTATCCGCTGATAGTACACAAGTGATGGGGATAGTAGTATCGGTGTGACAATGGACGACGATGACAAGACAAAGAGTAGAACAGAGAGGGGCGATGGATATGCTTTCCACGCCGACGTGACCGTTGCGAGGCGAGCGCGCGCGAGGCACAGCTCGAGAAGGAAAGCGAATAACAGGCTTTGATGGAGCCGTCGAGCGGTCCGAGAAGGACGGCATGAACGGGGAGGCAGGCGGGCGGCGGGAACATTGACTTTGACGCGGTCGTGCCTGACACTAATCGGGGGGTGCTCTTCTCAGCAGCCCGAACGCGTCCCGCCCAGCAAAGCCCTGTCATATGGAAACAGGGCGGTCGCGAGACCCCCCAAGCCATTGCAAGCCATGCGATCATGCGAGCCGGTTTCATGCCCTCATGCACATCAAGTCGTGAATGGGCAGCAGGGAGGTGGCGCCTTTCCGTAATGTCGGATCCTACTCTCAGGATGCTGGCCCGCGGTGCGCAGACCCGCTCATACCGCTCAGGCGGCTCAGCGCCCTCCTGGCTTTTGCATCAGCTTCAGGCTTCAGGCTCCAGGCGCATCGGCGGCCAGCTGGCGAGGCCGTGCACCCTGTCGGTCGCAGCTCCGCGCCGTGCGCCGGTGCCACGGAATGTCATCACCAGCTTCGAAAACGGCAGGGAGTCGGATTCCCGGAACAATGCGAACATCATAACAATGTCATGCGTGCTCTCTATGTTGGCTCGTGTCGTCCCAAGCCAGGTAGGCTTGGAAGCGTCAAGCCGAGTCGCGCGCTGTTGCGCGGTGCGGGTGGCCCACTGGGCCCGCCAAGAACCCATTGCGAAAGAACGCCATTCCCTTGCCCCATTTCGGGGTGAAGGGCGACGGTGCGAAGAAAGCGCTGCAGGCGAGGACGGCGTTCTTCGAGGAACTCGGGAGAGAACTTGTCTGTGTGTGAGCGAGCGCGGCTTTTGCTGTGGATGCAATCGCTGGATGCTCTGGTCAACTAGGCGAGGCAGTGACATGCCGAAGTGCGCTTCTCCATACTCACGCATGTGATTCTTGCCAGGCAGTGCAGGGATTGTGCGTCGCAGATGCTGGGGTCAGCTGAGCGCTCAAGATCAGCGAACAGCGCAGACTGCAACACCGCGTGCACAGCCGATGCAACTCACAGGATATGCCCTCCGCAATGTGTCGCGCAAGCGCACAAACTCAGTGTATCGCCGCGTGATGGACAGGGTGGTCCCGTTGCGGAGCGCAATCTCTATGTCGTAGACTGGAGTGAGTCCGATGCCAGCTTCTTGGGCTCGCTGCACGAGAGATCATTCAGCCATACTCACCAACATACGCCCCGACTTTGGCGCTGTCGTCCCAGCTCTTTCCGCCCACGACCTGCCACCCCTTAATGGCGACCTCGGCGGCGAAGGGCGCCGGTCTCTCCCCTTCCTCCAAGCTACTCGAGGCGGCAGACCATGGCCATCGAAACCCGGATTGCCCTTCTTGAATCGCGGCCGGGGAGCTCGACATAACTGAGGTACTCGGAGTCGCGCTAGCCTCACTGCCATCGACAGTGTATCCCTCTACGCTGCCCTCAACGCTCTCTTCGACAAACGACGGCCTCCGCTCCTCCATCCACTCCCGCCCGTCCATACTAGACCTTTCGAAGCTCACCCTCTCCTCCATGCTCGGCCGCCACTCGCCGCTAGGTCGGCTCCCGTAGCTCAGCGCCGGCGACACGCGCCCGCCCACGAGCACTTGGACGGTATGACCTTCCTCGGCAGGCCGCGCACTCCGCCAGCCGGCGGTATCTCGTCCCCTGCTCCCGCCCAAGTCGCCATCGACATCCGGGTCGCCATCCAACCTCCTCCGTCGCCTGGCAGCCGCATAGGCCACGGCGCCGCCGCCGGCGCACACCCTCGCTAAGGCCCGCAAGCCTCGCACCGGCGCGAGCAGCGCGCTGGGCCGTGGATCCGGCACATCTTCGAGCGTGGTAATGAATGCTGGAGAGGCGGGCGATTCAGGTCGTGAGGGGGCAAAGCTCTCGTCTGATGGGGAGTAGAGCGGGGAGAGAGATGGTGTTGGGGAAGGAGAGGAGGCGAGGAGGACGAGCGCGGGCTTTTTGGGCGTCGACTCAGAAGTGGAGGGTCCGGGGAGAGGTGGAGTGGAAGACAAGCGGCGCGGGCGGGGGGAGGAGCTGGAAGGGAGTGGATCGCGCCATGGTTGTGTTGACGGCGTGGTCATCGCTGTGCCGCTGTGGCAGCGATGGGGTTGGTGATGTGTGCTTGGACGTTGTTGAAGCCGGCGACGGGTTGGGTGGCGGTCCGAGTGACGTCGCCAGCCAACTTTGGTTCCTCGCTGCCCCACTCCTAGACTTCCACCGAGCGATTCCTAATCCGTCAACTGACCATTTGAGAAGCATTATTAACCTCAATGTAATTGGTTCCGTGCCTCCACTCCGTCATCGCTCGGCATCGGCCGTTTTGCGCTTCTCCTCTGTCGCTGTCGAATATAACATCTCGAACTCGTCTTCATCCCATCCTCAGCTGAGGCAAGCAATCGGCCTTCGGTTTTATTGACCTATCCTATCATCTACATCCACCTCGCCAACCCCGCCCTTACTCCTTGCCCGACTTCGCGCCATGTTTGGCTTCGGATCCTCCTCTTCATCCGCCATCGAACCCGGCAAGGCGCCATCCCGTGAGCAGCGGCAGAAGTGCTGGGCTGCGCGTGACGCGTTCTTTGCATGCCTGGACTCGCACAGTGTCCTGCAGCCCCCCGAGGCAGGGAAGGGCGCCGGGACGCCCTGCGAGGCCGCGCAGAAGGAATATGAGACGGCTTGTGGAAAGAGCTGGGTGAGTGCGCGCACCTTGGAGGCTGGAGACATGGTGGAAGATGCGGGAGGAGAGCAGAAGGAAGAGGTGGATGGAGGCGGGCATGGAAGAGACGAGGAGAGGAAATGGAGCCTGTCTCGGAGGCCGGATCGGAGGGCCAAGCGAGGATCGAGGAGCAGGGGGCCAACCTTAGCGGTGAATACCCGCAAAGGTGGGACCGTGATCGGAACTCTGGACATTGAAGCGAGGAGGCGCAGAAGAATGTGTCAGTGGTCACGTTCACGACGCCCAACCGACCGATCCGGCCTCATACTCCCATCATTCTCTTTTATACTGCAGCGACCTCTCATCCCATTCGCCTCGTGACACTGCGCTGACTCAAGATCGACTACTTCAACAAACGCCGCGTTCTCGAGTTCCGCCAGGCTGCGACACTCGCCGAGGCCGCGCGACAGCGGGAAGAGGCTGCCAAGCGGTAACAGCAGCTCCGACTCCCCTCGCATCATTGTATTATGACAGACACTACTCCATCTCCAACACATGCGCTACTCCGCCGGGGGACCCGGATGCAATGCTACTTGAGAAGCGCCTCGACGACCTTGGGTTAGCCGCTATCGCGGCAGTTGGCGCAGCGCAGATGGTAGTGGGAGGTGCTAGGTGCTGCGAGTGTTCACGCCACCTCGGTCGACACGGCCAACCGCAGGGAGAAGGATCAGACTCACCGTGTTCTCGTTGATGTTCGTGATGTTGTTGCCGCGATAATTCAAGCGCTTGAGGGTGGCAATCACAGTTGTGCGGTCAAAGCCCATGTCGGTAAACTTGCGCACGCTCGCCTCGCTAAGCCCGGCCAGCTCGGCGTCGGAGGCGGTTCCGGAAGGGCGGTTTGGGGCCTGAGCGTACGTCTGCGCCCAGTACCGTGCGGTTGCGTTGAAGCTCTCACGTGAGGAGAGGAAGTGCTTGGCCACTGGGTGTAAGCGACAATGCTTAGAGCGGAAAGAAAGAGAGGCGCGATGGCACAAAAGCGCAGCGTACCTTCGGCATCTTGGGGGTCATTGGGTTCAGGCGAGCAAAGGAGGGATTGGAGTGAGATGAGGGTCGACTTGAGCGTGAGGACCTGATGTCAACAATGTTCGGGGCAGATCAGTTAATGAAACTGACTGGAGACCACTTGTCCTTCAAAATGTCGAGGCAGATCGCGCCCTGTTGTCAGCTGCGGTGACGATCGGAAATCTTACGCTCGCCGAGGACACATTTGGGTCTTGAGTTAGCTGGCTCATGGGACATGGTACAGAACGTACGGTACACCTTGGTGATGAACTTCATCTTGACAGCCTCGAATGGGTAGCCGTCGGGAATGACGATGTCAATCTCATAGTATCCGCCCTCGTACGGCGTGTCGGCCTGTGGTCAGTAAGCACCGAGCGATGAACGCACTGGTCCTGGGAAAGCACCGATGAGGTGGAACGGGTTGTCGTCCACCACTGCGGTCAGTGCGCTGCTGCAGCGGGGACGCACTCTCAATCGAAATCTGACTGTGCTTGTCGACCTGGCACGCTGGGGTTAGAAGATCAATTGAGGCAGGATGAGAGGAAGGGCGATGGAGATGGCGATGGACAATGAGCATGATTGACACACCCTTGATCTCCTTCTGGACGCGGCGGAGGCGCGCGTCAGCCATGTTGGGTATGTGTCGTGTTGGGGGTACTGGATGAAGAGAAGCTAGCGTGGATAGATGGGGCAAGTAGAAATGCTGAAAGATGAAGAAGTGTTGGATGTAGAAATGGATGACTGTGGATGCACTGTGATGAGTGATCATTACCGCGCACCGCGCAGCTTGGCCGAGCCAGGCACGGCGAGGGTCGGGCGATCATTCCATCGCTCGCCGCCATTAATAAGAGTCGTACTAATGTGCCTGGGGTACTGTATTAGGGCAAGCCGCCAGACACAAACAGCGAGTTCTAATCGAAAAGTTGAACTTTGAACATTCCTCCACTTGCACTTGCCATGGCCGCCAACGACGCCGCCGTTCCGCCTCCCGAGCTCTCTCAGCCCGAGGCTGGGCCATCTACGTCCTCGACTTCTGCGGCACCTGTGAACGCCGATGGCGAGGCGCCCACCCTCTCGAAGAACCAGCAGAAAAAGGCAGCGAAGCGGGTGCGTACTCTATCATGGAGAATGAGCTGAGCTGACCGCAGGCGCGCGCGCAGGAGCACAAGCTAGAAAAGCGCGCGCAGGAGCGCGCCCGCCGCCGTGAACGCCAAGCCGAGCTCTCCAAGGGCTTGCGAGAGGGCACGCTCACGACTGCCGAGCTCGAGCAGGTCGAGAAGTCGCGGGAGCTGAAGCGTGCACGCAAGGCTGCAAGCAAGGGCAAGGAAGAGAATGTTTGGCCTGGCGCAATCGTCATCGATCTAGGCTTTGACAGCCTTATGTTGGACGGCGAGATCACCTCCATGGTATCTCAGCTGACATACGTGTACGCAGCCAACCGCACGGCCAAGTTCCCTGTATCCAGTGTGCTGCACACATCCTTCTCGCCAGAGAGCAGTCCACGGTTGTGGGAGAAGCTGGGGCGGGCGCAGTGGCACCGCTGGAACCGCATGCACTTCTGGGCCGGGGGCGTCGACACTCTATCGGCAACTATGAAAGAGCATGTGGAGAAGGAACAAGACCCCGCGCCGCAGAAGAAGCCTGGCGAAGTGGCTTCGGTCGAGGACCTCTCCGATCCCCACCTCCCGTTCCCCGCCTCCCGGCAGCTCGTCTACCTCTCCGCCGATGCGGAGGAGGAGCTTACTACCCTCTCCGAAGACGAGGTGTACATCATTGGCGGGATCGTCGACCGCAACCGGCATAAGAATCTGTGCCAGGGCAAGGCCGAGGGGCTAGGTATCCGCACAGCGCGCCTGCCCATTGGGAGCTTTATTGAGAACCTCCCGACCCGCAAAGTGTTGACTGTGAACCAGGTGGGTTACGGCTTGCGCGTCGTTGCAGTACTCACCGCAGGTATATGAGATCCTGCTGAACTACCTCGCACTCCAGGACTGGAAGGCGGCGTTCGAGGCGGTCATCCCACAACGCAAGTACTTCCACGGCAGGGACGAGAAGAAGGCTGCCAATTCGGCCAGGCGGGTGGGGGATGGCACAAGCGAGGCGGGGACGAGTGCGGCGGGGACGAGTGTTGCGGGTGAGGGCGAGGGTGTCGAGACAGAAGAGTGCAAGGTGGACGATATGTTAGTGGACGAGGAGGCCGCCATGAACGCATAGGTCTTAGAGAGGTATGCCATGCAGTATCGGTACACTTGTACTTCAATTCACCTAGTCTACACCTGCCGTTCGCCGCCGGGGAAGTTGGGGTTGTTCTCCTTGCGTCCGGACATGCGCAACAGCTTCTCCTGGCGCTCTCTGTAGAGTTTCTCGACAGCCTCGCGCCCGCGTTCAGAGCGATTGGAGATGTAGTCGAGCTTCGCGGCGTCAAGGCGCTCCTCTGTCATGCTGGGGTCAGCGGCAGGACAAAGGGCAAGGGGGCGCGGAAGAGGTCGACGGCATAGTGAGGGGACACGACACGCTGGTTCCGGCGTGGCCGCACGCTGTGGCCTCCATGATGCGCTGCTATCTAACCGGCACCCTCTCTTCCCCGTCTCTTCTGCTCTGCTCCTCTCCGGTCGCCGGCGCCTAGCCACGCAACCTCTCACACGTCGACTCACTGCACCTTGATACACGCGTTCATCGCCTTATGCGGCGCACCGCACATGAACGGGATAGTGACTGTCCGTCCCCGCGCGCAGTCAGCAAATTCTGGGATCAGCTGGGCTCTTCATGTCTTCTCCGCGCATCCCTCGCTCCCACGCCGCCAGGTGAACTGCTCCAGCCGGTGCTCATGCACCGCGCGATGGGGCTCTGCCTGGCGCTGCCGCGTAGTACTCACCCCGAACCAGCTCGTCGCATGCCTTGAGCGCCTCGGTCTTGACCTTGGCCTCGACCTCTTCTTCTTCGCGTCGTGAGAGAGCTTCCATGGTGAGTTGTGGGTGATGTCAGGTTGTCAACATTGCTCGCTCGTTCTCGGACTTCTGTAGCGTTTACGTAAGCCTCCTCCACCACGCTCCGCCTAGCTCCTCGTTCTCTGCGTCCCACAACCATCAAACATATACATGTACCACATGCTTGCGTGTTGCACGATTGATGGTTGTGTTACTGTGCTCTCCATTAACTCTGGTATGTGAGCATACAGTCCCGCTGGAGTTGGAAACCCGGGCACTATCATATCTCCGTATGGACGTCCTTTCAGCGCGTGGAGAGCTTCATACACAGACAGATGCACACATTCAACATGCGGAGTGTGTTCGCCATGCAGATCGAAAAAGGGATCCCAGTGCATGCAGCACTCAGTCATGCTGAACAGAGGACGGCAAGCATAGACATCTCGACTTGCGCATCACAAGCGCCCCCGCAAAAGACGATAACTGTGTCTGAGCTGGGGTTCGAACCCAGGAAAGCTTACGCTACCGCAAAATCCTAAAGGACTTAAGTGCGGCCCGATTGACCAACTACGGGACTCAGACTTGAACCAAACTCGTCACCGCTCCCGGGCAGGGATCGAATATAAACCCCGGCAAGGATTAACACGTCATTTGATAAGCATCGGAACGCGATCAGCAATGTGGCACAGCGCCCTTGCTCGGGTGTGGCGATCACTTCATGTACATCACTTTGCGCTCTGCCGGGAGGCGGTGGATTCATCCCTGCAAAAATCAGTTTGTTATTGTAAGGATGTGTTGAGGCGGTTATGAGAGCCCAATCCACACAATCTGCAATGCACAACCTCTCCTCGCATCACATCACACCTGTCCCCTTTGTGGCACCTGAGAAACACCAACAGTTCACTCGTCCCACCAGCCAACACGATGGACGATCTAACGCTCTAAAGGCTATAAAACCTTCTCTGATTTTCCAGGTTAGCTCCTCAGACCACCTTTCACTCCTCTCACCTCTCCACAGCTTTCGCCATGGACCGGCGCTACTACCGGTCCGTCCCCGACTATACTGAGCGCGAGCACGACAGGCATGGCGCGCCCGCCCGCGACACCAGCGACGAGCTCGAGCAAGTGATTGCGTCTCTCCGAGCTTCTCTTCTCCCTCCCGAGCCAGAACCGGACGACCATGACGGTGACCACGCCGCGCCCGAGGACGACGGCGATGATTTTCCTCGCACTCACGCCGAGCTCTACGAAGAGATCGAAGCTTACCTCGCCCCTCGCCGCGCGTTAGTCGACCGGCTTAACCGCAGTATTGCCGACATGCAGCCGGAGGTCGTGGCCATCCAAACCGCTTTCGGCCCCCGCGAGAACATCAACCTGCCCCTCGACCAATACATCGCCATGCACGGGACCTCGCGCCAACCTCTCCATGATAACCAGGCAAACCGCCCCGCCCAGCACCAGCCTTTTAACTTCCGGTCTACCGTCGCCATCCGCCACGTCACGGAGCGACCGTCGCGGCACCACTATCCGACGGGAGGCCTACGCGGCCGCTACTTGCGCGACGGGCAGCGCCTCAACGAGCGTGCCCAAGAGAACGAGCGCGACAGTGAGTGGATGCACGACTCTTACGACATGCCCCACCAAAACAGCCGCGACATTCCTCCGCCCTACACGAGCACCCACTCTGTCCCTCCTGCCCCATCTCCCACCCCCTCTCCCGAGCCCGAGGCCGCCGACCCTGAGCCCGAGCAGGAGCTTGCCCCCGTGGTCGACCAGGTTGAGTGGATGCGCAACCTTCTCCGTCACTGCCGTGAGGAGCTAGACGACCTCCGGGAGCTCAATGCCCAAACGGAGGAGGCCCATGCCGACGCCGTCGAGCGATACCGTCGAGCGGAGGAGCGGACGCGTCGCGCTGAAGACCGAACCCGCCGACTGGAGGAGCGCTACCGTCTTCTCGAGGAGCACTACGACCAGGCCGTGGACCGCTACGAAGCTGCGGCGAAGAGCAACAGTCAAAACCTTCTCTTGGCCCAACGCTCAGCAGAGTCTGCTCTCCGGCTTCAAAACATCCTCGAGGAGCTCCTCTCTGCTGGAGGCATTAACACCGAGGACAGCGATGATGACGAGGCCAAGTCGGCTGGAGATGCTTAGTGCGTCTTTGCGACATGAACTCTGCGACTGTTTTTTTTTTTGACTCCAACCTCCTGACACCAACTAGCTACGAATGGCATTCATGCGCTTATGTATACAACCTTGTTACGATGAGTTGCCGACTTCAGTGTCTGTCCGTGTGTACTATGATTGTCCAGATCAGCGTCGGTTCGCTTGTGATGATTTGAATCGTGGCGTTCAGCGGCGGTTCGATCCGGTGGCGCTGAGATCACGGAGACGGGCGAGGAGAGCGGCCTCGCGCTCCTCGGCCTCGCGACGAAGAATGCTTTCCTTGGCGAGCGCCACCTGTGCGTTCCAAGCGTCGCTTTCGGCGACGTCACGGCTCGTCTTCTGGTGGTGGTAGGCGTTGTACCAGGTCCAGGCCGTGTCGAGGGCACGATGCTGCCGCAGTGTGGCCTCCTGGACGGCCGTCGTAGCCTGCTCGAGCGCAGCCTGCTCGCGCGCAGCGGTGTTCTTCGTGATCTCCTCGTGATGCTTGCGGGCATGCGCCAGCTCCTTCTCCAGCCTCTGACAGTTCGCCAGGGCCTCAGCGGTACGAACCTCGGCGTGTTGGGCGCGCGCATTGGCTACAGCGCGGGCAGTCGCAAGCATCTCTGCGTCCCCGTGGTCGTGCTTGTCCTGGCCGTCGCGAACCTCCTGGTCACCCTTGGCGCTCTGGGAAGCATTGTCACACCCTAGCTCATGAATGGAGCGCTCAGGGAACCCGAAATAGTCGATTTTGTAGTTCGAGTCGTAAATACCATGAATGAAGTCACCCGGGATGGGCGACATTTGAGCGCTTGTGGGGGGGAAGCGGTTAGAGAAACCGGGAGCAGGACCACTGGCGGACTGAAGCCAGTCCTTCACAAGGTCAATAGGGGCCGAGATGGCGTACTCAAGCTCCGGTGTCAGGAGGTGGTGGGAGTCGGTTGGAGTGTCGGGGGGCGTCGGCATGCAGGAGGGCCCAGGAATAAACGGAGTAGCGAAGAAGGAAAGAGGCTTACTAGCCACCTCGGGAAGGTGCTGGGCAGTGGTCTGGGGAGTGTCCTTCGGTACGAAGGGCACCGCCGAGGGCGAGAGAGGGGTAAACTGGCCGGTAGACATGGCTGTTAGGAGGGGTTGGTGGGTAGAAATTCTGAGAAGATGGGTGGCGAGGGCCAAGGTGTGAGGTAAGAGAGAAGAGCGGTGGTGAGAAGAGATGTGCATCCCGAGGATACTTATATCCTTGTGTGCCCGCGGGCTTGAGGAGCGAACGGGGTTGACGACAATACAGTGTTGTGTCGGTGGCGAGATTCCCTTGCGTGCATGTGAATATGTGAATGTCCAGTGTCCCCGGCCGTGTCAATTCAATTGAGTAGCAACGTCAAACAATTCGGACCGTTGTTTTCACAGGTTCGCACGGCCGCACGGGTTGAGTTGGGCGTGTATCCAGTGTTCGAATTGGATGTCTTGAATGCCAACGTAACCCATAACTACCTCTGCAGGGGAGCTCCAAATTTACCACAACATCCACAGCTAGCCGTGTTGCCTGCCCAAGGCTCTGCATATCAATCGACTCATGCTGGGACCCTTCCAAGAACATGGGAGTTTGCTCGCTTGCTGCTGGGGAGGCATACCCAACGCCATTGACGCAAACTGTACCCGCCGAAGACAATGTGCGGACACCATGAACAGCATTCTCCCGTGACTGATTTGTATCTGCTCCTGCAACATCTTACAGACATTCTTTGTGTACAGCTGAATCAAACGGGACCTGTGTGTTATTGCATCCGTTACCATCGAGGCGGCCCTTCTAGTCATGGCGTGGGTCCACGAGATCACGAACTATATCCTGCTCTGTCCATCATTCAATTACAGTACCAGCTGTCAACGTTCGCTTTGAGTTTCTGGTCACGGTCACCTTGGCTGTTTCCTCCAGATTCACCGTCATTGCGAACACTTGGTCTCCGTTTCCGTCTCCGTTTCCATCTCCGTTTCCGTTTCCCTCCCCAGGACCGTGGCCATCCCCGTCGCCACCGTCGCCACCGTCGTCGTCTCCCCCAGCTTAACCTCACCCACTCTGAAACGCCCCCTCCCCCATTGACTCACCTGCCCAACTACCCTCCACATCATGTCATTCCCTCCTCGTGCCCCCGACTAGCCCGACCCTTCCAAACAGAAGATCGACAGGCCCAAACACCATCGGCGACATCGGATCCCTGCGTGCGCAGCTTGCGGAGAAGTCGCCATCCTGAAGAGGACGCTCAAGAAGACGGAGAAAAAGCTCGAGTTCACCGCCTACGTCAACGCGAAGCTACTGAGGAAGGTACAGGTTCTGGAGATGGAGCCTATGGACGACCATGAAAAGCTCGAAAGCGTTGCCGCCGAGCTCAATGCCGAAAGCGCAGCGCACTAGGCGTCACGCACCCGAAAGGAGGCAGACGTTGCCAGGCTGGTCCGTGAGCACTTGAAAAACGGCCTTGACAGCCGCAGCACCTCATTCAGATTCGGCTTAGTGGATTCGAGTCCCCGCCCAATAACTGTTCGCACTGTGCCACAGACACCACGAGCACTCTTGCCGATAGCCCCAGAGCCTCCTCCGTCCGCGTCCACCCTTCGAAAACACACGCCCTCCTTTACTGAGGCCGCGCCTCCCCCAACATCGTGTTTCCCGGCCCAACGAATCTCGGTTGCACGAGGGCAGAAATAGCCCAGGAGCTATGCAAGCATCACCGCGCTCTTGCGCTTCACAACCAAGCTATTCCTCTGTGCTGCAGCGGTCGCACTCATTCACATCTTGTGCCAGCAGGAGCAGTACGTTTGAGCGCCACAGCTCCTGGCGTCTTTCGTGTACATAGTGCTACTGCTGCGTGTGGTGTTATGCGTATCACTTTGTTTCATGTGAGCGCTGTTTCATGTGAATGTGTAAAATGAGGGGGAAGATGCCGGTTTAGGGGCGGGTAGCTGATTAGATGACGACGCAACGGGCAACCCGGCCGCGGAATGCTGATCAGTGGCGCTAACGAATTGTGGCAGACTGGTGCAATCGCCGGTTGACATGGCTCTTATGGACAGAGAGACATGGCTGCATAGACTGAAGGCACCGCCGATTTGATTCTTCTCCATATTTCATTGACATGCCGTCCGCCCTATCTCTCATCAACATGCTTAGGGTCATTTCGAAACCATTGTCAACGAGTTACATTTCACTCAGCTGGGCTGAATGGACAGAGTGACGTATCGCGGATCTGAATGTCAGAGTTATCCACCCCACTCTCCAAAGGCCACAGGTGTTTGGCTCCCGGGGCAAATAATCAACCGCACTTATCTGATTGTCTACCCGCTCTCTCTCTCACCACTTTGCCGCTCGGCGCGCTCGGGGTGATCAGTAAACAGTGGGCCGAGCTAAATGGCGTTACCCGCTGGGCTTTTTAGGCACTGAGATTGGCTTGCGCCGTGCTCGGGGCTGCGCAGCCGAGGTAAGTGGCGAAATGACGGCGACGGGGTGGCGGTTCATCGCCTCTTACCCCCTCTATGCGCTGCTGCATACAGGATCGGACGACCGGTGGACGGTGACAAACCGTTCTGATAATTATGCGGAGGATCGTCACAGGAATATTTTTGAGAGTGTTGAGACTATTGATGCATACTGGACGCAGGAATTTCTGGTCGGGGCGCGATCAGCGGGTGATGGTGACGGGCTGTGGTTTGCGTAAGCTACTATGCACATAATACCTGATGGGCCGCTCACATTGAAGGTGGTAGATTACGCGGTTCAGGCAAGGCCGCAGATAGCGGATCAGCGGGATGTGGCAAAAGTCGCATCACGGCAGCGATGACAGGAACGAGAGCGCCTAGGTATGGGTTAATCAAGTCTAATGGAACGCGCCGCTCATACGACCTATGGGCAGTATTGCATTGCCTACTTGAGGGGATCAAAGTCGCCCCAATCCGTCTTGGCTGCCTGCGCCGCGTTCCAAGTAGGCTTGGCAACGTTCGGCTGCATGACCCCTGATGACCAGCCAGGTGGTGGCCGTGGCTGTGCCGGCTGCATCGGCGGTGATGTGATGGGCGGGGAGGCCATGCCCATGCTTCCGCTCATTCCTCCCATACCGCCGCCCATACCCATGCTCATTCCACTGCTCATCCCTCCCGTTCCTCCCATCCCTCCGATTCCTCCCATCCCCATCCCCATCCCCATCCCGCTGCCACTGCTCATCCCTCCCATCCCTTTCAGCCCTGACTGTGGTTGCAGAGGAGGGAAGCCCGAGTTTTGTGCAGAGATCGGACTCCTCAGCGGAGGCTGGATTGGAGGGAATTTGGGGCTTGTGACCTTCGGCGCCTGCGGCTCGAGACTGAGGTTGTAGTTTGGTCCTGACGAATCACGTGAGGCGCGGGGTGGAGAAGCTGGTGTCGCCCGCAGCGGCTGCAGGGGTGGAGACGCAAGGTGCGGCGAGAAGGCCGGCGTGGCTGGCGGGAAGGCGGAGGCGTTGAACGAACCTGACGGAAGGCGGGTTGCGCCCAGCCGCGAAGATGACGCGCGGGGCGGGGAGGTAGGTGCGGGGTCTGTGACGCTGAGGCTGGCAAATGATGTCTGCTGTTAGCAGACGAGAAGCAGACGAGAACAGTAGCTAGCTCAACCATTGCCCGCTCCAGTGTAGCCTGTACAGGAGGCAGGACTCGAGTCTACTCACCAGGTTGTCATCATCCCAACCATCCATGCTCCATGGGTCGATAGTGGCCGGTGCCGAGGTCGTCGCCCCCGTATTGCTCGCGCTGCCGCCACCCTTGACGAGTGTCTCAAAGTCGACCTCTCCCGACGGCGCAGCAAAGTCGCCGGGCGCGCCGTTTGTCGCGAAACTTGTCGTCTGCTCCTCCATCTTCCGCACTTCGCGGAGGTGCTGGGAGTGCTCTTTCTCCACTCGTGAGCCTAGGCCCTGGATGACACGCATAAAACGGGCAAATTGGTCCGCGTTGAGGAGTGGTCCCATTGACATCGCCCATAACTGAGGAAGGACGAGTGTCGCGATCGCCTCCAGTGAGACCTTCTGCCCCATCGCCTCATGCACACTCAGGGTGGCCATCATGACTGCTGGCTCCTTTGTCTTGATCTTTGCAAGCAGGGGAACCAGTTTTGTCGTGAGAGTCGTCGTGTCCAGTGTGGAAACCATTGCCGTGAAGCAGTCAAGTGTCTGGACCTTGACGCTCAAGATGCGGGTGCGGGTGAACAAAATCTGGTGTAAGCCCACAGCAGATTGATCAAATCAGGAGCCGCGGCAAAGACACATACAGCAATCTTTGTCAGAAGGATGTTTTGCACCGTCCCATAGTCAAGTATTTCGCAGAGCTGCGGTACCAGCCTGAGGACGCGCTCCTGCACCGGCAAGTGCTCGCTCTCGAGCGAGTTGTAGATGAGGGGCATGACGTCTGCGTGAGCTGAGTTCAGAGCTAGCAAAACCTACTCTCGCGGAACTGGGCCGGCGACGTCTTTTCCTCAAACATAGTAAGGTTGTCGAGGAGGGCTGAGGTCAGCTTTGCACAACGCGAACGCAGCGGCGACGCACTCAACATGTTTTGCGGTGGGTCCTTGAGCGCAAATAGCGGCTGAAGCTTGGGGAGGACAACGGCAAACTCAGTCTTGTCGAGACTCTTGGAGATCTCAAACACGTTGGGCAGCAGAAACGGGAGGAGGTATGGGTCCTTCATCTCCTCGAGGAGCGATAGCAGGATCTTGCCCTTCTTCAGCCGCTCCGAGAAGTTGGGAAGGACGCGGACCAAACCGCGCAAGAACGTCGCCTTCTCTTCACGCGGCTTAGATGCGAACGTCGTAGGGTCGAGGAAATTGAGCGTTGAAATGGCAAGAGACGAGAAGAAGGGGTGCGACGGGAGGGATTGCAGCGTTATGCGCCCGCTGGGTGTTCGCGTAAGCAGTCGCGGAAGGAGGTCTGGCGTCAGTGAGAGGTGAGTGAAGGCGAGATGGGGGCCTACCTCGGAGCTCGTTACTTGCGCGGTCCCACTTCGCGCCCCGCGCGTAATCTCGCCTGCCCAGCCCTTCGGCGTTCTCCCGGAGCGCCTGGATCGACCCCCTAGTCGCAAAAGGCGGTCGCCCTATGTGAAGCGCATACAGCACGCAGCCGAGAGAATAGAGGTCATTGGCAGGCGCGAGCGTGTTGTCGAGCGCGTACTCAGGCGCTGATGTCAGCGATGACTCGTGCAGAGCACACCCAAATAGTCGAGCTTCCACTGCACCTGAGGAGGAAGACGCGTGTCGACCTCTGGGTAGACATATTTAGTCGGACTCCCGTCCGGCTGCTGAAGCGGCAGCACGAGGTTGAGACCTGAAAGCTTCCAGTCGCCCTGCGATCAGCATGACAGATCCGGTATCGCGGAGCAATGACGCTGGAATCGACCAGGGAGGTATTCACCTTGGCGTTGACGAGAATCGCATCTGGCGACAAATTCAAGTGCACACTCTTCGCCTGGGTGTGCAGAAACCCCAACGCTCGTGCGACCTGCAGCGTGCCCTTCTGTATCTCGACCTCGTCGAGATCGACCTCGCCGTTCTTCTTCGCGGAAGCCAAAACGTTTCCCAAACTCCCCGAGACCGTCTCCGTGACGAAGGTGAGCTCGGTGCGGCTCTCCTCCAACGGCTCGACCATGTGCAGCACGTCGGGGTGCCGCAGGCGCGAAAGCGCCGTAGCCTCCTTCTTGAGCTGCTCGAGCACCCAGTCGCGGCCATTGCGCACGCCGTCAAGCACGCGCTTCTCAAACACCCATACGGACACGTCCTTGCCTGTCGTCTTGTGCGTCGCGCCCACGACCTTCCACAGGCCGACGTTGAACGAGCGGGAGGGGCGTGGTGAGGAGCGGCCGGCCGCGGGGAGGTTGGTGCTGGACGAGGAGGGGGAGGGGCCCGCCGAGTGCAGCGTGTACGCGCCGAGCGTCGAGGTCTTGCCGAAGAGGCTCGATGCCACGGAGAGCATCTTGTCTCTGGTGGGTGTGGATGTGTGCGATGTCAAGTGGAGGTGGACGGCAACACGACATCGACATGACCAAGGGCCACGTGAAGATCGTATTCAGAATAAGGTGAGATTACAAGCTGAATTGTATCAGGCCTTACCTCCACCTCCACCCCTATCAGGTCCCCCCAGTAAAGAAAGTTGAATCTGCGCTCACCATCAACAATCTCGGGCCAGCGATTCCTCCATCGACCATGAATGGATCAAAACGCGAACTAAAGACAAGGTGAGGCAGTCGATGGCGCATCTGACAGCAGCTTTCGCGCGTCGCCCAACTCTATCCGGCCGCTGTACACCGGCGGACCCGTGGCGCTCACCCGCGACGGGCAATGGCTCGTCACGACGATGAGCGAGGAGGTGCTGATTACCGAGGTATCGACTGGGCGTGGGGTAGCACGAGTGAAGGGAGTAAGTCATTCCACCCTCCTCGTCTCAGACGCGGGGCATAGGACGTGTGCTGACTGCAGGATACGACGGACATCACGGCCCTCGCGTTGAGCTACCACACCTCACCACCGACGCTCATCACCGCGCACGCGTCGCTCAGCGTGCGATACTATCCCCTACCCTCCTCGCTCCCCGACGGCAAACCGCCCACGCTGCAGTTCACCAAAGTGCTGTCTCGCGCGGCCGGCGCGCAGATCCTGCTCATGGCTGTGTCGCCTGACTCCACCCTACTCGCGACGGGTTCAAGCGACGGCATCGTCAAAGTGTGGGACATGGCGGGCGGATACGTGACCCACCTCTTCCGGGGGCACGGCGGGCCTGTGTCTGCACTCCACTTCTCTTTCCTTTCCTCGGAGGGGCGGCAGCGCATGGAGCTGTGGACGGGCTCGACGGACACGCGCGTGCGGGTGTACGACTTGCGGGACGCAAGCGCGCGCGTCGTCGTGGGCGGGAAGGGGGGGAAGACGAAGGCCAAGGCCGTGCTTGAGGGCCATGTGAGCGTCGTCCGCGGCATCGCGGTGAGCGAAGATGGGAAGTTCGCGATCTCCGGCGGACGTGACAAGGTTGTGCTCGTGTGGAGCGGGGACAAGGTCGTCCAGACGCTGTTGGCGAACGAGCAAGTCGAGGCCTGTGGTCTGCTACCCCTTGGTACTGCTGTGGAGGGCGAGCGGACCGACCGCCTGCTGGCTTACACTGCTGGCGAGACGGGTCGTGTGCGTATTTGGGACGTGCTCAAGGGCTCAGAGGTAGCGGAGATGGAGGGCGTCGCCGGCGTCGACGAGGAGGAGGCCGAGGAGGACGAGCAGCAGGGCGTGCTCCAGGTTCTGTGAGTTACGTCCACCCGCAAAGCTGACGCTAGGTACGATGCACCATCCTCGTCGCTGGTAAGCGTGCACGCGGACCAGAACATTCTCTTCCACTCGCTGCACTCGCTCGCGTGCCAGCGCCAGATTGTGGGCTTCAACGACGACATCGTGGACGCCGCCTGGCTCTGCCCTTCTGGGGAAGCCACGCACGTCGCGCTGGCCACCAACTCGAACCTGGTGCGCGTGTACGACGTCGGCAGCTTGAACGCACGCCTCCTCCCCGGACACCGGGACATGGTGCTGGCCCTCGCGCGGAGCGTGGACGGCAAGCTGCTGGTCACGGGCTCGAAGGACCGGACGGCACGTATCTGGGCGCCGCGGGCGGACGGGTGGGCGTGCGTCGCGATCGCGGAGGGACACGCGGAAGCGGTCGGCGCCGTGGCGGTGGCGAATAAGGGCGGGTTCATGTTCACGGCCTCGCAGGACCGGACGATCAAGATGTGGGACCTGTCGTCGCTCGACGTGGCCGCCGACGCGCCTGTGCAGCTCACGTCGCTCGCGACGCTGCATATCGCCGACAAAGACATCAATGCGCTGGACATTGCGCCGAACGACCAGTTCCTCGTCTCGGGATCGCAGGACAAGCTCGTCAAGGTGTTTGAGATCAAGCACTCGGCGGCGTCCGGCAGCGTCGCGCACGTCGGCACGTGCAAAGGCCACCGGCGGGGCGTGTGGAGCGTGCGCTTCTCGCGCACCGACCGGATCATCGCGAGCGGCGCCGCCGACCGCACCATCAAGCTGTGGAGCTTGACGGACTTTTCGTGTCTCAAAACCCTGGAGGGACACACGAACAGCGTCCTCCGCGTCGACTTTATGACGGCGGGCATGCAGCTGGTGTCGGCGGGCGGGGACGGGCTCGTCAAGGTCTGGAATATCCGCGACCGGGACGAGGCGTGCGTCGCCACGCTCGACGGGCACGAGGACAAGGTGTGGGCGCTCGCCGTGTCGCCGGACGAGAGCACGCTGCTGTCTGCCGGCGCGGACTCTGTCGCAACGTTTTGGGAGGACTCGTCTGCCGTCGAGCAGGAGGAGGCGAACGCCGCGCTCGTCGCGAAAGTCCAAGCCGAACAGGACTTTACGAACTACGTCGCTGTCGGCGACTACCGGCGTGCCATCAAGCTCGCGCTCGCGATGGGCCACCCCGGCCGCCTGTTGAACCTGTTCCGCACGGTGTTGCTTGCCGCCAAGCCGTTCGCGTACGCCGAAGAGGACGAGGACCAGGAAGAGGAGCGCGGGCGCGTGGCCGAGATCGACGCGGTCATTGCCAGCCTCGGCCCGCTCGACCTCGTGCGCCTCCTCAAATGCGTGCGGGATTGGAACGCGAATGCCAAGACCAGCGCCGTCGCGCAGGCCGTGCTTAATGCCGTGGTGCGGCTCAAGAGCCCGGACGAGATCATGGCGGCGTTCGAGAAGGTGGCGCGGAAGCCCGAGGTGGAGGAAGAGGAGGACGAGGATGAGGATGCGGAGGAGAAGGCGAAGAAGACGGCGAAGAAGGCTGTCGCGCCGACCATCTCCATGCGTGAGCTGTTGGATGGCCTCCTGCCCTATTCTGAACGGCATATGGCGCGTGTCGACCGTCTTGTGCAGGAAAGCTACATGCTCGACTACACAATCTCGGAGATGGACGGGGGCATGTTTGGAGCCGAGGTGATGGAGGTGGATGCATAGATGGGCCAGGCTAGCGCCGAGGTGAGGGAGATGGACGCGTAGATCTGCATGCATGCTGTATACTCGGACTTGTCTCCGCGCTGACCCACTCACACCCTCCGCAGGGATAACAAACGTGCATGACCCGGTACAATGAGGCTACATGTATCTACACAAATCTGAATGGGGTGTACACTGATGATGATACGCAGATGGTGTTAAACCGACACGGCGCGGATGGGATTAGCGGTGCGGCGCACCGTCTCGAAGATGCGGAAGAGGGAGAGGACCATATTTCCGCAGTAGAGGAGGAGGGCAGCGAGGGAGACGACAAAACACCCGATCTGGCGTCTGCAGACGGACGCGGCCAGCGGCGACGTCTTGAGCGCCTCGGGCACGGGGGTGGTCTGGATGAACGCGCGCGGCGTCGCCGCATACTCGATGCCGTTGGACCACCACGGCGTGAGCGGCGTGCAGTCGAGCGGTGTGTCGATGTAGTCGTTGATAGCCAGCGTCGCGGCCGAGCTCCACAGCGCGATGAAAAGCAGGTCGAGACACACCCAGAGCATCTTGGAGCGCAGCCCCCACAAGCCTATGGGCCGCCCGAAGTATTCGCGGTATATGGCGGTGAGGACGTGCACGACCGTGAGGCACGAGTAGGCGATGATGAGCGTCGTCGAGGGCCCGATGATGCCGCGCAGGGCGAGCCGGCCCACGCGCTGCCGCACGTCGATGCTTAGCCCCATCAGCGTCGCGGCGATCGCGAGGTTCACGAGACGGATGTAGATCGTCACGCGCGCATCGAGGAACAGCATGCGGCGCACTTTCTTGCGCCAGTCCAGCCCGTCCAGCGGCCGCGGTGTGCGCTTGCGCCCAAACATGCCGACTTTCTCGGACCGCGCGTCGTCCGAGAACGGATACTCCTCGTCGATTCGGTCGAAGGGATTAACCCGGTCGAAGGGGTTCGTATCTGGATCGGGAGTCGGGCGAACATTGTCACCCCAAACATCCGCCCCGATCACGGTGCGTTCGGGATTGAACGCGACCGAGTGCGCTCCGGGAGTAGGCGGGACCATGGCGGGCCGGTACCGGCGGGTGCGACGATTACGTGTCTTGCGCTTCGCGCGCGGCGGGGACTCGATTGTGCTCAGGTCCAGGTGGAGCTTGGCATGTTTCTGCTGCCCAGTAGAAGTGTCTGTGTCGTTTATGGAGGTGCGGTAGCCATGCCCTTGCGCGCTGCTCGCATGGCCTTGGGCACTTCCATTCCCGTGGCCATGCATGCTTCCATTCCCGACGGACATGTTGTCAGGCTCATCGACGAGCACATTGTGCCCTTGATCAGAGTGGCGGCGCATCTGGTCCGTCGAGTGGCGGCGCGGCTTCTCGTCCTCGTCCATCAGGCCGTAGTGCAGTGCGTGTTGCCATGAGCCTGCATGCGGCCAGCCTCCAGCGAAGTGTTCTGACACGTTCGCGGGAATACGCAGGCGCAGATTCTGCGTGTTCAGGCGACGGTGCCGAGGGCGCGCTGCTGCCTCAGCCCCCGTGTCAGACTCGGCTGCGGCCTCGTTTCCGTCCTCCTCTGCCAGAGGGCCATGTAGTGCCGGCCAAAGACGCTGTTTTGCGCGCACACGCGGCGACGTGGCGCCAACGGCTTCCGAGTCAGTGAGCGCGGTGTCGTCGTGGCTCCGACGCTGGGGCATCGACAAGAATCGCTTCGCAATGGGCCGCTTCGTCGGCGACGCAAGCGGTGTATCTGTGTCGTGCCCAGTGTCGTGATGGCTTATGTCGGGGGAGTTGAGTGTGACGTCCGCTTTCAGCTGATCTTCGGCAGGGGCAGACGTTGGGCGCGGGAGTTCTGGTGCGTTGACTGACGCCGGCGTCTCCACGACGTCGGTTGATGATCCGCGGATCCAAGATGCTCGCAGAGGACGCGGGTGGAAGATGCGAGCTGCGGCGTCGCGGGCCCGCGGTGTTGTGGAGCCTCCAGAGTTTTGTCTCGGCGGAGTCGAGGAAAATGGAAGGCGACGGCGAGTAAACCTCGCGCGAATCGATTCGCGCCCCGACTCTGCGTCAGAGCCACCACTGTCATGGTGAGCCTCCGAGATCGATCCTCTTTGGCCGGGGGGCGGGGGCGTGGGGCGCTCGTTCCACCGTGATCTGAGCTTGGCCACTCCGGTCTGAGTGAAAGTCCACCAAGCCGGCTCGTCGTCGGTATCCTCGTCGTCATCGTCAGAGTCAGAGGACTCCTCGCTGGATGTCCAATGACGGAAGCGCCGCTTGCGACGCTTTGGATGCTCGATGCGCGCAGTGTCAAAGGTGGGATTGCTCTCGCCCGTGGGTGTGGGAGGGTCGAGCATGGCGGAGGCTAGAGTTAGGGGGGCGGAGGTGAGCTGGATACATACGAGGTACGGTGCGGACCTTGCGGTTGCCTGAGGCATTGCTCATCGTGGTAACGGCGGTCGGGGTCGGGCTGGCTATCTGAGTCGCCTGTGTCGATGTGGTGGTTGCGCGCGGTCGGCCGGGTTTGAGGCGCGGGGACGAGCCCCCCGCGCCGCTGGGGGCCGTGATGTCCATGTGCACGCGTAGGGGATGGAATGGAGTGCGTTGGGATGGAAGGAGGATGGGATTGCGCAAGAAAGATGGGTGAGCGAGGCGATGGCGAGGCTGTGTAGAGTGCGCCAGTGCGAGATCGCGCGATCTCTAGGGAAGTGGTGGGTTCAAGGGGGTACGGCCTTGTTTTAGAGTGGCGACATGGAAGCGAGAGTTGCGAGAAAGAGAAAAGCGACTCTGGCGATGAGAATAGGGGTAAGGAGCGTGAGGGGGGTGGGAGGGGGGTATGAGGAGATGGGAGATATGCGATGAGTCGAGTTTGAATGAATAGAACGACGACAACAATGAAGATGGTAGCGAGGAGGGGGGCGGGGAGCGTGTGGTGCGTGACTTGTCGTACGGTGCCCGAGCACCCGCAGCCGGTGCCGCAGTTGTAATAATCCTAATGAGTTGTAATGAATTTAAATGACGCGCCGATTAGACATTGTCGTTTCAATCCATTGTCCCACGCGTCGTTATATTCAGGGTAAAACGCCCTCCCGCCCATGTGCCCAAGCCTCTCTCGCCCGATGCTCCACCTGCATCACGTGATAATCGACGGAGTGCGTTTGAGCTCCGCAATGGAGTCCCCAGTTGCGTCATCGTCGGCGAGGAGTGTTTTCCTCAATTCGATCGTGACTACCTGTGAATCGTGGTGAGTCGCACGACTTGGCTAGCAGAGCGCTCGAGCGTGAGCGCTCGAAGCACGGCAATGTCTAGCACAATTTTACGGCCATGAATGACACGTGCATCGCCTTAGCTGACCTATGCAAAGCTACTCGCTTGCCTCCTGTAGCACAAATTGCTTCTAGCCTCGCAACGCCGTTTCATGAAGTGACGACTTTGTGCCATTTCGCCACAAGGTGCACAATGTCTCACACAATTCTGTCATGATTTTCAAGTCACTCTGGACCTACTGGGAAGGCCAAAAGTTGGCGGGGGGACGGGGGAATAGGGAAGAACATCGGCTTGTGGTGCGTCAAGAGAACGACGTGTAGGCCTGAGTCAGTACGGACCAAGCGGCGTCTCGGCAATGCATTGCATCCGAACTCGTGGGGACATTGGGTGCCCTCACTTGATGAGGCAATCGCGCCGGTGTGACGAGCAGTGTTGGTTCGGTTCTCGGCATCACTGGGCGCATGAGCACACAACAGGAAGGATGCGCGCTTTTCCAGCCTCAACGTCCTCGACTCGACACCACTTCTTCCGCGCGACTTTACCTCGATTGTCTCGTATGGTTCCACGTTGGAAGCGCTCGCTCCACTTCATCCGCCTCGCCTGACCTGGTTATGACATCGTTTTGCTGGATGCGCGGCAGTACGCACTCTCTCTTCTCCGGTATCCCGGGACCTGAAGCACCTAGCACCTGGGCTCCTGGATTCACACCTCGCGACTGCAGGGGATAAACCGGGAGACCGCTCCACCCCATGCGCCCTGCTCTCGGCCACACCGCACACCTCCCGCGGTCATTCAGCATGCGCGCCATCTCGCGGCGGCGGTCTGGAACGTCCAGATCGTCCAGACGAGATCGACAGCCCTGATGATCAGCCCGCGTGCACATTCTTGGCTTTCCGAACGGCCGAAGCCGTCCCGCCGAGCCGCCGATCCCACTAAAGTTTGAATGTGCACTCATACCCGCGCCGCGCTGTCCCGCCCACTCTTGCTCCGCACGCAAACGAACGCCGTGAGCTCGTCTACAGTGCCGTCATGCTGCCAGTTGCACAGCTGTCAGCCCCATCGAGTTGTACATGTGCTGGTGGTCATGTCCGACGACGCCAGCATGACCAATGATGCGCATTGAGACTGCCAAGATGACCGATTGTCGTTGGGCACTGTGCGGAATTGTGTGAGCCCAGGATCAATCAACCTCTGTCCCCAGGACCCGGGGGGATGCACGCGTACCTGCTGCTAGCTAGCTGTGCAGGAGTGCCGGTAATAAGGCAGGTTATGCCGTCGGGCCGTGGACGGTGGATGGGATCGATGAGTGTGTGCGTGTGCGTCCGGCAAGAGCGGCGGGACGGCAATCAGCGGGTTCTGCAGAGTTGATCGTGGGGTCTGGAAAATTGTATCGTGGCCAGACGTGATTGCATCAAGTGTGATGTAGAGAGTAGCTCAAGCAGCTCAGGCATCACCAGTTGAGCGAGCAGCGGGTGGCAGCTGGGCTTCGTGTGGTCCTGCAGCCTGCAGTCGTGTGTTTGGAGTTTGGAGCAGGTGGTTCATGCGTTCAAGCAGCATCATTCCTGGAGCATTCCTGGAAGCCGCTGCGTCTACAGTATTCAGCGTGAGCCTGACCTAATAATAATCATAGTCATGGTCATAGTCATTGTCAGTATCCACATACAAGTCAGGGAGATTAGAGGAATGCTATTAACGCTATTAATGAATTAGAAGAGATTTGTCGGGGGCTGGGGGCATGACTCCACCTGGCATCTAGGATTTGCTTCCTTTCCTTTGACCATGGAGGCCATTCAACCCCCGTCCTCGTCCTCGGCTCCCCCTCCTCCATTAATCAACACGCGCTTGTCACTCGCTCCCTCCTCTTCATCGACATCCCCGCCCTCGTCAACAACACTCCCCTCCGTCTTCAGCACTCACCCGCTGCATTCACTCTCTTTCCAAACGTCCAATTCTCATTTTCCGCCCTCGCCCTCGGCCTCGGCGTCATAATCGCCCTCGAAGCAATCGTCATAACACGACTCCATCGCCCCTTTGCCCCCGCCTTCGCCCTTTGCGCGCCGCCCTCCCTTCTTCATCCACCATCCCCACCCCCTTCCCCAACGTTAACTCTGCCCCGTCGCCGCTCCTTCCGCACATTCAATCCCCCTTCGTGGCCGGCCCCACTGCACGCTCTTGGTCCCACTAGCATCCTCCCCCGCTCCGCTCTTGTGACCTCTTTGACTGTCTCGGTCATTGCTCAGCCAGCCTTTCACTCCAGCTGCCCGCGATCTCGAGGCCCCTTCCCCTGGCGCCATCATCTGAATGCTCCAATACTCGCTGTGAACTCGTCGTCGACCGCCATTGTAGCAGTCGTCGTTGTCACCGTCCCGCCCCTGCCACCATGGCTTCAAGGGAAGATGCGGATGATCCGCTAGACCGCGGGCCACGCCCAACTGCGGCCTCGCCACCTCCTTCCTCGCGACCCCGTCCTCCCATGCTCGAGACGACACAGCGAAGACCGTCTCGCACCTCAGCAACTCCCACACCGGATCAGACGCGCGGCCACCATCGCCGACATTCATCACTAACCAGCCCCCCACCCCCTCCCGAAGACTTCAATCCCCCGGCGGACTTTACCCCGACAGACTGTGCTCTGCAGGGCATTCAATCCCCGTCTACTCCCACCGTCATACAGCCTGCGACTTCCTCGCCTTCTCAATCGCTTGGGTCGTCCGCCAGATCGGCAGACGACACGGCCGTGCCACCACTTTCCGCCGGCAGCAGACAGTCTGCGCCAACTGCTGTGGAGACGTTCCTCCAGCGACCTCAAATTCGGGTCATCCAGCGGCTGTCTCAAGAGTCCGTACACAAGTCAAGTCACAGCTCGCGCTCGTCGAGCAACGATGGCTCGGACAGCAGTGAAGTTTTGGCTGCGCGCCGCGACGAGCTCATGTCGCAACTGCTCACAGGCGAGCACGAGGCAGATCACATCAGACGGCTATCAGGAGAGTCCTTGACGCCTACCAGGCGAGGATCCACTCCGCCGCCCATCGACTGTCCAGTTGAGGTCAACATCATCAGCTCGACTCCTTCTCATTCCTCCCCCCGCCTTATGGGCGACGCTCTGCATCAGCCGCCCACTGAGGAATTCAACCGCCGTCCATCTATCGAATCCTCATCAGCCGACAATGGCGACGATGATGGGGTCCATGCATGGGACAGTGTGGTGAGTAATTAGCTGCAATTCTTTGTTTGTGTGTCGCTCATTGTTCCAGTGGCCGGCGCCAAATGCCCAGTCTGTGGTCAACTTCCCACCCCAGCCACCCGTGGTATCGAGGTTCCCATCAGCCCCCGTCTCGCCGTACGTTACGCCGTCCTTCTCGCCGGCGGTAGTCCAGACAACGCGCCGCTTGTCGTCATCGCCTCCCCACTCGCCGATGCCACGAATGTTCGGTGAATCGCCCGTTTGTGCTGTGGACCGCTCAAGCTCGGGTTCCAACCAGCGCGTGCCCCAGGCACCGCGCCCTGGCCCCACTGCATCATCGCAACATTCATCTCGTTCCGATAGATCATCGTCGCGGAGCCCAACGACCAGCCCACGTCTTGCGCCCTCGACATCGCACACGCCGCCCGACTCTGGCAACGAGGGGCAGCTGCCGGCTGCACCGGGGAGCCCAGGTGGAGGGAGCCGAAGTCGATCTCGGGTGGCGGCTTCAGGATCTCCAGGTCCGGCCCGGCCACAGACGTCACCTTCCCTGCCACCCACCACGAACAATGGGAGGAGATCGCGGGGGGGTGAGAGATCTTGTTCGTTCATCAACCAGTTCCCAGAGCTGGCTCCCCCATTCATTTCTGGCAAGGAACTCTCCTCAACATCACATCTCCCTCGCCGGCTCTCTGAGACCGCCATCATCCGCCGGCCCGATGCCTCGCTCACGCTCGACAGCGACCTTGCCATGTCGGCTGTGCACCCCTCCATCGTGTTGCCAGGCCAAGATACTCAAGGGGCGTTGAGTGCTGCTGCAGCTTTTCGGTCACCGACCGCCATCCGCCCCAATGGTCCTCGGCGCGCGCGGTCTGCTCAGGAGGCCCTTGATACGCGCGCCCGTCTCTCCTCCGGTTTGGCCATCACTGTCGCCGCGTCTGAAGAGAAGAACGAAGCTGGCGACGAGGCCTCAGAATCGCTGCCGCAAGAGCAAAACTCGCCGGCTATCTCCTCTCCACCTCCCCCAGAGCGCATATCATTCGATTCCCCGGCCTATGCGGCATATGAGAACGCGATCGAGGACGATGCTGACGACGAGGGGCCTGTCGAGTTATCCAAGCTAGAATATGGACGCTCAAGCCACAGGGCTTGCCTTTTGGATGACACGCCACTCCCTGTACCGACAGAAGATCCCCCCACTCAGCATCTCCCCCTCCCAGGCGGACTCGTTGACGAGGGAGACCTTCTCCCTAGAGATGTGGCCCCACAGATCGAAGCGGACGTCACCTTTGACGACGATGGTCTGTCGACGCTGGAGCGCATTTTCCTTCTTTGTCGAAGCGAGTACTCCTTTCATCGGGCGTATGCGGCGCGCGTGCTCGGAGACCTTCTCGGCGACGTGGACCCTTGCGAGTCGGTCGAGTATGTCCTGCCGCTCGTCACCGGCTTTTCACTTGACGAGGACGAGTCCGTCAAGGAGGCCTTTGCTGCCGACCTCCACCGCATCCTGTGGTATTTCTTCACAGTGAGTGTCTAGCTTGAGTTATGTGCGCTGAACGGCCAAGACTTGCCAGGTGGTGGCTAATGCGGAGCAACCTGTTAACTATGAGCCACCCGTGGTGACTCAAAAAGATGAAGATCCGGAAAACATGCCAGAAAGCGTGTTCCAGCTCGATCACGTTATTAAGACGCCTGGAAGCGAAATGCCCCGCGACAAGTTCGAGGCCATGTTCGCGACGGCGGCTGCAGCTCAATCGGAATCCGTGTACGGACCGCAGGCCACTGAAACGCATCAAGCGACGGATGGAGGCTCGACTCCCGAAGAGGATCCCGATCCCGTACGGCCTTCAGAAGGTGCAAGCAGGACGCAGAGCACCGACACAGCTCATTCCGCCAGCCACATGACCGACACTGAGACGACCGCTCCTACCAGTGTCTCTATGGCGCATCTCGATGACGACGATGTGCCCAAGCGACCCATCCTGACTAATGAGAGCGACAAGCTCTGGCACAGCGAGTATGAGGTGGTGGAAGCGCCTGCGATCACCGTTGACTTCTTCCGCCCTATGCTTGGTACACTTCTTCTAAGCCACAACCCCGCTGTGGCTGACCCTGTGCGAGCGGGTATCGTCGCCATCATCTCCCGCCTGCGCGGCCACGGTCCTGTGACACCAGAGACATGGGGCTCCATGTCCGAGTCTGAGTCTGAGGACAGACTTCAGACCTTCCTGTCTCAGACTGGGCCTCACTCACACGTTATCCGGACCTTTGGCAGCACTGTCAAGGATATGATCGAGCAGGAGTTGTTGCATGGCCTCGTATTAGGCATGGGCATGCTGTCAACCGAAGTTCCCGAGTCGCTATTCGACAACTCTGTCGAGGTCGTTGGCGACGACGACGAAGAGTATACAATCGACCGCGTTCGCGACGAAGCACTGTTCCGGCAGCAGATGATTCACGAGGCAGCCCTCGGAAGGGCTCTCTCGCTGTCCCTCATTGGATCTGTCTCGGAGATGTACTCGCCGTGCGAAGTCGAAACATACGGCTTCGTCGACGAGGTCATTCGTGGTTTGGATGGTGATGTCAACACTCGAGCGGAGGCAGCTGTCGCCATGGCCGCTGTCATCAAAGCTGCGCCTGACGAATCCATTGAACGCCTCCTTCCCGTTTTCGAACTCTACGCTAACGACGAGGATGACCAAGTTCGCCAGGCCGCGTGCGTTTGTCTGGCGCCTCTGTGCAAGCGCATTCCGCTGGACGCCGCCCGCCGTCACTTTGCTGTCCAAGCTATGAAAACTTTTATGGCGAGTGGCGACAACGTGCGATACGCGGCCCTAGAGGTCCTGGGAGAGGTCATCTTCACTTTCGACGCCGATCCGGAGGGCCCGCCAACCGAGCTTATCACCATTTACTGCGATGATCGCGAGAGCGAGGGAAAGGATAGTGACTGGGACGTCGTGGCCAGCTACAACGTGAGTTTCAAACACCCGACCCGTCTGACAATAGTTCCCCGGTGTCTGTCTGACTCTGGGCTCCACCCGGTGGCACGAGCTGCGAGGCTTGTTCAAGCGTATCATCGAGCGTGGGGGTGAGCGGGTGTTCCGCACCGTGGCCGCCTTCCTCCACGAACTGGCACACATTCTCAACCCCGATCAGGTGGCTGAGGACATTCTGCCCGTCTATCGTCTATGCCTCAAGCAGGACGATGATGTGCGCGAACGGATTTTTGAACACATCGATGTGCTCATATGCCGGCTGCCCCCCGCACTTGGTTGGCAGTCGTTCCTTCGCCTGTCCGATTCGTGGAAAGAGGACCAGCTTGGCGGCTGGCGTGCGCGCGAGCAGCTGGCACTCCACATCCCGTCTTTCCTGGAGACATTCCGCGAGCATGACGAAGTGGCCCTAGTCTTGCACATGATGCGCTCGGCGCTCCTCGACAAGTTTGCTGCTGTACGTGACGCAGCAACATATGCCATCCCGAAGACGTACGACATCGTGCAGCGCAGCCACTGTTCCGCTTCCACCTTCTACGAGATGCTGCTAGAGCTGTCTCATTCTCCGAGATACAGGCAACGCTTGACGTAAGTCGCATTGGGTGATTGAGTTGCACATGGCTGACAGGTGCAGGTTTGTCCGTTGTCTCCGCGAGTTCATGCGGCCACCGCCCAACAAACGCGCTTTCGAAGAGTTTTTCATGCCAGCGCTGATGCGACTTGCAAGCGACATTATCGACGTCCGTCTGGGTCTCGCGCAGGCCATTGCCGACCTGTTTATTCTCGGCGCATTCTATGGCGACAAGACGTTGCCCGTGCCCGCCATGATCCAGCGCATCGTCAACATTCTGGTCGAAGATGAATCTAGCGATGTGCGCGACGCGCTCAAGGAGGTTGGCGCCGACAGGTGGGCGCAAACCGACGCGTCAGTCACCGCCGAGGACGCGTTCGGGTCGGCGGCAAGGAACACGGACGACGTGGAGCACTTGACCAACCGAGTTGTTGATGCGCTCACTGTCGACACGCTAGACGCTGAGTCGCGCATGGCCGCCCCGCACAATAGAGCCGCGATTGCGTCGCCAATGATCTCGGACAACCACTCTGAGGCGTTTACGAGCTCGTCGTCCGACCCGTTCGAGGCGAGCTTTGCGCGCGCACAGGCCAGCGGGCGGACCAGCAAACGCTCGTCAGCAGACGAGATCCTCGCCGCCGCCCAGCGCGCCGTCACTCTGCCAGAGGGGCTTGAGGGCAGCCCGCCTTTGAGCCCCGGTCTGCCGATCTCGATTCCGCCACCATTTGGCTTGACCTCAAGCGTCGAGAACTCGCCTCCACGCATGAACTCGGCATCACCGCTCTAATCGTTTCGCGGCATCTCACCATCTTTGTGCTTGTCGCACCTTCATCTGCTTTCCGCAACTCACACCCTACATCGCCCCCCCCTACGCCCTAGAGGCCACTGTATCTCCGTTACCTGTCACCATATAGCCTACGTTATGCACTGCATGCCAACTCGGAATGCCTAGGATATCTCAACAGCAACTGTACTGACGCTCTACGATACACTACACTTGGACCCAGAACCGCCCCTCGGACCCAGGCGTGCTCACTTGCCCGTTATCCAGCCCGCCCGTGACGCCGCCCCCGCCCACAGCCTTGCCCACACGCTCCATGACGGCGAGCCCGAGCCCGTCGTCACTGCATCCCTCGACGAGGATGGCATCGACGCCGGCGCTCTCGAGGTCAAGTAAGGCATCAAAGAGGTGCTGTGCGGCGCTGGTGGCGTCCAGCCCGAGACTGCGGCGCTCGAGCGGAACACCCTCGAGAGCCTTCGTCAACGGGCTGCCCTCGTAATGCAGCAGCCCGACGCGCTTGTCACCCACGAGCGCGCGCACGACGCCCGCCGCGTCCGTCGTGGCACCTACGACCGGCGGCCGCGGGAACACGTTGGACGGCAGCAGCAGCTGCACGGGCACGGTCGGCGAGTAGTGCCGGTACTTCATGCCGGGCGTGGAGGGGGGCAAGCTGTCGTCTGTGGGCTTCGGCACGCCCCCGCCCGCCTGCCCCTTGACCCACGGCCGGCCTTGGAGCTGGATGGCGGTAGCGTCCGGCCGGCCGTCGACTTGCGCGACCACGCGCGCAATGTCCTCGACGCCGAGGCCGCCGGGGCGGAGGACGTTGACGACGCCGCCCCCGCCCTTCTGCCACCCCAAACCGTCTACGACCGTGCTCTCCACACCGACGCCGCAGGGGCCGCCGTCGAGGATGCAGCCGAGGCCCTCGCGCCCGTCGAGGTCGTGCACGACGTGCTGGGCGCGCGTGGGCGATGGGCGGCCGGAGGAGTTGGCGCTCGGCGCCGATACGGGGAGGTCGGCTGCGGCGATGAGCGCCAGCGCAAGGGGATGGTTCGGCATGCGGATCGCGTTCGTTTGTGGTGCGGGTGGAGGTGGGGGCGTGGCGGAGGGGAAGAGGAGAGTGAGTGGTCCGGGCCAGTAGGCTGCGATGAGGGCGTGGTACAGCTCGCTGAGCTGATAAGATGGTGGGAGGAGGCGCTGGAGCATGTCCAGCGAGGACACGTGCATGATCAATGGATTGTCGGAGGGGCGATTCTTGATCGCGTAGATCTTGGCTGTTGCACTCGGGTCGAGGGAGTGCGCGCCAAGCCCATACACCGTCTCAGTTGGGAACGCGACGGTCCGCCCGGCTTTCAGGTGAGAGGCAGCAATGTCCAGTGCAGGCCTGAGGTTTGGCCCAGCCGAAATTGTTGGAGACTGCAGCCTGTTGCCGAGGGAAGGGGTGATCGTGACGTCGACGACGTTGCACTGGAATACGGGTGTCTTGCTCGAGCCGTGTGATGACGAACCGTTAGAGAGAGCCCCATTTGGCGGATTAACAGGCGTGGACGGATACTTGAGCGCTTTCGCCAGGAGCTTGCCGTAGTGCTCGCGGGTTGAGCGCTCGACATCTGCTGTCGCCTCACGGACCATGACGTAAAGGTCCCCCTTCCACACGGAGCACTCGCAAGGGCGCGAGGCCGGTCGCAACCCAATGATCTCCAGGATGCCGTCGCTGGCCGGCACTCGCCCGTTTCGCTCACTCTCTGGCACGTTGGGGTCGTAGAACCACGCCGAGTTCTTCTCCATGAGGTCGGGGTAGGCTCGTCCGGCGACGTCAAAGAGGTCAACTGAGACCTCAAACCCGTCCTTGTTCAAACGGCGGTAGTGCAACCCCTTTGGGGCTGGCCAGTTTGGTGGCGCACCCGGGGCATAAGCGTTCGCTAGCTCGTAGATGTCACCATAGATCACGCAGCGCCACACAGTTGTACTTGCGTCTGCTGCCGTCTGGCTCTCTAGCGCGATAATTCTGCGTAAGCTTCATCCCCTACCGTCCTTACCTTATGCGGAGAAAGACGCCGCGGTCCTCGGCGCCCGGACTTGGAGGGAGGAGCACGTCGACGGGCAGATCTTTGCGGTTCTTGCGAAGGCGCACGACGTCATCCATCCACAGCCGCTCGCCCTGGTACCAAGCGCCCTGGTATAGGTTCTTCTTGCGGTTCTGGATGTCGTTCAGCTCGGCCTGTGTGAGTGCAGTGCCGCGAGGCAGCGTCTCAAACATGTCCGTGTGGGCCCAGCAGGAGGCAATATTCCGAGCCATTCTAAGGGCAACACCAAGACGTAGCACTGCGCGGTCCCAGCTGTTGGGCATGTCGGAGAACTTGATGCGCTCGCCCCATCGCCGCTTCCACCGCTCCTCGAGCTTGGTGCCCTCGATCTCAGTTTGGTGGGAAGGAATGTCGATCTGAGCTTCGCGCTCGATGCCCTCACGGAGAACTCGAGAACTCTCACGCCCGATCTTCGTCCATCCCTGCGCCCCGCCCAGCAATTGCACGCTGGTGGAGAAGGGCAGCAACTCTGATGTGTACTTGACAACCTCGTTCATGTTGGCGTTGGAGAACATGCCGAGCGGGCGAATGCTGTGCTTGAACGTGGTCACGGGCTTGCCGTTCTCGTCAACCTTGGACGCCTGTGTAATCGTCGCAATGAGCCCTGGCCAGTGGGTGACTTCGGGCAGGTCACTGCCCTTGGGGGGTGAGATAGTGTGAATGCGGAAGAAGACGAGTTCGCCCTTGCCTGCCGTCAGCGATGAAGGGCGCACACGCACGATATCGTCTTTTAGTGAGCTGGTCAATAGTCCGCTCGGGAACGACGACAGCGTCGTGCACCTCGTCTTCCTCGACGCGGCTCTTCTTGGAGCCGGGCGTCGAACCATCGTTCGCGCGCTTCGCGGGCGTCGATGCCTTCTTCTCCTGCGCGATCGCCGACTTGGAGTTGTACTTGCACTCACACTGAGATCAGCGTCGTACGACACCCCACTCACAGTGCTGTGGTCCTTGAGGCTCTTGCTGGTATCGAAGAGCCAGACGGCATGCTCGATGAACTCGTTGGGCGAGCGGAACTTGGACACAGGCGAGCCCTGGAGTCAGCGGGGGACGTCACGACGACTCAACGTAGAGGTAGACGTCCTCGCGGATGCTCTTGTCCGGCTGCGGTTTCTTGTGCCGGAACAGCGCGTATCCTGGGGGCATGTCGATCCTGGGCTTGTCTGACTATGAGCAATCGGTACCGATTGCGGGCTATTCGACACTCACGAAGGCCCTGTAGCCCCAGCACGTTCTCCGCAATGTGCTTGCCGACCTTCTCGCCGTACAGCGTGTACTTGGAGTCCTCACTTGCGTCAGCTTGGGCGACGCGGCGGCGACTTACGGGCTCAGCTTCTCGAACCAGCCCGAGTTCTGGGGCTGGGTGGAGTGGGGCCAGCGGTCCTCGCGACCGTCTGACCGCGGCCAAACGAGTTTTGGGTGAGAGGGCGCCATGGCCGTGCGTATGGCTCGAAGGAGACGGATGATGGCGAGAGTGGATTAAATATGACAGTCTTCTCTGGAGGGGGCGTCATGAACGCGTCCGAGATTGTTGCTTTCGATATACATGGGGGGGTGGAATAACGCGATCTGTCCAGAGATCGTCAGAACGGTGCGCCACGCGAGTTTGATCCCGCCGCCTGTGGTGGTTGTGAGCAAAAGTCGGATCGCGATCACCCGCGCAACTCGTACACTCCGTTCACCGACGCCGACGCCGAGCACAGCGCGCTCCCCCTCGACCCTCCCTTCCTCTGGCTCCAGCTTTAGCCATGTTTCCTTCTGCTGCGCTGCGCATGATCGGCCTCAAGGGCCGCATGACGGTCATCGACAACTCGGGCGCGACCCTCGCCGAGTGTGTCAACGTCCTCAAGGTCAAGACGAGGCACAAGTCGACTGGGTTCGGGACTGTTGGTGCGTAGCGTTTGCAGAGAGTCGATGGAAAAGAGGTAGAGGGCGGTGAATGGAGCCGAGCTGGGCCTTCCACCTTCCTCGGCCTGTGGCCTTCCGCATTCAGTCCGCGACACAGCCGGGTTGGAGAATTGGAGACAGAGACACTATCTGAAGCTCTTCCGCTTTGCGGAAACGCTTATTCGGCTCTTTTTACTCTGCCCAGAGAAATGGTGCTGCTCGAGCCACGCTGACACCAGGTGACGAGATCGTCTGCGTCGTGAACAAGGCGCGCCCAGTGCCGCAGCTCACGCCCGGCGCGCCTGCGCTGCAGAAGGTGCGCAAGGGAGACGTGCGCCGGGCAGTGATCGTGCGTACGAAGAAGGAGGTTACGCGGCCGGACGGGAGGGTGATCCGGTGAGTGTGGCGGAGCGGCGAAGCACACCAAACACGGGTCGCATCAAAGACAAGCGCGGACCATGCCAAAGCTAACTCTAGTTTTGACGACAACGCATGTGTGCTGCTCAACAGCAAGGGCGAGATGCTCGGCACACGTATCAACGGTGTGGTGTCGGCCGAGCTGAGCAACGAGCCCAACAACCGGTGGGCCAAGATTCTGGGTCTCGCGACGAAGGTATGTGTGATGAAGGAGGGAGGAGCTGACGGCAGATTGTGTAACGCATTGCATGTATGGCATCCTCTCAGCGGGAGGGCGAGATGGAGAGGAGAGGAGCCGGGAGGATTCGAACAGCGTGAGCAGAGAACCGAGATAGCGGAGTTGAGGAGAGGACTTCTTCTGCGGGCGCTGCCGGGGACTCTCTGGCAGGTCTCGGAAATCTGACGTCCAAGAGCCCACGCTGGTGATAAGCGTGCGGCGCGCGCCAATGTCTGCAGGGAGGGGTGAGAACATGAGGCCTGCACGCTCCCTCCTCGCTCCCCGCATCATCGCTGAAGCTTGTTGACCCGTGCGCGTGCAAGCGTGTATGATGGCTTGAGCGTCTTTTGTGGTGATCGTGGTGATAGCTACCTTCGGTGGAGTATCATGGCGAGTCGCAGAGTGTCGCTGCCGATCATGGTGCGGATTTGGCCAAGCACATGGGTCCAAGCGGGGGTGGCGCAGAATAGTGGCGGTCCGTGCCACACTAGTGCCCTTCAACAGCCCCTGTCGCGTCTCGTCCATCGCCGTTCCACGCCGCGCCACGCCCCGCGCAAGTCTCTGTCGGCGATGCCACCCCGGCCTCGGTGAGCAGGAGCGCCGATGGCGAGGCCGGTGGTGGTGGACGCGAGGGTGGATGACGACTCGCGAGGGCGAGCTGAAGGAGAGAGTGATGGTGTGTTGTAAAGGAAAGTGGCGAACCGTGAGGCCATGCTGCTGCTGTGGAGACAATCTCCATCTGGTCACCTTCCCTCGTTCATCATCCACCATCATTTCTCTCTCGATCTCTCTTCAACTCATCGTCACTCTCTCTCTCTTTCTCATCTTTCTCTTTCTCTCTCCTCGTCGATAGTCGACTCTTCATCTCACTTGCTCACCACCACTCCCCCACTCCTCCCTGTCGCCGCCGTTCTTCACTCGATCGTGCATCGCAACAATGTCTTTTGCCGGCCCTGCGCAGGGTATGTTTCACCAATTCATCACTCCCTAGCCATTTGATTCAGCTACTCGGTCGTTATCACTTCTCTCTTCTTCTTCATCATCATCACCTCTCTCTCTCTCTCTCCCTCTCTCCATGTTCCATGTGCTGCTTCCATGGTTGTCTTGTGCTCACTTCAGCCAGCCAACCCATCCGCCCAACACGCTCCTCCTTCCGTGTCCCAGGCCGCCCCGCTCCCACTCCCCCGGCAGGCGTCGAGCCCGCATCTTTGCGCATCACCCACCTTCCTCTCCAACTCGGCCCTCTCCCCCAGCCTCCTCCTCTTCAGCGACATCCTACCGTCCCCGCCCGCAACCCTCGGCCCGGGCATGTCTCGCGCTCGTCACTCTCTCACCCCTCGCAGATTCCGCCCAACCCCACAGCCCAGCAGCACACGCGCACCCTCTCTGCGTCCCGCTCGGCCGGTCAGCTCAACAACATGGCGTCACAGCCACTCTCCCAGAACTCGGGACAGCAACAACAAACGCTCCGCGCTCCAATCAACCCGCCCCACCGCAGCCGCTCCCTCAGACAGCAGACGTATCACGCGCTCATGCCCGAGCACGCGACAGTCTCGGACCTCGCGGTGCCGGAGGAAGATGACTCCAACCTTCCCTCCGGTAAAGCGAGTGGCGAGCTCGCAGTCCTGACCGACCACACCGGACGCCGATGCAGCATTATCGCGATCAAGCCGAGCGTCGGCCGCAAGGCCAAGTGTCACTACGACCCGTTTGTGCGCCGCCGCACGATGATGGCGTTTCCTGACGTCAACAACGACTCGGTCCGTTCAGCTTTATCGGTCGGCGGGGCTAGTGGCATCTTTGTGCGCTCCGAGGGCACGTCTCGTACCGCCTTTGAGGACAGAGTCTCGCGCCCTTTCGAGAGTAGAGTCGGGCAGTTTGTGTAAGACGCGTGCAGTACATGGATGTAGAGAGGGCGAAAGGCCATACGGCCGTGTATACAGCTAGTCCTATAGTCAGCACCACATGTGCTAGTGCCCTGTATGTTGGTGGTCGTTGCGAAGAACTGGTGCAGTGGACGCGCTCAGTACAGCAACTCACGACGCTGTTGTATATGAGCCTGTCGCACATGTTCGTCAGCGTTCCTCAGCGCCACCCACACAGTCAGTACACAATTCATCTGTACAACCTCTACACACTCCGCCGCCCCACTAAACCCGCAGCCCCTGCTGGCGCTTGACGCCATGCAGCTCCTCGAGACGCGCGCGAAGCTTGGGCACCTCGACGAGGCGCTGCTCGAGCTCCTGCTTCTCCTCCTGCAGCGCAAGACGCCGCTCCGCATCCAACTCAGTGAAGATGTATCCGCCCATGCCGTCGTACTGGAGCACCATGGAGTGGTACTTCCACAGGGACGGGCGGTGGCTCACAGTCATCATCGTGACGCCGAGCGCGGTCGCGTGCTCGTACATCCGCTTCTCGACTTCGAGCGTGACGGCGGACGTGCACTCGTCGAGGATGGCGTACTGCGGTCAGCGCTTGCCGTTCTCCCTTCCCCTGAACACTCACTTTCGGCTTATGGTAGAACAACCGTGCCATCGCAATGCGCTGCTTGTCCCCTCCGCTCAGCGCGTCGCGCCACTCGCGCACAGCATCCCACCCGCCTTCGCGCTCCACCATCCCCCCGAGCTCGACGACATCAAGCAGCCGCTTGAGGTCGGCGTCGCTCACGCCGCGGCGCGCCATGTCGTCCGCGCAGTCGGGGTAGATGATCTGGTCCCGCAGCGTGCCCGCGCACAAGTACGGCCGCTGCGGGATATACGTGAACTCGTGCTCGGGCGGCTTGTACACGACGCCGCCGTAGACGGGCCACAAGCCGCCGAGGATGCGGAAGAGCGACGACTTGCCGCACCCGTTCGGGCCGACGACGAGGAGGTGCTTGCCCGGCTCGACGTGGAAGCTCATGCTTTTGACGAGGACGTCGCCGTTGGGACTGATGAGGGGGACGCTGTCGAAGCGGATTTCGTCCGACTCGATGATCTTCCCGCGCCCGCGCAGCACTGGTATCAGTATCAGACAAAGGGGCGGACGTACTCTTCGCATTCTCTTCCACGCTCGCGCTCGACACAAGCTTCTTCTGGTACTTGCCCGCGCGCACGTCGTCCATCGCGTCCAGGAGGTCCGAGACGCGCGACGTGTATCCCGCGAGCTCCGCCAGCTCTTTGTACGAGTACATGACGCGGCCGAATGCGTCCGACGACGAGAGGAGGAGGCGGCGGTTCGTGACGAAGCCTGGCGTGAGCGCCGCAAGCGCAGGCCTTACCTTCCGTCCGGCTGCCGAGGCTGCCGGTGTCCAGGCCGAGCGCGCCGCCGAGGAACACGGGCAGCGCGCAGATGACGAGCCCGAAGCTGCCCCACGCCCACTTGATCACGCCCTCCTCGGCCATGCCGTGCCACACGCGCGTGCGGAGCACGCGGTTCGCGTGCTTCACGAGCGCAAAGTATCCGCGCTCGATGACGTTTTTCTCAAACTCTTCGCCGTGGTAGAACGCGACTTCTTCCGCGTTCTCCAGGAGGCGCGAGTGCGTGAAGCGCAGCTCGCCTTCGAGCGTCGCTTCGTGCGCCGCGTACTCGCCGAACGGGGGGGTGATGGCGCGCACTGGGTGAGCAATGTCAAATAGGAGACTCACGCGCTTGGGCGGAGAGCTGGACCAGCGCGGTCAAGAGGACGAGGCCTTCGGCGCCGACGTTCCGGCTTAGCTGGTAGTTGTAGAGGATGACGTCGAGCACCGGCTTGGCGATGTTGCTGTAGATCTCCGCGAGCTTGTTGCTGAACTGCTGCACGTCGACAGTGAGGTACTGGCGTCAGCGGATTCTGCAGCCGCACCAACCTGGTCCGCATTCTTGATTCTGTCGTCGAGGTTCGCGAGCTTGTAGTACATCTTGAAGTCGTCGCCGCCCGCCTCCTCCGAGTCGAGGTACTGTTCCAAGAGGTGGCGCGAGAGGCTGGGATCAGCGTATTCGCAGCTCAACTCACCGGGTGCGGTATGCCAAGCTCAGCTCGTTTTGGAGATACTGGATCATGCTGTTGGTGTAGGTAGCCGGGATGGCGATGAGGGCGAACCGCACGAGGTTCATGAGGAAGAGGCGCGGTTGCGCCGTCACGAGGCTGGACACAATGCGGCCGTCCAGCTCCGCAACGTACAGCGACAGACCTGTGCGCGCGAGCAAAAAACACGTGTGCAGCGCGAGCATGCCGGCCTCGCGCGAGCGGATGCCGGGGATCACGATGCGGAGGAGCTTCTTGAGGCGCGCGTGGAACTCGGGATCCGTAACGCTCGCCTTGCCCTTCTTCCCCCGTTTGCGGCCCTTTGAGCCCGACTGGCGCTCCGCCAGCCCCTTGGCACCCTTGCCTGTGAGGTTTGCGCCGGCCGCTACGAGGCAGTAGATCACGAAGCCGGCGGTGAGGGCGCGCTGCACGCCGGTACGGTGCGCGAGGTAGGTGTTGAGGGCGGATTTGAGGCGGACCTGCAGTGCCGCGCGCGTCTCGGGCGCTAGGACCTGCATCGCACCAGATGGAACGAGAGTGGTGGAAAGACTGATGAGCGTGAGAGAGATGGGGAGAGGTGAGATGAGATGAGGAGGGCGAGATTGGAGGATGCACGGCGTTGAGACCGCAGCACGCGGCCCGCGTCATAGCCGGAACCGGTGAGAAATCAACAGGTTTACCCGTCCACCAACGTCCACGTGGGAAACATAATAAGACTACATGAGACGACGACATGAGACTACAAGGACTTGAACTCTCGGACTGACCCACCAAAGCGCTTCTCGGGCCGGCAGGCGTACATAGCCCTGGCGCACCACAGTATAATACCGCAAGTCGTTCAAGCCCCCCAGCCTTTCCCGCCAGGCCGCTTCGGAGGGGGGTTGAACTGGTGGGCGGCCGCCAGGCGGCGACGAAGATCGTCCTCTGTGACCTGTCGTCGCACCAACTCCTCGCGTAGGCGTCCCTCGGCCATCTTGAGCTGGCTGATCAGCTGGGCGGTCTGCTGCCGCGTCGACGTGGCCCTGAGTTCTTCGTTCTGTACCCGAGCTTCGTACAGCTCGGAGCGGGTCTGTTCGTGCGCCGCGCGCTCCTTATGAAGGAGGTCGAGAGCCTCGCGCCCCCGGCGGCCCTCCACCTCGCTTTTAGTGTGTGCCGCCAACTCGTGCTTTAGTGCCGCCTGTGTGTGGGCGTGCGCTGCGACCTCGCGCTGCAACGCCTTTCTTGTCTCGGCGTGCGCGGCTTTCTCGTACTGCTCGCCGCGGGACCTCGAGCGATGTGTGCGGCGTTCGCAGGAGATATCGAGGCGTAAGGCGTCTACTTCATCACGGAGAGAATCGATTTCGCTTCGGAGCCCAGCAATTGTCTCCGCGCACTCGGTGCAATCATTGCTGTCAGGGACGCTCGAGGGTATCGCGGCGGTACTGGCGGACGGCCGTGTTGTCTGGCCGTTGCGAGTATTGGAGGAGGATAAGCTCTGGTAAGCCTGCGGGTAGCAATTCATCTGCAGGCCTAGGCCTTGAGTGTAGACTGCGCCGGAACCACTGGCGACATGATGAGGGTATGGCGCGGCCCAGTGCGAGTATTGCTGTCCATACCAGGGGTTGGCCAGGTTGAGGGGGCTTGGGCGCCACGCTCCCATCGTTGGCGCGACGAAGGCACCCGCTGCCATCGTTGGCGCAACGAACGCACCCCGCGCACCAAAAGGAGCGGCGAGTGTCAAGGCGGTCGACGAGGAAGGCGGCTGGGAAAGAGGAGTGGCGCATGATACAGTGCCGTGTGGACGAGCGGGGGGATCCAGAGCTGGGGGCGCGGATGTGATGGCCTTGTAAGGGCCGGCGTGGAAGGCCGGTGCCATCCGAGTGTCGTTCACAGGTAACGAGGTCGGGTGAGGTGTCTGCTGGGGATCGCTGGGCATGGGAGCTGCAGGCTCGGACGTAGCGAGATCGGCGGGCACAGGCTCAGAGACCTCGTCGGCAGGCTGAGTAGCGAGCTCGTGAGGGCCATCGGTTGCGCTGCACTTGGGCACGTCTCTGTCGTCGGTGGCATCGGACAAGTCGACGGTCATCGCTGTTGGTGTACTGGGTGAATGGGTGAAAGAGAAGTGGATGAGAGGGGGGCTTGAGAGAAGGAAGGTGAAGAGGTGGATGTGGGAGGGTGGGTCTTGATATTTATACAGGGGGGAGAAGGAGTGGGAGGCTGGGCGATGGGGTCAAGAAGGCACAATGGAGTCTATATCCATGCTTGAGGCTGATGTTCAGAGCAACTGTGTCCCGCACTAGCCTCAGGCTGGGGGCGCGAAGGAGCTTACGTGAACGACTGGCCTCGTGAGAGACAACTTCACGCGCCTCCATGGGTAGCTGGGTGTACATTGACAGAAATATTGTGATACTACGTTAAACAGACTCCCGACTCAACGCTGATGTCTGCAGCTCTCACAGCCCTACGCCTCCTCCCAGCATCTCCTTAGCCCATCATGGTGACGTTTCGCACATCAAACCCGCCACCAGGGACGACGCAGTGGGGGGGTGGCGTGAGGGCCCCATGTGTGCCCTCGATACTGCTGGCGTACGCAAGGTAGTCGAAGATGGGATCGGTGGGGTCGAGACGGCAGATGGGTGTCTCGCATGCATCGGAGAGGAGCTGGTTGCGCCGGTCTGAGAGACGAAGGCGGAGGGGTAGGGGGTGGGCGAAGAGCGTTGTCTGTGGAGCAGGGTGAGATGGGGGTGTTGCTGGCGCGGCCGGTCGTACGGGTGGAAGCCGAGGCCGACGGGGTGGAGGGGAGGGGTTTAGAGGTGGCGAGCATTGGCTTCTGCTGCCTTGTTGAAGGTGAGGAAGAAGGGCTGGGGAGCGGAGGGAGGGGCTTCCAGATGCGTGGAGCGATCTGAGGAAAGCTTGGACGAGGTGACGGGGCAAGAGTCGCTTGATTGGCACAGTCAGGACCGTCGGGAGGAGACGAGCTGGTGCTACGAGGGGTGCTAGTGGCGAGTGGCTTTCTCTGACGCTGCTTTGGTGGCTCGGGCTTGGTGGTAAGCTTGAAGGTAGGCGCCTTCCCGACGATGATGTGGTCGTGTGAGTCCTTGTTCGGGATAGGAGTGGGCCGGCTTGGAGTATTGAGGAGATGTGTGAAGTCGTAAAATACACCGTCGTCAGGCCGCCGCCGACGCGCCATCTCACTACATAGCTTACGAAAACTGTCGACCTCCTTCCGCAGGCGCGTCATTTCATTTCGCGCAGTCTCAAGCTCGGAGGTCTTGATCGCCATCGCGAAATCCATCTCCATCGCCCGCTGGTTAGCCTGGGCGAGAGCGTTGCGCATCTCCCGGACCTCCTCAATGACCGCCACGCCACCCAGGCTCTTGAGCTGTGCAGCGAGGGTGTCCCGCTCCTTCTCCAAGCGGAGGTTGGTGGCGACAAGGGAGTCGTTGGCCTCGCGAAACAATTTGAGTTCGCCACCCTCGAAGTCGGTGAAGACCGCGCGCTCGGCGTGCAGCCGCGCGTTCTCGGCCATGAGAGCATTGTTCTCCTTGCGGAGGAGTGCGGTGTGGCGCATCGTGGGGCGCAGGATAATGTTGGGCAAAAGGGGCATGTTGTTGGGAATAATGCTGAGGAAAGAGGCCTAATAGAAGGGATGTGGTGGGTGACTGGTGGGTTTAGTTAAATGCGTTTATTGATGAGGGCGGGTGGATGGCGGGACGTTTGCATCCAAGCGTAGCTGGCTGTCCCTCCTTGGTGATTAGATGCGGTGGGACCGGCTCTGTCATCCCAGACGTACGACCAATAGGTGAGCAGAACGCAACTGACTATACTGACGAGTAGCAATAACACACATATGCGTCGCACCTCGATGCGAAGTTGAGGGGATCACGATGTTGTCTCTGCTGGCCTGAACGGGACAGAATATTCACCAAACTTATAACGATTAACACGCTCTCACATCACCAATGACGAAGCAACAGGGGACAGACGGAGTGTACCCCTGCTCGCGCATCCGGAACCATACATCCGTTTGAGCCATCAACCGTCCCCTGCGAGCGTGATGCTCGCCACTCCAAATCGCCACCCAACCAGCGGCTGCCGTATTCCATAAAGTCTCGAGCAACGCAGACGTTTACTCACTACCCTTGGCTACTGCCTTTATCCTCGACCTCGGTTGCGCAATCGCATGCTCCTATATACACTTCCCGTTCGGCTGTTTTCAACTGTCGGCCCCTCAACCCCCACCACCTGCCATTATCCCACGGTCTACATTCTATACGCCGCCACCTCCCCTGCCATGCTCGCCTCTCCCCCACTCTCCTACGCTAGTGTCGTTGCCGGCCGTCCTCCCGGTATTTCCGCAGCTGCGTCTGCAAAGCCTACCACTGCTGCCGTAGCAAAATTCATCGCCGCGGCCGAGAACATTCGCACCACCCACCCGGCTGCAATCGTGATGTCAACCCCTCCCTCAACAGCTACGCCCACGCCCGCGAACAACACTCCGATCACGAACACTCCGATCACGACGCGTCCTCCATCGCCTGTAGCGGACAACTCAGCTCTCCCCCGTCCGCAGGATGGTTCGGCGGAGACAGAACCCCTCGAGCTATCGCCCCAGTCGGAGGCCAACACATCCGACCTCGCCACACTCGAGCTTACCACCCCTCCCGAGCTCGCCGCCACCCCCGACCCTCTCCCTCTCGACCTCTGCATGACTCCCTCACATACAGGCACGCCCTCGCTCCAATCAACCGCTCCCCTCACCTCAATCCCCGAGTTCCCCGCCCCCCCAAGTGCCATCACTCCCACTGACCCAGCAATCCCTTCCGAAATTCTGTCTGAAAATCCCACAACCCCCTCTGCCCCCACCCTCCCCGCCGAGACCCACAATGCTCCGCAAGTCCTGGCGGAGCACGACGAGCTCCAAACCCAGCTCTCACAACTAAAGCTGGGCTCGGCGACCCCGGTCTCCGCCAAATCCTCGCGCGACCTAATGCCGCTCGTGGCGAAACTGCACGCCTTCGCCGCGAAGGCAATGGACCACGTGAGCGCTGAACACGCCCGGGCCCAAGAGGCGCTCCGGCGCGCGGCGCTCTCCGAGGCGGCAACCGCAGCGGCGCGGGACGAAGTCGGGCGGCTGCAGGCTGTGATTGGCGGGCTTCGTGGCGACTTGATCGCGGCCAACCTTGAGGCGGACCACCAGGCGAGGCTGATTCGGGTTTTAGAGATCCGGCTCGCTGCTGTCGGCGCGCCGGAGCTTCCCCGGCTTTATGGTAGCGGGATATGGTGATGTGACACGGATGGAGATGTTGTGATCTGCGTTGTGAAACACGTGAAATGAGGCATGCAGCCAGATTATTTTGAATGCTTCGCTCGTACCGTTGCAGGGCCAGGTTATTCTGCGTCGTGCAACTTTGATGTGCATGACTCGGATGGGAAACAGACAGGACGTCTGCAAGGTCCGCACACCGCTTCCGTCAGTGAACACGTCATCCTGTCAGAACCAACGGATCCTCGCATCGCTGCACCGCACCCATCACCAAGGCCTGGGAACGAAAACCAACGTCAACAGGCTGACAGGTGTTCCCGCTGCATCGCTTTCACCACGTGAAGCTGCTCCAGTGTACTGGCATCACCTGTAGATGTCCTCACCGTTCTCATCCCATTCTGTGAATCCACCCTATGCATTGGAAGCTAAGCAACAACAATGGAGGATATGGGCGGGTCTATAAAGCAGTGGTGACGATGGCGGCCCTCACGAAGCTGGCGGCGAGGAAGGTCGGTGAGATAAGAGCCTAGGCATATCTCCTGATCGTTAGTAATCGTACAGTTGGGACTGGAGGCTCACAGCGGGCGGGGGCGCGAGGGCATGCTCTGGCGAGTTGCCGCCTCGGGGTAACGCTCCGCATCCCACTCCTCAGAAGGCGTGGGGCTTTCCGCAAGATGAACAGGAGGCATGTCCGCCCCGGAAGGCGCGGCCGCATCTACCCAGTCGACCGGGATGACATGGGTCGGCATAGGCAGTCCGACAGAGCAAGCGTAATCACAAGCGAACTTGCCAAGGTAGTATCCGTGCATGTCGGGAAGGAGCATGAGGTCGGCCGTGTCGGGATCAAAGTATCGCGGAGGCGGAGGATAGGGGTAAGGGCGGCCGGTGAGATGGGCAAAGCGCTCGAGGTAGTAGTTGTGCATCTCGGCGGCGTGGGTCTTGCGGCGCACCACCTCCTCCATCTCCACGCTTTCGTTCTTATTGAGCTTATGATACTCATCGTACCAGTGTTTGAGGTGCTGGAGGTACCACTCTGCCATGGTGGGCGGTGCGTGGAGCTTGGGTTGGATGAAGATGATGGGCGTCACCTGAACACCCTTCGGCTGGTCGGTGAATGGAGTGACGACGCTGCTGGAGGACGCGCTGCCGGAAGAAGAACAGTTGGCAGACTTGGTGCCGGAGCGTGTCTTAGCCTGGAAAGAATCTGATTTGGGCCTGGGGCAGACAGGGGCAGCCATGGCGAGGAGATGGAAGAGAGGGGGGCACAGCCGAGAACAGGAGGTCGGTTGGGGAACAGTTATAAGAGTCGGGTGGTTGACAGTCGACGATGAGAGCAGTGGGAGAGGCAACGAAGATGAAGGAGAGTGGGAGTGTGAGAAATGGAGAAGGAAGAGTGTGAAGACAAAAGCAGACTTTAATACAGGTCAGGTGACTCGGGTGGTCTCGAGCAGTGAAGGGAACGTGAGACATCTACACTCAGCCCTCGTAATGTGGTGTGTACGTGGCCAACATGGAGCGAGCAATGAATGTTCGAGTCATCGCCGACGTCAGGTGGCGTTTGCGCTTACGATGGTAGCATCATGTCCGGCGCTGGCAAGGGATCCCCCATCGGCGCGGTCCAGTCTACACATGCCGCGCCATACTTTTGGTGCAGGTCCGCGGCTGCATGCATCCGGCGTCTTCTTGCGGAACTCGGGGCGTGGGATATTTCCCTGTTCTGCGTTTTTTATCAGCTATCCATCAGAACTATCACCTGACTGTGTTGCACATGCGCTAGCAGGTTCATAGTTTATAGCTAAAGGAACTCGTAAGATATTGTGCTTAGTTTGGACGAGTCATCAAATGCATGCATAGTTTGTCTTCGTCATGAGGGGCACAGCCCATTTAGGCGCCTAACGCTTTTCGTGGACGCGGTGCTGCCTTACACAATCCGCCGAACTTGTCAACACATGGATCAGCAGCGTCACAAAGGCGATCTCATTAGAACAACCGACTCGCCACACCTGTCGGGACATCAGGGAACAAGTATGACATAGTCCGTCACTTATAAAAGCAATATACACATTCAAAACAGTACTATTAATATTGTCCTTGGCAATGTTCGGGTGAGTGACAGTTCAGTTGAACTGCTTGAACTCGTCGGCGCTGTAGCCGTTGAAGTCGAATCCCTCGGCTTTGAGGAATCCCGCAAACGCTTTCTTCATAAGGTCCTTGTTGCTGACCTTGCCGTTGATGCTGAACGTGTCGGGGTTGATACCGCACTTCTTCAGGCACTCTGCATGGCCGAGGTTCACCGCGCCTGGGATCTTGGCAGGGTCGAACACCGTGCCCTCGGCACCGAAGGCCGCGTTGATCGTCTGCTCGTCAAACGACGTGTACATCGAGCTGAGGAATCCCACGCCGGGTGTCTCGGAGCTGCTGTCAGCCGCGGTCAAAGTCAATCTCACTTGAAGCCCGCCGTGATGAAGACCGGGTCGCAGCCCGTGTTGGTGACGAAGTGCACGCTGCCCTGCGGGAGCACGATGACCTCGCCGGCGCTGACTTGGCCGTTGAAGATCGGGCTGCCGTTCTCGAGGAACGTAGTGGCCGCGAGCGGGGGGCCAGCGATGTTGAAGAGGTACTCTGACGCGCGCGGATGGTTGTGTGGCGCAACCATACCGCAGGGCTGGGGTGAGCTGAGAACGATAATAGACGTACGCCGAGGAAACCGACGAGCCATGAAAGGCCGTTCCCGACGACACCGGGGAACTGGGTGTTGTCGGCGAGGATCACGCCACCGTCGCGGCCGCCGCCGCCGAAGCTCTCGGCGGCAAGGAAATCAAAGGTGAAGCCGTCACCGAGAAGGTTGTTGCGATCGTTTGGGTTGACTTGGGCGTAGAGCTCGGCGATAAACTCCTTCAGGGGCTTGCCATTACCGCTCTGGCCGTTGTTGCGCTCCTCGATGTCGACGGGGATCGCCAGCGTGGAAGCCAAGAAGAGGGTGGTTAGAAGGGTGGAGAGCATTGTGAGTGTGGACAAGGCTAAGGGAGGGACAAGCAGAGCGCGCGAAGATGAAAGAGTGAGAGGGTAAGAAGGTGAGAGGGTGAGTGGTGATGAGAGGGCCCAGGCAAAGCAGGATTATATACCCCGTGAGAGTCAAATCGAACTGACGACTATTGCCAGCCCCAGTGAGACGATCCCGGGCCGTGTCTCGGCTGACATAGCGAACAGCAGGCTGACACTTCGGCTGGCGCTCCACACAAAATAATCGCGCCACCGTCTTCGGCACCGCAATACGAGGTGAACAGGAGTTGCGCGCACCGGGCGATCCCAGTGCTTCTGACTACCGCTGTGCGTGTGTAGCACCAGGTGCAGCATAGATGTTCGAGTCCCATGAGCGCATGAATGCCTCGCCAAGGCACAGCTCATTGTGCGCCCGGCACCAGCCATGCCTTCTCGGCTGTCGAGAATGCCAAGCTCGGAGAGCGGTGTGAAGCGGTGCCGAACTCAATCCGTTCCGCATCCTGGCGCAGCTCGCGCTCAGCCGTTTATGCTGTTCAGCAGGTGGGAGTTGATTGGGGTGGCATCAGAGGCGTCGGCAAGGCACAGCAGGTGTTGAGACGCGAGAGCGGTGCATATCCCGGCGCCATCGGATCTAGGTGATCGTGGTGGTCGTGGCTGGCGCCTACTCTGCTCTGTTCACGCTCCCACACTCCATGATCTGGCCACCCTGCACATATAATGTATTTATGGCAGTGGCGAGTGAATGAGGTACGCGGTAGTTGTGGTCTGCATGCATTCCGCTCGAAGATTCAGATTCCACGCCGCGGCACATGACGTTCTCGTGATGTCTGAGCGGCTCAAAATAGATAATCGGAGCCGAATAGAGACATGCATGTTGCGCCAAACTCAGATTGCCTATGTCAGGTGGCAAGAGGTGTCGGGGTCTCCGAGCTTCTCACGCTGCTGGCATTTCACCGTCACAACGATGGAGGCGTGGCTGCGGTGGCGAGAATCTAGACCTCTTCTAATGCTGCTGATAGTGATCCTGGCAGGCAATGTGGCTGGCATGTCAAGCAGCCGAAGAGGCAACCTAGGGGCGGTCGTACGTGGCACGACTATGCTGCACAACGGCTGAACGGACAGGTGTGCATGGGTTTTTCGTATCTGGCAAATGCTACCAACTACACTTCGTATAGTCCTCTGGCAGTGTCAATGTACAGGTACAAGCGATGATCAATGAGCTAGACGTGAGGAGCGGACTTGACCGTGTACAGGCGGTCTCCGCGCGTCGTCCGCATGGTCTTGGCGTAGGCCTCGCGAAATGCGGTCCACGGCTGCGAGCGGTAGTATCCCGCAAGGACCTCTTCGTCTGGGTTCTTGAGGAGCGCCGTGAGGTCGCGCACGAGCTTGGCCCACTGGGCCTCCATTTCGGGCTGGCGGGTCTTGAGGAGCACCTCACCGCGCAGCAGGCGGCGCGCGTTGCCGAGCATGGGGCTCTCACCGTCGTCCTCCATTGCGAGAATGTCGGCCAGGACGGGGTTGTTGAGGAAGCCCTCAATCGCGGGCTCGTCGACGTCGCGCAGCGCCTCGAAGAGGGGCGTGCGGAGCGCCTCCTCGTCTGCCGTGATGGAGCCCTCATAGAACATGCGCTGGGGTTAGCAAGAGCGGGGGACGATAGCTCACGTCAAGCCGGCAGAGGAGGTTGACGCCACGACCGCGGATGCTGTTAGCAGCCTGGTCGCGCTCGTGGTCAATCCGGTCGATAAACTCTTCCGTGTAGGGGCCGTGGTGGCCCGTGTTGGCGTCCATGTATCGGAGGATCTGGGCGCCGCCAATCCCGATACCGTCCACACCCGTGTAAACGGCGTCGGCGATGTGGACGAACTTGAACCCGGCGGACATGTAGGTGATGAGACCAGCCTGGTGGGCGAGGTGGACGAGCTCGAGGGCCTTGGCGACAGAGATCTGGAGGATCACGCACTTGGACGGGTAGCTGTCGCTCGCCCCGTCGAAGGTAACCTTGTCGAAGCCGCCAAGGGAGGCGAGTTCGATTCCGCGCTTGGCGATCTCAAAGTTGTCCGTAATAAGGGGGTAGACGCTCTCGCCGTCGCTGTTGAGAATAGGCGGGGAGAGGTCGTCGATCAGAGGCGCGTTCAGGTTGTAAGCAGCTGACAGCACCTGCTTGTAGTTGCGTAGGACGTGGCCGCTCATTGCGCGCATGTAGGCCACCTGCTCACTTGCCTTGAGCCCGTCCATCGCCACCTTGGCTTCGGCAGCACCTAGCTGGAACGCCGCGGAGCATGCCGCAGAAGTGAGATTGACGACTTTGATGAAGTCGTGGGCGAAGGTACCGGACGTCGAGTCCTTGACACGGCGGCCAACGAAGTACTGCCGTCAGAATTGAACGTATCGCGATCTACTCACCGTGTTGGGCGCTGACTTGCCGGTGTGGAGGCGCACACGAGCGAACTCGAAGATGGACGGGATGCTGCTGTCAGCTGCGAAAAAGGCAAAAGCTTACCGGTAAGACTCGATCTCCTCGCGAGGAAGGTTACCGGGCCGCTCGAGGTGCTCAACATGGCAGATGGCGCCCTTGAGCCAGCGAGCACGGCGGGTAGTGCCGAAGATGTGTCCCTCTCCGGGATCTGTGAGGGAGACAAAGGTCTGAGTGTCCTTGCGGAAACCGGGGGTGCCGAGCCATCGCGCGTCCTTGGTGTCCAGCTTGGCGCCGGCGCGAAGCAGCTCGTAGCCGATGTGGTATGCAACAAAGTCGACGAAACAGGGGTCGGTGTCGGCTTCACGAAGAGTCTCGGCGTTGGTCGTGAGTGCCGTCAGGAAGTCGGGGCCGAGGGAGCCCGGCCACTGGATGACGAGGCGGTCGGGGCGGTGCTTGACGGTGAGCTCGAAGACCGAGCGCTGGTCGGGGTGGATGGCGTTGAAGGTCGCGCCGCCGAAGCGCTCTATCGTTGCTGTACAGAGCTCAAAGGCCTTCTGCAGTGCGCCGAGCACCTCTCCGAGCGGGGTCGTTGGCGAAACGATGAGATCGGCGAGTGTGCGCGCCTTGTCGCTTTCAGCCGCGGAGCGGGGGTCGTCAGAGCTCCAGATCTCGGAGATGGTCTTCTCGAGTCCCTCGCGGACGAGCGACTCGTCCACGCGCCCGACTGATGTTAGCTGAGCTTTAGAGCCGATTTACAGTAAGGAAGCTGCTCGGAGCGGTTGAAAGGCTGGCCCTCGTGATACGCGACCTTCCACTTGGCAATGCGGGCGAGGAAAAGGAGATCCTCAAAGGCCGCGACGGCGACGGGGCGCACCTGCCCCTCGAAGAGGACCTTGTCGAATGCCTTCTCGGTGGCCATAGGGGCTGAGGTGCCGATGGCAATGGGGTGGCACACCAGAGGCGAGGTGGGACTTGTGAGGGGCGGCTCTGCGTTTTTGGCAAGCTTGGCCGCAGAGGTGAGGAGCGTGGCGCCGACAACGGGGGAGACGAGGAACGCGCTGCCCTTCGTGCTGGTCAGAGGGCCGGCCCGGTCGAGCTCGGTGAGCGAGTGCATCACCACATCGAGAGAGGGGAGGGGCGACTTGCGTCTGGCCTCCATTGAGGGAGCGGGGAGAGAGGCGAGGTTGATGGGCGCCATGGTGTGACTTGTCAGGAGAGATTGAGAAGAGGTTCTGTAGGCTGAGAGGCAGAGGAGAGTGTGAGGTTGGAAGCTGGGGAAAGGGAGCCGAGCTGATGAGGTTGGGCGTTAGATGCCTGCCAATTTATAGACGATGGCTTGCCCCGGTCCTCTCCTCGCCTCCGCAGAGTGGAAGACCAGGGGATCACATAGCTTGGGGCGTCGGTGTCCTCCTCGCTGATCGGAGTAAGCGGCGCTGCTGTCCTCCGTGTCCGCACTGCACCACCGCTCCTCCAGTGGAATGCGATTCGAGGCGCTGTGAAAAGAGCAGATTCCTCGGTGTGGACATGTGGAATCGCTTCGTTGCTCGCTGCCCCTTGGCGACGCTATATTCGGCTCCGCCAACCCCATCACCGCTTTCAAGCGTAACCATAATAAGACTTCTGTACCAGCGATGTACAGAGACGATCATGCTTCCCACCGCCCCAGGAATCTGAGGCTTGAGTTGACTGCACCGCATGCTGCAAGGACAGCTCGCGCGAGTGGAAGGACGAGTCGCGTGCGGAACGGAAGCGGAGGGCGAAAGAGCTGTGCGGAAAGAATAGAGATCAAAGTCCGCCACATTCTTGGAGGGTCAACACGTGATCCGATCGATCAGACATCAGATGTCATTCCCCAGCTCATCCAAGCCTCGAAGCCTCTCCTCGCCTCTCTTCGCCTCCCTCCAGCTCGTCAAGCTCCGTCATGCCTACGCTCCACAACTGCTGCACCGACTTGCGACGCATGCACAGTCATGCTTAAACGTACACACCCTGCGCTCGTGACCTGCTTGGGCGTGGGCCGGCGAGACGCGGACGTCCCGCCCATGCATCGCCTCGGATAGGCGAGCCGTACAGCAATACCGTCGCTCCCTCCTCGGCTCCGCAATGGATCCGCACAACGAGGCCGAGGACACGACTTGCGCATTGCACGGCGGGCGCTTCCATGGCGATCTGGGAACGGTGAGCTATGAGCTAACCAGCCAGTGTCAGCAATCCGGCTGGTGGCGGCCCAGTGTCGTAGGCTGTGCCTGCGTTAGCCCCCCACTCCGTTGCCTAGTTGCCCAGTCGCCCGAACTACTTTCTCGTCCTCACATGTTCTTTCGCACATCATGGCTCAGCTGTACGATTCGCCTTGGCCGCCCGCGACGGAGATCATCCCCTTCAGCCCCGACTCCGAGTACTCAATGTACTCGCCACGCTCGCCGCTCGCCTCGCGACCCATCGGCGCGCTTACACCCCTCCCAGAGCTCCCATACGGCGAGCACTACACCGAGCGGCAAGCCGAGGAGGGCATGGGTGAGGTGTACCGCCTGCTACCGCTCAATGTGCCCGAGGCGGACATCGGGAGCTTATACCGGTTCGAGCCAAGCTTCACAGAAGACTCGCGCCGGACATCACCCAACAACGGGCGCGAGAGCTACGAAGGCGACTTCTCGCATGGCTCGACGGCGGCTCTGATCCCTCGCCCGGCGTCGCGCGAACTCCCGTCCCCCCCGGAAGAGGCGTATCTTGTCTCGTTCGTCCTCAATGACCCAAGGCATCCGTACAATTGGTCGGCACTGAAGAAGTGGACGGTGCTCATTGTCGTGTGCTCTGCCGCCGTGTGCGTCACTGTCGCGTCATCGATTCAGGCCAGCACGTACCAGAACTTGGAGGACGAGTTTGACGTTCTGCGCATCGAGGCAGTCGCAGGCGTGAGCTTGTATGTCCTGGGGTTTGGAGTTGGCGCATGTAAGCTTGCCTTGCGGAAAAGGCTAACGCAGTGTTTCTCGGCCCCCTGAGCGAGTTTTACGGACGCTCTATTATCTACCTTGTATCTTGTGAGGAAAGCGCCCACCGTCTGTAAGCTCATGACAGTCGCCCTGTTCACAATCTTCAACATTCCGATCGCAACGGCTCAGAATATGGGCATTCTGTTATTCTTTCGCCTCATTACTGGTCTGTGCGGCGCCGGCTTCCTCTCCGTTGCCGGTGGCACTGTATCAGACATGTTCCGCCCCGGCACGACCGACCTCCCGACAGCAATCTACACGCTCGCGCCGCTCTCTGGACCGTGCCTGGGCCCAATCTTGGGCGGGTACATGAACCAAAATGTAACATGGCGCGCAACATTCTACCTCATCATCGCATGGGGCGGCGTCGAGTTCCTCCTCTTGTGGACGCTCGTGCCCGAAACATTCCTCCCAATCGTGCAGAAGCAGGAGGCGCGCCGCCTGCGTATCTCGACGGGCGAGGGCGCATGGACGTCGCCAAGCGAGAAGAGCGGGCGCACGGTGCGCGACGTCTTTCCCGCCGCCCTCTGGGTGCCCATCAAGCTCATGATGTCTGAGAAGATGGCGCTGGCGATGGACACGTGGACGTCGCTCATCCTCGGTATCATCTACCTCTTCTTCAACGCGATTCCCTACACTTTCAGGACCCTGTACAACTTGTGCGTTGACACGGGGCGACGCTAACAACAGCTCACTCGGCGAGAGCGGGTTGGCGTTCCTCGCACTGGGGCTAGGCATGGTGCTTGGCACAGCGACGCAGCCGCTCTTCATCGCGCGCATCAAGGACAAGGGGATCAGAGCCGGCACCAAGCCTGCCCCCGAGACGCGCCTGCCCGTCGGCATGGCGGGTGCGATCCTCGCCCCCGTAGGGCTGCTGTGGTTCGCGCTCAGCAGTTTCCGCAAGATGCCGTGGATTATGCCGATGCTTGGGACGCTGATCTTTGGCGTGGGCGTGAGTGGCTACGCAGGGCGGTCGCTGACGGCAGTCCGTGTACATCTTCACCTGTGTATTCGGGTTCCTCGTCTCCACGTACCCCAAGTACGCGGCGAGCGCCATGGCGGGCAACACGCTGCTCCGCTGCGTCTGGGCTGCTGGCTTCCCGCTCTTCGCCCTACCTGTGAGTTTACCGAGGTATACGGCTGACGGAAGATGTACCAGGGCCTCGGACCCGAAGGTGCCACCGGCTTGCTCGCGGGCTTGTGTGCGCTGCTCGCGCCCATTCCGTGAGTCACTCTGTAAGGGTTGCGTCTGACTCCAGCTTCGTTCTCGCGCGTGTCGGGCCCCGCTTGCGTGCCAAGTCCGAGTATGCGTCGTAGCGATACGCGATACGCCCTAGACAGCTAGATGAGCGGGACGGTGGTTGATCTTCCGATTACCCATTTATCCACATTTCCTCTTGCTTCAGTCGAGCAACACGAACTGATTGAAGTAGACTGCAGACTCACAAGGCCCAGATGTGGAAGTGCTTACGAGTGGGCGACGAGAAGCATTGCGCGAGTGCTTGCGAGATTGGAGTAGCCGACTTGTTCGCAACTGATCGGAGGTATCTCGGTTATCAGCGGATCAGTGGAGCTACCTCGGACGCGTCGCGACGTGCGTCTTCACCTTCGCCCCGTCCTCACACTTCCCCCGTCGCGGTGTACGCACATGCATACATACCTTCGCCTACAGACATGTCTCATCAGCCAAGCCTAACAAGCTCGATGGATCCACGGAACCGCGTCAGGTAATCAGCCAGAATAGATCTCGCGGTATCGGTATCTAGACCGCATGGCGGGCCGAGGTGGGCACGGATTGATAACTAGCGGGTGTTGGCGGATGCTCGCATCTTTTCCCCCTCAGCGACAGCATGACGAAGAACGCAGACACCATCACCGTCGCGGGCGTCCAGCTCAACACGGGCCTGTTCATCAATAACGAGTGGGTCGCGGGCCGCGGCGAGCCGTTGCAGTCCATCGACCCAGCGACGGAGGAGGTCATCGCGACGGTGAGTCTGGATTCCCTCCCCTCGTACTCCCCGTCTCCTTTAATGTGCTGACGGCAGATCCAAACCGCTACGCCTGAGGACGTGGACGATGCCGTGGCGGCGGCGCGCAACGCTTTCGAAAACACGTGGGGCACGAACGTGTCGGGGCAGGAGCGCGGACAGCTGCTCTTTGCGCTCGCGGACCAGGTCGAGCAGAACATTGAGCGTCTAGCCGCTCTTGAGGTGGTTGATGCCGGCAAGCCTTGCGCCTGTATGTGTCCAAGGCTACGGCTCCTCTTCCTGTTCTTCGCTGACCCCAGGGGCACGCGTCGACATGGAAGACACTGTCGCGTGCCTGCGCTACTACGCGGGGTGGGCGGACAAGATCCACGGCACGACGATTGAAATCGACGACAAAGAGAAACACGCCGTGGCGCGCAAAGAGCCGATCGGGGTCGTCGCGCAGATTGTGCCGTGGAACTACCCGATCCTCATGCTTGCGTGGAAGGTGGGGCCGGCGCTCGCGGCGGGCTGCAGCATCGTCTTCAAGGCGGCGGAGCAGACGCCGCTCTCGACGCTGCTGTTCGCCGAGCTCGTGCGCGCGGCGGGATACCCCGCCGGCGCGTTCAACCTCGTCAACGGCGTCGGCGCCGTGACGGGGGACGCGCTCGCGCGGCACATGGACGTGGACAAGATCGCGTTCACGGGCTCGACGGCGACGGGGCGCCGCATCGCCGTCGCGGCCGCGCAGAGTAATTTGAAAGCTGTGACGCTCGAGCTCGGCGGCAAGTCGCCGAACATTGTGTTCGAGGACGCGGACGTGGGCGAGGCGGCAAAGTGGGCCGCCTTCGGCGTGTTCGAGAACATGGGCCAGAGTTGCTCCGCCGGCTCGCGCGTCCTCGTGCAGGCCGGCGTGTATGATGCTTTCGTGGCTGAGTTCAAGCGCCAAGCTGAGGCCTTCGCTGTCGGCGACGTCAATGACCCCAAGACGTTCCAGGGCCCGCAGGTGTCCAAGCTCCAGTTCGACAAGATCATGGGATACATTGCGGAGGGGAAGAAGGGCGCGCGCCTCGTCACGGGCGGCGAGAGGCACGGGAGCAAGGGGTACTTTGTGCAGCCGACGGTGTTTGCCGACGTCGAGATGGGGACCAAGATCGCCGACGAGGAGATCTTTGGGCCCGTCGCGAGCGTCATCAAGTTCGGGAGCGAGGAGGAAGGGATCAAGATTGCGAATGATACGAGTTACGGCCTCGCCGCCGCCGTGCATTCGCAGAACTATGCGCGCGTGCAGCGCGTCACGCGGCGACTGAAGGCGGGCACGGTGTGGGTGAACCAGGTGAGTGGCGGTGGCAGTCGCGACCAAGAGTATCCCATCACGACTGACACCAGTACACACTTCTCTCGCACGCAATCCCCTTCGGCGGATACAAGCAGAGCGGATGGGGGCGGGAGCTGGGCGCTGCGGGCCTCGAGCCCTATCTGACGACCAAGAGCGTGCACCACTACTACGGCGGGCCGTTCGAGTGGCCGATTAATCTGTCCAAGTTGTAGTGGGTAGTCGGCTCCGGAGGAGGGGGTGGTGTAGGATCAGACTCCTGGTGTTTAGAGGGGGGGTCAACGTAGCGAGCATGATTAGGAGCGAAGCATGCGGCGGGGGCGAGGCCGTGGTCGGTAATCGTGATGTACCTCATGCGATGCATATAACGCCTGTCCACCTCTTGCGTGCGTTAGTCCATCGCCACACAACATGCCCCTCTCGAGCGGGACGCCGTCTAACACCAAGTCGACGCTCGCGCCCTCGACAACGACGCCTCCCCCAAAGCACCGCGGCAGCCCCTCTCCCGCTCTCACCCCAACTCGCACGCGCACGCCAACCCCCTCCCGCCTCCGCCCAAACGCCTTTACGCTCCGCGCCTCAAGCTCCTCGCTGGCGCGCACCCCCGCGCGCTCATCGCAGGTGCGCAACGTCTCGGGCTCGTCGAACGCGTCTATCCCCGCGACGCCTGGCACACCCCTAAATTCCACGCCACCCGGCAGCGCGCGCGCCGCATTGCCAATGATCCAGATGCAGCGCGAGCTCGCGGCCGCACACGCACGCGTCGCGGCGCTTGAGCAGATTGGGCGCGTGCAGGTGTGTCGGTGCATGCAAGCGGGGGGTGGGACCGAAGGACAGACGACGGATGAGAGAGGTACGGAGGGGCAGGAGAGGGTAGAGGATGGGGCAAGACGGGCGAGTCCTGGTGCCCGGGCGTTCACGGCGAAGGCAGAGGAACTGCAAACGGACATTGATGCGGCGTGGGACGAGCTCGTGCCCTCCACCCCGCGATCGCCCGCGTTCGCCGCGGAAGGGCAGCGACCCGCGACAGCAGGCGGTAGAGCACGATCGACATCAAGGCCAAAGACACCCGCGAGCCCGAGACCGCGACCTGGACTAAGCCGGGGATCCACCCCCAGTCCAGCAGCGGCGGAGACAGAGAAAGCGCTCCGCGCAGAGCTGGCTGACGTGCAAGCTACCAACCGCGTGCTGATGGCGGCTATCGAGCGTTTGACGGCGGAGAATGCTGAGCTTGTGGCTGCGTGGGGGCGGAGTGTGCGCGTGAGTGATTGTTAGTATACATGATGAGTGTTTCAGTTATTACTTCGAGAAAACGCGTAGTGCGATAGCACGGAGAGTGATGTGAACGAGATCACGAGAAGCGTTGCAGCTGAGGGCGTCTGACTTGCTGCTGCCCGATAGTCCAACCGAGCATGGAGAGCAGCGCTCGGATGCCACACCCAGCGCACCTAGGATGGTACACGATGCGCACGCACTCTCGACAACCTCTCCGCGCTCCCACCGCTTACCTCACCATCAACTCCACGCCAGTTGCGCGCTCCCTCGACTGCTTCGAGCCTTCAGAGGCCCCTACCAGCCTGCGCTACACCACCCCCACCCAACCGTTCCTTTCATCTTATTCCATCTCCACCAAAAACAGCGTGTCCGTATTCGTCTAGTGGTGCGCGTTCTTGTGGTGCTTGAGGTGCACTGTCCGTCAGCTCTCGCTCCTGTGGCGCTCTGCGGGCGAGATAAAGCGCTGTACTAACTCTGATAGTCGATAACGTATCCTACGGTGAAGAGGCTTCGGCGCCGTCAGCTCACGTAACGTGCGGGAGGGGGGGAGAGAGGTGGGAGGAGTGGGAATGAGATGAGTTGTTGGAGATGGGTAGGTGAAAATGGGTTGGTGGAGGGGGAGGTGGAGGTGTTGAAATGTGCGATGGGGAGGGAGGGGAAGGGGATGGGGTGGAGGAAGTTGAAATGCTCCCGTGTCCGGCGACTCACGTGAAGATGGCAGCGAGGAGAGGCTTGCTGTGAGTTAGCGGGGTTCGCTTAGTGTTGAGATCGCGGGGGACGCGCAAGGCGCAGAACGGAGAGTAGGAGAGACTGGAGGGTGGGATGCGACCGTGTAGTTGGACGTCTGACCGACGTCCAACTTGACGTCCAACTTCGCTACGCCCTCTCGACGCCCTCTCAGCTCGCGGCGCGCGATCTATCGCGCCGGTGCGCGCAATGGCTACGCAGTGGGCGCGCGATGGTACGCGCGCCGGGCGCCCATCGACCCGCGTATTGACCGCGCCCTGCACCTTCCCCCCACACATCGACTCACCCCGAGGCGTTGGCGCCCTCGAAGAACTTGCCGCGGAGGCCACCGGCACGCTCCGAGGCCGGGAGAGGGCCCTTGGGGAGCTTGGAGTAGAAGTCGATGACGGCCTGGGTGCGGGCCGAGGTCGTGCCCGACGACTGGGGTTAGTAGTGACTCGGGAGAAGGAAGGCGAGGGTAGGCGAGGCGAGGCGAGGTGGGGCGTGATGGGATGGGATGAGTTGGAAGAGAGGAAACGCACGACGGCGCCCGGGGTGGCGATCTTGGGGGGAACGAGGCCGGTGAGGGTGCGGCGCGCGGCGGTGGCGAACATCGTTTTGGAGTGGTGAGGGATGAGGATGGGAGAGTGATGAGCAGGGAGGTTGAGACGGCGAGCACGGAGGGGGAGGGGGGGCCAGGGCGAGCGGGCGGGGGCGGAGGGAGGTGCGCTGGGCCAGTAGGCTGGAGGAAGGGCGTAGGGCGGGCGGACTTTCGCCGGGTGTTTCCGCTGTGGCGCGCGGGGGCAAAGTCGCGTGGCGGTTACTAGTGGAGGATGCCATGCCCCACTCCGATTAGAATCATTAGAAAACTATTAAGCGAGCGTGCCTGGCGGGCGCAGGCGCTGGGCGACCTGGGCGGATGACTTTTTCCAGAGCTGTGGGTGGGAAGACGGGCTCCCCACAGTCGACAGAGGGAGGAACCGGAATCTCTCCTTCTCTTCGACCTCGCTACCTCCCATCTCCTCCTCCTCCTCCTCCTCCTCCTCCTCATTCAAAAGGCATCGCCAGCTATCAGCTAGCGAGCACAGCCAGCAGCAGTCTAGATACCCCACACGGAGCAACACCCACCGCAATGGCCCCCACTGACTCGTTCAAGCGCGAGAGCGGCACTGCCCGTATCCTCGGCTCTGGCACTTCGGGTGAGTAGGCGCGGCGACCTTGTACCAGCCACGGCGACGGCGCCAACTAACCCCCTCGTGACCCCCCGCTCATCATCTAACACCAGGTATCGCCGAGCTGATCGTCTTCCACCCCGTCGACACCGTGGCCAAGCGCCTCATGTCCAACCGCTCGCACCTCTCGCTCAGCAACCTCAACCAGGTCATCTTCCGCAACGCCGCCAACGCCTCCATCGGTGGCAAGTTTGTCTCCCTCTTCCCAGGTCTCGGCTACGCTGCGGGGTACAAGGTTGCGCAGCGTGTGTACAAGTTCGGCGGCCAGCCATACTTCCGTGACGTTATCGACAGCAAGTCTGGCGACTGGTTCCGCAGCACTTTCGGCAAGAAGACGGGCAGCATGCTCATGCACGCGACGGCTGGCTCGTGAGTGTCAGCAGTGAACGAGGACTTTGGTCGGGAGCAGGCGGCGAGTCGCGGGCTGCAGAGCATCAAGGGCGGAGTGTTATCGCCGTGGCGTACGTCACGCGCGATAAGCATGTAACTTGGCGCATGTGGCTTCAAACACAGAATGCGCGCGGACACATGAACACAGCGAAGCCGAGTGGCCCGAGTGGGACGGGCGATGTGCACCACACGCATCGTCGCACACACCCCGGCGCCTTTAATAAACGAGTCAATTTTCCGCAACAACAATCTTCCCCGCATGCCCGCACGGCCCTCCGCTCGGCGAACGGATCTCGCACCCGCACCGGATGGGCTGAAGCTAACTCCAGGCTGACTGGTATCGGTGAGGTCGTCCTCCTTCCCCTCGATGTCCTCAAGATCAAGATGCAGACCAACCCCGACGCGCTCAAGGGCCGTGGCATTGTCAAGCTCATCACTGAGGAGGGTCTTGGGTCGCTCTACCGCGGCTGGGGCTGGACCATGGCCCGTAACGCTCCTGGCTCGTTTGCTGTGAGTGTGGATGCGCGCGATGCTGCAAGCCGGCGCAGCGGGCGTCGAGCGTGCAGGCGATGATATATCATGTGCAAATGCTGACCTCAGCTCTTCGGTGGCTCGGCCGTCACCAAGGAGTACGTCTTCAAGCTCGAGGACTACTCCAAGGCCACCTGGACTCAGAGTGAGTGTGCTCTTTTGCTTACAGACATGAACTCTGGCTGATAATAGACTTTGTCGCTTCCGTCGCCGGTGCCGTTGCGTCCATCACTGTTGCCGCTCCTCTTGACGTTGTGAAGACGCGTATCCAGAACGCCAACTTCAACACCAACGTCTCGGGTGTCACTGTCATCAAGGAGATGCTCAAGACTGAGGGTGCGGGCGCGTTCTTCAAGGGTCTTACTCCCAAGGTGAGTGGAAATGACGGGTGGAGGTGGAGGTGGATTGTGATTGTGATAATCTATAATCTCGCGTTTCACCGAGATCTACTTGAGTGGCGTCGAGGAGCGGTCACATGATGATGGCTCCTCCGCTCTTGCCGCTCATCACGTACCATCACCGTGTTCTGCAGACTAACTCCAGATCCTCGTCGTCGGCCCCAAGCTCGTGTTCTCGTACACGCTTGCCCAGTCGCTCATCCCCTTCTTCGGCAAGTACGTCTAAGCCGTCGACTAGACGCCAATCCTCCACCACTCGTCGTATCTGGGCTTGTTGCTCCTGTTAGGTTCTGTTGCATACCCCCCCTCCCGTCTGTACTCTAGACAACTGCTGCTCCATCATGCATTGGATGTTGCGGTTATGTACAGGAGCGGGATCCAATGACGTGGGCGGATGCGGCTGGCCGTCTGGATGATATGAATGATGCAAGCCTCGGGCGAGGTCGGCTTTGATCCGCACCCTTAGGACCTTACCTCCCACCCAGGCTCCGAGCGCTTTAGGCGAGGTTGCCAGGTGACAATAGCCGGCTTCGGCGGCGGGTGCTCCGGCACGCCTCGGCGTCTCTTCGCTCCGGCGTGCATGCATGGATGGATGTCCCGTGCCGACTTTGTGGCCCCGTCTTGACTCGACATCTTGATAATCTCATCTCATCTGTCTCTCATCTATTCTCAATACTCTCCCCCAAAACAGGTCAATCCCCATCCCTGACCGTCCCCACTCGTACGATTTCTCAGCCACCGACCCAGCCTTCATGTTCGCCGCTCGCTCTACTCGCTCCATCTCCAACATCTCGCGCAGGAGCATGGTGAGTTTCGCTGTCGTGGTGGCGAGCACTGGGCCGCGAGTGGCGACGCGTCAGCATCGCGTGCATGGTGTATTCAGCGTCCTCCGTGCCCCATGCTGCGCTCGGCACGGATGACTCAGCTGGTCACCACCCATCTCTTTATCATCCTTCCTCCCTCGCTTCCCGCCCGCCCGCTTCGCGTCCTGCAGACGCTAGTTGTACTTGCGCTAACTCCAGTCCACCCAGTCCGTTTACATCCTCGGCGCGCAGCGCACCCCCATCGGCGCCAAGGACGGCGCGCTCGCCTCGGTCTCCGCCGCCGAGCTCGGCGTGACGGCTGTCAAGGCTGCTCTCGCCAAGGCTGGCGTCAAGCCCGAGCGCGTAGAGGAGATCTACATGGGCCACGTCGTGCAGGCCGGTACGGGCCAGTCGCCTGCTCGCCAGGTCGGCATCAAGGCTGGGTGAGTGGCGCGGTGCTCGGCAAGGAGTGCCGAGCGAGTGTCGAGCGAGGAGGAGAGCGCCGAGCGGGCGTCGAGGGAGGTGGGGTCGAGCCCGAGGACGAGGGGGGCGCGAGCCAGCGCGGAGCGAGGTGGCCCGCTGGAAGGCCGCACCGGATGGGATGGGGAGTGCGGAACTTGGTTTAGCCGAGTAAGCCACGCCAACCTCGCCTCTTTCACGGAGATTCCACCCCATTCAGTCGCCCGCTCGACTCCCGATAGCGAAGCGAGTGCCCACGTACATCACGCTGACCCCAGCCTCCCCCTCTCGGCGGACGCTACGACCATCAACAAGGTCTGCGCTTCGGGCCTCAAGTCGATCTCGCTGTCCGCCCAGGGCATCCAGCTCGGCCAGCGCGGCCTGACTGTCGCTGGTGGCATGGAGAGCATGTCGCAGGCTCCGTGAGTGATTTGGGCGTGGCGTTGTGTCATTAGCGGCTTCTTTGCTGTGCTGCCTCAGCCGCCCGTCCTCGGCCTTCGGCCTCGAGCGCGCTCCCTTGCTAACCCCCAGCTTCCTCACCCAGCGCCACCTCCCCGTTTTCGGCCACTACGAGGTCAAGGACTCGCTCGTCGTCGACGGTCTCTTTGACGTCTACAACAAGTTCCCCATGGGCAACTGCGCCGAGCACACTGCCAAGCAGCTCTCGATCTCGCGTGAGCAGCAGGACGACTTTGCCGAGTCGTCGTACACTCGCGCGCAGGAGGCGTGGGCCCAGGGCCTGTTCAACGAGGAGATCGCCCCTGTGACCGTCAAGACGCGCAAGGGTGAGGTCGTCGTCAAGGAGGACGAGGACTACAAGAAGCTGCTCAAGGACAAGTTCCGCAGCATCAAGTCTGTCTTTATCAAGGATGGCACTGTCACGGCCGCGAACGCGTCGACGCTCAACGACGGCGCGGCCGCCGTCGTCCTCGCGTCCGAGGAGGTCGTCCAGAAGGAGGGGTACAAGCCGATCGCCAAGATCCTGGGCTACGCCGACGCTGCGTGCGACCCCATCGACTTCCCGACTGCGCCGACGCTCGCCGTCCCCAAGGCGCTCGAGGCCGCCGGTGTGTCCAAGGATGACATTGCGCTGTGGGAGTTCAACGAGGCGTTCTCCGTCGTCGGCGTCGCGAGCGAGAAGGTCCTCGGCCTTGACCGCTCCATCGTCAACACGCGCGGCGGCGCCGTCGCCCTCGGCCACCCCATCGGGTGCTCGGGCACGCGCATCGTCGTCACCCTCATCCACGCGCTCAAGCCCGGGCAGAAGGGTGTCGCGGCCATCTGCAACGGCGGCGGCGCGGCCACTGCCATGGTCATCGAGCGCCTCTAGGGCGATGCGCCGCGCGCCGCGCTGTGACCCCGTGAGCATGGCCGGTGAGCGGCAGCATGTAGCGTGCGAAGCGCCGCGAAGCGCGAAGCGTCGACGTAGTATAGAGGTTATGCATGGATAGCAGACTACGACGTGACATATCCGTGGGCGAGGTCGACGACGCGCGCCCACGGGCTGTACTCCTCTGGCCCGTATCGCGCGCGCGTGTCGAACGGGGGCAAGCGTGGCTGCGCGTCCGGCCGCTCATACCACAACCCGGCGGCGACGAGGACGAACAAGACGCCTGGCATGCGCGCCCGCATGCCCGGCGCGCGCGCGACCCTCCAGGCCTGCAGACAGAGGCTGTACGCCGCGACGGCGAGCATGCTCCATGCCGGCAGGCGGGCGAGTGCGTGCCTGTACACGCTGGGGTGCGGGGGCGTGGTGTCGACCATGTGGAGGGCGGTGAGGATGGTGGCGGTGGCCGCTAGGAGGTTGCAGAGGGTGCTGAGGTCGACTTCTGGCGGGACGGGGCGGCGCGGGCGGACGCGCGGGGGGGACAGGTGGGAGGTTGGGGCCGGGGCTGGGGTGGAGGCGGCGGGGACGGGGACGGTAGGGCGGGAGGGAGAGGTGGAGGGGGTCACCGCCGCTGGAGCGGCGACGGGGGCCAGACTGGGGACAGGGGCGGAAGCAGCCGCGCGTGGGGCGGGAGCGGGGGAGATAGCCACTGGTGTGGCGGGAGCGGACGGGGCGGTAGCGGCGGCGTTGGCGACGGCGGAAGAAGCGACTGGAGTGGGAGGCACGGGGTCAGGCGCGACGGCGACCGGAGCGAGCGTGGGAGCGAGCGTGACCGGGGCGATGGGCGAACCTTGGGTTGCGGACTCGGGAACGTTGGGGGGTGGGGCGACGGACGCGTTCGTCGCCGGTGCGCGCGTCGGCGCAGGAACCGCTTCAGGCGTCTCGTCTTCGCTATCTGTGTCCTCGCGGTAAATCTTGTGCGTGTGGCAGCGCCTCACGCGGCCGAATGGCCTCACGTCCGCTCCACGCGTCGCCCTGCTCACCTCACCCTCGCCCGCGGCGACGGCACGCACGGCGGCCGCGAAGGCGTCGAGCAGCGTGGCGTCGAGCTGGACGTGCGCGAACGGGGTGTAGTCTGAGTCGGTGCCGGAGGCGTCGGAGTCGTCGGGGGTGTCGGCGGCGATGGGGATACTGGCGGCTCGGGTAGGAGATCCGGGCGTGCCGGCGCCCAAGCTGATCTCGGCGATGAGGGTTCGTAGATCGCGCGGCGGGAGCGCGGTGGATGGCATCGTATGGAGGGTTATGTGGCGGACACGGAGGTGGCGATAGAGTCTACAACGGCGATGGGGTGCACGCAGACATGCATAGATTGGGATGTATATATCCCTCCCGCGCGTGCCCCTTGATGGCGAGAACAATAGAGAGCGTTTCGGCGCCATCACTGACACCCCCGTCAAGTGATCGGATCATGCCCCGATCTCGCCGCGATCTCGGGGCTCGACTGCACTGCCACCTCGCGATCTCGCATCACTTGCGGGCAGCGACACGAGCCGCCGTCTCGGATGAATCTACGCACGCCGCGCCGTTCGTTTTAGCTGTGCTCATAGCCACGCCGCGTAGCTCCAATCTCAACCGTTGCATGCACCACCTGTCTGTATCACACTCCCTCGACCGTCTCGTGAAACTCGTCCTCGCTCACCTCACCCTTGCCTCCGCTCTCCCGCAACCGCGCCACTTCTCCCTTCAACCGCTCATTTTCGCGGGTCAGCCCCGCCGCCGCGCGCCGATACCCGGCATGCTTGCGCGTCTCAGTCTCCAACCGTGGCCGGAGCACACCGACGGCCTCATCATACTGCGCGAGCGCGGCGTCTCGCCGCTCCAAGCGTGCCCGAAGCCGCGCCTCCGTCGCGCACGCCTCGTCGAGTGCAGCACGCAGCCGCGCCTCCTCCGCCCGCGACTCGCCGAGGTCCGTGCGTAGGCGTGTCTGCTCCGCCTCGCTGGTCCGCAGGTATCCGGTCAAATTGTCGATTTTGGTTTGCACGGCATCGCGCTCGGCGCCGCACGCGTGCTCAAGCTGCGCGCGCAGCTGGTCCTCGCGGCGGCGCAGCGCCGCGCGCTCCTCCTCCCACCGCTTGCGGTCGGCCGCCCACCCCTCTCTTTCGGCCTCGACGTCGGCGTCCCACGCCTCGCGCCGCGCGGCGAGCGCGTCGCGCATCGCGTCTTCCGTGTCCTCGCGGAACCGGAGCCACGCCTCGAACTCTGCGCACCCGGCTTCCGTGTCCCCGTCCGCCACCTCGTCAAACACGCCCTGCGCGCGCAGCCGCCGCCGCCGCCAAAACGCCTCCCACGCGCCGTAATCCCCCACCTGCTGCCCTACGAAGCCCGAGTACGCCTCCCGGAACGCCGTGTGTTCCTTCAACCACCGCCATCTGTCGCGCACATCCCCCAGTTCGGCTTCGAGGCGAGCAATACGCGTCGCGCTCGCCTCGGCATCGCGCTCGCGCGCGGCGTCCGCATGGCGCGCGTTCTCGCGGGCACCCGCGGCGTCTTTTTGAGCCGCGAGCGCCGCGCGGCGCAGCTCTGCTACTTCGTCGCGCAGCGCGGCGTCCGACGCACGCAGCCGCGCTAGTTCGGTGTGTGCGCGCGCACTCTGGGTTTCGGCGCGGCCGAGGCGCTCTTCTGTGTGCGCGAGCGTGCGGAGGAAATTGTCGCTCTCCGCGCGCAGCTCAGCGATCACTTCGGCGTCCGGACGGGCGCGCGCGCTGCCTGGGCGCAGCGCCGCGAGCACGCCGTCGTCCCGGAAAAACGAGGATTTCTTCTTTGGTTTCCGAGAGCGTGAGCGAGCGCGGCCGCGTTCCGGCTCGGACTCGGCGCGGTCGAGCGACGGTGTGCTTGCTTCGCGCGAGGAGTGTGTGCACGACGGTGGTGAGGGCGGCCGATACCCGACGGGCAGGGAGGGACGGCGCCGGGCGGCGGGGGAGGGGCCGCGGTGCTTTGAGAGGATGGGCGGGGCGTAGTCGATGGGAGAGGCAGGGCGGGCGTCGCTTCGTCGTCCACTGTCGTCGCTGTGTCGTCCGCTTGCGCGGCTTTGCCTTCCGCTGTCTGGTCGTTGTGAGCTGGCTTGGCTTCGTCGTCCCATATCGTAGGTTGCCTGCTCAAGAGGAGCGTCGGGAGACGCGGCGCGCCCGCGAGACCGCTCGCGCCAGCGTGTCGGCGTGAGTCCACGGAGAGAGGGCATGGTGAAAGTTAATGCGATAAGTAAGGTGAGACGTGCAAGAGATGCGGGCGCAGTGTCTTATGGCTATGGAAGGTTGCGATGCGAGTGATTGACTGATGAGATCTGGCCGCGTTTCAGCAACCGAAACACAGCGTTGAGCTTCGTCACCATTTTGATTAGGGATGTGCTGCTGGAAATATGGAGGCATGGTGTAGAGACAAACCACAGCTGCAACACCACACTTGGGTTGTGTTGGCGGTGGCGGTGAGAAAGAATAACATCAATGCAGTCCATGTTGAACGCACTTGCGTCAAAGACGACAATCTATGCAGAGCCCGTAGATCTAGGCGAGATCTAGGCGTGTAACTGAGTGAGCGGCGTAAGGCCGGAACAAATTGAGGGTCAATATCTACATCAAACAACGGCGCTGTCGTCAAACGGGTCGCCATCGTCAAACGGGTCGCCGTCGTCACTCGGATCGCTGTTGTCGTCCTCGATGAGCACGTACTCGCACGCACGCCCGCGCCACTGGGCCGGCTTCCACAAGTGGCGCCTGCTCCGAATGCCGCTCATAACCTTGTCGACTCCGCGCATCGACTTCTGAGCGCCAGCGGCACTGCCATTGCCACTCTTCGACCCGTGACGGCCCAGAAGGGGCTGGGTGAAGTTTGGGTCGGGGAAGAAGCTGGGCAAGGCCTCACCGACGCGGGTCTCTTGTGAGCGGCGGCGGATGCTGAAGCGGAACGTGGCTGTGCGTGCGCCAGCCTGGATACCTCCTGCGGTGGTGTACGCGGGCACATCTTGCACGGGCGGGGTGAGCGGTGACGTGGAGACGCGGTATACCACGCGTTTCGAGGGGAGAATGGGAGAGGTGCCGCGGAACTTGGTGCTGCGGGTGATCGTCGGGACGAGAGTGGCGCTGGAGCCGCTGGAGAAGTTGGAGGAGGGCGAGGGACGCATGGTTTGAGTGAGTGTGTCGTTGGAGGATGCTGAGGACAGGTGGGATCGTGGGGTAGAGAGCGATGGCATTGTAGCGGGAGAGGGGTCACGGAGGAGAAAGAGATATAGCAGGAGAAATGAGGGGATCGGCAAACTGTGGAAAGGGATTGATGTAGTGCTGACCCGAGTGGCGGGACAGCCGGCCTGGGAGGAGAAGTAAGGCGCGCTCAACGTGCAGGTAGCACAACACAACCGCCACTGTCAGCCTGCTTCGCCACACGGGGCGTGCACAGCCAGCCATCGCGGCAAAGCACCACCTGGGAGAAGTGGTGGCTATCGCGTACAGCTCCGACTGCAGCGGAGAACAATGTGAGTATGCATGCTGCCAAACTCTATCGCCCCATCATGCTTGTCGCTGCACTGTTCATGCGCGAGGCCCTCCCTCACCCCCTCCTTCAATTGAGTGGTCCCGAAAACTCACAACTTTTTCCGAAAAACCTCCCATCCTTTTCGACCTCACATCCCACTCAACCCACTGCACCCGGCTGCGAGTACGAGAACAATGCATAACTATTTAGACACGACACCACGGCAAATGAGAGCGGAAACTTGGAAACTTAGTTGAGGGGCACGCGGGCAGGCACGTAGATGACGCGCTTGAGGCCCTTGGTGCAACGGCGGAGCGTGGACCACTTGCGCTTGTGGCAGCGAGCGTTGGGCTCGAGCGGCCAGTCGGGGTCAAGGAAGCCGAGGGGAGAGGGGGGCGGGGCAATAGAGCCAATGGTGACATCGTCGGTAGCGTATCCCTCCAGGGCAGTCATATACCCGTCCTCCGAGAAGTCGGTGCCGGAGTTGGAGAGGGTGATCGTGGCCGTGGTCGTGCTGGTGACCATGGTGGGGTAGGTGGGGAAGGTGGGCGCCGCTGGGACGGTCTCGGCGGCGACCTTGCGACGCTTGAAGAGCGCCACGATGGTGGCGTGTCGCTTGGGCTTGGCATCGCAGAGGGCGGTATACTTCTCCTCGAGCTTGGCGTGCTTGGCCTCGAGCTTGAGGAACATGGCCTCGAGCTCCAACTTCTTGGCCGTCATGGAGCGAAGAAGCTCGTCGCTCTTGATGACCTCCAGCTGGAGGATGCTCTCGTCACCCACGCTCTCGATGTATGCCTGCTGGAGGTTGGCGTTGCGCTTGCGGAGCGAGTCGCGCTCGGCCTCAGCCATGGCGATGCGGCTCTCGGCGGCCTGGAGGTGGGTGAGAGTGGCGAGGATGCTGCCCTCGGTCGCGCGCAGCGTCTCGATCGCGAGGCGGTCCTTCTCCTGCGAGGTGCTGGACGAGTCCACTGAGGCGAGGCTGGGCGCGAGGGTCTCGGGGGTGGAAGGGAGTGCGTCGAGGGCGACCCGGGGGCCGGCGATGGTCTGTGCCTGCTGGGCGAGCGTGTCCACACGGGAGCGGAAGGCCAGCTGCGCCTCAAGCGCGGCGATGTGGGCGTTCGCGGCGTCAAGCTCAGCGGCTGCGTTCTTGGTGGTGGTGGGCGACGAAGCGGCGCTCTCCTCCGTGCTGGACGACTTGTCGTTGGAGGAAAGACTGGTCTCAAGCGAGGCAATGTAGGCCTTGGCGACGAGGAGCTCGGCGGCGACGTTCTTGGTGGGGGATGAAGAGTGGATCTCCTCCTTGGTGGAGAGCGAAGAGTCGCTCTCATTCTTGGTGGTCGACGAGGCCTCGCTCTCGTTCTTGATGGTCGACGAGGAGTCACTGTCCTCCTTGGAAGTAAAGAACGACATGTCGTCGAAGGAGATGCTGGTGTCAAGCGTGGGGGGAGTCGACGAAAGGTCGAGAGTGGAGTTGGTGGGCGAGTAAGTCTTGATAGAGGTGGTGCTCATCGTGGGCAGGTTTGGAGTTGTTTGGGAGCGAAGAGTTGGGTGGTGAAGAGCTGAGTTCGGTGATGAGGTGTTGGTGGAGAGGTGGGAAGTGCTGGTGATGTGTGGATACAGGGTGTGTGTGGTGCGTGGTGTGGGTACAGATGGGGGGAATAGAAGTTAGAGATGAGTTGAGAGCGTGGCGGGGCTTATATGTCTGCTGTGCCAGTGTCGCCGTGTTTGCTCGACGTTGATTTAGCTGACTCGTCTCAGGGTGTCATAATTCAACTCCACAGAGTTGAGACATGCACTCACAAATACGTCAGGTCATCAATGGCTAGTGTACGCTTGTATGGGGTGGCTGAGCGGTGCGGCCTGAATTGAGCAGACGCCGGCCGGTCTGAATTGGGCAGTGAATTCTACTCTGCAGCATTCGAGATGTTTTCGTTGACAACGGTCGTAATGGGAGCTTAGCAAGCTTATGTCAGATTGGTGTGCGCCGTTCTCCTCGGCTGTTGCACCGGGACGACGCAAGTCGAGGGTTTGAACTTCAGGAAGGTCGTTGGATGGCCATCTGTCTCACGCTCCCGACTGGTGCTGAGTTGCCATAAGGCTTGTCCTCCTCATCAAGCTGCGCAGTGTGGCGCGTGGGTGTTACCATGGATGCCGTGTTAGCCCTGTTGCAGGAGAAAGGCGGGCCATTAAAGAAAGCCAAGTGAGTGGCATAGACCCGTTGGATGCAGCCATTAATCGAATTTGGCATTTGCTGACATATGTTATCGAGGTTGGGACCTGAATGATGAGGGGAGAGTCAACTGCGGGGGCCAGAAAATGGTTGCCCGGCTTCTTAATGGCATGAGGGGTGGCTGGTTGAAATCGAGTACCCTTGAGGGAGGAGGAAGCGGGGCAGGACATCGCGACAGGGAGCTGGAAAGGTTCGGTAGCGAGCGGTGCACCTGTTGTATGGGCGACAACGGAGGCCGAGGCCAAGCGTGTGCCTGCGTGGAAGATGAGCCCGAGGCCGAGGGCGACGTTCCCGTTTTCCGTGGAAGACTATTATGATGGGATGAGCAAGTCGACTATTTGTCGACCCGTGGGCGAGGGTGGCGGCGAGTGTGGTTTTGGAAGAGGCAGGAAGCTCCCTAAGAGGGAAGGGCGGCGGGAGCAGCGGAGCGGAGGACGGCGCTCTGGCGTTGCCGGCGACGGGTTGGCAGTGGAGCGGCATTTTAGGCGGGGGCGTTGAGAGCCAGGATGTGGGACAACGACATTCGTGAGGCGGGCTTGCTTGCACGATCGGAGTGTGAATTGATTTTGGGCAATGTGTCAGGGCTGAGACTTGGTGAGAGGGCGGGCATCGGCCTAAAGGTCGCGGCTTTGCGGCGTTGCGCAGTCGGCACGGGACACGGCAAATGACGAGGTAGCGGGGAGAGTGAGGATGAATGGGGTGGCCATGGGATGGTGAGAGCTGCGGGGAGGGGAATGAGAACAGCGAGGGGGAGTTTGGGGGAGAGTGGTGAGTGGGGTGGCGGTGAGGGGAGAGGATACGGTGAAGAGAGCGATAATCATGATGGAGAAAGGAATTAATGTTAAAGATAGGAGTGATGATGAACAAGTAGAACAATGCGAGCGGGAGTGATGGAGGATGAGGTGGTGATGAGAAGAACGAAATGTGGGTGGCGAAAGAGTCAGTGTCAGTGGAGGAAGGTGGCCTTCAGTGCGATGGTGAGAGTGATGGCTGACCCAAATGAACACTGCTCTAGTGCTCTCTCAATCTCTCACATCCCTCAAAGCAGTAGGCTCTGCAGACCTCGAACGCTCACGCGCCGTCGCCGCCGCCGCCGCCGCCGCCTCCGCCACAACAGGCACCTCGGCATCCGAACCACGCGCCTGATTTCAGTGCCTGCCCGACTAGCGGGACGAGCAGACTCTAACCCTCAAATAATGCCCAGCTGATCGAGAGGGCTTTTTGAACTGTGAGCTGTGAGTCTTCAACAATTAGTCATGCGTAAGTAGGCAACCGCGCTTATCTCGAGACGGCCCGCGGCCGACTATTCATATACTCTGTGGTTATGACTTGTGGCGGCAGGGATGGTTTCAGGCAGCGAGCCGGGTGCCTGTAGTCTGCCGAGGTTGCTGGCAGCCAGCAGCGAGGCGATGGCTGCGCTAACGCTGACGCCTCGGTCGGCGATCGGCACGGTGCATGGGGGCGAGGGAGCTCCGTCCTCACTCTACACTCACGCGCCTGATTTCGTAACGCCGCCACGGGTGTTGACTTCTCCTCGCGTGGACTCCTCGTGGCTACCACGTGTCTCCCGCGCGGCTTCACCCCACGGCCTCCAACCGCGCCCACCCAGGCCCCGCGACGACATCGAGCGCGGCAACATGCACCGCGACGACCTGGAGCACGACAGCGGCCGCGAAGAAACACAGCGGCGCGCCGACGCTGTCGACGCCCGCCCGCGCAAGCTTGTGCCGGAACCACACCGCGTTCGTGGTGGCCAGCATGATAGGGAGGAGGACGCCGAGCGCGAACCCGTCCGCCGACTCCTGCATGCGCAGCGCGCGCGCGAGCGCGAGATCTGGCGACCGCAGCGCGATGCGCCATGCACGCGTGCGCATGCTGCCCGACGCGAGCGCGGACGCGAGACGCACCGCGCCGGCCGCCGTCGTAAGTGCCTCCATACGGGGGCCGAAATTCGCGCTGTGCCGGGGCCCGGGACGGTCACTTTTTCGTCGCGGTGCCGGGTTCGGCGCAGCACGAACTCGGGACTCGGACTCGGACTCGGAAGTCGCAGCTCGGAGCAGAGCCGTGAGCGGAGTCGTGCTCGGAGACGGGGAGGCGGAGGCGGAGGCGGAGGCGGTGGATGGTGGCGCTCGGACGTGGTGGATGGGCGATGGGTCGATTGGTGTTTGGGAACAGGGAGATCGTCCGATGTCAATGGCACCACTCTCCAAGCTTCAAGCCTCCAACAACAACGTCAACGGCGACACGATGCATCTCTCTTTTCTTGTAACCATCTCCGTCTCTCTCTTTCTCTCCTTTGCACGCTCTACGCTCCACACTGCTCGCTACACCATGACAGTCAAGGGGTGGTTCACCCACCCCTCGACGCCCTCGACGCCCTCAATGCCCTCCGCAGCGCCTGCGGCGCGCCCCAACCGCCGCTGGAGCTGGCGCCACGCTCACCCACCCCCGCCCGACACGCCTCGGCGCTCCAAGTCGCATCTCGGCCTCTCGCTCCTTGGCCACGCCTCACCCTCACCCTCCTCCTCCCCCTCGCCATCGATCCACACATGGCACGCGCACACGCCCTCGCCTCCCTCGCCCCCGCCCTCCCTCTCTTCGCGCGCTCCCTCTCTCCCCTCTCTCCCCTCCCCCTCGCGCCGCGCCTCCATGTCGCGCCCCCACCCCACGGGCCAAACGCGGTTCAAGCCCACGCGCCCGACCTGGCGCTTCCTCAAGAGCCTGCGGCCAGCCAAGCCGAGGGCGACGGGCGCGGGCACAAACGCCAACGCGGAGCGCGAGATGGCGGACGAGGTCGCGAGCGAGTCTCCACACCCAAAGCGCGCGTTCTCCCTCCTGCGCTCGCCGCGCTCGCCGCGCTCGCCAGCACGCCCCGCACGCCCGCGCGCCCCGCGCTCGGCTTCGCTGCCGCCGCGCCCCGCCCCCGCGTCCGCGACCATGGTCTCCACCGCGTCGTCGCGGAGCGTGCCTGCACCTCCGCGATCCACCTCGGCCCCGTCACCCTCGGCCCCGTCACCCTCGGCCTCGTCCTCGGCCTCGGGCGCGAGCTTGGGCGTAGGCCAGAGCGCACTCGCCGCACGCGCCCCGCGCGCGCGCTCCGCCAGCACGGCGCACATCGCGCTCGGCGTGGTGTGCGGCACGGCTGTGGCCGTGTCGCCGTGGTCTGCGATTGCCGCCGCCGTGCTTTTCGCGGTCGTGCTGAGTGCCGCGTACTGTCCATCTACGCGCGCCGGCGCCGCGTGGCGCGCATGGCGCGTGCGAACACCGCTGGAAACGGAATAGATTGTAGGCAGTGTACCTGTACATATGTACCATCTAGTACAACAAGGAGTGTGGGGGCGTGGGATTAGGCTGGGGGGATTATAAGATGCGCGCCGCGCGGACTGTAGTAGCTGTGGTTGGCGGGCCAGCCGCCGAGTGTTCTGGGTGGGCGTGGAGGATTGTCGAGCAAGACATGGAGCAATGACAGGTAGCGGATATGTGGGAGAGCGGGCGGAGGCGTGAGTGTTCAGAACAAAGTCCGAGTCAGAGTCAAGCGAAATCACGGGTTCGGCGCGTAGATCTCGTCGTATGCAGGCGGGAGGTGCACCTCTCCTTCGTCGTCAGGAAGGGCGTCGTCGAACGCGCCAGCGTCCGCGTGCCGGATGATCGTGGGGCCTCGGCGCAGACCTGGAGCTGGCCCCGCTCCTGGGTCTTCTTTGCCCGAGCCACCCGCCGCGTATGGTAGGGCTGATGGCCGCTCGTCGTTCCGTGAGCCTTGGCGCGCGACGAGTGCGCGCGTTTGGCCGTAAGGGTAGGCGGCGCCGGGAGGTGCTGGGTAGGCTGTGGGGTAGGCCGAGGACGAGGGGTATGCGGAAGACGAGGGGTATGCGGAGGCTGTAGATGGCGACGGAGCAAAAGCCGCACCACGGCTGGTCGAGCGTGAGGGCGGGTGGAAGGCGTGTTCTGGCGACAGGGCGCGGTTGGCGACCGTCCTGTCCGGCGTGGGCTGACCCGAGGACCAGGCCAGCGCCGACATGGGCGTCGGCATGCCGGACCGCGGCGTGGCCATCGACGAGAGGGGGATGCCGTTGACGTCGAACGGCGCTTTCGTGTCCACCAAGAGCTTGGGGGCTGGGATGCGGCCGTCGGGCCGGCGCGAGGGGCCGGGGAGAGACATTTGGCTCGGCGCGGGAGCGACGGGCGCGACGATGCCGCCGATCGGCATGGTGTGCGGGTGGTGGGGGTGTGGTGGGGAGTAGGGGCCAGGGGTGGGGGAGGGCTCGCGTTCGCGCCAGCCTGGAGTGGGTGGGCCGAACGTGTTCGTCGGAGATGGGTGGAAGGCAGGAGGGTATGCGGGCGACGGCGTTTGGAGCGCGCGCTGCGACTGGTATGGTGGGAAAGCGGAGTACTCGTCCTCGTCCTCGAGGTCGTACTCCGAGTTTGGGCGCGACATGGTACTTAGGGTCCGGGCGTAGCTGCTTCCGTCGACGGCGAAGGCGTCCATCTCGCTGTTATCCGCCCATGCCGAGGAGAGTGTGGCTGCGTCGTTGAAGGTCGACGTAGGGGTGGGGTCGAAGACGTGTGGGGGATTGAGGCGCGCATGAGCCTGGGGTTGGGGGTGGGGTGGGAGGTGAGTGCGCGACTGGGAGTGCGCGTTCGAGAACACCTGGACGCTGGCGCGCGCCTCGGCGCGGCTGAGGCCGGCGCGAGTAAAGTGCTGCGATGGCGAGTGAGGTGAGTAGTGAGGCGAGTGGGGCAAGGGCGATGGCGCGCGAGATTTTGAAGAGTGGCCATGGCGCGCATAGCCGCCGCGGGGGGGTCTAGGTTTGGGGGGTGCCTTTTGGCGGCGGCTGCGGCAACAGTACCAGATACTGGCGATGGCAATGAGGAGTGCGGCGCCACCGACGGCGATACCGATGATGATGGGGGTTGTGAAGATGGAGGGCGGGGGGGAGGGTGATGGGAGGGAGTCGGGGAGGACAGCGGATGTGGTTGGTGGGAGGGGAGGGGTGGAAACGGAGTGGATGAGGAGGGTGGGTTCAGAGGTATCGGTGGAGGTGGTCGAGGTGGTCGAGATGGTCGAGGTGGTGGGCTCGAATGGGTCGGACTCGGTGGTTGATAAAGTAAAGTCTGGCGAGGTCGTGGCAACTGGGCCGTACGAGGAGACTGTTGTAGCTACAGGTGGGCCGACTGCGGCCATGCGCGGCTCGGAGGGGGTGGGAGGGAGTTGCGACATGGCGGGGGGGCGGGAGGCAGGGGGGGCCTGGGGGGTCGATGATGAGATGAAGGTCGATGGACGATGAGTGACAGACGACGGACGTGAAGAGAGAGTGAGATGAAGCGATGAGGAGATGGAAATGAACGATGAGAGAGAGGATGAGGATGAGGATGGAGAGGATGAGAGTATGAGAGGGGCCAAAACACGTTCCAGGGGGAGAAAACAGGGGGGGGGGGGGGGGTGTCAGGATTTGAATACTGCGCGACTTTAGAATTACGGCATTACAAGGATTAGGAAAGGATTACGACTACAAGGTTTGTTCCAGCGACGTTGAGCGAGTGCATGAGGTGAGCAGCGAGCTCTGATCCTCTGAACGTACGTACCCAAGCCTTCGTCCTCGTCCTCGTCCTCCTCATCTCTTCACAGTTTCCACTTGGACAGGCAAGAGGGCAGCCCAACACGCGTCACCCTCGTTATTCACTCCAACGGAGGTCGCCGTAGCTCGCAGCTCTCTCCCTCCGCTGCGCACTCTCTCTCTTAAACCCCCAAACCATGAATTGATAAAGACCCCGCTCTATATGACTATCCCGACTCGACACGAGCACAAGCACAATCACACCCCCTAACACATTGCAGGCCTGATGTCAGCATCCCGTTCCGCCTCCCTCCGCCTCCCTCCGCCTCCCTCCGCCTCCCTCCGCCTCCCTCCGTCACGCCCGCACCATCATCAACCATCGTTCCTGCCTGCCCAGTGCGCTATTCCACCCCCGCATCCGGTCCTTCGGCCGTTCCGGCTTGCCGGAGCACTTCAGGCACCCACCCAGTCCCAAGCCGGTAACGCGCCTGACCCTTATGTAGCGTCGTCCACAGCTCGCCACCAACCTCCTCCCAACCCACTTACCAGATCTTGTCCTTTTGAAACCCCTGGCTGATTTTGCGCAACTCGTTCACCTCAACTCGCGGCTTGGTCGGCTTGAAGCCTAACACTCGCTTCGCTCGCGATCCATCGAGGTGGATAGGCGTTTCTGGCGTCAGCGGGCGTCGTGCGCAGTGACAGTGAGACAAGGGCTGCGCCACCGCAGATTAGGGTCAACCCCCGGCGGGCAAATCTTGCAAACTCCATTCCTCCACATCCCCACACCCCACCCACTTACTTCTGAATGAATGCGCATCGAGGAACGGCGAGATCGGTGTCGAAGATATCGGCGGCGAAGACGATGCGAGCATCTGTGCCCACGCGTCGACATGCTTCAGGTCAGGATTGTGTGTCAACCTTATTATCGCCCCAGGCTGTAACCGAATAACCCGGGACCTGGCCTGGGCACAAAGTTCCATGCCCCTTGGGGCCTCCCTCACTGATCACGAACCTTCTCATTCACATCCTCAACCATCTCTTCAAAGTCGTTCTGGGGTTAGCACACGACTACTGTACATGCTTAGACAAAGCACTACTCACCTTGGCGAACTGCGCGACAAGTGACATGATCGTTGTACTCAGGAAGCCGTACTTGACATTCCACACCTCAGCCACGGCTTTTGCAAGGCTGTCCTGTGTAGAGTCGCCATCGTCTACCACGTTGAACAACGGAACGATAGGCGTCTCATCTTCTGGCACGACCGTTTTAATGTTGCGCCACTCAGCCTCGGCTGTCGACTTCTTGCCACGGAATAATATGGATTTCGACTTGTCCTTGTCAAAGGGAAAGTGCAGCTCAGTGCCGGCTTCTCTTAGCACTTGGTCGCGCGGGGTCTGCATGAGCCATAGGGCTGTTAGGTACATGGCGCGGCCGACATCTGTGGAGTGGACCGTGTTGATGCGAAGGTCGGAGCTGGTGTGAGCGAACCGAGCCGAGTGGCGTCCGGGCCCAGCCGAGATACAATCTCAGAGCAGCGTTGTTGTTGTTATTATTGTTGTTGTCCCATGTCAATGCAGGGGTGAGAAGATGGCAGCTGTGAGATCGGGCGCCATCGGAGGTGCAGGCTGAGAACAATGCCGACTCACTTGTATAGGAACTTCATCTCCTCGCCACTGTTGTTAGCCATTGACACGCCCTAGGACACTTACAGGTACGCGTACACATGCCCCACGACGAGCCGAGGGATAACCTCAGCGTCCCACCGTCCCGGGCCATACCACGCTGCACAGCGCACGACACCAAAGTTGAGATTAGGCAGCTTGGCGATACCGCGCAATGCCTCGTGCCACCAACGCCCGCGCACTCCGTCGGGTTTCAGCTTGTCGTTTTCAGTGTACCCCTTGGAGCTGCCGGATTTCATCTCGTAGAACGGCATCTGTAGACGGACGTATGCGAGGGGCCTGTGTGCTGTGTCTAGGCCGTTTGCGTACGTTGCGAGGCCGAGAGCGACAAAATATGTGTTGGCAATATGGATGACTTCGGGTTTGTCGTAGCTCATCTCGCCTGTGAGGTCAAAGGCGACGTCAAAGCGCTGCCATCCTGTGCCTTCGGCGGGTGGTTCAAAAAGACTGGGATACTTGTCGGTATTGGAGAGGTTGGACTGGCGGTACTCTACTCTGGGGTCGCGGAGGAGAACCTTGAAGATGGGGTCGATGTAGCTGGTGTGAGCCAGGGGTGTCGTCGCAACCAGATGGCTGAGGCCAAAACCAATACTCACCACGTAGGAGGATCGACGGAAAAGCGGTCGGCTTGGGTCAGCCAGTCCGACTACACCGTACGCACCAATACGGACGTAGACCGCGCCGAGCTTGAGCAAGCTGGCGGCGAGGGGGAGGGAGACGGTGGCAGTACCGCCTGGTGTCAGTCAGTCAGGCGGAGATACTTATCGACGGCAACAAGACAGGCACGCCAAGCCAGCAGCCAGGGGCGTTACCCAAATTTCGGACGCGCCGGGTCACGGCGGTCGCCTGGTACTCTCGGTGGGGTGGTGGCCAGCGCCGTCGCTGATTGTCACGTCAACACGCGCCGTACGTACCGAGGATGAGAGCTACGAGGGGCTTGGAGGGACGCTTTGGCGGCGGCATGGTGTGGGTGCCGAGGGGGAGAGGGGGGGTGATGGGAGGGTACAGGACGGGCTGCTGTGGGCGAGCTTATGTAGATGTAAAGAGAGTGACGGGTCGGAAGAGCGAGGAGGATGGGAGGAGGTGGCGAGAGAGAGGATGAAGAGGAGGGGAGAGAGAGAGAGAGAGAGGAGAGAATGGAGAGAATGGAGATGAAAGAGTAGAGACAAGAGACAAGACGATTGAGGAGGAGGAGAGAGAGAAGGAAGGAAGGTGTGCACGGGTGCAACGTTGGACGAGACCACTCTAATGATCCGTGCGTCTCTCCAATCTCCTCTTCAACTCTTTCTCGAACTCTCTCTTTCTCTTTCTCTCTCTCTACTTTACTCTCTCAATCTCCCTCCCCCTCCCCTCTCCCTCACCCCGCCTCGCCATCACAAAGAGTCCTTGCGGCCGGGCGCCGGAGAAGAAAGAGGAGTACGCAGAACGGGACAATAGACGGCTCCCACTCGCCTCGGGACGCTCCGGATCCATCGCCTCGAGGTTTCTTCATCGTTTCCTTGGAATCGCTCTCTACTCGGCGATGGGCCAGCTCTGCCAGCTCTCTCAGCGCTGCATTCGCTGCTCAGCTCCCGCATCACGCACGACGGATCATAGAAGACCGGGTCCGGGCGCTGGTATCGGCATGCTCTGACCCTGAGTGCGGCGGCGGCGTCGTATTTTCTTTTGTTCTCTGGTGCGAGCGATGTCGGGCGTCGGGCTTCGGGCGATGTGCTGCGTGCCCGCCCTAGCGGCCGCGTCGTACGGCCAGTACGTGTTCGCATGGTCTGCCGTGCCTCGCGGCGTCCCTTGAAGGTGTTCGGAACGTTCGCGACGTGTCCGGCGGGTGCATGCTTCCGGGGTTGGCGGAGGCGCGATCCCACGAGTGCGAGGACAGGGGCAGTGATTAGCAGCTCTGCAGCATCACAGGGAGCTGCAAGCGCAAGCATCGCTTGCTGAACAGGAGGGTTCACGTGCTCAGCGATTGTGACAGCAGACGGAGATGCCACACACGAAACTGTTCATGTCACAATTTACGAGTCCCAGTCCGACGGGGGTCACTCGACCACCCGGGCTACATGATCTACGGCGCGTACTGCTCTACGAGACTAAGCGGCCTCTTCCTCGTACTCACCAGTGTCCTCCTCCCAGGTGTTGTCCTCGTCGGCGGTATTGACTTTGTTATCGCTCTCGTACTCACCGCTGACCATGTCACTCGGGCCGTCGTCGCTCTCGCTCTCGATACTCTCCGCGCCACTCTCGCTCTCGAAGTTCGTACTCACCGCGCCGCCGCCACTCTCGTTCTCGGTGCTCATACTTATCGCGCCGCCGCCACTCTCGCTCTCGCTACTCACACCCACCGCACCGCCCGCACTCTGGCTCTCGGTACTCACACCCACCGCGCCGCGCCCACGAGCCTCAAGCTCGTCGCGCAGCGCCTCACGCTGGATCGTAAGCTTCGTGACCTGGTGGCAGAGGTAGTCGTTGTCGAGCTCGGAGCGGCGCACCGAGCCCAGCAGGTGCTGGACCTCGTGGAGCGCGTCCACGAGGCGGTGGCGCAGCTCGGTGATGTACGCGGGCGCGGTGGCGGGCGAGGGCATGGGCTCGGACAGGATGGGGTCGGGCGAAGGACTGGGGGTCGGGGAGTGAGCAGCGGCGAAGAAGTCGGCGAAGGGGTGGGGCGCGGGGAAGGGCGCAGGGGCAAGGATAGGGGGGAGGGGGTGCGTCAGCGACGAAAGCGAGGAGTGGCCGGAGGTCGGGGGGGGAGGGGGGGGGGGGCGCGGGGAAGGGCGCAGGGGCAAGGATAGGGGGGAGGGGGTGCGTCAGCGACGAAAGCGAGGAGTGGCCGGAGGTCGAGGTAGAGGCAGAGGCAGAGGAGGCAGAGGCAGAGGCAGAGACAGAAGGAACAGTGGTCAGGATCGGGGGGGCGGAGAGCGAGGGCGAGCGGGAGCGCGCGAGGGGCGTGAGCTGCGTGAGCGTGGGCGGGCGGGTGGACGAGGGCGCGGTGCCGGCGCGAGGGCGGTTGACCATGATGGGATGGAGTGAAAGTTGTTGCGAGCGGGGGGTTTATAAGGCTTCTGGGAGTGAGTGTTGGGTGAGCGAGCGAGGGGTGAGTGTGAGTGCGAGAATGCGGTGAGAGTGTGCGTGAGTGTGAGAGTGTGAGAGTGTGGGAATGTGCTGCGGTGAGAGTGTGGCTCGCAGAGTGTGTACGAGTTCACACAGCGAGCTGAGCTCGCTCACGTCCGCAGGCGCCGCCCAAGACCGAGGGATGCTACACATATGAGAAGACGATGTGGGTACTTGCTCGAGCCCACCATCCACCCGTGTCAACCCATGCCATCTATGTCGTCCGCCCGTGTACGGTCTTGCCGCGGCGTGCCACATCGCCTAATCGAACGAGATGCATGCGGCGTCAAGCTCAGGCTAAAGTAGACTACGCGCACCAGCCTACAGCGGCCAAAATACCGCACGCTTCAATTCGCTCACCCTCAAAATACCCTCCATTCCGCAAAATCTCGCACCATGGAACCAAACATGTCGCTCATGTTCACCTCTTATGGCTCATGGCTCATGTCGCATGTCGCTCAGCTTCACATCCAGCGATAGCGTATAGCGAGCGAACGCTGGCGTCGAGCACATCGCACATGCACAGGCATGCAGGCAGCTTCATAACGCTTCATAAACCCCGTGCTGCCGTTCTCACCCCCCATCCACCATGCCCCGCATACCCGACCCCGAAGCCGGCGCCTGCGACTTCGCGTCCGTCTTCGACTCGTCTCCGCCCACCTCGGCGCCGAGCCGCGCCAGCTCGCCCACACCAAGCGACACATCCACTCTCTCACCGCTCACCGGCGCCGGGATCGTAGCCCGCGCGGCCTTCCACCTCCTCACATTCACCGCGGGGCTCTACCTCGCCTCGGGGGTATTCACGTCCCTCGCCCCCCTGCTGGACGACACCTGGCTGTGGGCACCCGCAGTCTTCACCGGCAGTGCGCTCGCGACGCTCCTCGCGCCCTTCTGGGGCCTGCTGCTCCTGCACCTCTTCTCCGCCCTCTCCGCCCTCTGCGCCCTCCCCTCCTTCCTCCTCTCCTCCTCTTTCCGCCCCTCCGCCTCCGCCTCTCGCTCCCATTCCTTTTCCGAAGACCCCGACGCCGCCCGCGCCAAAATGGACGCCCACACCCGCAAATGCCTCATCTCCATCGGCGTCGGCCTCGGCCTCGCCACCCTCCGCGTGCTGGTCGCCCTCGCAACCTTCGCCTCCACGCTCCCATGCACGCGCGCCACCCTCTCCTGCGCCGCAGACGCCGCCCTCGCCCTCGCCCGCGACATACAGAACGCATGGGAACCCCTCGCCCCCGGCGTAGCCGCCACACTCGTGCCCCTCGCCGCGGCGTGGTGGTACACGGCGCACAAGCGGGACGTGGGCGGATACGTGTTCACGGGGATGCAAGCGGCGTCGGTCGCGCTCGCCCTCGTGAATGTCTGGACGGTGCTGGCGCTCGGGCGGGTGGTGGGGGATGTGCGGGCCGAGTTGGAGACATGTCGTGGGCACTAGAGATGGTATTGGCAGGCAATGAGATACATTCGTTGACGTGGCCGGAGCTGAGCATGAGCTGGACGAGGTGCCGCCGACTATGCGCCGCCACCGCGGCGTACGTCCATGCCCGCGGGCTGGCGATCGCGCACGGGGCGGCGGATATTCCGCCCGGCCAATGATTATGGACGCGTTGGTCTGCCCACCACGGCGTCAGGTGACTGCAATCTCGGCAAGCACAATGAGGATCGGTCAACTCGACTTGCATGACTTGCCGCGGTCGTGTCCTGGTCGTGTGCTCGGCGTCTTCGTTAACGACGCCTCACAGGTTTAACCGCATCTCCTTGACGCGGCTGCGATGGACATAAGAGGCGAGAGGCTGCTGACGCTCATCCTGCTCACCCCGCTCCCGCTCACCACTCACCACCTTTACTGTAAACATCACCCTCACCTCCCAACTCTTAACGAACCTCCTCCCTAA